TCCTTATCCTAGATAGATTTAAATTATATCTAGTAATAGGTTATTTATTAACTTTAGTCTCTTTACTATTCCTAAATCTTTTATAAATATCTTAAAGCTTTAATAGGGTAGTATCTTAGTTAACCTATCTATAATTATTTTAATAGTAGAATAATATAATACTTTTATTCTTTCCTTCTAGGCTTCCTACTTAATCTAGTAATTATAGATATTTATATAGTATAGTCTTATATTTAGATAGTTAATTTCTTTATTTACTAGTTAGATAGTTTACATATTATTATATTAAATATTAATAGTTAGATTCTCTAATTCTATCTAGATTTTATCTAGTAGATATTTAATAAAGATTTCTTTCTTTATTATATATAATAATGCTAATAATTCTATTTTAATTATAGAGATTATTATAGTTACTTACTTACTAACTTTCTATCCTATTATACTTTTAAATAACTTTATAATATACCCCTATAAGCTTCTCTAGTCCTAATTATCTATAAATAAGGTATTACTATATAATAGGTAGTTATTTAAATCTTTAAATTATAAGGTAAGTTTATTTATTCTTTTTAAATATTATAAATATTAATCTATTTTAGTATAGTATTTTTTATTAGGGTTTATAAGATATTAGAATAGCTAGAATATTATAAATATAATATCTAGTTATATTATAATTATTATATATATTATAGATCTTATCTTCTATTAATATTATTAGGTATATAAGTAAAATATTCTATCTTAATCTTTTTAAGGTATTATTTTTTCTAATATAGGAATAATATCTAAACCTTCCTTTCTATCTACTAGGTTAGTAATCTTATTAATATATACTAACTAACCTAGCTAGATAAGCTTATTCTCTCTATTTTAGATAATCTCTATTTCTAGAAACTATTACAAGTTATTTCCTCCTATTATCTTAAACTAGTCCTAAAGCTCTTATATAGTAGCCTGTATTTATACTAATAATTTTTAATAATAAATAAATATAATATTATTTATATAAAAAAATATTAGGATCCTGCCTCTAGTAATATAATATAATTTATATAAGATAGATTTATATTCTAGTAACTTTAGAACCTTTTAGAGAGTTATTTACTATAAGTAAGGAAATTATTTAAATTTATATAATACTTTCTTTAATTTTAATATTTTATTTAATTTTTAATATTTTAAAGATATTTTTATATATATTTCCTTATTATTATCTATATTAATAAATATATTTATAATATTATATTACTTTAATTCTAGATTAAATTAGGCTACTATTACTAGGAAGGTTTAAAAAGATTTTATTACTAGAATTATAATATATAGATTTTTTATTAAATTCTCTTATTAATCTCCTCTTACTATTAAGTATACTTTATATTTAATTAAATTACTACCTTAATTACTTTTATATATATATATTTATTTATATTCTAATACTTTTATATACTTAAGTTTATCTATCTTTATCTATATTTTTATTATTTTATAGCTAGCTAGGTAATCCTACTTTACTTTTATAAATTCTTTAAATAATAAGTAGTTTTTAACTTAGTAGTATATCTTTAAAAGAATTAATAATTAATTTAAGTAGGTCCTAATTAGATTCTCTAATTACCTATTCTATTTTTATATTTCTACCTTAGAGGCTAGTATTCTATCTTATTAGATTAGTTATATTAACCTCCCTACTATAAATATTAATTTCTATATAATTTAATAGTTTCTATTTAGCTTAATTTCTTCTTTAATTTTAGCTATCTTATATTAGTAAGTACTTACTAATATTATTACTAACTATTCTAGGCTACTACCTAGTAATATTAAATAGGCTATTTACTTATTTATATTAGTATTCTTATTCTTATCTATAGCTTTAAATACTAATCTTAATATTTAAACTAGATAATCAAGTAAGTTAAAATTATTTTCTAGAATATCTCTTATTATAAGGTAATCTATATTTAATACTCTTTAAGTTAGAATATAGGTTTTAACTTTAATATTCTTAATTATTTATTTAAATTTATTAATTTTAATTATTAGGAAATTATTCTTTATTACTTAGATAAATATATCTTTATCTTTTAAAAAGAATTCTTCCTTATTAAATATAATATTTCTTATATAGATAATCTTTCTTTTCTTTCTTAAATTCTATATTTAATAAATATTAGTAAATTTATATCTTATTATATATTTTATAAATATTTTTAGGTTAAATTACTTTTTATACTTTACTATTATAGTTACTTATAATTTAATTATTATAAATACCTTATATCTATATATCTTTAGGTAAGCTCCTTAAGATTTCTTATATTTTATTACTACTCTATTTTAGTAGGTAATATAGATATAGAATTAATTAATTAGTATTTTTTATTCTACCTAATATTTAGGTATTTAATTATATAGGTATATTACTATATAAATATATTTAGGCTATAGAAATATAGGTAGTTTTACTCCTTATTTTATTATATATACCTTTTCTTTTATTATACCCCTTAAGTACTCTATACCTTTATTTTAGGTTAGTATATATAAAGTAAAGTAGTTAAGTCTTGCTCCTTTAGATTATATAAAGTCTTCTAATTATCTCTTTATCTTACTATCTAATTTAATTACTTAAGATTTAATATTATATTATCTCTCTAGAAAGATAAATAAATTAAATAAGGTATTTTTAATTATCTCTATATATTAGTCTAAGAGATAATAATCCTATATAAAATCTAATTATTTATTTATAATTAATAATAAGGTTTAATAATTATTTATTCCTATTTTAAAATTATAAAAATTAATTATTAATTATAGATTTAGTTCTTTTATAATAATATAGTTTTTTTAATTAATTCTTTACTTTATTTTTACTATATTATAAGTATTATATTCTATTATAATAGGTTCTCTAATCCTTACTTCCTTAATATTCTTAACTAGGTAATTTAATACTTATAGTCCTAAATATTTAAAATATAAATATTATTATTTTATATTTCTAATACTAGTAATAATTTAAAATATTACCTAGCCTGTTATACTATATAATTTATTATTATATTTTATTATAAATTAGCTATATTTCTTATTAAGATAGGCTACTACTATACCTTTAGAGATATAAAGTAGATTAGAATTAGAATTATTCTTAAAATAAATATTTATTTAATTTAATAATATAAATAATACTAGATTATATATTATTTCTTTATAATAAGTTATATTCTTAAAAATTATATAATTATATTTTATATCTTTATCTTATTAAATTATAATTTATATACTAATATCTTTATATTCTATAATAAGTACTTTTAAATCTCTTATTTATATATAATTATCTTATATTAATTTTATATACTACTTAAATTAATATAAATTATTAAATATATAAATTAATAATTTTAAGTTAAGAATAATAAAGTATTATAATAAATATAGTATATTTTTAAATTAGATATTAAATAAAGCTTTAACTTTATCTTTATTCTTATTTTTTATTTAATTTATTTCTTAATTATTTCTTCTTTCTAGTTATTCTAGATTTTATTTATTTTATTCTTATTTCTTTACTACCTTTTTAGCTAGGGCCTTATTTATCTTAAATTATATATTAACTAGCTTTCTTATTATACTTCTTTTCTTAAAGTCCTTAGGCATCTTTTTTAGAAATAAATAAAAATATTATATTTATTTATACCTTTAAAAATATATATTATATAATTAATATAAGTTTTTAAAAGTACTTTTTTTAGAATTTATTCTTCTTATATTATTATATCTATACTTATATTTTATTCTCTTATTTTATAATAGAAATATTTCTTTATTACTAGTTATATTTATTATATCTTTAGTAATAAATATTAGTCTAAAAGCCCCTCTACTAGTCTTATTATATTATTACAGGAATATATTAATAATATTATAAAAGTTATTTATTATAGTATAGAATAATAGTATTCCTGCTAGTATTTTCTTCTTATAATCTAATTAATAGGATATAGTTTAAAATAGAGCTAGATAATATATTATATTTAAGAAATTTTTTATTTAATCTAGTAATAATTTTATAACTCTAAAATTTACTTTAATTACTTATTAAATAGTAAATTCCTAGTTATTTAACTAATTAACTAGATTACCTTTTAGGGATTAGATTACCTTTATATAGATATTATAGGCTATATTTTAAATTTATCTCTAATTAACTACTATATATTTTTTTAATTTAAGATACTATTTCTCTAGGATTTCTATTAACTTATAGTAAAAGTAATAGATCTTTAAAAAAACTATATATTAAATCTATTCTTTTAATTTTCTAAATTCTATATCCTAATAATTATACTTATCTATTTCTATTTTATAAAGTACTACTTTAGAATTAAAGTCTTATAATAATACTATAAAACTCCTAATATTATTTACTAGTAGAGTCTTTCTACTATTCCTAATTAATCTAGTAGATTATTATAGATAACTCTTACTACCTTTTATTATCTCTTATAGATAGTTATCTCTCACCTATACTTTAAATAAGGATTACTATATTAGCTAGTCTTCCTACTTAATAAGCCTTACTATATTATCTTTATTATTAGTAGTTAGAGGTATTGCGCTTAGTATTTTACTAATTAGTAGGTTTAGTAGGGGTTATTAGTATTTTAATAATTAGTAAGTTTTTAATAGGGGTTATTAGTATAGATTTATATACTTTAAGTAAATATAAGACTCTTAATTATTAAATATATAATGATCCTAAGGGTAGCTTAATAGAAGCAGATGATTAGATCTATTGATATGTGTGTTTCTTAGGGGGTTGTGTACTTACCTAAGGCCTTAATATAGGGTAATAACCCCCCTTTGCTTACTAAGTACATCACGAGATACCCCTTCAATTCAACAACATTAGGTAGTCACGTGTCGCTATCTGCTTTATGGTGGTGCTGGTTGCATTCACTGAGTGCAGCACTCCAACACAACATATATTCTGCTATCTCCCACATCAGGGATAGCCTATATTTCAACAGTGCCCATGTCGCCGGTCGGAGTAGTTAGCTAGCCAGTCGGTGGCGTGGTCCTACATAGCCGTTGGGAGCACGACATATGGAGCAGGAAACAGGGTCCACTCCCAATATCAGGTGGCAGCAGCAACAAGCTAGCCACCACATCTTTTGAATTAAGTAACTATTACAGGGTAATACTATTATAATTTTTTGCAGTAATATATCTCCCAGACACGCAATCAGCAGAAACATCACGCTCTCAACCTTGACCGCCCATGATTCATCGCACCTACTCCGTCGCCGATGCGGGGGCACCAGATACTCCCATAGTTGAGGTGTCATAGCCCTCTGACTCGAGATAGGCTCGGAAGCGGGCATCTTCGTGGGTGATAGTATCCTACCCGACGGTCAGAATGTGATCTCCTCAATCAAATTGAAAGGGGTACCATCGCTTACCTGGTTGATCTGGGGCAGTAGGAAGTAGGCTAGGAAGGCGCTGAACATGCAAAGTGCGCTGGAGACATAAAAAGGGTCCTGCCCTTGGCGCACCGCATTCGGGGCATTCTTGATAATGACAGGAAAGACATAAGTGCCGACGAAGGCCCCGATCTTACCGACAGCGGCTGCGCCTCCATAGTATTGACCGCGAATGGGAGTGGCGCAGGTTTTGGCCGCACAGAGACCGATGTTGTCACCGGGACCGACTTCACCCAGGGCAAGGAAGATACTAGAAGACGGGATGCATCGTCAGACACGCTCACAAGTAAGCAGTAAGACCGGACATGACTTACCCATATAACACCACGAAGGCCGCGACATATTCGTTGGTATTGAGATAGGGGTAGCAGCCCGTCATAATGAAGCCGACCGCACCTTGAAGGAAGACACCCAGGGCAAGTGTATTGCGGGGACCCATCCAGTCACTTAATAAGGCACCCAAGAGAGAGCCCGGTAGGTAGAAGACGTTGATCACCGTGTTCCACCCAAGTGTTACCCATAAGGGAGCGCTGTCCCCAATGATAATATACAGCCATTGGGAGGAGTAAATGCCAAAGGAATAGGCCGAGAAATCGTAAATGAACCAGATCAGGGAGACGACACACTAGAAGACAAGACCATCAGCTTTGCGAGTTTAGGTTCTCGTAGACCTTCATTGCTTACCCAACGCTTCCAATAGAATCTAGTGGCTCGTGATTAGTATTCTGCGATCACCAGGGGTTCACTAGCACTTACTTAGCAATAAGCCAGACAGGGAACTTGTGCATTTTCTCCCGGGAGTACTCGATCGGCTCCTGGAGCCTCATCCGCAGATAGATTAGACTCAAAGGGGGGATCACACCAAGGCCCAGGCAAATGCGCCATGCTGCACGGAGATGATCCTCACCGGTCGCGAGGACGACAATCATGGGGACCAGGGAGGAGGCGACACACGCAAGATCCAATTGGAAGTTAGTAAACAAGATAAACCAGCGGTGCCGGGTACCCTCTTTCATTTCTCCACTGCTTTCTGCGGCCGCCACCGAGCCCGCTGGATATTCGCCGCCCACGCCCAGACCCAGGAAAAAGCGATAGGCCGTTAGGGCATTGAACATTCCCGGGAGGCTTCCGTGGGCACCGTATGCACCGGCGCAGAGGGCTCCAAAAACGAAGAGGATGGAGGTGGACACCATCAGGGTATTCGCGCGCGACCAGTGGTCAGAGAGGTAGCCGAAGAACAGCATTCCCACGACGGTGCCGACGAAGGCAATGGAGGAGACATTCTGACTGTAGGTGGAACCTTTGTAGATGGTGGGGTAGAGTTTATCGAGGATGGTATTGACCGTGCCAATCACCTAGCGAGAGCAGCAGCAGCCCGGGGGTCAGATCCCGATCGTTCTTGGAAGCGAGATGGAATGGGCCGGGAGCAACTTACATATTGCAGATACCCATCAGACCACAGACCAGCACCACATGCAAAGGTCGGCCAAGCACGTTCCCAGAAGGTCTTCGTCGGGCCTCCCAACGGGTCCTCGTCAATCTGGGGTTCGCCTCGCGGGAGAACAGTAAGCTCCGACTTTTTCTCGTCTCTGGGATCCATAGTGATCCCTCCAGAAGTCAGACACACAGTAAGCTCTCCAAGAATTAAATTGAGTCAGATGACTGTGGAACCTCTGCTGTCGACTGACGGGGATAAGGTCGATGTCTACCTGAGATAAAAAAGAATTCCCCTCCAGATGCGAGGAGGGCGAACCTTTATACCACTACGCGCGGCCGATATGACTTGCTTGGGCTGTAAGGTGTGATTTCGAACGCATGGTGATACATGGGAAAAAAGCAAAAAAGCTCAAGATAATCAGGAGAGAAGACGAGCGCGGGATGAGTCCCCCACCCTGGCGAACGGGGAGATATCCTTTTTCATACTGATGCGAGGAACTAAGAGCTTCGTATCATCCATGACCCACTGTCCCCGAGTCAGTGTCCTCTCCGCCCGAGACGAGATGGGTTTTGTGTGGCATCATGAATAAGCTAAGAACGAGCCTAAGTTACCGGACTCTACCTCTCAATATCAAATACCAAGCTTAGCGGGAGTTTTGGCCTGGTCTAATTAAGCCTTTTGCTAACTTCTGTCCATGTGCGAGCCTGTGGCCTTCTTACTAGACGACCAACCACAGACACGGCACACAAGGCCACTACTCAGGACTAGTACGTTCGTCCTAACTACCATGACATGAGCCAGCCGTTTTCTTGGCTCGTCTGATGTTCTGATGTTCTTCCGATGTTCTGATGTTCTTCCGATGTTCTGATGTTCTTCTGATGTTCTGATGTTCTTCTGATGTTCTGATGTTCTTCTGATGTTCTGATGTTCTTCTGATGTTCTGATGTTCTTCTGATGTTCTGATGTTCTGGTATTTAGGGTTAGGGTGTTTGATGTGCTGATGTTCAGTGTCCCATTCCTTATTGCAGCGCTATCGTGTTTAAAACTTTGCTTAGTCCTAGAATTCTAGTCGCATGGGCAGTGTATAGTTATACAGAGCAGTTATAAAGTATTATTCTGTACATCCTGGGGGGAAGGAAGTCACTCAGGGGGGTTCTGGCTATTAGTATTAAATAGCTTGCGTACTCCGTATGTACATAGTTCCCACCAACGGAGGGAAAAAAAAAAAAAAAAAAAAAAAAATCGTTGCCTAATATCCGAATATCACAACCAAGTGCATCTCCAACACTTAATCCAAGGTAGAATCGACCAACGTGCCCAGTTAGCAAGGTGATAATAAGCAACGATGAATTTTCTGTCCAAGCAATACATCACACGCACCATTCTCAGCCATTAATGGCTAAGCTTTTAAGACACTCCACCGGTCCACTATACATCGGGCCAATAGTGTAGTTCACTGGGCCCCCATAAGCACCGGCCGGGACCTTTTATCGATGCACGTGGGCTTCACTATCTAGGGTCAGCGGAAAGCAACTGGGATGGCTCGCGAAAAGCAGGAACCCGAAAGAACTGCTCGTGCCTCTATATAAATCGGGTCTACTCTTGCCTCATGGTCAGTTCCAGCTCTCACTCATGTGCTAGGTTTTCTTCTTTCCTCGTCAATCTAACCAAGATACCTGGCCATCGGCTCCATACCTGTTGTCAAGATGAAGCTTTCCATGAGTCTGGTTCTGGCTGGTCTGTCCTTGACAGCCGCCATGCCCTTCGAATCCCGGTCCTCCCACAAGACCAAGGTCAAGGGAAAGTGGTTTGAACGTAAGAGAACAGTCCTTCCATCTGCAGTCGCGGAGACGCAACATACTAATCGCATGATAATAGGTTTCGTGGTGATTGTCCTGGAGAATACCAACAAGGATGTCACTTTCGGAGATCCTTATTTCCTCAACCTCACCAACATGGGCATGGTGCTTGGTGGCTATCACGGTAAACATTCCCCAGACATCACTGATGATCGCAGCTGTTTCTAACATCGCAATGTAATTCTAGGCACCACTCATCCCTCCCAGGTAAACACAAGGCCTCGCTCGCTCCGCTGGGAAATAACCCCACATGAAGTCACTCTAACATCGAACTCTATAGCCTAACTACATCACTATGGTTTCCAATACCATTGCTGGTGGTGTTTTCACTGATGCCGATGCCAACACTACCCAGGCCAGTGTGATTGACCTGTTTGAGCCCGCCGGTATGATAACCCTGACCCAACCTAACCTTGCGTCACCAATGGGTGGAAGGCTTATGAAAGGAAAATAGGTATTACCTGGAAAGCCTATATGGAGGGCTACAGCCCCCTCGATAACGGCGACTGCAACCCTTACTCGGAAGACAAGACCACTCTCTATGTCCGGTGAGCATTATCAGATGGCCTGACAGGCACCCAGTAATGTGGATTGGCGCGCTTACTGTCAGATAGCAAGCACAATCCCTTCATGTCCTTCGACAACATCCGCAACAACCTTACTCGCTGCCAGAACATTGTCAACGCCGAAGAGAACTTCGCTAAGGATGTTGCCCTGGGTGCCGATGCCCCCAACTACATGTTCTACACCCCTAACCTCAAGAACGACGCCCACGACACCAATATTTCTTATGCGGCAAAGGACGTGCAGTATCTGGTCGACACTATGCTGCTCAACAAGGAGTTCATGAAAGATACCCTGATTCTCATTACTTTTGACGAGAACAGTAAGCCACCCAACCCTTGTCAGGGCTTATGCTCTTTCGTCAGCGACGGCAATATAGTTACTTACATACCCTCACAGTGATCTACCTCAACCCTAACTTCGGCCAGCCCAACTCCATCTATACTCTCGTCCTGGGTAACGACACTGTCAAGTGCTATGATTGCGTGGACCAACAGTACTACAACCGTAAGTTCTTCTCAACATATTTCTCTTTGCCACGTCAAATTCTGACTTGTTTCACTAGACTTCTCCCAGGTCGTGACTCTCGAGCGCAACTGGAACCTGACCACTCTTCCCCAGCCTGATGGCAGCGAGGAAGGCTGGGACCAATGGATGCGCCCCTTTGGTATGCTTCGTAGCCGTCATGACGACGTCTGCGCCTACGCTCCTTGCGACGAGTACTATGATGGTAAATCCCCTAAAGCGGCCGACGGCAACTGGGGAGACCAAGACTACTAGGGGAGCTGCCAAACCGGAATGGGACCTCGGAAAACGCTTTGTTTTTTGGGCCTAGACCAACATCGTCCGACTACTGTAAATTTATTGAGCCGGGACTTGCTTAATCTTTTAGCATACTGATTGATCCCTGTTTACATATTTTTGGGGGGGGGGGGTTGTTTTTTTTTCTGTTTCTGGTGGTTGTTTATCACATGAACCTCGTGAGATCACCCAACCTCCAGTAACCTTACACCTAGTTAGTTACGTGATTTAGTTAAACTGTTAATATCTATCAAATCAATCTTTCAGCTAATTATCTGCTAATGTGCACTGCTTAGAGATCAATACGAGGTCGCCTATCGCTAAGTAACTGGACTCATTTAACTACTATCTTAATCACCTCAACACAGTGTCTTTTTTTCGCAGTTTCAAGGGGAGGTCGAACCCTAAAAAAAAGATTGGAGCAGCCTTCCATATCGGTGAGACAGGTTCCACTGCGAGCCATGATATAAATGGGATATCCAACACCGTGGGGGTACTCCCATGAGATCGACTACGCACTATTCAGTGCTAGTATTCGGATTGATCGAATTTTCTTTAGCAAGGGCGGTTTCTACTACTCCATGTGGGACCAGGGCATCTCAACGCTTCTTTTCCCGCATATATAAATCCAACGCAAGCCCACCATCTTTTGGGTAGCAGGCATCTGGGCATAATTAACTGAGAAATCGCAGTTACTATAGTATGCTGACCTCCCTTCGCCACGTATTCACCATGTAGAACATCTGGATACCTTTGACCTAGCGGATGACGCAATTTATGACAAGGATCACTTCCGGACATTAGTTCTCCTTACAGTAGAACCAAGACCCGATAAATTCCTTGATGTTTCACAGGTTTGGTGTCATAGAGTGCAAGTAGCGCTTGACAGCCTGTAGCTTGACTAGCAAGCATGGTGGTACATGGGCTGTTGTCTTCGGATCCACACACGTTATAAGGTATACATATATTACTACCGGAGGATTCCCAACATACCACCACCCATGAGTGAGCCAGGGTATTACTTCTACCTCTATATTTTCAAGTATACTGGGTATATTTCAATTGGGTTGGTCTACTAAAAACATAATATGAAGACAGCATCAAGAGAATGGTCCCATCTTGTTAGAGGAGAGAGTACAGTACGTATTCGTATTTGATGTCCCTGAAAGGGTTATAATCCTTGGTCCATAAAGACCACAATCATTATTTTTGGACTCTACTCCGTACAGTTCTTCCACACACGAGGTTAAGTTCCATCTTAGCCTCACTTCCCATCCACCCGATTGTAATCCCGTAAGCCTAAACCCTTAGCCCCATCTACCCCGTAAAGTCGTTCTGAATGTTTCATTATGTTTGAGTGGAAGTGTGGCAACGTGGAAACCGGGGTAAATAGCCCATGGGGTAGGAAAAACCACACACAGTTAGTTAGGGTTTATCATTCCGTTTCACCAATACCTAGTTTTCATTCGATCAAAAGAATTACCTAGCAGCTCTAAACTTGGGAACCCCGTGAATAAGAACAAGACCAAGACAGTAAGTATCCAAGGGCGTCTATAACTACCTGTAACGATCTTATTCTGGAGTACCAGATATTAGGACTTAGACGCGAGTGAAGCAAGAGGCACAAAAATTAGACATGCAGCATTAACATCAGGCCTCACATTCACACGACTAGCTACCATAACCCTAATGGGTTTGCATAGGTCAGACAGAGAGTTGAACATTCATTGACGCCATGTGAAGCAGGGTATCTTTGTTTAGGGCCGAGTATCAAAAAGGGAGAACGGAAAGACTAAATCAATATCTTTACAAAGCCAAAACACCGATGAGTGCAGCAGCAAGAGCGCCACGGCCAATGATGTTGTGTGCAGCGGCGCCGGTGAAAACAGGTGTGTTTGCAGAAGTTGAGGGAGATCCAGATTCAGGGTTCACAGAAGTAGGCTGGGAAGGCGCAGGAATGACGGGTTTCGAGGTCCAAGCGGGAGTGCCGGTGGGCACGGGTGCGGAAGAGGACTGGCAGTTGCAGCGGGTGGTAGTGACGACAACGGAAGGAGTAAAGGTGCTGTAGGAAACAATGCTTGCGGGATTTGTCGTCGTGGGGGCAGTGGTAGAAGCAGTTGTAAGGGCAGTGGTGGGCGCAGCAGTAGTAGTTGTAGAAGAGGAGCTCGAATCAACACCCTTGGAGATGCCGAACTGGGTCGAGTACTGGTACTCGCCGGTGGCGTCCACAATCAGGAGCAGGCCGTAGTGGGTGACATCAGGCTCCAAGCTGGCGGCAGGAGTCCAGGAGTACTTGCCAGAGTTGGGAATGCCCTCAACCAGGGTTTCGAGAGGAACGACGTTGGTGCTGGGCCCGCGGAGGAGAACCAGCGAAACAGTTCCGGTAGTGGTAGGGTCCCAAGTGATCGTGTAGGGCTCGCCGATTGGGACCTGGTCATTCAATCCGGGCAAGCGGATGGGGTTGCCCTCAGGGCTGAGCGAATAGTCGGGCTGGGTTCGAGCGGAGGCGATGGCCACGAAGGCGGAGAAAATGGCAAGAGCAAACGAACGCATCTTGAGGAAGAGGGCGATGAAAAGCAGCAAAAAGAGTGATATGAAAAGAGCGGCAATGCAAAAAGCAAAGAATGACTATGGTGAGAATCGTAGAGAATAGAGAGCGTGGGAAGAAGAGAGAAAGAAGGAAAGAGAGAAGTTGGAAGCAGCAGACTTTTGAGGAAAAGGTTAAAGAAGAGGAATCTCGAGTCTGACTTTTTTCCAAGACTGCAATTTCCCCAGAAGCCCAATGGAGTTGTTCGAATGGCTTCGGATATGGGGCAGCGGAATCTGGATGGAACCTTTCTTCGTATAAGATGAGCCACCACCCTGTCTTGCGGGCTCCAAAACTGAGACATTTTTGATTCGAGCGTTTTAATTAGTAGGAATGGCTTCCATAGGCTCATCTTGAAGGTAATCTCCGTAATAATCGGGAGACATATGATGCCCTAAAGCCGTCCATATCGCATCATCAACTCGCACCGATTTTCAGGGGAACAAAGCCGTTATAATTATATGGAGACAGGGGTTGAGCTGGTTAAGGCCCAGACAACAATCCGTTCTAATTTTCAATCCTCCTGTGTCGAGATTAAGTGGATCCGTACTTCACACATCCGAGACTCGGGCGTAGCCGTGATAATCAAAGTAGTGGAAATGAGTATGAAGAATGTCCTACTTAACTATATATAAGGAGCTCCTAGGGCCCCCTAAACGCCGAAATTGCAGTGCGAAAGCCCCCACGAAACAGTGGCACATTATTCTAAATACGCGAAAATCGTTGAATTACTTCGTCTTGACTCTCTGCTCTCGTGGCGCTATCTACTCCCAACAGGCCGCCCCCTCCATATCTCGGAAACGGTCGCTGTCCCTATATATTCTTGGTCCAGGACTTCTCCCGTGTATATCACTGATGAACCCCTCCCTCATACGAGGCTCATACAACGGCATGTCCGGTTTGTTGCGCTCGTCGTCCAGTTCCCACTCCATCCACGCCCTTCTCTTGGTCCTTGCCCAGCCACGGCTTGTTCGATTCACCCATCTGGCCCTCCTTGATGAAATAAACAAACAGGCCGATAATGATGAGGACAAAGGCAATCGGATACAGGAAATGCACGGAGTAATGGAAAACCTTCAGACCGATAATCAGACCCCAGAAGTTCATCGTCAAAAGGGAGATGTTAAAGAAAGTCGCGGATGAAAGGCGGAACATGATCGGGGCCAAGGTGTAGAAGATGAACAGGACGATGGTGTATCCGGCAATATAGCCACCCACTTTACCATTCCAGGTGGCTCCGTGGAAGGAAGTGCGGTCGAAGATGGCACACTGCACGCCATTAATGAGCATGCCCCAAAAGCCCATCTGACCGACCACCTCGTACATCGGGCGTTTGGATACCATGAACTCCTCAAACAGGTTGCTGAAGGCATAAATGGTGGATGCCAGCAGGGCGAAAAGGTCCCCCTTGACTCGGTCCTCCGCCGCGTAGTTCGCACCGCGCAAGTAGTCGGAGGCGATGAGCATTCCCAACCCACCACAGGCGAGGAAGATCCCGAGATATTGCGTGATATGATAGCGGACGCCGAGGAAGATGAAGGAAATGATCACGATGCAAATAATCGTCCAGAAGCTAAACAGCTCTGCGCTCAGCAACGACGTGTATCGGTAGGCCAGTACCATAAAGTAATTCCCCTCGACATCGAGGAACGACAGAATAAAATATCTCCAGCAGTCGGTGTACAGCATGCGGAACCATTTCTTGAACCCGTACTTGTAGAGGGTGATGCTCGTGTAGACCAAATTGAGAAGGACGTAATTCCATAGGGTTTGGAAGGCGGGGATGCTGGTGCCCTCGTTGGACAAAAGCGAGGAGAAGGTGGAGGAACTAATGTTGGCTAACGCGATAACTTGACTACATATATAACCGGAATCAGCGACTAGTTCCTACTTATACCGAGGAACAAGCTGTCAACCACTTACCCCATGGCCAGCAGAATCCAGAAATCGCGGGTCTTCATATACTCAAACAGGGGCCATCGTTTTCCTTGTCGCGCCTGCTCCCCACCAACATCCTCCTCTGGCGAAGACGACTCTATCACCGCTGGTGTCGCTTGGGTTTTCTCATCTCCGGTCGGGAGCTGGTATTCCACATCGGCCGCCGCCGAGGGTCTCTCAGGTTCCACGGCGATTGACATAGTAAATGGAGGGGTAGAGCTTTTCGCCAGCATATGTGAGCGCAAAGCCCTGAAGTCGCTCACTGCTAATTAGAGGCGCAAAAAAAGAAAGAAAAAAAAAGTTAAGAACCGATGGCGGGGCCAGGGAGGTTTTATACCTACTTTACCTATGATTTTTCTCCCAGCTGGCGTGAAAAAAAAAAAAAAAAATATCACATTTAGCGGCGAGACTAAGCATGACGGAATCCTGGATGTGAACGGCACAACCCTCCATGATTGGGTCAAGACTATAAAAATTTGGATCGAGTCCACCATGTGAAGAGGGTATGTATTCCTCATTGGCTTGTTTCTTTTCATGGTGACTCGCCGGGTCGCTGATTCGGATTCCCTTAAGTTGCATTTTCACTGCTTGTTACGATATACATACGTACTTTCCCCCGGGTTGTTACGTACTGGCAAAAAGGTGAGCTGATCAAGGATAACGAACTTCGCAAATAAATCCCCCCAAAACCTTCCCCTCTGCGGTGCACGGGTTGGTTAGGCGCTTCTAGCTTTAATCTTCTTCCTGAGGTGGTAAACTGCCACTCCAAGCAACCAAAGTACGAGAAGGATACACGCTTGAAACGGCGCAAAGGCAGCTCCACGGATAACCACAAATCCACTGGCCAAGGCGAAAACGACCGGGACCAAGAGGAATGGCTTGTAAGGCCGCTCACGGTGTGGCTCGCGAAAGCGAAGTAGTATGGCTCCGAGAACTGTGAGGCAAAAAAAGCTATATTCCCCGAGGCCATTGAAGGTAAGGAGTGCCCTAAAATTGCCCAGGAGAATATAAAAGATCGGAAGAAGCGTCGAGAGGATAATAGCATTCAATGGCGCATCAGATATACTTCGCTCCGCCGCTGGGTGATTGAAGGGACGAGCAGAGGCGCGTACATGGCCTATAAACCCGAGAAAGCTGGGAAGCCAATCCTGGTGTGCTGCAGCAACTACCATGCGACCGGCGACGAAAGAATTCCCGAGCAAGGAACCAGCAACGACCAGGCAAAAAAGGAATGCAGCGACAATGCCAAATCCGGGTCCAAGAAGGCGTTCCATCGCGGTCTGATTCCCGGGGTCAGCCTTGTAAAACACCCTATACCACCCATAAACTCACCACAGCAACGCTATCGGTGGAAGGAATCACATCCCATGGTAGAAGTACATAGTAAGCCGCATTGGCTATGATAAAGCAAAGAATAATTATAGGAACTGCCGAATTAATAGCCAGCGGGAGTTGGCGGGCAGGAGCGGATAGTTCATCGGTGATGTAGATCGCCTAAGAGAAAGCACAATCAGTATGCTAGGTAGTGTACATATCGTGCCCTCCGGAGCTTCGACCTGCCTTATCCCATCCCGAATAAGCCCACAAGGCACCGTATAGAGCCGTAGAGTAGTGTCCTAAAAGCTCCCATAGCGGGATTTCACTCCACTTGATTTCCCGTCCATCAGTGGCTTGGGTGTCTCTGAAGCCAAACCAAGGTCTACTATACCAGTCCTTGGATCCCGTATGCCCTTCGCGGTTGAGCAGGTGTATGATCATGACTATAGCTGCTGCCGATACAATCCCCAGGACGGAAACGAATTTCGTCGCCACAAAGAACCTATTAAGTCGGGTGCTCACTCTAGTGCTAATGCAGTTCGCGACATTGGCAAAAATCAAAACGAGAATTGATAATAGCTTGTGGTCAATTCTCTGGGCCTGATCGGTCACCCCAAGGGCCGAGTAGATGCTTTCGATAAAAACAATACTGATAATCGCCAAGGTAGCGGGCATAATGGCGAGAATCCAGGTCCACGCGGCCAGGAAGCCAACAATATCCCCGAAAATATACTGAAGGTAGGGTTGCACGCCTCCTATACGCAGCCCGAGTCAATCTTCTGCCTGGGATTTGAGCTGGGAAACACAGACCTTGACCGGGGATTGTTGTACCAAGCTCCGCCATAGTGCTTGCCCCCGTCCACGCGAGAATCCCACCGGCGAGCCATACAATCAGAGCAGCACCAGGCGAAGGGACATTTGCATCGATGGCTCCGGTTGATGTAAAGATACCACTGCCGATCACGACACTAACGACGACGCCAAAGGCTTCCGCCGCTCCCAAGTTCCGGGCGAATGCGTTTTGCTGAGCCGGATTGGTCTGTTGGTCTGGCAGTAGGGGAGTATGGATGCTATTTTCGCTATCCTGAGCGTAGTTCGACATGGTTAAAGCTTTGGTGTTGGAAGAAGCGAGGAGGCGATTGGAATAATCGGTCCAAGTGCGCGCCTGAAAATGACGCCATGAAGCATGCTCTTCCCGCCCGGTACAGAGTCTATATTGCATAATATAAGTCTGCCGTTGTGAACAAGAGTGAATGAGGAGACGAATCACTAAGTGTGGCCAGCAAGATAAATGGAGAACGAGGATATCGATCTGGCAGCCATCCCACATCATTTTCAACTGAAGCTTTTACCGGAGAGACTACATGTTGCCTTGAAAAAGACTGAGCATTTCATGTAAATAGACCAAATAAATTGACTTCCACCACCATCCTCCCCTTTCCCTTCCGCTCCCGAATGTCCTCTGCATCAAGCAAGCTCAGCTTCAATCACGCTTTGAGTGGCCACAGGCGAGCTCCAGATCTTGACCATCCGGAAGCCGACTGACTCCAGTAGATTTTTCCACATCGACTCGGTTCGCTCAAATGCAGAAACCTTGACCATCATAGTCAGATCATAAGCTGTCGCTTGGGGATGTGGGTTATCTTCAGGTAGAACATGGTCATGCACTAGTAGTTTGCTGTAGCCTGGGGTCATTGCATTTCGCAGATGGATCAGGATGTCTTGGGCTGGCTTGTCGGACCAGTCGTGGATTACACCGTGCATATAGTACGCGCGAGCTCCTAGTTCATGAACACCAAATTAGCGGCTGAGGAGATCTCTTTCCGTGTTGTGATGTTAGAGAACTAGAGAGGGAGGGAGATGGATAAAGGAGCGCGAACCTTTCACGGGCTGGGGGGTGAAGAAATCATGAGCCATGATTTGAACGGTGGACGGGCATTTAGCAAGACGCACAACATCTGGGCGATCTTGAAGCACCAGCCGAGACGCAACTTCCGGGTGACGAGAACGGAATTTCTCAATATCGTGGCCGACATTGCCACCAACGTCCACCAGAAGAGGTGTCTTGGAGTCGTTGGGCTGCGAATCAGTCAAGCTTTCATACGGATAGACATCCAACATGCCGGCCTGGTTGGCCATAACACCGCCCATAACGTTGTTGAAAGAGTCACCCTCGGTAGAGTGAGTATCATAATATTCAAACAAGGATCCCTTGAAACCCTTGGTGTACTGGAAGATGCCATCGTTGGGGTCGGCCGGGTTCTTGTAGCCGGTTTTGGCCAGGTACTCGGGCATCTTGTGAAAGCAAGGAATTGTCGCGTCATACCTAGCGGGCAAATGTGAGAGCTCGTCCTTGAGAATCAAAACCGCCCAGGGAGGTATATCTGCTACTTACAGATAATTAATCCACTCCCCGAAGACGGGCTGGATGAGGGACTTGCTAAAGGTGGTTTGTTTGTATTGTCCATGAGAGACCTCTTGAATCACATTGGTGGAAGTGAAGTGACGAAGAATACGCTCTGAGGAGATCAATAAGTCAAATATTCTGTATCAAGAAGAAGCTTCTTGTTCCTTACGAAGCAAAACTGGATCACAGCCGACCAATTTCGCGAGCTGTTCGCCGGATTGCGGAGCATTATCGCCCAGTTGGTACCATTTCTCGAACAGATGAAGGTCGCGAGCAACCTTCAGCGATGCTCCCAGAGCAGGCTAGGAGAAATAGTTGAGAAAACAGAGTGCAGTGGTGGCAAGGCACGACCTACCTCGGTCATGCACAGACGCGCAACTGTATCCCATGGCGTCTCCAGCCGACTAACCAGACTGTACGCCGCCGCAAGAGCCTGAATGCGATCGCCATCAAACTGAAATGACGAGGCACTAATTCCTTCAATGGAATGGACAAAGTCGTTTACATCGACCTGAGAGAGGTTGGTTCCTTTGAGGCCCGGCATTGTGATGCGGATGCTGTGAAGTCACTTTCGGATGATGAGTCTCTTACCGTGAAGTAGCTAAATGGAAAGACGGCACTAAATGTATCATTTCCCCCAGTCTATAAGAACAAGAAAATCACTTGATCTAAACCCGTTCGCTCTGGTGCATGACACAGAGTACGGTATGGTTTCCCTATGTCTGCGGCGGGAGGCCTATTCGCATGGGGTGCCCGGCACCGAGTAAATCGACAATCCTGAGTGCTTGTAGTACCCAGTCCCTATACCGGTTGAAAGTTGACCATTTCCTTACTCTTATTTTATTTTTTTTTATTTTTTTTTATTTTTTTTTTGCATATGTTCCAGTTCATTGAACATCACCCCACCGGCTGCGTGGTGGACTTCAACGGGCCAGGACCAAATTAATCCTGCCTGGGATATATAAAGACTGTAAATGCGCAGCAGGCGCGCTAAACGGCCCGTCAGAAGCTGAATCCTATGGACGAAGATCTTGCACTGCCTTAGAAATTCCACATCATGGGCCTACTCCAAGGTCAGGTTGGCCTCTTGTCCAACATCCTGCCCAGCTTCTCGCAGGTCCCCATTGTAATAGGAGCCCTGATCGTGTCTGTGGGCTTGTACAGACTATATTTCCATCCTCTCTCACACATCCCTGGGCCGCCATTCGCTTGTGTGTCTTCTTTGTTTCTATACGCGATCTGCTACTATGGCACCGAAGGCCATATCCTTCTGTATTATCATCAGAAATATAACACCCCGGTGCTAAGAATAGCGCCCAACGCGGTTTCAATCTCCGATGGGGATGCTCTTCATTCCGTTTATGTTGCCGGCGGCGGTCTACCGAAAGACGCCCGCTATAGCAACTTCCGGGTGGAAGGACACGACACCATCTTTTCAACCCTCGACACGGCCTACCGAGATGCAAGGGCAAAGGCTGTCCTCCCTTTATTTGCACCAAGCCGGATCAGGTCTTCCTGCGAAGATAATGAGATCATCGGGCAATTGGTGGACAAATTTGTCACGCGTCTCGAGATGGATAAAGCGAGCGCTTCTAAGCCTCAGAACACTGCGTCGCCGGCGAAAAAGGTGGACATTCTGGATCTCTCATCGCGTCTGTCCCTTGACGTTTTGACGGGATATCTCTTCAATAAGATCTATGGGGGATTGGACGAACGAGAAGATATCAACCCGACTACCACATCCACGATGAAGCCCCCTAGTGTTTGGGCAAACAAACTCTCGGCAACCCCATTTGTCCTTGCGATTGTGGCCTTTAGTCGCTTCTCACTATTGCCCAACTGGCTCTTCAACCTCATCTTCTCGGCTCTGGCGGAACGTGTGCTGTCAAAGGAGGACGTCCTCGCGTCCCTCAAGAAAGTCGATGGCTTCACCAGTGGCATTCTGGAGTCAAATGCCAATATTCGCTCCAAGGCTGATACGTATCAGTCTCGATTGCTAGCTGCGGGGATATCGCGCGCAGAGACCCTCATTCAATGCAAAGCCGCGATGTTTGCCGGCGCTGACTCCACTGCCGTTATCCTAGCAACTATTCTCTTTCATCTCGTTCGGTCCCCGGATGTTCGGAAGCAGCTTCAAGAAGAGATTGCAAAGAGTCCTGCAGGTTCCGATCCCCAGGGACTGCCCTACTTACGGGCAGTCATTCGGGAAGGGCTTCGTCTGGGAATGGCCAACCCAGCACGTCTCACGCGGATTGTGCCTCGGGACAGCAAGGGCTTGACTGTGAGTGGATTTTATCTCCCCCCTGGCACGAAAGTAGGCGCAGCGGCCTATGTTTTCCATCATAACCCTCAGACATATCCTGCTCCATTTGAATTTCAGCCGCAACGATGGTTGCCTCAGGGTATCGATAGGACGGACGGCGACATGCAAGCCAGGCGCATCCAAGAACGAGACATGTTTGCGTTTGGCCTGGGAGCGCGAGCTTGTGTGGGTCGCAATCTTGCCACTCAGCAGCTGTTTGTGACGGTCAAAGCCATAGTTGAACGAGGTGTACTCGAAGGGGCAAGAACCTGTAAAGACAAGATCGAAATAATAGAATGGTTCAACGCGGAAATCATGGGGCATACATTGGAGATAGAATGGTAGAGTCGGGAGCTCAGGCCAGACAATCGTCGTCGCCTCTGCACAGCCGACCGATTACAGGATTTGTTGACTCTGATGGTGAAGTAGCTGAGGCTTTATTTCATCACCCCGAAAAGACCGCACAAGAATGAGAATCGATATCTTTCATTAGCTCTCACCAACAAAAGAACTGCGGGTGACGTGGTAAGCAGAGAGTCCATATAAAGAATGACAGAGAATATCAACCACGATGGGGAAATATAAAAGATAAAACGAAAGATATAGCACTCCTTGATTGATAATAGTCTAAGTCTTAAAACGTATCTATACACCTGTATACCCTTTCCCAGATCCAACCCAATCCCTCATCTGGCTGTACCAACTGTAGCGGGACCCTCTTTACTGGCCGTTATTATTGATCTAAGGCCTCGTTTCTTATGGTTCGATGTTCGAGTTTCAAAGTCACTGAGTTAGCTATTCCTACTACCGCCCCCATAATGTGCGATAGCTGCTGGGAGGTACACACTACATTGATGGATGCGTGTTGCAACGGTTGAGAGGGGATCTCCGACGGCTCCAAGGCTGTAAGAGGTTGACAGGCGGGGTCGCATGGCGGCAGGGACTCTAATGATGACAACAGTGCGACGGGATTGGTGTCTTTGCGGGCAACCTGCGGTTGGTTGTCAAGTGGCCTAATGCCTGCATTATGTGCCGGCATTATCTGACCAGGGGGGTAGATTGCCGAAAGATCTGACGGGGGGTATGCGTGAGCCACTGGAAATCATCCGACTTGTCAGCTGCAGGAACATGCGATTTCATGCAACAACTACCGGGGGGGGGGGGGGGCTCTCACCGTTCATGAAATTCTCTCGGTCAGGTATCGTGAAAGAAGAAGCAGCGGCGGCGGCGGCGGCGGGTGGGTGTAGAGTGGCCAGCATTGTATCCAGGCTGGTATGATGGTCATAGTTACCCAAGTCCAGGTCAGTGTCAAAGGGAACCGTAAATTCCGGGGTGGAGCTAAGCTTCGAGGCCTGATATACAGGATACTGTGCATACTCCGGCAAGGCTAGAGAAGGGGATGACAGGTCCTGCAGCTCCATCAAGTCCGCGTTTGAGCCTGTGACAGACGAAAAATGGTCTTCGTCGGAGGTTTTGAGATCATCACTGTCATCAAGATCAATTTGAGCATAGTTGCCGTCATCTTCATCGTCCTCCATCCCCCCCTTTACTGCCACCGAAGACCTTCGTTGACCCTTTTGTCGGCTAAGGGAGGCGGTCAAATGGCGACCTTTCGGATTACAACTACTCTGTCTATTATTGTTGGATATCTTTTTGCGCAACGCATTGTACCGATTCCTAAGCGCGAGAGTGGTTCGCGTAGGAAGATGTTTAGCAGCAATCATTGCCCAGTTCGTCCCCAGTCTCTCCGTGGCCTGCAGCAGCGTCTCGTCCTATTCTTATTTGAGCTGACCTCGTCTTGCTTGCATTTGCATCTGGGGATTCAGTTGTCGGGACTGACCTCTTGCCATGTCCAGTCACTGAAATCGATATCTGGATTCAGGGTCTGGCTCCAGTGACTCGAACACTGATCCGAGTTCCGCGTGCGGACCTCTTGGGCTACCTGCGCCCATTTTTTCCCGTGTTTTCGCACGGCGTTCCATAGTCGTTCGTCTTCCGATTCTGTCCAAAACCCCTTGGAAAGACCCCGGGCCAGGGAGTTATGCCAGCGGCGCCGACAGTCTTTGTTGCTTCGGCCCGGGATACCTTTGGCGATCTCACACCAGAGAATAGGGGAAGATTGTTCAATTGCTGCCGGGTGGGAGAGTTAGAATCACTTCCTAGGCTAAGGCCGGATGCTAGGGACTAGGGATAAACCCGACAAACCTGTCTGTACTAGCTCTCGAAGACGTGCATCCTCTTCCGGAGCCCACTTCCGACGTGCTTGCGCCATGGATACTTATCAAAGGAACAAAACGAATATTGAGTCGTATCCCGTCATGAGCAATGGTAGCTGATCCTGAGGTAAACGATGTTATAACCTCACCCATCAACGCTTTGGTGGTACCATTCCCCCCCCCCCCAAAAAAGCCCCCATCGAACAGGCGACAGGCTGAGCCGGGTCGGTTCCTCGTCATCCACATTACTCCGACGCGATATCTCACCTTCACTGTGGGATCAGTAGTATTTCCAAATGATACGGCCACGCCTCTAGCGCCCTTAATGGGCAATGGGCATAGTCCAAGGCTTAGCTCTTCCTCATCATGCAGCCGCTCTTGATAATCTAGGTAAATTATCATTGCATTCCAGACCTGAAACCGCTGGACTATCCCACATAGTGCTTGGTTAGATCGCTCGAGACTACTAAAGTAATTGGATAGATATCCCTGCTCACCCTCCAGCTCTTTCGTTTCCATAATCCGGTACAGCCCAGTCAGCACTAACTCAGGCGCAGGGGTTTGAATCCTACCGCCCCCAAGCTATGCCGATTGAGCGGAGACACGAGAGCTTTGGCCGTTATCTCATATCCATTATCGAAACAACGTGGAACTGAGAACTAACTCTTCAGTCGTAAAGCGTCTGGTCTAGTTTCTCTCTCTCTCTCTCTCTCGCGCGCGCGCAAGAAAGCAACGGAGGAGGCATCTAGCCCCTCGCTATGCCCGCCCGGGAAGAGAGGATCATAGTATAACTTGCCTAGAAGTGTTGATTGAGTATCTCGTTAGGCATGATGATGTGTCTCGCTCGCTCCAAGCTGAGGGTCCAACATCTTTCACGTGGCAGGCTCGGATATTGTGGTGAACATCGCCAATGACTTTAGGTAGGGGTTTTTAGGGTCTAGAATGGTACAGCCCGGAGTATATAGCGATATCTTTGCCGGAATATGCGCGCTTCATTCGTCCTTTTCAGCCCCCAGAGTCTAGTTGCCACCAAATCGGCCTCCTTCGTATTATGCAGTCTTCAGTATGGCTAGCGCATCGTGGTAGAGGGCCTAGCTCTAGCAGCATGGGATTCTTCACCTAGAAGAGACGGACCAGAGGATGGGTCAATTCATCTATTTACCCCTCACTTGAGGGACATTTTCCTTAAACGACATCGCCAATCAAGCAGTGACTACCATCGTAACCGAGGTCCAAGTACGTATCCTTCAGATTTAACGGGGCCCTCGATCAAAAGTGGGATTGGAATAGAATTGCAACCCAGATTCATTATTTATATCCGTGACGGTTCTCTGCGAACATTTCGACATCCGCCGCGTGGGGGAGGGGGAGGGGAGAGGCTTAATCTTAAAGCCTCTTCGAGAAATTCTACAAACCAGCGAAAGTACGAATGTGCTCAAAGATCATTATCCATAAATCAAAAATGAATTAATTCGGTGAATAAAATCAAATTCAACAGGACATCTAGATTTACGCCCTTGAATCCATCTAGTTCCTCATGGGACTTTGCATGCAACCTGACACCAAACTGACAATATATGGGTAGGGCTGGCGGTATTGAAATCCGTAAGATGATGATATTTTCCGACCCATCTTAGCTAAGATTTAATTTGAAAATACTTGGAATTAACCTATTAATATTCTAGCGTTGCCAAATAAGATAAAGCGAGTGGTCTTGGAAAAGCTAAGCACTGGAAGGATTCCGTCAGAGTGGATCTATCTCGACTTGTTAGATCGCTTCCAAGGCATCCTCCCGATGATGAATATCCATAGCAGTTTCCGTTCCGGTTGCCTTGTTTGGGGGGGAGGGCTGTGTGCAGGGGAGATGAACGTTCCAATGCATGGCCTCTTGCAAGCAAGACGTAGCAACTGCGGATCATTCACCCATGCGCAAAGTCCAGGGGGCTCCAGATCTCACGATCCAGCCACGGGCTCCATACTGAAGTACTGAGTACTCAGTAGACACGAGGTTGGCTTTAGCTTCATAATTTGTCAACGCTATTCGCTTCTGCTGGTATATCTCGGATTACTTTCGGCGTAGCCTTGATCTCGGCCTCTGCCGTGAATAATGATCGGATAATAATAAATGCACTCACCAAAAAGAGGACACAATCTGCCGAGTTTGGATGTGGTAATTCGCTTTGCCCACGTTCCGGGGGTTGGCCCGCAATGAATGGACCATCCCTCGGGGAAGGTCCCGGTAAATTACGTGTAGCGCCAGAGTTGCATGTCCAAATTGTATCATTGATTCACAGGAAGTTGGCCCATGCACATACATGACCCAGGCGCCGTTCCCGATCGCTTATACAGTATTCTTCCAACATGAGCCCCCCCCCCCCCCGGGATCTCAGCATACTAGGCACGGAAAATCCTCGGCATTAAGCACTGATAAGTCTGGAGAGTCAAATCAAAGCCCAAGATATTCAGGCAATTCCGGGAACAATAATCTTCCTTGGTGATCCGGGTATTGGCTGAAGACACTAAAATGCCGCAGGGTTCGCCGCCGGTTCCGTATATGGGGGAATGATTACGGTGTCGACGAACTTCTGCTTTTGCACGCGACGGCGCAAACTTTGTCCCCGTGAAGTGTCTTCCCTGTCTACTAGACATCGTACTCTATATGTTCTCTAAACATCAGCCAAGGGCGCGCCGCACTCACGTGGCATGGTAAGCCCCGTTCCTTCTCTTGCGTAGGCGGCTAGGTCATTATTTGTCGTGCGTTGCGTAATATGTACGGTACACCTCACTTGCTTGAGGTTAGTTGATAGTTGGCCACGCTAGTCCATGGTCGTCACGCTGAAGGATTGTCGCGTCTCCAGGCCTCCCTTGAACGCTAATATCAACCATCCCCGCAACCTCTTTACCTTCTGGGAGGAAGCTAGCCCGCTCGATCAACGCATCCCATGTGGTCTGTGCTATAGTCAGTATGATACCTCCGCAGGTGGCACTCAGGGAACAAACCCAGTCAATATCCATGTCATTGGACATGGCAAAAAGGTCTTTTTCTAGGGATAGATTGCCACTCATCCATTGGAAAGGTGGGCTAGGATCAAAGTGTGATCTTGGACTCTGGGCTTCAGAGGAGCTAGTTGCAGAAAGAGGACGAAAAGTCGAGAGCATGCCAGAGAGAATTTGATAGACTTCCCGAGCCTCATCACATGAGGTTTGCGCGTCCGCCCAGAGACCACAGGACTTCTCTAGGGTCTGTAGCAGTATGCCACTGGCAGGGGATAGTTCGGGATCGTGATCTCTCCGTCTATATTCCAACTCTAGAAAGAGTAGCATCCCGGCAAGTGTTAACATTCTTCTGGTCTGTGGGAATTTGTACCAGGATGGGTCTACAGCATGTTGGAAACCAAGCAAGGTTAAAGCTGACGAAATACATCGAGATTGGGAAAGATTGAATTGCGGGTCGATTCGGCCCTTGGCAATGAATTGCCGGTGTAGGGTACACATCCCGTAATGATACATCGACTCCAGTTGTAAGTTCGAAAAGTCGGATTTGCTGGTGAAGGGAATAAGATTACCACTTGCATCCAGAACTTTCATGTGGGGTGGGATATCTTGATATGCATTATACAGCGCCTTGTCAATTTCCAGGACGGTGTGATAAGACGTCGCATTGGGGGTATTTTGTAGATCCGGGACACGACCGAGAGCACGGAATAGGCGACCCTTGACAATCAAATAAGTAGTTTCAGTAGGCTCCGTGAGCGGTCTCGATGGTGGAAGAACGGGACTTTCGTCAGACAACTCCCAGTCATGAAGATTGCGTGGCTCTCGCGTATCTGAGTAAATCGCTGGGAACATCCGAGGGAAGCCCGCGAGAAACGAGGCAACGTCATCCATGCTGATGATAGATAACCAGACGCGCCGCCGATACTCGGCTTGTACGGGAGTGATGGAGGATGATTGGCCAGGGTCCCGATGATATCCCATATTGATCGCTGCTCGAACGATGACCCCTGTCATGATCCATAAACCCCGGCTGTTATCGTCCCTTCGGTTAAGCTCAGCGGTTGCGTTGAAGCGTAGTGTCTCCAACGTGTATGGCAAACATTTAGCGATATCACCAGTAAGCAGGCAATGTGCCGTGCGGAGGCGATAAAGTTGGAACAAGGACTCTGAGAGGCCTTCATACTCGGGCGGTTCACCGTACTGGTGGTAGGAGAGCATAACAATTCCGAGGATAGAGAACAGCAGGCCGAGCCATATGATGTTTGTCTTGGAAGGCTCTTTCCAGTGTTCCGCGTACTACGAAGAAGTCAGCCGAACGATTCATGGCTTCGGGCGGGAGTAATACCTCACGCATGAAAGTGGGCTCATGGAGAATGGCTAAGAATCTCGTGAGCTTTTCTTCACGCTAAGATGCGAATTTGCAAAGCTTACCCGGGACAGTTATAGGCAAGGTTTTCCGATCGAAGAATTGCCGGATCAGTTTATCAACTTCGGGTTTCGGCGGGAAAGTCGCTAATATCTCTATTCTTTCCATGGGCTTAACGTGCCCAAAAAGAAAGCTCGATCCATCCACAATGTTTGAAAAGCTAGGGGGGGAATCATAATCGATTGGGCTGTCTTGCGTTTGGCCCCAGACCTTCTTAAGCTCGTTGATCTAGTGTGCGGTTAATCCTGTTTCACTGAAGAGAGTAGAGAGATCGGGACTAATAATACCTCTCGCAGCACGTCATGCCAATCATCCGACCCTTTATACACCGAATGGACGCCATCAATTATGGTTGTATGCGGCGTACTGCCGGTTAAACCTGGTCCGCTGGGAATTTCCGACACCACCGGAGTCGGCATCGCCTCCGTCCGGGGCGGAATAGTATCCAAGCCTTGGGATAAGTCATATGCCGGAAGCTCTTGTTGTTGGGTTATCAGCCTCTTCACCAAATCCTCCAAGTGATCGATCCTCTGCTGCATGGGATCGCCCTGGTCCTGTGGATGGGATACCGGGGGGGTGGCGACTTTGGAACCTCTGTATCTGCAGTTGATTGCTTCATTGCGCGTAACACAGTTCTGGCAGGGCTGTTCGCGGTTGCATTTCAGTCTAACTCAGTCAGCGCTCATCGTACAAAGATTCCAGATGTCTAGCGGCGACGCACTTTCTAGTACGGCAGGGATCACATGATAGAGGTACACGAGAGCGTCGAGCAGGCTTGTAAGATTTCTTAACTCCCTGAGGCTGCATCACAAAGAAAAGAGAGAAAAACGCGAGGCTTCTGGGTGATATCTATCTGGAGAGGGGGGGTTGGGATAACGGGGAGCTGGGTGGAATCCATCGGACCGGATTTACCCAGAAGCCGCCTCACCCTCTTGTCCGGATAACTATACAGTGTTGAGTACTAACGAATAAACTATTCAACTACTCGAAATATCAATCAGGAGGGAGTGTTTATAGTCATCCTCCATGCTTCTAGTATTTCTCGTGTGCCTTGTAGTTTTACCACGAAAGTGAGTCCTCAAAAGTTGGTCATCCCCAAAACAAACCCTAAGTATGTATGTAGTTGAACCCCTATGTTGCAGGCAAGACGGTTTAAATCTCTTGAGATTTGGTCTTCTATTATCCTAAACTAGGCGCAGCCAATATAATAAATATCATCACATACAGGGTTACTGCACCACTATAGTTAGGGGTGAGAACGAGTGATAGTTAGGCTTGACTGCGCTTGATTACATATATATTATGTATGTATAGTTATATATATATATTGAAACTCATACTCAGTAACCAAACTCCAACTAGATCCTTTATTTTCAAAGTAATCCGGTTTTCCATCATCTAAACCTCAGTAGAGAGAGTTAACTTGCTGTCTAGGTTTGTTCAGATCAAGAAAGATACTATCATGCCAATCTTATATCCGCTTTAAACACTAATACTTAAGCATCTCCTAGACAGGGGTAGGTTCTTTTATATAAAATAAAGTGATAGAAATTAGGATTATTCACCAAATAGGAAGTTTAGATTGCTCTATAGTTTTATATGTGTAGCTTCAATATGGGGTGGGCGTCTTAAATCCTCGAGCTCCTAGTGTCACTCTTTTCACCACTTTTCTACTACCTGGATACTTGCAAAGAATATATACAACATTCTCATAACCTCGACATAGCAAGTAATAAAGTAACAGTAGCTTGGTTTCCACCTATCTTACATATCCATCTGACCAGGGTGGCTACATCTCCTTGTACATAATCTACAAGCCTCAACAACATCACTTCGCGGAGGCAAGTTACCTATTCTTAGTACATCTGATGATCTTTGAGCACTGGTTTATGTCCGCGGAGGAGTAGGGTTTCACTGGAATGAACCCTCGAGATGGATCATATCCGTGGACTTAACAACGGAGTCTTGTATTGTTTTGTCCAAACAGATGCATGTAATACGGAGTACTCCGTCCCTTATATGGGGCGCAACTCCAATCATATCCTCGGACTACATAGGTACCTGTTAGTACGTATTTTAAATGCCTAAAAAGACCGGGATTTTTCCCCGGCGCTGGCATGTGGGCTTCCGTGTTTAGTTGCCTTCACCATGGCAGCGTGGCGATGAGAGGCGTCGACTAAGAAAACACCGGCATCCACAATCGGATACGGATGTAACGGGAACTAAGGAGAAATTTGGCATTAATTTATGTAATTCTACGTAGTCAAATCCGCGGGAGATCCGAGCCGGTTAATGATGTTTATTTGAATGGCTCTTGATAATACATAACCCCTTTTATGGAAACTACCTAAAACAAGACTACGGAGTAGAGAAGAATAAATTCCGGATGATCATGCGCGTGTTCCATCGCTTAATTTAACCCGCAGCATTCAAGTCTCTGCGGCTGGAGGACTAGTGTCTTCTTTCCTGAGACGTACCCATCCCATCCCAGTGGCAGATAAGAATGCTCCGCACGCAGCGCCGGTGGCGAGGTACATGACATGATTGAATGTTTTGCTGTATGCTAACAGCACACCTGGGAGGAAAGCGGGCGCCACGGCGGCGCGCACATCGGCTGCAGAAGCACCGGCCGCAACCACCGCATCAGCGTCCACCCCCTGAGCGTAGATTCCCAGCTCGTGTTTAAGCTGGTTATTGAAGATCACCTCGGCCAATGACAAAAATACAGCACCGCTAAGATTCTGCGAGAAGACGACCAGGGCGGCCGCGACAGAGATCTCCTTTTTTCGTACCCCATTCTGCACCGCGAGGATTGGGATCTGGAAGCCGAAGCCTTGTCCACCTTGAATGATCTGGTATCCTATCCGATGGGCGACAGATGACGTTGGTGTAACTGTAGTGATGAGCCCAGACCCGAGAGCTGTGAAGACCCCACTGGCCAATGCGAAGGGCATGTAATAGCCTACTCGTCCCACTAGTGACAGTTCAGCATTTGCCTACCTATCTAGGTACGGCTTGTGAGAATGCAAACTCCACATACCTAATGCTCCAGTCACGATGGTCAGAATCATATTGGTGATGATTTGGGGAAGCATGTCAACACCACTTTGGGTCGGGCTTGCATCTCGCACCGCTTGGAAGTAAATGGGGAAATAGTAGGTGGTGGTGAACGCGCAGCCGACAAAGCACGCCATGTTCAGGCAGCTGCTCCATATAATGCGCCTTCGGACGAGGGAGAGTGGAATCATGGCTTCGTCGCCCAGGCGATGTTCCCATAGCAGGAAAACAAGTAGATTCCCAAACGAGCCGCAGAAGAGGCCGATAATTGTCGCACTGCCCCAGGCGAACTTGGACCCCCCCCACTGCAACGCAAAGATTAACATAATCGTCGCTGGGGTAAATAAAAGAAATCCAATGAAATCCAGTCTCCCCAGCCGTTGAATCACAGTTTGCTTTCTATCGCCCGCGATTCGATAATCCGGAATCGGCACCACGAGCAGGAAGAGAGCTACAATGACACCGCAGGGTAAGTTGATTAAAAAACCTATCATGGAACAGAATCAGATCGCGTCATTTGAATTTGACCAGTCAAGCCGGGGGGAGGGGGCAAAAGTACACCATCGCCAACTTGCATATTGGGTCAATGCACCTCCAACCAAAGGACCAGCTAGCAGACCAAAGAATGAGAGGCCCATCAGGATCCCGCGGTATGCTGTTAAAAAAAAAAAAAAAAAAAAAGAGGGCACCCTCATGGTTAGCTACAGTATCTTGACAAATGGGTCTGGGCTTCCGTACAGGGTTGCTTAGCCACAGGCAAGATTGAAGCTATGATCGTGTAACTTCCGTTCAGGAGCCCCGATGCTCCCAAACCGGCGATCGCTCGTCCAACAATGAGCATTTTCGACGAATTAGCACCACCGCAGAGCGCAGATCCTACTTCAAAAAGGGCGAAAAACACTAGATATGACCACTTTGCAACTTGGGGTCAGATATATACGGTTTGCTGGTGGGAAATGATTTGAAGAGAACGTACTTTGACGTTAAAATGGGAATAGACTTTGCCAGTAAGAGGCTGGAAAGCGCAACTAGACCGTGGCGCGTTAAAAAAAAAAAAGTATCACAGGTGTTATATCAGCACTCACTTCGCCGTAAGATATGCCGTTCCGTACCATCCGACATCATCCAGGGAGTGGAATTGGCCTGTGATTCGGGGAATCGCCTGTGGGATACAGATTTAGCGATGCTGTGAAAATCAATCAATATACAGACGTGGGAATGCAGGTCCTAACCGTAGCTATGATCGAGGAATCCAGAAGCATCAAGAAAGCTCCTAATGTTAGACTCAACATCACCGCTGCTAGCCTCAGACCGGAAAGATAGCCATGTTCCTCGCCTTGCTCAGGAAGAGTACTGTCTGTGTCACCCACTTCGCCTTCCTTTGAATCTGCGGTATTGTTTGGCATGGGAGAAAGGATTGGTTCTTTCCCTTCGTTTAGATATATCGAGTCACCCGTATTCATGATATCTGAGTTTGAGTTTTCCGAGATTTCCATGTTGATCCGTTGCGACTGCCCTCGTTCTGCTCCTGGGAGTAGGAGCTATGGATTGATTCCCTTCGAGATCGAAGGAACTATATTCATCTGTTTCAGTCGCGCCGATCGCGTAAGAATCTAGCGAGCGCCCTCACAACTTGCCAACCTTTTCCAGAGCTGCGATCTTCAGTAAGACGCTGGGGCTATATGTACGCCGGGTGAATTCCATGGCTGAATCTCAAGCTGCGGGCTCCGATGCAGGCATGTGGAGAGCGCTCTTTAGTACCCCGAGTACGGCCATAAATCTCGCCTCGTTCCTGGCCAACTGCCTGCTGGTGTATTTACACCAGACAATGAAACTAAGCCGCGGGTGGTCGAGACTTCCAGCCCCAGCCGTCGCCGGCTAGTAACTAATCTCAGCAATGTTCGTCAGACGGCTGAGGCATCTTCATTTCCACGGCGCCCCTGCGGACTTAAGCCATGCTTCTCCACGGCTCCATGGGCCTGCATTGTGTTAATTCCGATTAGGCTAGATGCTGCGCCCGTACGAAGAATGGACTGGACGCGGAAGAGTCGTTTGCGCAAAAGCTTAGTCTTCCCTCCGTTGTTGCTTGTATACGAGATGTGGGGCTGACTTGCTGAGCCGATTAACATCCATCTGTTCTTCTGTTAAATTGTAAATCATCGCTGCTCACGGTCTGTGCTCTGGATATGTGGTTGGATTTCGTCTCCTCTCTTTGACTTGCGATCTGTCGGTGCCTTCATCCAGAATTTCACGACTAGATCCAGCCTCGCGAACAATCATGAGGAGAATTAGAAGTAACTGGACCCCGAGAGAGGACGCTATTCTTCGCGATCTTGTTCACAAAGGTAGGTGGTGATCCATGAGAGCCTCATCCCACACGGCACTGCTGTCCCTCTGTATCCCCAATGTACATTTTGATTCTGAACTCGCCCAGAGCTGGAAAATTCCCGTCCCCTTCTATGGCGCGAATTAGCTAAACACCTACCGGGCCGCTCGAATAAGGACTGCCGCAGAAGATGGTGGAACAGCCTGGCAGGGGGAACTGTGAAAGGGCCATGGTCCCATGAAGAGCATACTCGGTTGATTGAAGGTGTATGTAAACATGGCACCAATTGGGATCAAGTTGCTGCTGTGGTTGGTTCCAGGCGTGCCGAACAGTGCTCGATTCGCTGGGCCGAGGTATCGACTTCGGACTGCAACTACCCCACCTGGACGACACAAGAGGTTCGCTAAGATGCTTCAACGCTGGATCCAATTATCCCGGGTGGCAAGGCTAATACGATGGGGGTGTTAGGACGAGCGGTTGCTACACGCGGTGCTCTCATACGGCACCGACTGGTCCACCATCGCGGCGTCACACAAACCACAAAGAACTATCATTGCACTGGAAAACCGGTACTTGCAGCTGCGCCTTCGACATCAGAATCTCAATGCACATGAAAAATACTCCCTAACTCAGCTACCCGCGACTGTTTCCCCAGAAAGATTGACAAGCAAAAATGGGAAGAACTGTATACCGCCCAATAAGCTGGACAGCCAATGCATCATCACAGAAGATGAAGGGCGGCCCGCGGACGAAAATGAAGAAACTGACGCCCGAAAGAGTCAGGGCAATTATGTCCAAGCTAAAGGCGAGGTGAAACCTTTGCGGAAGCGCAGGGATTCTAACTGTCCGTCTGGTACGGATATGTCGTCACTGAGTCCCGATGAGATGTTAAGAAACATTCCTAGCCCTGAAAGTTCACCTGGGAGCAAGAGACAGCTGAGTTGTGGCAGCCAACCGTGGATGGATGATATGATGGGCCAAATGATCAGTGGTGAAACTGTGTCACCGGTATACTTTGGCGAAGGCTTCTTTGGTGCTACTCCCCAAGGTAGTGAGGAGGACACGAGCATGTCGTTCGGGGTTCATGGTAGGTGGTTTTGGTTAACCGCAGTGAATCTGGCTAAGCTTTTTGCAGATGACGACGAAGATGAGCAATCCCAGGAATTAAAGAGAGCCCTCTTCCCGGAATGTGAAATGCCTGACAGCTTTAGCCCGACTCCAGGATATCTGTTGACTCCCGGAGGATCGTTGTCATGGATGGATGGTACAACTCTCAGCCACCAGAGCTCTATAAAGGGAACAACGATGGATATGGATGTTTCAGAGTCTCTGCTGTACCAAGTTTCAATTGACCTGTCATGCACAGCCGACCAATTGAGCAATATCATGACTCGACTAGCTAGTACCGGGTCAGCTGTAAATGTCAAGATCGACACATGTTAGACTCATTAGAGGAATGAATGAGACCGTATATTTTAGGTTTAGTTGACATGCACTCCCAGATGGTGGGAGATTAGGGAACTTTACTTGAATAGATTGACTGCCGTATTGCCAAATAGTTTAAGAAGTCCAGACGCTCTCACTACCTCATATCATAATGCGATTCTAACCCTAAATCTTAAAAGGCTGCGGGACTGCCGACGAGGAGGAAAACCCCTGCGTCAGAAATTCAAACATAGCACCGCAGGAGTTACTTAGATGTGGTAATGTTTGTTGTCATAACAAATGTTATTCTTCCGTCTAAAATACGCAGATCTCATGTAGCCTAATGCAGTGCGTCCTCGAAATCTTTACAGAAAAGCCACCGGGTCTCTGAACGCAGACCCTTTGCTTTCCAATCATTGATTGGCCGCGGAAATAAATCTAGACTTTCTTTGATCGATTCATCATGGGCGAGAATAATGAAAATATTGTCTGCCGCGTCTAGCTCTTCAATCTTTCGCACCGTATCCAATGCCACGTCGTATTCGGGAAAAAGAACAGGTGAGAGGGTAAAGAATGGCTCTGTGGCGTTGCCATGAGGCTGGAGACCCTGTAGCATCTCCCCAGGACATATATGTGGATATTTCCTCACTGGTGACGGGCTAATGCCCACTGGCAGTGGCAGGTATTCGGTAGGGCGAAGAACACCGGGATGATGGCACGCGTCCGCTCCCATAAAAACAAATGAACTATTGTCCGAATCTCCATCAGGGCCGGCCGTGACTCGTGCCAGCGCACAAAGGTGTCCTAGGGAATGACCGGGTGCATCTAGAAGGTAGAAAGAGCCATCGCCAAAATAATCAAAGGCGTTAAAGCGGCCAATTTTGCATATCTGGGGCGAGTCGGCGGCGAAATCAATCTCTCTCACCTTGCGACCTTGGATATCGCTATCCAGAACGAGTGAGTCTGGATTGGACGGATATGCTGGCCAGCAGAATGCCTTCACCCCCGGACCAAGCACCAGGTCGGTAGATGGAGGGAACGTGGATGGATCCCCAATATGGTCAAAGTGATGATGGGACCAAATTACGGCTTCAATATCCTTACTGCGAACTGCCGGTCCTGGGCCTACCCAGTCCTCATGGGAATCTAAGATCTCCGAGACATTCTTCTCTGTTTTGACTTGAGTAGTGCGACGAATAAGGTCGACCGTCTTTGGAGCATAGTTATCCCAGTCACGGCGCACTCCCAAGTCGAAGAGGACATGTCGATCTCCGTTCGAAACGAGAAAGCAGTAGATAGGTACGTTTATTCCATTGAAGCCTTTCACCTCTGGCTGCCAGAACAGTGGTGGATTCAAAAATAACGAAGTTGTCCTGAGTAAAGATGACCGGATAAGTGCTTTTGTAATATCAAGAAGGGAGATTGGCTAAGGGCCTTACGAGTCGATTACTCGCACCGTCACAGTGGATGACGAGGATGGGATATGCAGTTGTGGTGGCGTCTTAGGCCGCGCTAGGAATAGAGAAGAAGACATTGTGCTGTATCATTCGATTACTCACAAACAGACTAGACGAGGAAGGTCCCATAGGATATTTAAACTATTTACCTGGCCTTTTTGCACAAAGAGGCCAGGCTGAACGAACTGGTTATGGGTTGGGGGAAGTATTTGACCCACATGGTTATGACAACTACATTCTCCATGCATCCTCTCAACCATTCATGAATTACTGGAATATGGGATTCAAAGGGTAATTGTCCAATGTTGATTGATCCTTCTGGACGGTGACAATGACTAAAAGCACCGTGTAAGCAGCAGTGGACGTGTCTGTTGGGTTGGCACACGGGGGATTTACTCGGTGCCGCCTAAGCCCGGAGTTGTATAGTAAGATATAGCGACGTGGCGTAAGCTCACAGTATCAAGACTTACTTGGTTATCGTTTCTGCAGAATCTTGGAAAACCATCCAGGATATCCGAACGAGACGCTTAAGCATAGTAGAGCCTCGCTCTTACCGAAAGCAAAACATTCGTCAGCGTGCTTGAAACGGCGCTACTTCTCTAGAACTGCCGGGACATGGAGGAGATATTGCCCCAGACCTGGCATTTCTTGTCCGGATGGATAAGAAAATTCATCAAGCCCGCCTGGCTATAATTTAACAACGGTCATGTTGAGGTCACGCTTTATATATTCCTTGTATTGAAGAGACGGTGTGGTTCATTTTGATAGCTGCATCTGGATAAAGATTGAAAAACGGCCCCCCCTCCTCAGGCTAAAATCCAATGGAAACGTCTTCAGATCATATATTCGATCTTTCACTTACTCATCCTCATGATAGTCTGCCCCATCCGTGGTGAGATTAGGCAGCATGATAATCTACTGTTGCAGCCTCTGCTTGACCTTGACGTCCATTCCGTACTGTCGAAAGAACCATGAGTTCTCAACCTTGTATCTCTTGGCATCAACCAGTTCAAACTGAAGTTATTAGCTTTCATCAATGACAGGCCATTTGTCTATAGTTTGGATGCGTACCTCATATCGAAGGAGCAAAGCTGGGACAATCTTTTTCAGTTCTAGGAGAGCGACGTGACGTCCGAGGCAGACACGTCTCCCAGCACCAAACTGCGATACGGCTTCTGTTAGCAAGTGACATCGAAGTGATTGTATGCCCGGGAGAACGAGCCACTGGCATAATAGTAGAAACAGGTACTTACGGTCATTACGCTTGCTTCAAGCTTTCGCTTTTTCTCCTCTGGTACCATCCACCGGTCCGGGTTCCATATCTCCGCATCTTCGCCGAAGGTTGGCTTGTGGCGATTCACCACATAGGGGCTCATTCCGACCACAGTGCCTTGCGGGAAATACTGGCCACCGATCACAATTCCTCCCTTGGGAACGACCCGCTCAAAAGGGAGGCAGAAAGGTGGGTGTAACCGGATACCCTCGAGGACGCAGGCATCGAGATAAGGCAAGTCACATACGTCCTTCCAAGAGGGGAATGGTTTCGAAAAGCCACCGGACTTCTTAGATTCTGCCTCGAGTAACTCGGCCCGGAGTCGATTCAGTGTATCTGGGTAAGCTAGAAGGTTATACCAAACGGTCTTCATTACAACAGCGGTAGAATCCGACCCAGCGATCACATTCGAGAAAGTCCAGGCAGTGACACACCTTGCTACAATGTCAATTGCTTGCTGCTTGCAATGTTCAGAGGGCTATCAGCGTACCAGGGTGGGAGAGAAGAGTTCGTGGCTTGGATTTCGAAGAAGTGAGACAACATGTCTCGATCGCCCAAGTCTTTATCGATACCCTTCTGAGACTTACGTGCCTCTTGTCGTTCCGCGATATATTTTCCTACGATTCCAAGGATTGAGAAACCAGTAGTCTTTTGAAACATGGCCATGAATGAATTCTTTTGCCATACTTCATCAAACCATGGAATTTGCGTCATCTGGCAAGGTCAACCACGTTATTTCCGCCGGCCGTCTGTCTCTCCGAGAGGTTCCTGAGTGACACATACCGGTGCTGCCCTACTCATGTAGCTCCAAATGGTACTCAACATGTCATTAACATCGCGTCCTTGCTCCAGAAATCCGTATCTCTTCGAAAAGGTCAAAGTGCCCATAACGTCAAATGCGAAGTACTGTAACCAGTCGGCCAGGTCAAAGGTAGCCTCTGAGTCAACAAACCGCCGATCTAGTTGCTCTGTCATTACGGCGATCGTTTTATTGACAAAGATCTCCAACGGCAAGACATTGGATAGAGAGAAGAGCGGTGCAATGGGCGACTTGATTCGCTTATGGAGCTCTTCATCACGGGTATTGAAGACCGCGGGCAGCGCTCCTCCCTTTTTCGTGTACGGCATTAGAGTCCTATAGAAGTTGCTCTGTTCAATAACTAATTAGTATTGGCGCCGCGGGATTTGATTTTCACAATGGCCACATGATGCAAGCTTGCCTTTGGAAATCCTGGTCGAATTGGATATACTGTAGGAATCCACTCGGGATTTGCAAGAGAAACCATATTGGGACCGAATTGCACAATCTCGCCATACTTTTCATGCACCGCTTGATGAATTTCATGTGCACGCTTGGTGTTCACCCATGAGATTCGCTGCAAGTTTGTAAACCTTGCCCAGAATGGGCCGGGGACATGTCTCAGTCTCCAGTAAACCCCGAAGAGATGCAAGACAATACAGAATGCGGCTAGTCCGAGGACAACCTGGGCAGTGAATAGCCCTTTGGAAGAAAGTAAACCAACAGAAAGGTCCATCATTTCCCTTGGTCTCTGGTCGTAGTTCCGTTGAGAGCAATACTGGTCTGAATAAGCACTCGGGGAGCGTCTCCCGCAAAATCAGCCCAGAGAAAAGGGAAAAGAAAAGGGAAGGAAAGCAAGCAACGGTATAGGGCAGCCTTATGTGTCTTAGGTTTCTGGAGTACCGCTGGTCCTTTATGGTCCACCGCTGAGGTATAATTTTTACAATCCCAAGGCAACTTATCCGGCTTGAATCGCATGGCCTGACTACCTCGTCATCTCGTCGACCCAACCACAGGAAAAAGACAGGCATGGCCGACAGGTGCTCCAAAGTGAGTCCTACATTATGCACGTGGCTGATTGGAGACCGAGAGCACTGAGTATACTCGGAGTGATGGAGTCACTCTAATACACTAGGGTGCATAAGCCCTTGAGTTGACGGGTCCTTTGAGCCCTGAGTAGATCTTTCGGCACCAAGTACCGTCGTCGGAGACGCAGTCCCTGCGAGAGACGAAGTACCATGCATGCATTGAATACGCTCTGAGTCTATTTGAATTTAACGCTTGCTACAACATTAAGACGATCCGAACGCTATTTTTCCTGTACTATGGCCCTTTTTTGCCTATAGCTTCGCCACTGCTTCAGAATACCCCCGGGCGATTGCCTTGCTTTACCGTGGAATACCATAGATTCAACATCAGTTTCTTTTCTGTTCTTTTCTTCTTTTTTTCATCTCTTACCCAGTATTATTCCTCTATCAGGACTTTCAAGATGTCTGTGACCAATTTAAGGAAATCCCTTTTGTTGATCGGCCCTCAGAGATCTCGAGTTACTGCCAAAGCCCTGAGTGAACTTCGGTCGACAATCATCAACACTCCCCGATTGGCGTTCCTTCAAGCTGCGATTAATGAACTGCCGTCAGTATGGCCAACAATCATTGAAGCCTATCCAGCGCTCGAGAAAGTTCACGGTGACAAAACCCTTCAGACCCTGCAGCAGATCTTCAAGGGCGGCGAGTTGGAGAATCTAGACATGTTTCCGGAGGGTATGGGTAGTATGCTATTTGATGTCATTACCGTCCTTTATCATGTCGTCGACCTCTGGGAGCTTGTAACAGGGGAAGTTCAGAGCAGTATACTGCCTAACACCTCAACGAAATGTGACAGAACGTTAGGAGACGTTCAGGGGTTCTGCATCGGATTTTTGACCGCTGCGGCTGTTTCCGGTTCCAAGAACCTGGCCGAGTTAGAGAAGCACATTGCAGTGGCCCTGAGACTTGCGGTTTGTGCCGGAGCTCTGGTGGAATTAGACAGCCTTAAACTGGGTGCCTCTCAAAATCGAGCAGTGTCGTTCTCAGTGAGTTGGAACTCCGAGGCGGATCACCAGGAGTTTACGGGCATTCTTAGCCTTTGGCCTGATGTGAGTATAGCATTCAAGGCTCTTTACCACTAAGAGACGCTGACTCACGACAAAATAGGCCTATGTATCTTGTTTGACTGATACAAACCGTGTTACTGTGACTGTCCCCACGAGCGAAGCGAGTTCCCTGGAACAAAAACTATCCGCCATCGGCATGTCGGTTCAGCCTATCAGCCTCCAGGGACGATATCATTTCGAGTCCGCCCACGGAGACGGAGTTCGCGCTTTGAAAGCGCTTTGTGAAGGAAATCCCAGCTTTCAGCTTCCAAACTCTGCAGAGCTTCAGCTCCCACTGAGGTCCAATGTTGATGGTGGCCTCATTTCCACTGGCACATTGCATGATATTGCCCTGGAGTCCATTCTTTTACGCCAGTGCCAATGGTACCAAACCGTCCAGGCGGCCATTACTTCCTCGGCCATCGCAGCAGATGATATTCTTCCTGTAGGTCCCGAGGCCACAATTCCCCGTTCAGTGGCCAAATCTCCATTGTCGAAAAGCAAACCCAACGGGGTTACAAATGGTATTGGACATGAACTGAAGAATGGGTCTGGGGCGGAAGATGGAGTTAATGCACTGGACAATGCTGCGACTTTGCAGGATACATCTGCCGTTGCCGTGGTTGGTATGGCCTGCCGATACCCTAACGCAGACACCCTGGAGGAATTCTGGAAAATGATCTGTGCAGGAGAGTCCGCTGTTCGGACGATTCCTGAGGATCGATTTAAGCTCTCCGAAACTGCCCGTGAACCCAAGGGCACTTTCTGGGGCAACTTTCTCCGCAACCCAGACGTATTCGACAATCGATTTTTCGGTATCTCCGGCCGCGAGGCCAAGTACATGGATCCCCAACAGCGCCTGGTGCTTCAGGTGGCATATGAAGCGCTGGAATCAGCCGGTTACTTTGGACTAAAGTCCTCCCCTGACAAATCCTCGTTGGATGTCGGATGTTATCTCGGTGTCGGCTCGGTTGACTATGGCGATAATATTGCATCCCATGATGCCTCCGCTTTCTCCGCTCTCGGAAGCTTGCGAGCCTTTATTAGTGGACGCGTGAGTCATTATTTTGGATGGAGTGGACCATCAATCACCTACGATACGGCCTGCTCTTCAGGTGCCGTTGCTATTCATGCGGCTGTTAATGTAAGCCTACTTGCTCGGATCTGACAGCTGAGATTTTCATGAATTCCTTCCTTCTTCAAAGCTAACAATGCATGTTTCCATAGGCAATCAGAGCCCAAGAGTGCTCTATGGCTCTTGCTGGTGGTGTTAATGTGATAACCAGCCCAGCCCTGTTCCAGAACCTAGCCGCTGCATCATTTTTGAGCCCGACAGGGGCCTCGAAAGCATTTGATGCCGGAGCCAATGGTTACTGTCGTGGAGAGGGGGCTGGCTTGGTGCTCCTGAAGCCACTGGCAAGAGCACTTGCGGATGGTGACTCTGTGCTTGCCGTTATCACTGGTTCTGCCGTCAACCAAGGAGCCAATTGCTCGCCGATTACCGTCCCGGTATCCGAGTCCCAAAGTGCCCTCTACCGCAAGGCCTTGGATATATCTGGAATTGATCCTAAAGAAGTCAGTTTCGTAGAGGCACACGGTACAGGTAGGCAACGCTTTTTTATTATTATTACCATTCATCTATCACCCACTGTCTTACTCCCGAGAGCTATTATATTGAAGTTATACTGACTGTCTGGGCGGCAAAAGGTACACCAGTCGGCGACCCAATTGAGTGTGAGAGCATCCGCCGTACTTTTGGAGGGCCGGACCGCACTAGCCAGCTATATATTGGATCTGTCAAGGATAATATCGGACACACTGAAGCCGCTTCAGGGGCCGCTGCGCTTATTAAAACGATCATGATGATGCAAAAGCGAGTCGTGCCCAAACAAGCCAACTTCACTCGCCTTAACCCGAAGATCACCTCGCTGGAGGAAGACCGTGTAGCTGTTTCCCAGAATACCCAGCCGTGGGACGTTGCCACACGTATCGCAGTGGTTAACAACTACGGAGCGGCTGGAAGCAATGCCGCGATTGTGTTACGGGAGCCAGCCTCGGAGGAAAACAACGTGCCTGCCCAGGGCACCACTGCTCCCCATCTTGTTGAAGCCGAAATTCCCTTCTTTATTTCCGCGAAAACTGCAGAAAGCCTGCAGGAGTACTGCAGGGTTCTGAAAGGCAGCTTGGCGAGTATTGAAGACGCTCAACGAGCCAGAGCAACTTGGACTCTTGCGTACAACTTGGCCGTCAAACAGAATCGGGATTTTGACTATAATTACGCATTCACTGCCTCAAACCTCGCTGAGGTTGCTACGAAGCTCGATCAAGCTACGACCACCACGCTGAACAAGCTCCCCTCAACCAAGCGTTCCGTTGTCCTTTGCATCGGTGGTCAAAACGGCCAAACTGTTCACTTGGATGAGACTATGCTTCGCAGTAGTAAGCTTTTAGAGAAACACCTGGTAAGTTATGGCCTTGAACTATGCACAAAATTCCGAGGGCTAATATCCAATCTTAGAATGACTGTGACAGAACATGCCACAGCCTGGGCCTACCCAGTTTGTTTCCCGCAATTTTCAAGGGGGAACCTGTTGATGATCTAGTGAGCTTGCACTGCATGCTCTTTTCACTACAGTATGCCAGCGCCAAATCATGGCTCGATTCCGGACTGCAGGTCGACACCATAGTTGGCCATAGTTTCGGCCAGCTCACGGCTTTGGCAGTTGCAGGCGCGCTCTCTCTTTCAGACGGCCTGCGTGTGATCTCAGAACGTGCCCGCCTCATTCAATCATCTTGGGGAAATGAAGCTGGCGCCATGCTGTCTGTGCAGGGCGAGAAGGGAAAACTTCAACACCTCATGGACACGACCAAGTCAAAGTATCCGGAATTTACTGCAGACATTGCCTGTTACAACGGGCCTAGTTCGGTTGTCTTAGCTGGAGACCGGGCATCCCTCAATGCAGTTGAGCAGGTGGCCGACCTGGAAGGACTGTCTGATTCACTGAAGCTAACGCGACTACCCAATACACATGCCTTCCATTCCAGTCTTATGGATGGTATTCTTCCCGGTCTACGCGAAGTTGCAGCAACCCTTACTTTTAAGCGCCCCGCTATTCATATCGAGGCTTGCTCTCAGGACCAGGATTGGAACGATTTAATCACTGCGGACATGCTTGTTCAGCACAGTCGAGACCCAGTTTATTTTGACCTTGCGGTCAAAAGAATTGCAGACCGGCTGGGATCCTGCGTCTTTGTGGAGGCTGGATCGGCATCACCCATTGTCCCTATGGCACGGCGAGCTTTGATGGATATGAAAAATGAGGGTGAACATACCTTTATTCCCGTCGATATTGGACCCCCGAATGCACTCAGCAAATTCGCAGGAGCAACGTGCAATCTGTGGAGTGCCGGGGTTAAAGCCCAGTACTGGCCTTTCCACCACAGCCAGAAAGCCCCATCGACCTGGATTAATCTCCCACCTTATCAATTTGAGAACACTGCACATTGGATGCCGTATATTGAACGCAATGTAACCATTCCAGAGCCGACTCCAGTGGTTGTGAAGGCAGAGCCACTCCAGCTCCTTGATCTGCTTGAACGCACGCAGCAGAGCATTAAATTCCGAGTGAATTGCATGCACGAAATGTTCGAGCTTTGCACCACAGGCCATGCAGTCCTGGGCCAAAGCCTGTGCCCCGCATCCATGTATGTGGAAATTGCAGTCCGGGCAGCCAATGTACTCGCTTTCGGGAAGGGTTCTTCTATCGCGCCGCGCGTTCGAGACCTGAAGATATCCTCTCCATTATCCATCAAGACAGACCAGACTGTGCTCCTCCAGTTGGTACCCATCACCACAGAACAGGATACCTGGGAATTTACCGTCATGAGCCCCGGCCCTCTGGCGGGAGGACATTTGACAAGACATGCGACAGGAACTGTTTCTTTGATCCAGTCGGATAGATATTTCCAGGCCTCTAGAATGCAATTTCTTGAGCGCATTATTGGACAGAATAAATACGAGCATCTGCTCAACACCCCTGGCTCCAACGCGCTCAACGGCAAGATCGTGTACCAGGTCTTTGGCCAGGTCGTCGACTATGCCCCTTATTACCGAGGTGTGAAGGAGATTGTGTCGCAGAACAACCAAGCTGTAGGAGTCGTGGCGCTTCCCAGCAACCAGATAGCCGTGATGAACGAGGCAAACTGTGACCCAATAACGCTGGATAACTTCCTTCAGGTTGCAGGAATCCATGTTAATTGTCTGACTGAACGGAACGAGGATGAAGTATTCATCTGCACTGAGCTTGGGGAACTATTCCTGAGCGACAAGTTCCTGGCCAAACGACGCGAAATTCAGACATGGAATGTCTATTCATCTTTTGAAAAGAGTTCCGGCAAGACTTTGGTTAACGATATCTTTGTTTTTGATCCGCAAACCGGCGATCTGCTCGTTGTTTTCCTCGGTGCTATTTTCCAAGCGGTCCCTCTCAAGTCTCTCGCGAGGACTCTGGCAAAGCTGAACAGTTCCGCCAGCCCGGCAGACCCTGAAAGCCACCCCAGGACAGTTCTCCCGAAACCCATTGACTCCGGACTTCAATCTGGATATCCAGTGGCTAAGGAGGAAAGAAAGATGCCGATGAATGGGGAGCCCGTGGGCAGGACCCCAGTCAACGCAGGGATCCAGAACGCAGGCGAGGAGATTCGTCAATTGCTGAGCCGAGTTATCGAAATCCCCATTGAGGACGTCCAGCCCAGCTCTAGTCTGGTGGATCTCGGAGTCGATTCCCTGATGAGTACGGATGTTCTCAATGAGATTAAGAGCCGGTTTAATGTGACAATTTCTGCTTCGGAGTTTCTCGAAATCCCAGATGTCCAGTCCCTCGCTCGCCGTCTGGGACCGGTTACGTCCATGTCACAAGTCCAGCTCCCATCTTCTCACCCGCAACAGGCTTCTGCTCCTGCTGCTGTTACTGCTGTCAGTGTGGCCCAGAAGAATATTCCCTCTGCATTTAGCCAGGTGCAGCAGTTTTTGGGCGATATCTTGGGTGTTCCAATGAGTGAAATCGCCGCAACCACCCCCCTCGGCGATCTGGGAGTCGACTCTCTCATGGCCACGGAAGTTTTGACCGAGTTGAAGAAACAGTTTGGTGTTACAATTCCGCTGGATGAGTTCCAGGACATTGAGGATGTCGGTTCACTCGCTGGACGTCTTAATTTGCAGCCTTCAGCGTCATCCGCCCCCGCGATAACCTCTCAGCAATCGAATGGGCAAGATCCAAGCGACAGGTTTGACGACGTCGGCAGCAAGAGGCCATTTGTATCCCTCACACACGAAAGTTTTGTTCAAGTTCGTCGTGAATTCGATGATATCTCAAAGTTGACCAACCTCACCGGATTTTATGAGTCCGTTTATCCTGCGCAAATGGACCTTGTCGTTACATACGTGGCGGAGGCCTTCCAATCCTTTGGATGCGCATTGGCAAATCTCGCGCCTGGCGATAAGATCCTTGATATCCAAGTGCTGAAGAAGCACCAGAAGGTGAAAAGCCAAATCTATCGCATTCTGGAAGACGCACGCATTATTCAACAAGATTCAACCGGACAATTCGTGCGAACTAGCACTGCACTTCCACAGGGTCAATCAGAACAGCTTCATCAAGCGATTATCTCTCAATACCCCCAACATGCCTACGAACATGATCTTCTTGCATCCACAGGATCGAAACTTGCCGACTGTCTCACGGGGCGTACTGATCCGTTATCCATCCTGTTTGGCAGTGCGCAGGCTCGGACGTTGATGGAGAACGTGTATACTCATGCACCTATGTTCAAGACAGGCACCATCAACCTGGCGCACTACTTGGTGGACATCTTCAATAACTTCAAAGAACGCAGGCCCATCCGCATCTTGGAGCTGGGAGCTGGCACGGGTGGAACAACAAAACACCTCATCGAAGAACTCACTGCTACCAAGCAAGAACTCGAATACACCTTCACCGATCTCTCACCGTCTTTAGTTGCAGCAGCCCGGAGGAAATTTGCCAAGTATCCTTTCATGAAGTACACCGTGTTCAATATTGAGGAGGAGCCCGCCCCCCAGTTCCTTGCTCAGTATGACATCGTGATTTCAACCAACTGCATCCACGCTACTAAGGATCTGACGCGTTCCTGCACAAATATTAACAAGGTTCTCCGTCCCAGCGGTATTCTTTGCCTGGTCGAGCTCACCCGCAATCTATTCTGGTTCGATCTGGTCTTTGGCCTGCTGGAAGGCTGGTGGCTGTTCGAAGATGGTCGTCAGCACGCTCTGGCAAACGAAAACCTATGGAGAAAGCATCTTTCTCGCTCTGGATTCCATTGGATGGACTGGACGGTGGGAGACTCAGAGGAGTCTAACCTACTCCGCGTCATCACTGCCTCGCCGTCCGACTTGGCTCAAGTTGAGACTGTCGAGTTCAAAAGAGTTGGAGATGTGGCGCTTCAGGCTGATATCTACTATCCCCCGAATACCAGCCAAGCTGTGCTTCCGGTAGGTGAGAAATTGCCATGTTGAAGAAACTGGTTCCCAGGACTTTACTAATCTGCAATGGACTTACTAGCACTAATGATCCACGGAGGTGGCCATGTTATGCTCTCACGAAAAGATATCCGTCCCGCCCAAACTCAAACTCTCCTCGATGCTGGCTTTCTCCCCGTCAGCATCGATTACCGACTGTGCCCGGAAATGACCCTGGCCGATGGCCCAATGCGCGATGTATGCGATGCGCTATCATGGTGTCGGACCGTCCTCCCGACCCTCACGCTCCAACGTCCCGATATTCGGGTTGATGGCAGCCGTGTGGTGGCCGTAGGTTGGTCGACGGGCGGTCATCTCGCCCTCACTCTTGGCTTCACCGCACCCCAAGCCGGAGTTCAAGCTCCCAACGCGATCCTGGCATTTTATTGCCCTTCGGACTATGAAGATCCATTTTGGAAGCAGCCAAATCTTCCCTTCGGCCAAGGAGCCCAACTGTCCAACGGGAGCTCGCTACAATATAACCTCTTGGAGGGTGTGTATGATCACCCGATCACCGCCTACAATCCGCCAGCAGCGAAGCGAGCGATGGGGGGCTGGATGAATCCTACTGATCCCCGTTCGCGGATCGCTCTTCATATGAACTGGAAGGGCCGCGCGCTTCACGTTCTCCTTAACGGCCTGTCTCCTCAAAAATCGAATGGGATATCCACTGACGACTACACCGATGGACTTCCTGAGCCGAGCCTGGAACAAATTCAGTCCGTGAGTCCATTGGCTCACATTCAACGCGGCGCATACCAGGTGCCAACATTTATCATCCACGGCACCAATGACGATCTGATCCCTTGGCAGCAAGCAAAGCGAACATACGATGAGCTACGGAAACACGACGTTGTCGCCGAGATTCGTATCCTGGAAGGGGCCGTGCATCTCTTCGATTTGTACCGATCATATGAAGTTGATGAGAATGCAAAGCGCGTAATCAAGGAGGGCTACGAGTTCCTTTCTCGACAGGCGGCGGCCTAAACGTGCCGCGGACGAGGTATAGAAGAGCAAACAAATCACACTCGGAAAACGATTCATAAGTAATATATAATCATAGCTAGTTCTCAAATAGCCCTTAATCATAGACAGGGAGCTAGAACCATTTTGATCTGCCCATTGATATCTTTTACCCTAGACATCGGCGAGACCGTGAAGAAAGACACCGAGTGATCAACCCTTCTCCCAAGTTGTAGTAGGCATAGTCACGCTCGCAAGAAATGAGAAGCTAGTAATGCCCTTCAAAATGGTTATCTATATACCAGAAAATGTATAGTTAGTACTGGACTCAGCCCATGAGAGCCTTGCACCGACATATAGAGACCTCCGACGGGCCCAATACGTCCCTTACAAATGTGAAAGCTGCATCTTAAGACGTGGAAATCGGCCTACGTTGACTTTAGGCTCACAAAACTATTCTTCACAGGTTGAATGGAATTATGTTTCGGCTTCAAACCCATTAGAGAGACCAGAATCGAATATGATATTTTTGAGCACCTTGCTCCATTCTTCTTGTAATTTCACAGCCTATCTACGTACGTACGTACAGCGTCTTCCATTAGACTATAAAAAAAAAAGAAAAGAAAAGAAAAGAAAAAAAAAGCCCTAGTCACAGTCTTCACCACTCCTTCTTGATCTGGTCAGCGAGTTTCTCAGCGAGCATGTCTGTGATATGATATTAGCCTCCAGCAAAAGTCAGTCTATATCGCGAAACGGGAGCACTCACAGACATGGGCTTGAGGGGCGGGTCCTAGAACAGGTTATCCATGCGTTAGCTCCGTAGTACTTATAGAAAGAGCCAACATATATCCGAATTGAATGCTTGCTTACCTGGTGGCAAAAATGGGAAAACAGAGGCGTCAATAACGCGAACTGAATTAAGGATAGTTAGATCAAGGCTGAATGTTGGGCTGGAAACCTGAAGACTTACGAGACTTCACCCCGAACACCTTGCCCTTACTATCAACAACCGCCATCGGGTTGGAGGATTTGCCCATGTGGTTTGTCGCGGAGGCGTGTGAAATAGCATAAAATCCCTCTACGATATACTCCAAGATCTCGTCATCAGTTTGCACACTCGGGCCGGGCAAGAACTCGTCGCCAATCAGGATGCTGGACATGGCGTCTGAGGCAAAGAACTCGCGGACGCGCTTGAAGGCAGCCAGGAGAACGTCCTTGTCGGCCTGGGCCGTGAACCAATTGGGGTTGATCAGAGGAGCAACACTCATTTTGGAAGACGCAATTGTCACGTTGCCCCGGGATTGAGGAGCGACTAATGCGGCCAACGCAGTACCATACGCAGCACCCTCCACAGTGTCTCCAAAGAGGGCGGCGGGAAGGAAGAGATATTCTGCTTCCGGCCAATCGGAAGGCAGCTTAGATAGAACTATATTCATGCCAATGATATCAGTCCCCATTCTCAAGAGCTTTGCTGTCGTTTTCCCTTACCTTCCACGGTCTCTGCGGACCAATTGGCCCGGAGTGCCTGGGGGATTTTCTCCAGTCCAAGGTAGTCACCACCAGGGTTAGTCAAGGGTCCAGTAGCATCGTTATTAAACTCCTCCATATCCTCAACCGTCACGGTGCTTTGGCTCTCGAGGTTGGTCCGATATGTGAGAGGGACGAAGATGTGGTCGTTCATTCCCTGGCCAACGCCGGGTCGATCGGCCACAACTGGGATATCATACTCCTCCAGGACAGCAGCCGGTCCAACTCCGGAGACCATTAGGAGTTGAGGAGACTGGAAGACTCCCGCGGAGACAATGACTTCCTTTCTAGCGCGGATAGTGTAGGTGGTGTTGGCGGTGGTAACTTCCACCCCCTTAGCTGCTTTCCTATCATTGAACAGGATACGCTCGGCCATTGTCTCTGTAAACAGAACCAAATTCGGGCGGCTGAGATAAGGGCGCAAATAGGCCACTTCGGCTGAGGCACGATGACCATCAGCGTGATTGACCGTCTGGAGCTGCCAGGCGGAGCCATTCAGATTCCCGTTGATGAACGAATCGGTAGGCAGGATCCCGACAGCTGCCATACCCTTGGCCACCCAGGTACTCCAGCTTTCGGAATAGGCGGCATAAGTGACGGACAGCGGACCGCCAGTAACAACATCGGCAGAGTCATACAAGGGGGTGGCATTCGCCAACCTCGTTTCGCTATCAGGTGGAGTGAAGTTCATGCTTTTGTGGTAATACTTCACCACGTTTTCATACGTGTAGGATTGATCGCCAACGGTATCTGCCCACAGCTGGAATGCACCCACGGACGAATGGCTGTAGGCCATGCTGTTAGCCACGCTACAGCCACCCAACTAAAAGACAAGACAGAGTCAATATACACTTTCAAAACAACAAAACCCGGAGCTACACAAGGACCAACTGACAGCTTTGGCACGAGGATAGTCGACGACCGAGCCATTTTTGCCCTACAATACCCCAGTTAGCGATGTTGACTTGTCCAAATCTCTATACCAATCCGGCGAGGGAACAGAGATGACCAAATGGAAAGACTCACAGCCTGTGGAGTGGTCTCAAATCCCCATTCAATCTCGAGATTGCTAAGTTCGGTGCTTGAGAATAGGGTTGCATAGGCAGGGACCTGGCTTATGTTTCCAACGACATCTTCGGGGAAAGTACCGGCCTCAATCACAGCCACAGTCACCGATGCATTCTCAGTCAGTCGATTAGCGACAGTCAAGCCGGCCGTACCACCGCCGACAATCACATAATCGAAGCTGCGGGCGTTAGGCGAAGCCCACGCAGGAGTGCAAGCAGAGACTGCGAGGGCTAAAAGCGCGGGGCGTGTAATGGGCATTGTTGAGGGTACCAGACCATTCACGAATAACGGAACAAGTAATGCACGAGGCGCAATTAAAGGCTTTGGTTTCAATAATGCCACGGTATGTAAATATCAACCCTTCGTCTGGCCGTAGGAGTCAAGTCGGCTCCAGCCCGATGGCGACGCCTGTTTAATATCATTTTTCCACGCTCGTGGCCTGAGGGTTCATTCTGGAGCATTTACTCGGTGCCCGTGAGGCGATGAAAGTGTTCTACCCAGTAGGCCGTATTCTTAATCTCCAAACTCAACTCCATATTGTCCTTTCAACTTTCTGTCAACTAGTGTGGGATGTGGGCGGCCGAGCGTACGTAATCCATCCAACAGTATACTTAGCTTCCTGGTTGGCTGATGATGGTTTATTTCACCGAGTTCACAGTAGGCTAGGTGGCATGCTGAATACGACACTCGAGGTCTGACGCAGAAAATAGTGTTGAAGCTTAGGGTCCAGGAATGCCCCGTGTTTTTGGCTAAGGGGCGGCCTGCAGCATGCGATATTCCCAGCCAGGTACCCGGCAGTTAGACTCCGCGTATCTAAATATAACTTCTTCCCTTCATTGGCCTGGCAAGAGTCGCAGAGTCGCATTTTCCGCCCTAAATGGCACCCGTTAATAACGTTGTAACTCAGTAATTAGTAGAAAAAGGAACTATTAGAACACCAAGTGAGCCCCAAGCCTGGACTCCAAGTGAGCTGATCATTGCACTATACTTTCCGCGCATTTCACTATGGAATATGTTTGCTTATTTGGTGGCCTAGGCGAATTTTTACCGTAGCCTTCCAGCTATTCCCTTCTCTGCCTCGATCCTCTATTGTGGGATCATCCCGGAGCCGCAATAGTAGCATCTAAATGATTTGGTTCAAAATGACTGGCGGTATGTTTGCTGGAATCAGTACCTCTAGCTCCTAGCTGGGCTGGTTAATGTAGTATGGATAATGGGGGAGGATTTTGTGGCTGGACAGGGAGACCGATATCATTTATATAGGGTTATCATTGAGAGCAATCCCGTAAGCTTCTCTATCCATATCAACACCACTAGAATCAGGGTATCCTTGTTTGCAGATATCGGAATGAACTATACCGGGTATATTATAGTCATTGATCATGATACATTAGCACTCTGGAGTATTCTAAAACATCATTGACGAGTGATTTGACACCATATCGTCCGGTTTTTTTTTTTTTTTTTTAACGTGTGAAATTGAAAAAGAAACTCCGAAGCTGGCAGATACACAGCAGGAGTGCTCTACTGGTTACTGGTTATGTTCTGTATAGAGCTCATGAGCTATGTAGGATAGGGCGAGTCGTACGGAAACAAAAAACGGCATTCTCCCCGTAAATTGACCCCGAATTCTCCCACTTGCATGTGTAATATCCAGTTCAGATGGGATAGAGAATAGTGATAGAAAAACCAATGACTTTCCTGCGTTCGGCTCTAGTCTATTTCCTGGGGTGGCATCGAGCCGAACAGGAACTGCTTGGGCTAGGTTGTCGTTCGAATTGCAAGAGGAGTAGCGCAATGTCGGGGCCAGGGAGGGGTTTAAAGCAGGCAGTACTACCATATCCGAAGGCTTTACTAGGCTGAAATCGCGTCCTGGTTGGGACGTTTTAGTCGGGGGTGAAGCTGGCTCACTCGGGGTCCCAACTCACTCGGTGCCAATGAACGTTGCCAAGTAGACGATTTCTTTCGGCGGAAGGAGTGTATATACGTTGAGAAGAAGCTAAAACAAAACGAATCTAATAATATCTCTCTTAATTTCACCTTCATGAACGGCTGAACTTTAGAGTAGACCCCATCCAGTAGTGGTTAATCCAAGCGTCTTTTTTTTTTTTTATCATTTGGTTCTCGATCACGGTTAAACATGGCTGCTCAGGCTACGACAGACGCCCCCCCCAGCACACAAAATGGAACTACCAATGGCCATGCGGAACCCTCTGCGAGTTCGTCATCATTCCCTGTTGCCATCGTCGGCATGAGCTGCAGATTCGGAGGAGATGCTACGAGCCCTTCGAAGTTGTGGGAACTCTGTGCTGAGGGGAAGGACTCCTGGTCGCCTATCCCCACGGAGCGCTTTGATGGCAAGTCTCTGTATGATCGGAAGAAAGGCAAACTTGGCCGAGTAGGTGTCTCCCTGATGTCGTGGCGAATCGTGAATATCTATTAATCAATGCGGTTGCTTTAGCACAATGTCCTGGGAGGATACTTCCTGAAGGATATCTCCTCATTCGATGCGCCCTTTTACAACTATCCCGTGGATATGGCTAATGTAAGTATTTCGGGTCGCGTTGAGAATTTGACGAAAGATTTGTCCTGACTTCTGCATAGGCCATGGATCCTCAAATTCGCATGCTGCTAGAATCAGTATACGAAAGTGTGGAAGATGGTTCGCTACCTTGGCCCTTGATGGTATAGCTTCCTGCGCAAAACTGACACATCGCAGCGGGAATCCCCATCCATTCACTCGCGGGATCAAATACATCAGTATTTTCGGGTAGCTTTGGCTCTGATTACTCGGAGTTGACAATCAGAGACCCTGAAGTGATGCAGCCCGCCTACAAGACCGGCAATGGCACAGCGATGCTATCAAACCGAATATCCCATTTTTATGATTTCAGGGGAGCAAGTATGACGATCGATGTCGGCTGCTCCACTGGCCTGGTAGCGGTGCATCAAGCCTGCCGAAGTCTCCAGTCCGGCGAGTCGGACCTCTCCATCGTCGGTGCGGCTATTACCCTTCTATCCCCCGACATGTTCATTGCGTTAGGTCTAGCAGGGTAAGCCGGCTTCTCCCCAGTTCATTTCCGGACAGGATTCCTCGGGACTAATGGTAACCCAGAGTGCTTGGCCCTAATGGAAAATGCTTCGCCTGGGATGATCGAGCAGAAGGATATGGCCGTGGCGAAGGTGTCGCATCGCTGGTTTTAAAGCCACTTCATGCCGCGTTGCGGGATGGAGATGTTGTGCATGCAGTCATTCGGGAGACAGGGTTAAACCAGGATGGAAAAACCCCGACCATTACTTCCCCATCAATGGAAGCACAGGTGGCAGTCATTGAAGATGTCTACCGCCGTGCTGGCCTGAGCCCTGCGGACGTCGGGTACGTCGAGGCCCATATGACGGGTACCCCCAGCGGAGATCCTATCGAGGCTGAAGCCCTTGCACGAACCTTCGGAAAGCATCGCAGGGCCGACGATCCAGTGATTGTCGGTTCCGTGAAGCCCAATGTTGGGCATACGGAGCCGGTCAGCGGCCTGGCAGCCATGATTAAGACGGTATACGTCTTGAAGAACAGGCTCATTCCTCCCAACTTGAACTATCTGAAGACAAACCCCAAGATTCCTCTGGACGAATGGCACTTGACGGTATCTCTATTCCGAAAGATGGCGTGATATAGTAGAGACATGCTGACAGCCGTGAAACAAATTAGGTGCCGACATCCCTTACCCCGTGGCCGGCCGACAAGCCTCTCCGGGCCTCCATCAACAACTTCGGTTATGGAGGAACAAACGCACATGTTATCATGGAGGCAGCTCCCGAGACCTCTCCGACTAATGGCGCCAGCCATTCTAACGGCGTGGACTCAGCTAATGGGGCTGTTAACTCCGCACGAGAAGTGGATGAGTCCCTGGTTTACGTGGTCAGTGCCAAAGACTCGGTCGCTTCTCAGGGAATGAACAAGAATTTTGCTGCTTATATCCGGGAATCTATCGCAAATGGCACGGCACCATTGCCGGCTGATTTGGCCTTTACGCTATCTGAGCGCCGTTCATTGTTCACCTGGGTCACTGCAATTCGAGCCAAGAGCCTGGAAGAGTTGGCGGATCGGTTGGATGAGCCTGACCGTAAAGGTTCTCGTGCGACCAAAAAGCCTCGACTTGGTTTCGTTTTCAATGGTCAGGGAGCTCAGTGGTATGGCATGGGTCGGGAACTAATCAACGCTTATCCTGTGTTCCGCGCGGCGTTGATGGAGGCGGATCGCATATTGAAGGAGTATGGCGCGACTTGGTCCTTGCACGGTAGGTGTATCCCTTTCTTTCTTTCTTTCTTTCTTTTTTGATGTGCACTGTGGTTCCCGTCTCTAACAATAACAAGAGGAGCTTCTGCGGGACGATAAGTCTACCCGTGTGCACGAAATTAGGCTCAGCCAGCCGGTCAGTGTTGCTCTACAGCTGTGTCTCGTGGATTTGCTTACATCTTGGGGCATCACTCCATCGGCTGTGACGAGTCATTCCAGCGGAGAAATCGCCGCGGCCTATGCTGTTGGAGCTCTTACCTTCCGAGAAGCGCTAGGAGTAGTCTACTTCCGTGGTGAACTCGCTCAGAAGCACCACGAGCGCTTGTCCCTCGACGGAGGAATGCTTGCTGCTGGTCTCAGTGCAGAAAAAGCAGAGGAATATCTCCAAAGTACTTCCGGGGGGGTCGTTGTGGTTGCCTGTCATAACAGCCCCGATAGTGTTACGCTGTCCGGTGATGTACCAGCTCTACAAGAAGTGGCATCGCGGCTTGAGAATGATGGCGTCTTTGCCAGGAGACTCAACGTTCCTTTGGCTTATCACTCTCACCATATGGTCCACATGGCTCAAGACTACACGGATAGTCTGAAAGAAATTTTAAGCCCCTCGCCCGAGTGGAGCGGAGCGTTGTTTGCCTCTCCAGTGACTGGCGGTATTCTCACTTCGCCAAAGGCCCTAACGGCAGAACATTATGTCCAAAACCTGACCAGTCCCGTTCTGTTCACTCAGGCATTCGAACAGATGTGCTTTGGGACGGTGGCCTCGGATGAATCCCAGAAACCAGCCGGCCAAGATGGAAACGTCGACCTGATTGTCGAGATTGGAGCCCACAGCACCCTTTCCGGTCCAATCAGACAGATTCTCAAGGAGCGCAAGATCCCCTATGTCTCCTGCCTTAAAAGGTTTGTGAATGCTGTTCACACAATGCAAGACACTGCTTGTGAGCTGGTTTCGCGAGGTTATCCCGTATCTCTCTCCGCGGTAAATCTGAATGAACACGCCAAATTTGTGCCCGGTCTTCCCTCGTACGCTTGGAACCATACGTCCACCTATTGGATTGAGTCGAGGGCATACAGAGAGTACCGGTATAAGCGATTCCCGCCTCATGAGCTTCTTGGAACTCCTGTCTCGGGAGGCAACCATATTACACCTACCTGGAGGAACTTTCTTCGCACCTCGGACATCTCTTGGTTGGTTGAACACAAGCTTGGATCCGACACCGTTTTGCCAGGCGCTGGATATGTTGCTATGGCCATCGAAGCCGTGCGTCTGCTTACGGACCCTTCGGAAAGCAGCATTCAAAAATACAAGCTACGAGACATCGACATTGCTAATGCGCTGACCATCCCAGACTCCGCCCAGGGAGTTGAGATCCAACTATGCCTGCGTCCCTGCAATGACAAAGAACTGGATTACAAGGGTTGGTATGAATTTGAACTTTGCTCTGTCTCCGGCACGGATGACTCCTGGATTCAACACTGCAAGGGCTACGTTACCACCGAGGCCGTCAGTTCTACAAAGCCCGCCGCAACTAGCATTGAAATGAAGGCACCGGTCTCTTCCGCCTTTTTCCCTGCTGGTTCCAAAGTCAGCAATGTTAACCCAGAATCCATCTTCGAAGGCTTGCGTGAGATGAGCCTCTTCCATGGGGGTGTCTTCCAAAACCTCATCAGCAGTCGCGAGGCAGAAAACAAGTCGATTACCAACCTGGCGGTGTCTCCAGTGGCTTCGGAGTGTGAAGAGACCTACGTTTTGCACCCGACCACTCTCGATTCTCTCATTCAAGCCGCGTACGTCTCAATTCCCGAAGTTACGCGGGAGAATGCCATGGTGGTGCCGCGCTCCATCGGCAATCTTATCATTCCTCGCGACCTGAAGAGACTTGCTGGTGACAAGCTTAACGCTTTCGTGACTCTCGTGAAGGGAGATAAACGTGGCGCCCACATGAAGGTCGTTGCCGCTAATGACGATGGTGGTGATGAGGCCTCTGCCGCGTATTTGCAGATGGACGACCTTTACTGCCAGGCAGTAGCTCAGGAGACAAGCGACGCAACATCTTCCAAAGCATCTCCCGTTTGCTCGGAGAGCCGATGGGAGCTGGATATCCTGCACGATATCCCGGTCTCTGTCAAGGAATCGATGAAGATTGATTTGAATGACCCGGATGTCGACTTCGAGAAGAAACTTGACCGGGTGTCGTACAATTTTATTTCTGACGCGGTAACCCAACTTGGCGAAGATGCCAGCACCGAGACCTGGCAATCGCATCAGAAGTCGTTTTATGAATGGATGAAATCTGTTGTCGAACGCGGCAAGGCCGGTGAACTGGGTGCAGGGAGCCAAACCTGGTCCAAGACCAACAAGGGCTTGAAACAAAGACTTGCGGACGATATCGAAGCCGAAAATGCTGCCGGAAAACTGATTGCTCGCGTTGGTCGGAGTCTTGCAAGCATCGTTCGTGGTGAAGTTGCACCACTCGAGCTCATGGCGGAAGACGGTCTGCTTAACCAGTACTACGAAGAGATTCCACGACTGAAGCAGCGCAGCTATCAGCATCTCCAGAAAATCGTTGAATTCTATGCCGTGAAGAATCCTGGAGCCAACGTGCTTGAAATTGGAGCTCGTACTGGCGCAGCCACCGTCCATGTCCTCGAAGGCTTTGCTGCTAAATCCGAGGACGGTTCTGGGACTCTCCTAGGCCACTACGATTTCACCGACGTCGCTGAGTCCTCCGAAGAGGTCCAGTCAAAGTTTGCTGGCTTGGGGAGCTTGATCAATTTCAAACAGCTTAACCTCGGCTCCGACCCGGTAGAACAATCCTTTGTGGCTCACTCTTATGATCTCATCATCGCGCCTATAGTATTGCATACCACTCCTGATCTCCAAAAGACACTGTCATCCTTGCAGAAGCTGCTCAAGCCGGGCGGAAAGCTGTTGATGATCGAGACGACTAAGGACCGCCTGGACACTCAGCTGCTGTTCGGTACCCTGCCAGAGTGGTGGCTGAGTGAGGAGCCAACCCGCCAGTCTAGCCCGACAATTTCAGTTGAAGATTGGGACAAAATCCTAAAGACCTCCGGCTTTACTGGCGTGGACTTTGAAATTGGCGACTGCGTAGAGCCGCGATTCCAGTCTACCAATACCATTTTAGCTACTGCCACGGACGCCCAGGTGCCCACTTACCCTGCCTCGATCTCCATCGTCAGTGGTGAAAAGTCGTCCGCTAGCCAGGAATGGTTGACAGAGCTTACGAATGCGATCAGTCTCCAGACGGGTGCTGCGGTTGCGGTTGAGGATTTTGAAAGTATCCAGGCTGCCGCCAACACTCTGTACATTTTCACCCTGGAGATGACGCGTCCGTTTTTGGACACAATGGACAGCGCTGCCTTTGAGAAACTTCGCAGCATTCTGGTCAACGGCCAGGGAGCCTTCTGGCTTACTTCTGGTAGCATCGTGGATGTGAAAGAGCCACTGTATGCTCAGGCTCAAGGCCTTCTGCGCACCATGAAACAAGAGGATTCCAACAAGCGTTACGTTTACCTTGACTTCGACACACCTTCGAGCAACCCATGGTCAAGAGACCATATTCGTCATATTGTCCACGTGCTGCAGCACAGCTTCAAGACCAACGCCGATTCTCGCAGCATTGAATGGGAGTACGCCGTGAAAGACTCCCTGCTTCATGTGCCTAGGGTCTACCCCAGCCCGTCCCAGGATATCGCGTCTAGCGAAACCTCTGTCGATCGGGCCCCAGAGCTTCAGCCGTTCTGGCAGACTGGTCGCCCCTTGGTATGGGAAACCGCCAAATCAGGCGTGTTGAGCAGCCTTTACTTCACTGACAATGTCGCCGTTGCTGATACTGAAGTGCCTAGTGGTGTGGTTGAGATTCAGGCTCAGGCAATGGGATTGAATTTCCGTGATGTTATGGTTGCCCTAGGCCAGATCGATGAATCTCTTGTTGGACACGACTGTGCAGGCATTATCACCCGCCTGGGACCCGACACCGAGCAGAGTGGCCTCCAGGTTGGAGACAGGGTCTGCGGTGTTATGAGAGGGCGCTTTGCTAGTAACACACGGGCCCTGGCCACCAGTGTGATCAAAATCCCAGACGATATGTCTTGGGAAGATGCAGCGGCGCTTCCCTTCATTTTCCTCACTTCGTACATTGCCCTGGTCGATATTGCCAGACTTCAAAAAGGTGAACGTGTCTTGATTCATGCCGGAACTGGTGGTGTCGGGCAGTCTGCTATTATGTTGGCGCAAAACATCGGAGCCGAGGTGTTTGTCACTTGTAGCACGGACGAGAAGCGCAACCTGCTCATCGAGCAGTACAAGCTCGACTCGGCCCACATCTTGTCCAGTCGAGATGCTTCTTTTGCCCCCGCCATCTTGGCTCACACCGCCGGTGCAGGAGTCGATGTGGTGGTGAACTCATTGTCCGGCCCGCTGCTCAAGGCCACATGGGAGTGCATGGCTCGTTTTGGGCGCTTTGTTGAGATCGGTAAAGTCGATCTAGAGGCTGCCCGACGACTGGACATGACGCCCTTTGGCCGCTCTGCCATGATGGCTGGGTTTGATCTCCTCCAGTACTCGGAGTACAATGGCAAAGTGGTGCAGAACGGTCTGAAGGAGCTTATGCGTCTGTGGCAAGAAAGGGCCATCAGATCTGTTTACCCGGTTACGACGTACCCCATTTCGGAGATGGAGACAGCTCTCCGACGCATGCAACGTGGTACCCATATCGGAAAACAGGTCCTTGTTCCTGGGCCCGAAGATCAGGTCAAGGTTGTCACTCGTTCCATCCCGAAGCTGAGCCTCGACGACCCCAACAGCACCTACCTAATTGCCGGTGGCCTTGGAGGTATCGGTCAAGTCATTGCCGAGTGGATGGTTGAGAAGGGGGCTCGCAATATCCTACTCACTTCTCGAAACGCCGAGTCGCACCCGAATGCCATTACATTAATCAACAAGGCTTATGCTGAGGGCTGCAAGATTTACGTGCGCAACTGCGACGTCTCCAGCGAGGAAAGCCTTGCGAAACTACTGAACGACTGCGCTTCTACGTTGCCGCCGATTCGTGGTGTTATCCAGGCGGCCATGGCCTTGAATGACACGATCCTGGAGCTTTTGACCTTTGACCAGTGGAAGCGTAGTATTATGCCCAAGGTTGCCGGAACTGTGAATCTGCATAAACAACTCGCCGGTCTTAACTTTTTCGTCATGCTATCCTCCATTGCCGGAGTTGTCGGCCACGCTTCGCAGTCTAACTACGCTGCCGGCAATACCTTCCAGGACGCTCTGGCACGGCACCGCAACGCCCATGGTTTACCCGCAGTTGCCATTGACCTTGGTGCCGTTGGATCCGTCGGGGTTGTAGCCGAAGCAGGAGATGGAATGCGGGAGCGTATTGAACGCAACCTGGGCTCGAGCGTAATCCCGATTGATCGAGTTCTACGGCTGATTGAGGCGGCCATCCGCGATCCCCTTCGCAAGAATCCGGACCAAAGCCAGGTCATTACCGGGATTGGCGAGTACAGCAGCATTCCCGACTCGGCGTCGATTAAGAAGGACCGACGCTTTGCCACCCTCCTACTGGGCAGTTCAGGAAGTGCAAGCGCTATTGGTCAGGCGGTTGCGCTTACTCCTGACGAGGAGTTCAAACAGGCTCTTGCCGTTGCGACACCGTCAAGCGCTGAGGCAGTCACACTTGTTACTGGTGCATTGGCTCACAAGCTGGCCAGTTTGTTCAATGTCGCGGTCGCGGAGATTGATACGAGCCTGGGTCTCTCCAACTTGGGAGTGGACTCACTAGTTGCGGTTGAACTGAGGAACTGGTTGAGCGGAGTTGTGCAAGCTAAGGTGACAATCTTTGAGATTCTGCAAAGCGCTACCGTGAAAGAGTTTGCTGGATTAGTAGCTGGACGAAGCGCTTTAATCGTGTAGGCTCTATCAGACTTCTAGGGGGGGCTACATGAAATTATGGTATGGGGATTTTTTTTTGTTTTCGAAGTTAGGGTTGATTATTTTTCAGCTATACGTAACCGACGTTATTCCATGTATTTACAAATATAACATCTTCTCGAGAGGCAAGATACCTACATGCACTTCATTATTGAACCTGCCTCAACCTTCTTAGATGAAGAATCCTGTGAATCTTAGTAATTCTTATGTTGAACCACTGTATCCCGAGTAATGCTGTGAGGCCCGAGTAACAGACACACTACTTCTTTCCCAACATACCAGTTGGATGCTGACGGCCCCGAGTAATTATATTGATAGCCCGAACCGCCGCTAATAAAAACCGTAGCCGTATGCTAGGTTATTCTATCTTAGTTCCAAAAAAAAAAAGGGAGACCAAGGGCAAGATCCAAAGGCTATACCACCATAACCATGACCCAAGTTCATATTCCTCTAACCCCGTTTGACCACTGCGTGCCGAGAGCATATTACAATGGTGCTTTTTATCTCGCTCTGAAATCCGGCGTCACTGCTGCAGAGGCGTTTGCAGTTCTCCATGAGGGACTGCATAGAACCTTTGTTCGTCTCCCGTGGCTAAGTGGCAAGGTCTATCTACAGGCTTCAGATACACCTGGATGGCGTCCGGGACAGGCGGAAATCCGACACAGCCCCGTCGAGATTAACGGAACATGGCCACATCAACTGAAATGCAAAGAGTTGGATTCCTCGACCAGTTACGAGGAGCTCAAGGACGCTGGCTTCCCCACCGACGCCTTCAAGGATGACGACTTGGTGTGGTCACCCTTCTTCGCCGAGGTGAACAGTGAACCAGAGGTGTTTGTTGCCCAGGCGAACTTCATTCCGGGTTGCTGTATTATTACCGCTGCGATCCACCATGCTGCGAGTGATGAAACGGCGTTTATCCATGTGCTCCGGCTTTGGTCGGAAAATTGCAGCGCCCTACAGCGCGGCAGCAACCAGCTGGCCGATATGCCCGCGGGAAGCTCCGATCGCAACCTCCCCGATCAACTGTGGAAGAAAGAAGGAACCGGGAAGGGTGTCGAGGATATCGACTTGAAGACCTGGATGCTCATCAATCTTGCTCCTACCGATGTTCAGCAGGATCCCATGAAGATCCCCAGTGGTTCCGTGCAGCCCCAGGGCGGCCCTGCTAAACCTCAAAGAGTCCTGAAAGCCGGGGTGTTTTACATCTCGCCGGCCAATTTCACCGCACTACAGAAGGCCATCACGACGGAACTGGGAGCATCCAGCGGGGTGTCTGGAAACGATGCGATTTGTGCGTTGATTTGGCGCTGTTTCTTGCGGGCACGATCCACCGTGCGAATGGCGGCGAGTAGCAATGCGGATGTCGATGCGGCGCTCGCCGGACTCAATATGGTGTGCGATGGCCGGCCCAGTTTTTCGTCTAGCATTCCTCCAACTTATCTCGGAAACATCACGTTCAATGTCCAATCGCGTTTCCCACTCTCGTCGCTCACCTCGACCGACACAAGCATTGCCAACGTGGCGGCCACGATCCGAACGGCAGCCGGGAGCATTGACTCGGCGCACTTGTTGGATCTTTATACCCTGTTAAGGAACCTATCTGATTTTGATCACCTGGCCAGGTGGAAGCGAATGAGGACGTCCTCCATCGAGGGCAATAACATGTCTATTTCATCCATGATCATGTTCCCCATTTCCAGCGTTTGCTTTGGGGAGGGCATCTTCAAAAACAAGGGGATGCCGGAAGCCGTGCGCCCGTTGATGGAAGGATGCAATCGATATACTCGAATCTGTTTTATCCTGCCCAAGAACAAGAATGGAGGCATCGAGTTTGTGGCTAATCTGTTTGATGAAGAAATGGAGGTGCTGATGGAGGACGAGGAATTTGGGAAATACGCAGCATGCCTGTGCTGGAGCTAGATCAAGTAATATATATATATCTCTCTCCTCCGAATAAAGCTCTATAATATGTATTGGACGAAATTAAGCTCGATGATCTGATGAAGAAGTTACAATGTGGAAATATTGTGTTGAACGACCACCTATGAGTACTTGATAGGTCTCTCTCTATCATCCATAACAGGTATCTTGCACGATACCTACCTGTTCATTCCCAATAACCTCTCTTTCCTCTGCTCAAGTCGATATTTTACTATAATATTCCACCAATTCACAAGGGAAACTGGGGCCGGGACCCAGGACTAGTCCGCGGCCACTTGGAAAATCATGCAACCAAGGTCAGATCCTGCCACACTCTGTACTTTCTTATGCCAATCCTACATGGTCCATACCGGGTTTTCTCCAGTCCTCCTGTTCAGTACAGCGACGAGACCCGCCGATTCTAGTTCCGGGTCCTCGCGGGACAGGTCTCTTGGGCCCGCTAAAGCAGTTCTACGTGTGTATGGGGCCCAGTTACGCCGTTTAAGATGGAGAAAACAACCCAGGCTAATGTTGACCCTGGTCTAGATCGAAGAACCCACCTGGAAGATTTCTTGTGTTGGTTTCGATGCCTAGGTATACGCCGTACGGGGTATTGACGGAGGAGTTCGTATCCTCTTTCCTGTTCTAGACCAGCAGGACGAGACCACGATGAGGGTTTCGAGAAAGCACCCGCTGTCCATCTCCGTAGCTAAAAAGTTAAATCTCAGGAATATGGATAGAAATGGCAAACAGGCACGTGCGTGTTTATTCGAATGTTCTAGCCGGGATACTAGAACGGTTGCTTGGATGGAAATGTATACTGTATATCATGAAAATCTCGTCTTGATCGCCGTCGAAATGTAGTCTCAGGATCCTGAGATGGAAAAAAAAAACCCAAAAAAAAAAAAAAAAAAAAAACCGAGGCTCAAAGGAAAGTAAGAGCACTGGAATTCTTTCCGGGTCATCAGCAGTCAAGTAAACTCCTGGCCAGTGCACCAGGCAGGTCGTTGGATTCTTTGCATGCATTTCGGATGCAAAGGAAAAGGGGAAGAAAAAAAAAATTTTTGTATCCGCAGGGATTTTTCACATTAGAGACTTTGACATCCAATGACTTACCGACCAAGGTATCCACCGAAATCACCATCCTACGCAGCTCGCGCGGGAAAGCCGCGAGGATAGGCCCATGTGGCGCCATGGCTGGTGGTCTGGGACAATATCCAGCACCTGATGGATATTGGACGTGATGGAAAACCGGATGAGAGCAGTTCCTAACGTTTGTACTGCACGTGGTGAGATTTTTTCCAGGCGCAAAATTGCTATGGGCCCTCTCAAGTCTTGGGTAGGAAACGGGTTAGCAATCCGTTTTCGCTGTTGGCCCCTCGTATACCCAATAGAGGCCGCACGTTGAGCAAAGGGGACCATGGCCGATCCCGTTGCTTGTTACTGGTCGTGATAGGGATCCAATGGCTGATGTGAAATGAACCATCCAGGGATTAGCCGAGTCACAAGACATGAAGAACTCTTCAGATTGGAGTGGCATGCAGCAGAGGAGGCCTTTACTGTAAACAGACATGAAGCCGAATTCAAGGCGCATGTTTGGTTCTGCGGTGCCCGTGGGAAAGATGCGTTTCATCAGCGAGCCAGGGATCCATTCAGATATCGCGGATCCCTACCGGTTTTCCCTCATACAATCGAGAGATATGATCATCTCGCTGCATGGAAGATTCCGAGAATTCGATCCGGATATGATTTGGCGAGCTCCAAGCTTTTCCTGACCCATTCGTGAAAACCCAGTCTGCATGATCCCATCTCCTGCTAAGGTCTCCCCGGCGTGGCGAGGTCTGTTCAGCTGATTGGCGTGAGATCCGATGGGTTCCAGTGTCGACCGAGTAGGGTTCCAGAGTTCGCCAAATCAGTTCAGGCACGAGTATCGGAGTTATGGACGGGAAGGATTTGTGGACGGGGTGGAACACATCTCGGAACAAAACCAATTAAACGAAGTAGGGTCCCACGTGCAGATTGTATTGCCTGACTGTTGTGTATTAATTTTGCACTGGATCGGAGCGTGGGAGAGGAGGAGCTAGGAATCAACATCGCCGTGCTCCTGTCAGGTCTGGATTTCGACAACAGTTCCAGTTCCAATCCCAGAAAAAAAAAGAGACCAAAGAGCAAGCCAGACAGAGCTCTCGGTCCTGCCGTCCCAAGAGAGAGTGAGAGAGGGAGAGAGCCCTCTCTTTCCCATGTTTTCAGTCACCCACGTGCCTGGATTTCCCATCACGTCCCCCAATGCCCTAAATGGCCCTAAATGAAGCCATCCCGAACCCGCCATCACCATTGGCGTAGAACAAGCTCAATCCACTTTTCTTGGGTCGCATTAGGGGCCGCACGTGGGTAAACTGGAGAATCTGAATGGATTGGGATATAGATGTCAGGTCAAGGGCAAGCCTCGCCAACCTTTTCCGCGCCGAAGCTTGTTTGCGCCCCGTATACACACGCGCTTGGATGGTAATGGCTTACAAGAGTTGGGAATACGGGCGTTGCCTCCTCAATCCTTCACTTAAATATGTCTGATCTCCTCCCCCTGATCCTGCCTTGGTTCTGTTGATCGTATTGAGAAACCCATCTGATATATCCGGTTCATCGGCTACTTGCCTAGTATGTTCTACCCCCCCCCCCCCCCGTCTTTTCCCTTGCGCGAACTCGTGCATTTTCCTTTATTTTTTTTATTTTTTTTTTTCCTTCTCTTTTTCTGTTTTGGTGCAATGTATACTAACCAACAGATCAGGCATAGATCCAATGGCCTCTCTAGACCAGGACTTCCCCGTCTCCGCCGAAAAGGCCGGCCTGGAAGGCACCGACAAGATGGATGCCCACGAGAAGGAGGTCTTTGACCAGGTCATCCGTCCCAGCGACAGCTATACTCCCGATGGCACCTACTGGGCCGATCTCCCGCTCGGCCAGCGTATCAACTTCATCGCTTCCGTCGATGGCGAGGAAGCCCGCAATGAATGGAAATGGCTTGTGGACATGTTCAAGGCCGATCCCTTGGCCCCTGTATCTTACTACTTCAAGAACATGGTCCTTCCCGGTGCTGGTCTCGGTCTGGAAGGGTAATTCCCCCCCCCCCCCCCCCAATCTCTCTGGAAGGATCCGTAGCAACTGAACTAAACTTCTCTCTTGCTCTCTCCAGTTATGTGCTCTTCTCTATCGGAAACGTTGGCCCCCTGTTCAAGGCTTCTTTCAAGGAGTGCTGGGGCACCCACAAGGTCTGTAACAGCAACTGGATTGCTGCCGTCAACTACCTCGAAATTGTTGGAATTCTTATCGGCCAGCTTCTCGTTGGATATCTTGGTGACAGGTAGGCTGTGCTCCCGGAAGACCTGGTATATCGGAATCGCAATTCTAATGGAAGGATTACAGCATCGGTCGTCGCTGGGGTCTGATTCAGGATGCCGCCATCATGTTTATCGGTTTGCTCATGATTACCGCCGCGTGGGGTGTTACTCTGAACGGCTGGGTTATTTGCTACGCCTGGTCCCTCTTCTTCTACAGTATCGGTGTTGGTGGCGAGTACCCTATGACTGCCACCATCGGGATGGAAAACGGCATGAGCTCCGGAAAGCTCTCTTCTCGCGATGACCGTCTGCACCGTGGACGCAAGGTCGTCAGTGCCTTCCTGATGCAGGGATGGGGTCAGTTTGCCAACCAGGTCATTCTGATTCTTCTCCTGCTCATCTTCCACCACGGCGATGGTACTCCTCCCATCTCCGCCGTGGCTACCCAGTGGACCTACCGTGTCTCGTTTGCTATCCCCGCCGTGGGTACTCTGTGGCTGGTCTACTATCGTGCCTACCACATGAAGGCTGCCAGTAAGCAGCTGGCAGCCGCCAAGAAGAAGGCGTCCGTCACTGGTTATGATACCCAGTCTCTTGCGCTGACCTTCAAGCATTTCAGCCCCCGTCTGATTGCCACCACTGGTGGTTGGTTCGCCAACGATGTCTTCTTCTATGGTAACAAGCTCTTCCAGAGCAACTTCATTAAGGTCATTAGCCCTAAGTCGACCTCTCTGATGACCAATTGGCTCTGGAACTTGGTGAACATTGGTGTTTCCCTGGGTGGTTACTACTGCGCTTCTTGGTTTGTGGATAACAAGCTTTATGGTCGCAAGTGGATGCAGATTATTGGTTTCATGATGTGCTTCATCATGTTTGTTGTCCCGGCCTTTGCTTTCCATCACTACAAGGAGCCTGCCAACATTCACTCCTTCCAGGCCATGTACTTCCTCAGCTCCTTCTTCAACCAGTTCGGCCCTAACTGCATCACTTTCCTCGTCGCTGCCGAGGTTTTCCCCACTCCCATCCGTGCCACTGCCCACGGTATCTCTGCGGCCGCTGGTAAGCTCGGTGCTTTGATGATTGCCATCGTTGGTTCCTACACCACTACCCAGCAACAGTTCTACATTGTGCCCTGGTTTGGTCTGGGTGGCACCTTGCTCACCTGGCTGTTCCTCCCTGACACCACCGGTCTGGATCTCCGGGAGCAGGAGCGCCGCTGGAAGTTCATCCGTGAGGGACGTGCGGATGAGTACCACGGCCCCGCGGTGCACCCCAAGCATCTGTCCGTGTGGGAGCGCATGATGGGTGTGGGCAAGGCCTACAATGCCGAGCTCGACTACCAGATGAAGGTCAAGGAGTTCCGCGCTGATTGGGAAGCCGCCATGGCCGATTCCTCCGCCGAGTCTGACAAGTTCGAGACCGATGATGTCGACGAGAACATCCTGCACGGCCCCATGCACAGTTATTTCTTCCGCACCAGCCCTGAGATCCGGGCCAAGGAAGGTGCCGCTCCCCAGGATGTTACTTTGTCTCCTCCCGCCAACTAAAGGCGCTCAAAATGTCACCGTTTGAAGTGATTTTTGACGAACCTTTTCTTTCCTCCCGGGGCCTGCCAGCACTTGCCCGCCCCCCCCTCCCCCTCAAATATGTGATTCCCTCTACTTGTGCTAGAATGTTATTCCACTCTGTTTCCCACCTTACAACGTGTGGACGTGGGTCCGAGAACGTCGATCTATAGTCGCACGGCTTGTATTCTAGTCTTTTAATATACTGCTTAATTGATACCATTGGTAATAACATATTATCCCACTGAATCGCTTTTCTTTTCTCGTGGAAACGCTCCGAGATGTACTTGATCATAGGAAGAAGAAGGAGAAGAAACTGATAACAGTGTGGTGACAACAGGAGATAGAAGATGCCTCTATAGAATGAACATCCCCAAACCTGTCAAATATCGGTCTACAGTGTATATTCCACCAAATGTGCGGGGAAAAGAGAAAAAAAACCAAGAAAAAAAGGCTAAAGACGACCATCGCGAATCTGCAGAAAATTCTCATAGCGCCGGCGAGTCATTTTCCGGCAGGCCTTGCCCCAGTAAATCATAGGAGCCGTAGTCATGATGAAGATGAAGCTCAGAATGCCGATGGTCACAAACAGCATGGACAGACTCTGGGCTTCCAGCCAGTACTGGGCGGAGAAGGTGAAAATACACCCGATGGTGTTGTTGATGACGGAGACACCGACCATGCCCTCCAGAACCATATCCGGATATGCATCCATCAGGTAGGCCATGCTGAGATCGCCGGCACAGCCCCAACCAAAGCCCACGAAACCCAGTCCCAGGTAAGGCAGCGGCCAGTTCCAGCCCCTGTCGGTGCCAATGCCAAAGAGCATCAAGCCAGCTGGACCGATCAACGCGACCGGGAGCATCAGCCAGAGTCGTTGCTCGGCTTCCACGACGCCATGATTGCGCCGCGCCATCCACTCCACAAAGTAATCGGAAAACCAGCCGCCGTAGATACAGCCGATGCAGGAGCCGATCAGCGTCGGAACCGTCATAATCCCCACGGCGGCGTCGCTGTAGTTCCAAGGCGGGCTGTACCAGTTATCATCCTCCACCGTCAGGTAGAAGGTCAGCCAGGCGTCTTGCGCGCCCCATTGCAGACCCGAGTAAAGCACGGGCGGGAACGTAAAGACCCGCAGCGTGTGCCAGAGACGACGCACGTATTGTTTGAACCCGGTCCCGACCAAGGTAGGAGAGGGGGTAATGAGAGCGATGCGCTGGAAATAACTCTTGCCTTTCCGTTGGCGACTCTCCTCGTCGTCCACGCTGGACGACACCGGGGATGCGGGTTGTGCCTCCTCTGCTAGGTCTTTGATCTTTTCTCCGTCTAACCGCGCGTCGTTTGTTGTTGTTGTTGTTGTTGTTGTTGTTGTCGCTGCCAGGGGCGCATTGTTCAGTCCCTGGATAACGCTCTTGCGATCAAAGGATGTCTCCTCCAGTCCGAAATAAAAGACACCGAGGAGCGCTCCCGAGCAGATCACGGCGAGCCAACCCACCCATCTCCACCCCAGGACGGCGCTATCGGTGATGAATCCCGCCACCAGCGGCCCCGTAAACGTCCCGATACTCGTGGCGAGAACGTATAATCCGAGCACGAGGCCGCGTCGGTGCTGGTAGAACAGGTCGGAGAGGGACAGTTGGGCGAGAGCTTCAGCACAGGACTCGGACGCCCCGACGAACAGTTGGTTCCAGATGTTGTCTTGCGTGGTCTGGATCCGGGCCATCCAGATCGAACCAATCAGCGAAAACAGCAGGCAGAGCAGGTAGGAGATCCGTCGTCCGTAGAGGAACGGGGCGGGGCTCAGCAGCAAAGTGCAATACCCGATTCCCACAAACAACACCCCGGCGGCGATGTTGATGGCATCCCACGAAATCCCCAGCTCCACGTTCATCCCATTGCCGGCCGTTCCTGCATCGTTGGAAGTCGCCGCGGTGAAGGCCACAATGAACAGGATGAGAAAGGCATGCCAATACCGTCGACTGGTGCTCCAGTTCAGGGGATCATCTGGGGAGTTGGTCGGGGGAGGGATTAAAGTCACCCCCTCACCACCATCGGCACTGGGGAAGAAGTGAATTGTTCCAGGGAGAGGGGACTCCTCGTCCATCTCTAGGAGAGTACGTAGTCGTGTGGGAGAAAATCTTGTTACCGAACCGAATTGACAGGATTAGAATGTGAAGAGCATCGTTGGCTGCCGCTTTGGGTGCATTAAAAAAAAGCCCGTCCCCCCCTTCTCCTCGATGCCACTAGGGTTACGCAGGGATCGCGATACAGACTTAAATGTCTCAAGACACAAGAGACTTGAAGAGAGGATGTTGGTTTGCTCGTCAGGAACTAAAACCAACTAAGCGAAAATCCTTGAGATATTAGTGAACTAAGGGCCCAAAACCCCGGTGAGACCAGCCCGATTAAGATTGCTTCCGTTGTGGCTGACGGCGGATTTATTTCAGCTCCCCTCGCTCGCTCTCTCTCTCTCTCTCTCTCTCTCTCTCTCCTGCTCTCCTGCTCTCCTGAGGGGATGCTCTGGTAACCTAACAGCTCCCTTTCACGAAGGGGGTTTTCTTTTCTTTTCTTTTCTTTCTTCGAATGTCAACTTGTCAGCTCAGAATGGCTCAGTCGTTCCATGTCACCTCCTCCATTCCGGGTAGTAATAACCCCCTAAAGCCCAGTAATCGTGGCTCCGATCTGGTTGCGCGCTTCGACGCTGTGACTCTCCAGCAGTCGGCAGTGGAGGAAGCAAGGTCGGAGCCCCAGAAGGTGATTGTGGTGGGAGCTGGGATTGCTGGCTTGCGTGCGGCTGCGCTGCTGCACCGGTATGGCTGTGAAGTCGTGGTGCTGGAGGCTCGCGATCGCATTGGAGGACGAATCCTAACCAGTAGAAAGGGGGACCATGTACGGGATATTGGTACGTAGGCCATCCTGATACCGTAGGGTTAAGGGGTTTTGAAAATAAACTATACAGGTGCCGCCTGGATGCACGAAACTTCCCAGAATAGCCTCGTGAAGCTCATCCCCGAACTATCCATTCCCTATTATTACGACGACGGGGCCCCCCTCTACTTTACCCGAGATGGTCGCGCCGGATCCCAGTTCAAGGCCAAAAAGGTGGCCGACGAGTTCGCCGACTATTGCGAGTGGTATTACGAAACTCACCCGGACGAGGAGGACCGGCCGGTCGCTGAGTTCGTGAAGGAGTTCGTCCGGCAGCATCAGCTCATTACCGATGACGAGCGTCTTTGGGCCCCGCAGGCACTCCGGGAGGTCGAATTGTGGATTGGCACCAGTACAGACCAAGCGTCCTCCAAGCATCTGTCGTATTTCATCACCGAGCGCAACCTCTACATGAAGGGTGGATATGATCGGATCGTCAATTGGACCGCCCAGTCGCTCCAGAGCGACCCGGACCCGGACCCGGACCCGGGCAGCAGCAGCAGCAGCAGCATCATCCGGCTGAACCACCATGTCGAGCATGTCGAGTGGAACGAGCATGGCGACGAACCGATGCGCATCCGATACAAGGATCCCCTGGGGGACACGCAGTGGATTGAAGGTGATGCCGTGGTGATGACGGTCCCCCTGGGCGTCTATCACCACAATCTGCTCTCCTTCGAACCGCCCTTGCCGAGTGACATCCAAGAGGGCCTGTCCAGGTTCAGCTATGGCGCCCTGGGCAAAGTGTTCTTTGAATTCACCGATGTCTTCTGGTCGAAGGACAACGATCAGTTTATTTTCTATCCCTCTCCGCCCGAGGACGCGGACTGCTTCTCGGGGTCCTCTGTTCGTTCTACCACCAGCGTGAGTTCCGTAGGAGAAAAGGACAACATCCTCAACTATCCCACCGTCACCATCAACTTGTGGATCATGACCGGTGGCAAGGAGCTGTGTGTGCAGATTGCCGAGCCCCTAACCCAGCGCATTGAAGCCATGGACGACCCCCACGAGATTTACGGCTTTTTCGAGCCGCTCTTCAAATTGCTCCGGACCGAGCCCTACAAAGCTCTCCCTGGCCTGGTAAATGTTGAGACTACACATTGGACCCAGGATCCGTTGGCTGGGTATGGAACCTACTCCGCCGACAAGGTTGGCGATGATGCAGAGCTGTTCTTCGATGCCGTGGCCAGGTGCAAGCGCAGCCGCTTGCAATTTGCCGGCGAGCACTGCACTCTGGTTGCCAATGGCTGCGTGCACGGTGCATTTAAGACGGGCGAAACTGCCGCCAAAAACCTGCTGGAGACTTTTGGCATCCCGTATAATGGAATCGATATGCTCGGCTGAAATAAGCGGTGCTTTCAGGTTCATGGGATTCATAAGAAATCCTGACTCGGAGCTGACCCGGGGGGGGGGGAAACCACTTCTTGAAATATATACATAGTCCAGATACCCTTACAGATATAAGACCATCTACCTGCAACAGCAGCTGCGTGCGTACTCCGTAGTCTCAGGATGCTCGTAAAGACTTCCGATAGAAAAGGCTGCGTAACCGCAACTTGTTTGACTGGGTAGAAACTTGAGTCGAGGGTAGTCCTGATTCAGTTGAAAAGTTGAATCCGAACTGCCCAACCATTGCTTCTTGATATGATGCAGGAGACTGACCTGGAAAGGTGATATCTTACTTGAGGAATACATATCTTGCAGGCCAACGGGTGAAGAAGAAAAGAGGTCCACATCAAGCACCAGAGCATTCCGCCGTGTTAAAGAATATAGAATCAATCTACTATAACTTGGATAGGAATTGGACCAGACGCGTTTTGTAACTTCATCCGACAAAGTAGGAGCCCTAATATCAGTAAAGATAGTGGTAAGTTGTAACTCTGTGCGCCTTCCTGCAGTTGCTCACCATCCTGGCCCCAATCCTTCTCGATTCTCTGCCCTTTTACTCTCCTCTCGTTCCCTCCATTTTGCAAGTGTCTTTCCGGAGCCGTGTCAAGATTTCCTCTCACCCCCTGAATCAGCCATCATGGCTCACCATCAGAATGACGAAAAAGCCTTGGGAGAGCCGACTGTGATTCAATCTACTGAGGTTCCTCCCCTCGAGAATGTCTCCTCTATCGCGTTCGCAGGCACCGTTGTCGGAATGCTTTTCTTCGGTGTCCTGAGTGACCGCTGGTCCCGCAAGGGTGCTTTGCTGACCTCAACTGGCGTCCTGATTCTCTTCGCAATTCTTTGTACCGCGTCATACGGCGCCCATGGAAGGACCTACGGTCTTTTCTCTGCCCTCGCCGCCTCTCGCTTCTTCCTTGGTATCGGTATTGGTGGAGAGTACCCTGCTGGATCGGTGGCAGCCGCCGAAAGCAGTGGTGAATTGAAGAAGGGCCATCGCAATCGCTGGTTTATCTGGTTCACCAATTTGCAGATCGACTTTGGCTTTGTTGTGGCTGCCTTTGTCCCCATGATTCTGGTCTTGATCTTTACGGAAAACCACCTGCGAGCCGCCTGGCGTGTGGCTTTGGGTCTGGGTGTTATTCCTCCTCTCAGTCTGCTCTATCTCCGACTCAGGCTGAAGGAGCCCGAGGAATTCAACCGGGAACGTATGCACAAGTTTCCAGTCTCGCTAATCATCAAGTAAGCTCCCTCAGATCCCCTCTTCCTGCCTTTGGTCTAATCTTCCCTTTTTTTTTTTTTTTTTTTTTTTTCCCTTGCTAGGTTTTACTGGAAGCGCTTGGTATGTTTTCTCTCGTGAAGTGTCTTGGTTGCATGAATGGTGGAACTTACTTACCTTGGGCCCTGAGCTTGTGGTGTCCTTTATCTGGTTCATCTATGACTTTTCTGCTTATTCTTTCGGCAACTACTCGTCCGCATGGCTCGCGATCATCCTTGGCCACTCGGCTCCCCTTTGGAAGAGCTTTGGATGGAATACCGTGATTAGCCTCTTCTATATCCCGGGGGCTATCATAGGTGCGTTTGTTAGTGACTGGATTGGCCCGCGCAAGACCTTGGCAATTGGCGTATTCCTTCAGGGAGTCGTCGGGTTCATCATGTCTGGCTGCTACCAGTACTTGAATACGGCAAAGAATGTGGCAGCATTCGTTGTTATCTATGGGTGTGTTACAACAACGCTGGCCCGATTCCCCCCCCCCCAAGTCCTTTTGCTAATGTTAATTTAGAATCTTCCTGGCTCTGGGCGAAGGTGGCCCTGGCGATAACATTGGCTTGTGTGCCGCCAAAACGAGTGCTACATGCATTCGCGGCCAGTACTATGGTATCGCTGCGGGCGTTGGAAAGATTGGTGCTTTTGTTGGCACCTACGTCTTCCCAGTCATCCAGGATCGTGCTCCAAACGCCATCAGGGCTGGCCAGGACCCATTCTTTGTGTCCAGCGCTCTCTGCATCTTTAGCGCTTTCCTGGCCATTTTCTTGCTGCCCCATATCGGACAGGACACCATCACCGAGGAGGACAACAAGTTCCGTGAATACCTTGAAGAGAATGGGTACGATACATCTACCATGGGTGTCAAAAAGGGTTGAATGAGGTGGAATGTGATACAGAAATCACCAACCCTGTGTGTGATTCAAGTATTCGATTCTGCCAACCTTGGAAGCTCACCTTGGCGAGAATTCCTAGTACTTTGATGTGACAGCACAGTCGGCTTGTTTCAGCAAAAGGCCCGATTCCAAAGATTTTCGTCTTGTTTTGCTGGTGGTGGAGAGCTATTGGCCAGGCCCGCTAGAAATTTGGCTGACCCACGGGCTGATTCGTATTTTTTGTTTCTTTCAGCCTGGCGCGATCGAGAATCCAAAGTCCGAGGGAATGATTAGTCTCCGGATGTACGTACTTTGCACTCTGTGCTCCGTCTCCGTACTCCGTACTCCGTACTCCATGCCTACATATTCCCTGGCAGTTCGATGATCCCTTCTCATTTGGTTCTCCGAGGTCTAACAAGGAGATTAGAAGATTCTGGCAAAGGGGTCAAAAAGAACTCGGGTTCTCCCTTTGGTCATACGTACTGTACCTTGACTCCTCTACAGCTACTTGCCATGAACTCTCAAATAATCCCTATGGCGTGGATCCCCGAGCAGCATGACACGCGTCTCGGAATGATTACGCCCACCACCACCACCACCACTGTAGCGAATGATAGGAGGAATCCGGTCTGCTGACAACTTGCCTTTCCTGTCTAACTAGTGGACTAAAATTAAGGGACAAAAAAGTCAACAACCAACCGGAGATTAGAGGCGGGTAGAAAGCTCTGTATTCCCGTTAGGTAGGGTTTGTCTTTCTCCACTGAGTCTCCGTACAGCATATGTACAGAGTACGGAGTACACCAGAGCACTTACAAAGAGATATCCTGTGTAGTTGTACATTAAGATCGGATCGGATAGATCCCCCCTCCGTTCTCCGTCTTATGGCGTTCGTTTTTCTCTCGGTGTATTTCTCCATGCTTCGTATTTGATTCCAGATCTGATAGCTGCCAGCCAGGGTTGTCTTACCTTCGTTCTTTAGACCTATCACAGCAATCTAGACTTGTTCTTTCATTTGCCTTGGCTTCTCGATATTCGTCACTCTCTTTGGGTCCAAGGACTCTGCACTCCTTTCTCTTTCGTTTCTCCTCTTTTCACATCTCTTCAAACCAGAACTGCCAGCATTCTCGCCGTTCAAACCAACGGACGTGCGACCTTTTCTCATTATTTACACCTTTCCTGGCGTCAACGACATGTCAGGCCATGCGGCAGACAAGATCGAACTCGGCAAGCCGCAGTTCGCATCGCACTCATGGCTAGAGCCAATTGTCAGTCTGGCATCTCATTCTCCCTCCACTGACTAACGAGATTTGCAGATTGTGGTCAGTATTATGATCAGCTCATTAATTATCAATCGACACAGAGCCCTCAAAATCCTCTCCAAGAACCAGCACCCTACAATCAAAGTCTCAGAACCCGAGGACGTGGAGGCGAGTCCGACCTCGTCGCAGGGCCAAATCAGTGAAAAGAACCCCCCGAAACGGCGCGTCTACGGATTCCTGGCAATAAACACCCCGAATTCCTCGCGGTTTGCCCGCCATCTCCATAGCAGAGTCCTGCAGAAATTCCCCTTCTTGGTGGAGATGTTCTACTGGATCCTCAACTACCTGTTCTACTCTTGCACAAAAGTCATCTCGCAGCACCTGTCTCCCGCTGGCCGTGACGTGGTGCAGCTTGCTCAAGATCACGCGATTGGTATCCTGGATTTCGAGCATCATGCTGGATTCAACTTCGTTTTCCCCATAGAAGAGTCTGATTTCCAGGCCTTTTTTCTGAATGGTCATCCGCATTGGATGACTTTTTTTAATCGTATATATTCCCTAGTACATATCCCTGGAACAGTGCTGTAAGTTACTAACCCGCTCCCCCCTCCCCCCCCTTCTTCTGGTGCGAGGTTCGGCACCCGCTGATCTTGGACATATATAGCTTCATTTCTTGGTACTATTGGGCTGCGCCTGACTTCGAGAAATTCGCTGTTGTCCGTCGAACTATGACTCTCGGCAATTTTATCGCCTTCTTGGTCTTCTGTTTCTTCCCCTGCATGCCCCCACGTCTGCTCCCCGAATCCTTCAATTTCCACGATACCGTTCGTCAAGAGCACGCTGAAAGTGTTTGGGTCGGAGGCAAAATGGTTAACCAGCTGGCTGCCATGCCTAGCCTACACTTTACATATGCCTTCGTGATCGGAGCCACACTCATTTATCATTCGGGTCTGGGAGTCAATTGCCTCAGCAGAAAGCGGACCACGGGTTCCCTGCTGACGACCACTCTCTTCTTCGTCCTGGGAATTGTGTATCCTCTGCTTGTTTTGAGTGTGATTGTGGCTACGGCAAACCACTACTGGCTGGACGCCGTCGCTGCGATGATCTCCGTGGCATTTTCCTTCTATATCAATCGTATCTGGTTCATTCTTCTTCCCTTGGAAGATTTATTCCTCTGGGTTCTCCGACTCGAGAAGCCCGTTCCGACAACGGGCATGAGACACTTTGGTGCTGCTCGCCAGGCCAGGTCTGACCATGCCGATGAGGAACTGGAGGGCTTATTGAACCGTTCTATGTAATATGTATGGCTTTCGTTCGAGCGCATCCGCAAATGGCGAAATCAATACCCCCCCGGTAGACTTGCCACTTCCGAGTTTAATCGAATACAAGTCGATGCTTTTCGAAATACCTGACGAATGCCGGGGTCTAATCCACTGAAATCAAAACATCAAAAGTAATCTTACACTTGGAAAACGAGCCTCGATAAATAGTAGGCGGAGCATCGCAGAAGGACCTCAAGCCAAACTAAGCTTGGACGTGGCTTAACTTCTCTCTGCGGATTGGCGACATGAAGGCTTTAGCCTCGCCTTTCGCCACGGAAGGTCCTCCAGAGCCCATTCGGACACTTGATGAGGTCGTCCACGCGTTGCGCAGTTCGAGCTGTTAAGACAACTTCCTCCATTTTTTTACCTCTGCGCAGCGATGTTCCTGCTCAACATTCAGCCTCGTACGGCTTGTTTTGCGCGTTGGACCTTCACCAAGCAAGGAGTTTAGTTTGACCAGGACGTGGAGGATCAGATAACTGGGTATTGAATACTGGGAAGGTACATGATGATTATCGCTGTGGTATTCCATAATTTGTGTCTGCGCTCCCTTTGTTTTGAGACAACGTAAATTTACAATCCCGTCTCGTTAGAAACCAATGGGAGCGAATATCGATATGTATTGATTGGGCGCTTTTATACGTTTGTATACGTAGTCCAAAACGAGTCCATTTCCTGACACTGTTACCTCTGTATATATATCCAGTGATAATCAATAGAAAACATATTGCGCGCAAGACAGATACTTGAGAGATACTCGGCAGCAGACTGGTAATGCCAACAACTTTTTTACTGGACTTCAGCCGTGCCGGGGCTGACACGAGAGGAGGAGCTTTCTGGCCCGTATGCAAGAGTCTATGCAGACCTCTCCAAGCCAGAGTTCTGATGGAGCAGTTTCAGAAGATGGACGGCAATGAGGAAGAATGTATCAAGGCGCCTCGGTTCCAGGCACTGAAGGGCAATCTTGAGAAATATCTCGACACGTCTCCGATGAGATTTTCTGAATGGGTAGAGAGACACAAGAAAGAATTTCCGGCTTTATTTTGGCGCGTTCTCTTGATACCGTGCGCACCTTGAGTAGCATGCGTTTATACTATTATACTCGCTGCAATGTAGTTATCCGCAATCTGTCCTCCAGGATACATGCATGTCGTGGAAGAAGATATAGCATTCTTTACATGTCATGGGGCCTTAAATACTAAAATATCAAGAAGTGAAGGGGAACGAGGTTAGCAGTAACAGTCCCGTCCAATGGTTTTTGGCATTGTAAAAAGAAAAAGCACATCGAATTATATTCCAATTGATTTCTTGACCATGATCAAGGCTCCGCGGGCGGTTCCCTTTACCATTTCCTTCCCTTGCTGTACGCCGGCCTCCCGCAGGAGTCGTTCAATCTGCCCCCGGAACATTTTCAGCACATCACGTTCGGTCCCTGCATCTGCTGGATGGGCCTGACGCCATCGAACCACAGGACTGGCGGTCGCCATCATTTTCTCAAATGTATCCAAGTCCACCTCTGAGTTCCCAAGAAAGAAACTGTCGCTTAGGCCCCAGTCTTTACGGAAGAAAGACGACCGGTCAAAACAGGGGATAGGCTGGTCAAGGTCCCATGGAAGCGGCAGGCTGGTATAACAATCTCTAGTCAAGAGATTGCCAGGCAGAAAGAATGGCTTTAGCTCCTGCTCCTCGATCTCGTCCATGGCAGCTTGGATCGCCACCGCATTCGGCATAGATGGGTGAATGCGGATCTCACCACTAGTCCAAAGAGCGACAGTTCCGCCAGGCTTCAGCATACGACCAGCCCTTTCCCAAAACCTTGGGATATCAAACCAATGTGCCGCGTTTGCAGCAACAATAAGGTCGACGCTCGAGTCCCCGACTGGTGGGGAGAGAGTTGATCCCAGGTCTTCCGCAGTAGATATCTCGAACCGCACCGGCTCAGACATTGAGGTGATACATTCTAGGGACCGAGCAGTTGCAATCATGCCTTCAGAAGGGTCTAGCCCGATTGCATGTAGGAACTCTCGAGCCAGGCGAACTGTTGCCGTACCGGGACCACAGCCCACATCGAGGAGGGTCCCAAACTGTCCCCCGGTAGAAACATGACGATCAAGGATAGTGTGGTACACACTTGGGTGATAGTTCCGTCGGTTTAGAGCGTATATTTTGCCTTGTGTCTGATTGTAGGAACTGAATGTCGTTTCGTTCGAAGGTCGACTGGAATCGGGTCCAGGAGAAGTCATCATCGTCACGACAGCGGGAAAGCAGTAGGAAAGATTTTGCAAATATCTTCAGCGGTACTTTTTTTTAATTTCCGGGTCAACTCTTGTATCCAACTGTGGTTGCCTCATTATATAGATTTCGCTGAAGCCGTAAGCAACTATTCCGGTTTGAGGGGACGAGTGCGAGACTAAACCAGGGCAGGAAGCGTTTCCCCATTAGCACTATGGATCACATTTCTTGCGGACATTTAAGACTTTCTCTTGCTTCAAATAAGCTGGGGGGGGGTTTTTTTTTGTTCACTAGATCAGGATCAGCTAAATCATGGTATACTATGGCGCACTTAGTAAGGGTTGCCAACAGTGTCGCCAGCGCAAGATCAAGGTACACACGAGGAGAGTGGTATCCGGCAAACCCCGTTCATACTTCTGGCTAACAAAAGGACTATGGATTTCAGTGTGACGAAGGGAAACCCGGATGTTTGAAGTGCGCAAAGTCAAATAGAAAATGTCCGGGTTATCGGGATCTCAAGGAAATTCTTTTTAGGGACGAATCTTCACGCATTATTGGGAAAGCTCGACGAGTAGCGCGCTCAGATATGCCGTGCGACCAGAAGACAGCGTGTTATTATGGACCTAATTTGTTACAGGTATATCACAGAGGTTTACCCATGTCGTATGCACTCTCTCAAGACCCGAATACCCTCGCTGGCAACTTCTTCTTCGCCAGGTATAACAGCTTTAGTGGCCCTCCATATTGCCCCGAACCAGACTGGCTGGCCCAGTCTTACCTTGAAGAATCGCCCAGCAATGCCATTCGGGAGGCCATTGAAGCTGTCGGGTTGGCAGCAATGTCCAACATCTCCTACGCACCCGATATCGCCTACAAAGCAAATCAACAGTACTGCAGGGCGTTGGTCGCCATGAACCAAGCCTTAGATGACCCAGGAACAGCGATTGCGGATGCAAGCCTTATGTGTGTCATTTTGTTAGGTCTCTTTGAGGTAATGTTGGTATCTGGGTCAATTGCAACCAATTTTTCTAACCGTGTTCGCAGGTGGTCAAATCCAACGAGTCGAGTCGAAGCAATTATTGGGCAACCCACACCGGAGGGGCGTTGGCTCTCTTGAAGCTTCGGGGCCATGAACAATTCACGCGGGAACGCGGCGCACAGCTTTTCATTCAGATTCGGTCACAAATTGTAAGCTTTTCTCTAACCATGCATCCTTTCTTTCGGTGGGACCTGGCTTTCTAAAGCGTGCCATAGCTCTTAGCTTGTATGGAACGAAATATAGCCGTTCCTCCTGCCCTGGTAGAAACTACGTGTAACTTCCAAACTAGCACCGTTCGGAAACTTTGGAAAAGTCGCTCTGTGGCTAGTCCCGGTTCTATCTGTGAGATTTCCTTTCGACTCGTTAATCTCCAGGCCGCCATGGCAGGTGGTAAGATAACCGACCCAACGGTTGTCACCAACAAAGCACTCGATATTGATCATGACCTTCAGCTCTGGGAGGCATCTGCTCCGGCCACCTGGGGCTTTTCAGTAGTCGATGCTGCCGAGGCTGAGGCTGGTAGCTTCCTCGCTGGGAAACGACATGTATACTCCAGTCTTTGGGTTGGGGAAGGCTGGAACAACTGGCGTGCTCTGAGGATAGTTGTGAATCAATTAATCCTCCGGAATGAGCGCGCTCAGGCAGAACCTGACAGCAACCGCTTGTCTCGGTCCAGATCCATTGTCTGTCAACTGTCGACAGAGCTATGCATGTCGACATCAGGTTTTATAGGCTCTCCACGTGAGTAATATTACCGACTCGATCTTCCGTCCACCTTTTCACATGGCTTTAGACATCCTTTCGCTTATCCAACCTCTCTACCTCGTGTCGACGGAGACATTAAACCCTCAGGCTCTGCGCTTCTTCGCTGCCGAACAGCTGCACCAAATCGGTGTGTCGATGGGGGTTGGGCAGGCGGCACGGTTGGCTGCAGTTGCATTCCAGAGACTCAAGGCCAGAGATCCTCCACTTTCGTTGCACTTTACCGAAAAGCAACACACTCCCCATGGCAGCAAAGAGAATTCTGGAGAGATCGGCATGGTAGAACAGCAATACTGGGAAGATAAGGCTGTGTTCATAGCTGAAGATAACGGCAGCAATGTAAATATTCCTAAGACCTTTGAATAAGGGTTGCAATACTGCAACAAGGGAAAAGATGACTATTATTAGGAACCTCTCTTGGTCGATGAGATTATAGCCTGTATGAGATAGTTTCTGTCCATATTCTCTGAACCTAGAATAAAGGTTGAATACTGGGGATTCTTGCGTACTCCAGCCATGTTTATGTAGAGAAAAAGCCGTCGCGGCGTTGTTGATGGATTGAGGGTATCGACGATGAACTATAATATCACACAACATGATGTTCCCAAATTGTCTTGACTCTCTGGTTCCCCGGCTACTTCCTCGCAAGCAGTGACAACCGGACCTCCTTTGTTATCCAAAGCCTTGCTCTCATTTCCTCGAAACGCGGCAATTGACACGAGACGCAGCGAGAAATCCCCGTGTTGCGTCCCAAAAAAACTAAAATTTTCGATCAGACCCCCAGAACATGATTAATATAGCCAACGGGAGCTTACCTTCGCATCATAATACTCATTCTCTTGATATTAGTCAAGTCCAGACAGGGTGGGTTCTTCATCTCCCTTCCGCGATATGTCGCTTTAAAACCCGCCCATTTCACCACCACCTTGCCCGTCTCTGGCGTGCGGAAGTCGATCTCCCAACTGACGCTACTTTGTTCGCGGCCGTCGGGCCTTTTGGGCAAGATTTCGTTCTTCAGAGTGATCGTGTACAACTTGCTATCGGCCTCGTCGATATTTAACTCTAACCCGTCATACGCCGACAGGTCCCAACATCGCTCACCGGTCGTGCGCTGCGATGCGAATCCAGCTCCCCCGAGAGTTTCGATATCCAAATTGCCTTGGAAGGCAGCCGTTTGGCCGGTGGGAGAGCGGACTAGTGTGGAGTACGAGGATCCGCCTCGCACTCGGTCATCGGATGAAGTCCAGTCATCCTGCGACCAAGGGCTACTGATGTGTTAGAAGACGGCTATATCTCATCCCGCTGGGGGCATACTGTGGTCCTCCAAATAGGTATGCTCGGGGTAATTCAGGCATCGTGTGAATGTGTCTGGGGGATAAAAAAAAAAAAAAAAAAAAAAAAAGCCAGACCCACGTAGGGGGGTTTTTTTTTTTTTAGTTACTGCGGCGATCGATCGATCGATGGGATGGGATGAGATGACGTCGATTTCCAGCGGCTCGATGCGGCCGCATTCCAGAACGAGTTGGTAGAAATTGAACCTTGAGAAGACCGAAAGGATACGTACAGCATCGGAATATAAGGGCTCTTAATTCCAACAACCCCGAAATTGGGTCATTTCCATTATCTCAATCGTTAGCAGACTCCCTGTGCAGAGCGGATAGCTTTAATCAGTGTCTGCTTTACCGTCCAGCTAAAACGGTGTCAAGACATCCATTTCTACCTGATACACACTATTATATTTGGTCCACAATCAGGAAATAATAAGGTATCATATCGGCTCGGTCAGCCGGCGAGAGCATTTATCTAGCTATCCACTGGGTTCCAACCGTCATTTGCGAGCGGTTGCCTTAGCTTAGCACAGAGCTCCTTCAAGGCGTTTATATCCTCGTCTGTGCATCTCAAGGGCTCCCCATCCTCCCACTTAATATCTCCTTCTTGTCGGATCGTGTATATCATGTGCGCCATATATTGACTCGGTCCGTACCCGTCACAATATACCATGTAGGAATCATGCCTGAGGGCAACCTCGATCTCTGTCTCGCATTCCAGAGGTGTTGTATCATGCTCCCACCAGGCAAGGCAATGGCCGTATCGGAAATGTTGCAGCAGCGGCAGCCCTTCCTTGAACGCCTGGAAGTAGTCCTTCCAGCGTTTGTCATAGCTCGCGTAGCCTTCGCCATCGAACCTGGGGTCGGGCTGGAGATCGGCCGGGTCAAGATACGTTCTCTCCTTGTCTCGAATCGCCACCTCATAGAGGATCGGGCAGTCGTCGAGATACAGCCCTGTCAACGTTGGAGCATGGGACAAGATCCAATCGAGCTGAGAGTCATGAACAAATGTATAGTTCCCCAACGCTAGGGATTCAAGTCGTGGGAAATGGGTGCCCCGCAGATCGCATTTCGGATAGAATCCAAAATAGTTACTCGAATATATCGTCAAGTGTTCCAAGCTCGACAGCGCGGGCTTTAGCCAGAAGGAACTCAGCTCGGGAAAGAATTCATGCGGGGCATCTCTCTATGCCCGTGTTTGTCAGTCTCGACTCAAACGGTGCAGGAGATATAGAGGGAATCCCAGCTCACTTCGAGGTCAGTCTCGCCATTGCCTTCACTGTGCTCATTGGTAATGTTTAGTCGTAGAGACTTTAACCCCCCGAGAATCTTACGAATGTTGGCCACTACGGTCGAGTCGGTGTCGTTGATATTTTGCAGGTCTTGAATGATCAATTCCTGCGGTAAATGAGGTAAAGAGGCCACAACATCTGTGAACCTCTGCATGACTGTGGAGCGAAAGTTGATATCCTGCGGGATATCGTCGACCCAATGGTCACTTGTTTCCTCAACGCACGTATGGTGGAAACAGAGGGCCACGCTTTGTAGCTGAGGAAACTCCTTCAGCCGTTCAAACAGCGACCAGAATCGACGAGGACGGACCAGTTCGTCCTCCGGGTCACTTAGTTCGTACTCATCCTCCCCATCACTGTCACCTTGCTCGCTTGTGATGTCCTGCAAGAAAGGTAAGCGACACGTCGCTCCGGAGCGGCAGCAGAGCTCACAGTGTCCTCATCGTAGGTTTGCAAATAGACCTTGCGCACAAAGCGAATGAGATCCGGGGTTTCCAGCACTTTCTCGAAGTGATCGCAGCTCCGGGGTGTCGGCGCGAGCTGCGTACTGCGGAAAACCCATCTTTGGCCAATTGTATTGAACAGCGAGTGAACCAGTCGGAGGTTTCTACGCGAGTCACGGTCCACACAGGCGAATATATGGCTAATAATCTCTAACGGCAGAGCGAGAATTGCGGCCATCTTGACAAGATTTTTCGACAAAATCGCCAAACTCGGTCGGCACAGCTGAATTTATAAATTGACTAGTCCAGGATGCAGGCAACAGAGCCGAGGATTCTGCCTACCAACTAGTGATTTGGCTCCATATTTGCTGCTAATATAGAGAGAGAGACCAGTTGCTGTTCCACTGTCCAAGTTAGTCAGCCGGGCACTAGAAAATCGCGTGTAACTATATCTATATATATATACACATATAGTGATGTATATATGACTCGAATGATGTCTGGTCTCTCTACTAAAAGGCTTCTATAAAGCGTTGTTTGCTACAGTTATAACTACCTGGATCCGTGTCTATAGTGAAGGGCTCGAAACCGGCCAAGCTGCTATGTATGTACCTGCCTGAGCTTCTGTCTATTTTCTCTCTTGATCGTCAGTGTAAAAGTACAAGAAAAAAAAAAGTCATTATTCATTAACAACCGGGGTTCAACGCATCGTATATAGAATCTAAAAGTCCAACCAGGTATCAAATAATTCAGTCCAGTCTAGCTCATGTGGGGGGCCTGTGTCTTGCATGTCATGTAATCCGAGCTCCCGGGAGGCCATGGCAGTAGACGAACCCTCACCTTGACTGGCAGTCGCACATGCCCTTGCCCTCATTGCGGTACTGAATGTGATATTAGCACCCATGCGCGACTGCACTGCCAACAAATCTTCAATATTGGTGTTGGTGGGGGACACGTCGCAATAAACACGGTATCTGTCGAGTAGGGCGCATGCGCGGGACATGAAATCACCCTCTATAACCGAGAGTGCCTGCATCATTTCCCAACCGCAGGATATTGCATTAGACACGGTGTGGCGGTCAACCAAGTCCTGATGTCTGGACACCTTGAGGAGAAGGAGGAAGCATATCGCATTCATGAGGATCTTATGGAGGCGCGCCGGGGCATAAATCAGGTAACTCTTCATTGAGGACGCGGCCTGGATCGTCGTAGTCGCGGTCAAATAGGCACGGATAAGCCAGTGGGAAGAGGTCTCATGCTGCAAAGAATCCTTCCATTTCCCCCTGTCGGCCAGCGCAAATGTATACAGCATGATCCGACAACCAAGAAACAGAATCTGATCGGCTGGCGACCAGGAGGGGGAGAATTGGTAATCCAGCGCTTGGAAATCAGTTTCAAAGTTGCGAATGAACGGATCTGGCTCTTTCAATAACCCGGTCGCCGAGGTTTCAGAACACCCAAGAGTCAGCGTTATGCTCAACGCTCTTCTTGCGAGATGGAGCTGAAAGTACAGAGTGTCTGGTAACCAACGCGGCTTTGCGGCCAATATTTCTAGGAGTCCCGGGTCGAGGCGAGCTGTAGGTGGAAGGCCCAGCTGGGCACTCAGGCTAATGCTTGTAAGACAAGATTTCATTCCACGTGCATGGCAGCAAGATACTGACCTAACGTTGGTTATAAAACATACCACCCACGTAATCCGTTTGAGGATCGTTGTTGTGTTATCTTCGGACGAACTGCCCTCAAAGTCTGCTCTGTGATGTGGCCTATGAAGTCCCAATCGCAGGCCGAGATGGGTAGCGATTGCCAGAAGGGAGTGTGATGGATCCTCGTTTCTTCGGAATGGAAGCGGCCAGTAGCAGAGAAGTAGCAGACCCTGGAGCGTCAACAGGGACTTATGCTGAGGCGAGGCTGCTTCGAACGCCATTGTCTGAACAACATCAACAAGGGATGAATATAGCTCTCTATGTTCCGATTTCCTCCTCATGGCGGTCACCAGCACAGTCCAGAAGAGGAGTGGACAGGAGTCAGAATACTTGACGAAGACACCAACCCTCGGCAAAATGGGACAGAGAGCATCATAGTGTGTGAAATACCTTTTGAGAAAGTTAAATGGAATTCCGTGACCGCAGTTGAAGATGGGATATGGCTTACTCGTCTAGCAGGACGCCAATCAACGTGGATGGAACATGTACCATGCCGATGGCCTTTCCATTGGAGTGGATTGCAACATCCGGAGACACCTCGATAACTGAGGTATCGGTCACTGGCACATCTGCCAGCTCGATATTATCAGGATTTGGCCGTTGCGGTTGACGCTGATCAGCTCTATCTCGTTTTATCTGTTCGAGCTCCTGCTCAACTTCTTCAAGCCGTCTATCCATAATTAGCCCCAACACCCAGCAATCTCATGTGCTCAGCAGATGTACAGACTTTCTTTTATTTTCCCTCCTGAATGAAGGGTCCACGGAGCATACCTTGTTGGTCTTTGCGCATCGCGAGCATGCAGACGGAAATTGCTTGTTTCGATCACACGCCAGCTAGGCGAGATCAGTAATACATACACCCAGTCACTCTAATATGGAGACATGCTGACCTTCATCTGACGGCAATTCACACAAGCCACTAGATTTGGCTTTCTCCCTCTCATGACGTCTATTATCGAAGTCTTGGTCTTGGTCGAGTTCAACAGGTCGCGTAACTGCGTCGAGTGGCGTCCCTCCCGAGCGGGCCGGGAATTCTTTTACAAGAATGCACCGTCCACCAATCATCTAGGGATATTTGTATATTTTATCTATGATGCAGAATACTATTCTGGGCCTACCAGCCGTCTATAACTTCAAACTTTGCCCGCACTCCATCTGCCGGCGCAGAGCCCACTCCTTGCTTTTTCATTTCCTCTTCCTTATGCGGATTCTCTAATTCCAGGCGAAAGCGACCAACCAGAGCAGCCACGAGACACGCCAGCTCAGCCTTAGCAAACGTCGCCCCGATGCAACTCCGCGGACCCTGTAGAAAGGTCAAGAATCCATGGTGACTTTTTACACCTCCCGAGTTCGCACAGCCTTCCTTCATCCACCGCTCCGGGTTGAATTCGCCCGCGTCAGGGCCCCAAAGTTCAGGGTTTAGATTGATGACCCCTGGGGCGATGGCGAACGACGTCCCTCTGGGAATCCGATACCCTGCGACCGTGGTATCCTGCACGGCCTCCCGGACCGTAGTTGGTACAGGAGGGTAGAAGCGCAGAGTTTCGCTGCAGACTGCATGCAGGTATGGGAGACCGTCGATATCTTCCGCTGAAACCGAGGCTTCCCGGTTGCTGAGTGACGGGAGATTGTCCCGAAGCTCCTGGCGTAAACGTGTCTGCATCTCTGGATTTTTGCATAACGCATAGATTGCCCACTGGAGGGCGTGGGAGGTGGTTCCATGCCCAGCGGCCAGAAAGGTCATCATCTGGTCGACAAGGTTTGCATCACTGAAAACCTCGCTTCTCAGAGCGATGTCAATGATATCTCCGTTCTTCTCTTGGCCTAATTCCCGCTGTTTTGTTGCAACAACCTCTGCACAGGCCTGGCGGATACTGTCAGAAGCCGCCCTGATCTGCTTCACACGCTTGGTGGGAAATCGTGATAGCAGACTGTTGGGATACCGGGAGAATAAGGATAAAACGAATAGAATGAGCGATTCTGTGCGCGAAGGTTCCTGCCGTAGCTGCCGGTATTGTCGCACCAGGTGATTGTTCGGATCCTTTAATGACTCAAAATCACATCCCATACCCGCGAGTCCGATGATATCCAGCGTTGCGCGAGTGGACCAGGCCCGGACTTCAATGACCTGATCTCCTTGCTCCTTCTTGGACTGTATTTCCTGCTTCAGTAACTCTGTTAGGCCTGTAGCCTTTGACCAGAAGATTGGATACAGCGCTTTGATATGGCGAAAGGCGAACGCCGGCATGAGTGCTTTGCGTTGGATCTATTCATTCATCACGTTAAAGGGCAAGGTCATGGAGATCAGACATGTATACCACCACGCACCCGATGGACTTCCCCTTCTGCCAACAGCAATCCATTACCAGTGATGTAGGATAGGCGGCCTTTAACAGCCTTGGGCTTCGCGAAATGGCTCTCACGTACAACCAATATGTCATTCAATGCCTCTGGGCTAGTTGCGAGTAGACGTTCACTGTTTCCAGTTTGGTAGTATCGGATGAGACCTTGGTTGGGTACGGTGGCGCTCCAATGTCTTAGGCAGTTGAGCAACGAGTCGGAGCCAGACTGAAGGTAATTTCCACGTAAGAGAGACCGATTTGGTGGAGTAGGAATGTCGCGAAGAGGTGTGAGAAATTCAGGATATAGTATTGTCTTGTAGATGACGGACACCAAAAGAAGAGAAGAAATTGTCAATATGACCGCCACCGCATTAGCGACAAGGGTATCCCAGAGGGGGGAAATCATTCTGAATACTTTCTAAAGTGAAAGAAGGTCGAAGATGGTAATAAAGACAAGAAATGAGGCTTGAGCGAGAGTACGAGTTTCGCCGAAGGGAGTCTGATTCTTATAGCCTCTGATTTGGAAACCGAGATCGGTATAGAAAGCGTCATCGGTATAACTTGCATTTGAATAAAGTAACCGGCTCTCAGGTCTCAAAAAGGGTCCTACTACATCATGCAAAGAGCAGGCGAATTCGGGATTAAACTCGTCCAGCACATGTCGCACGGTATGAACGTTGAGAGAACTGGTTTTTCCGCAAAATCTGGATCAACACGCTCTACATTTCCATTACTACTAGTCTCTCCTCTCTGTAATTCATTGGAGAGCAGACGCATATCGGCACCTGATTTTCCAGTTCTCGCTCTACTAGAAAAATAGACATCGGATTTTTCTGCCAGATTCCGGCCAAGTATACAAGGAGAGCAGCGTTTATGTAAATCGGTTCTTACCTTTGGCTCGGGGCGACTGATAGACAAGTGTAAGACGATCAAGGACTCCTGAGTACTTCAACGGGCTTTCTAGAAGTAATTCAACCTGGGTTTCGCCAGTTGACTGTGTTTGGATGCGCTGCTTCTGTAAGAGAGTGCATTGGCAAGAGGGGCGTGGGTTGTGCTGCTCAGTTCCTATACACCCTATACATCCTCTATTGAATAACGTGCTTGCAATACCAAAGTGCTAGTACTTTAGTTGCGTCCGTATTTGTCGCCACAAACACTCAGTCGTAACACTCCGGACGATCTACTACTGGGATGACTCCAGGATCATAGGAAACCCAAAGCAGTAAGTATTTGCTCCAAGCTACTGATATCGATGTAGAACTAAAATGATGCAGATTCCGTTCAGCTGGGAGATCCAAAGACCTCCATATGGATTCGATCCAGGGGGACACCCAGGGCCTGCAGCTTCTGACTTTGCGCCTTCATGAATGGGGATGGCCCACAGATATAGTAATCTGCATCTGGCAAAACCACCTCGTCCTTAATCTTGGCGATGTCAGCCCTGCCAATGTAGTCATAATCGACTCCCGGCTTATCATTCGCAGCTGCCTCCTCGTAGAAGATTGCGCGGGAGACCTGCGGATTGTCCGCCATGATCTTGGCCAAGGTCTGCCTCATGGCATGGACGCGACCATTGCGAACAGCGTGGATAAACATCACCCGTCTCGATTTCGAGGAGTTGGTGACGGATTTCAGCATCGAGATCATCGGTGTAAGACCAACTCCGCCGCTTATCAGAACAACCGGGGTAGTGGAATTAACATCGAGAACAAAATCCCCAAACGGCATGCTGATTTCTAGCTCAGAACCCGTTGGGAGCGATTCATGCAGTACGTTGGAGATGCGACCCGCCGGTCGTTCCCCGGATGCAAACTCTTTCTTCACAGAGATCTGGAAGTACTTTCGGTTAGGCACGTCGGATAGGCTGTACTGTCGTGGCTGGTAGACCCCAAGCTCGGGGACGTAGCAGCGGACACTGACAAATTGCCCTGGCTTGTACGCAGGGAGCTGGCCCTTGTCGATGGGGGTTAGATGGAAGGAGATGATTTCGTCGCCCTCATTCACCTTTTCCGAGATGGTGAATTTCCTCCACCCTTTCCATCCACCGGGGGTTTCAATTGCTTCCCGATACAGATTTCCTTCAAACGCGATAAAGATGTCGGCCAACTGTTGGTAGGCTGCCGTCCATGCATCAACGACGGGTGGGGTGACTGCGTCCCCGAGAACTTGCTTGATGGCACTGAGAAGATGCTCTCCTACAATGGAATATTGATCCGCTGTGACCCCAAGACTCGCATGCTTGTGGCCGATCCGAGAAACCGCCGTCGCCAACGCTTCTGGCTGCTCAATGTTGGTTGCGTATGCCCACACTGCGTGGGCTAGTGCGGCAGGTTGCTCTCCAGTCGCCTGGTGTGCGGTGTTGAAGATGTTTTTGAGCTCCGGATGCTTATCGAGGATGTTCTTATAGAAGAGCGTTGTGATTTCAACTCCATGCTTTTCTAATGCGGGGATAGTTGCCTTTACGATTTGGATTTGCTGAGGGGACAGGCCTGTCTTTACCGTCGAGGCGTAAGCGCGGCGACTCAACACGGTCGGTACTGTTCGACGCAGAAATCTTGTTGAGAACATGGTATCTATCAAATCTGTAGAAACATTTTATTAAGAGCGACCTAATTGTGGTGTAGCTGGCGATGGTGTTTATTTAGTATGCGTGGAGAGTCGTGATGTCAACCCTAGTGGGAAGGCCGCGCGTAACACACAGAGTTTGTGTAAACTATTGGGAAACGTTCCTCTTCTTGAATAACTTTCTCCAAGAACCGTCGTAATACATGTATTGTTCCTCATGGAGCTATCTGTATGGCGAGGACACACCCACCAACGCTCGTCTCATTGTGTCTCCCTCCTCTCCGAGCCCTCGATACCACCAGGTTGAAGCCAGCTACGGCGACGCTGGCACCAATATTCTAGGGTTGGCTGGAGACCACTTCGATCATTGATGGTTCCACTGGTGACTGCTATGATCCCATTCCGTTCCGATATTTCGTTCTGTACAAAGAGACACGACCCGCAAATGCTGCAAAACGAGCGCTGCAGAGCTTGACCGGAGGATGTCGCTCGGTCTTCATACGTTGCAAGTGCCCCTTGTCCATGCGTTATCTCTAAATTCTGGGTGCAAAGTTAGCGGTCCTGTAGATATATGTACCAGAAGAGACCGACGTGCGCACCTCTCTCTTGAACAAGCAGTTCGCCATGCATACGGAGCCCGTAGATTTCTGGCAGCTCTCACAGTAACATATAACACACTTCTCGGGAGCATCTAAAAGCTGATATTGCACAGCTCCACACAGACAAGAGCCCGAGTTGGTTGATGCCATAATACCGCCTGCCTGGTGGGTGCGGGTGTAATAGAATGGATGAGGAATATATAGACACTTTCCCACCCGGAAGACACTGAATAAATGAGGAATATATAGATACTTTCCAACCGGTTAGAGGGTGACCTCCAGCTTACTGCTCAATGAATCTGGTTCAACCTAGACATTTCTAGAATATTCATCGCTATGACTCAGGCAAGCCGTGAATTAATTAGTTAACTAACTGACTGCATCCCAGCCCCGCGCACACTAAGCCCCTTATCTTCTTCCACGAGAATAAATAAGCAAGCCTGCGCATAGTTAATCGAGCTTCTTGGCCGCGATGAGTAAGATTAGGGTTACATTGTGTCGACGAGCACCGGGTCGAATCCAACAGCTCTCTCAATTTTTTTCTCCATCATAACAGGTGCGCCTTTCCGGAAATGAGCTGCGGGGAAGCTACATACACTACGGAGTATCCTGAACTGAAACTGATTGGCAGACACGTTGTTGCGGGATTTGCTGACGTTTTCCATAAATCCATGTCCATAAACGCGTCACTCAGGCAAGAAAGGTACCATTGCTGTTTACTATTGGCAGATGGGCAATCGGAAATATTATCAATGACATCAGAGGCTTGAAGAATACGTAGTCCGAAAACATATTTACCGGGGGTAAGGGAAGACTGGATCAACCACCAGGAGGAGGAGTGGAAAGGTCCTGACAGGTAAAATCAAAGATTGGATTAGACGGATTAAACTCGAGCTATAGAATTTCCGCCTGAATTCAATATACAATCCTTGATTCTGAGCTGGGACGAACCGTTCTTCCTTCGAAGGCTGTTGCCACCTCCAACATTCATTCCAAAGCTTGTTAATTCTAGGTTTGCCTACTTAAATGCATTGTAAGATGTATATCAATCCAGACAATGGAGGGACTGTGTCTTATGACTACGCCCATTATGTAGTTAGAATTGTACCCTGACAGGGATTCCGTGAGATGCTCTGTTAGGTACTTTGAACCTCTTTAAAAGGTATAAACATCTCACAAGCTCGTTCGTATGCCATCTAGGCCCATACTGTACATTAGCCAGTCTGCATTTAGGTCGTGAGACCAACACTAGACATTTCTTCACGGCACCTGGGAGAGCCACAGCGGACAAGTCCGCTAGTTCATGCAGCTTATTAGATGCTTAGGGCAAGTGTGGTATCAAGAGAGATGCTCAGTGTTTCTTCACGCAATTGATGACAATACCCCATGCGTCCTAGTCTTCCGCCTGATGGTTGTCAAATTGCATCCAGAGGCACAGATAGCGGCCAATTTATGTGTGCTAATGATTCCGGTGAGACTCTTTCCATGATCTGTAGGGTGAGGGGATCTTGAATATGGGGTCCCCATTGTGGCCCGGGCAGTGTAGGGAAAAGGAGGCGGACAAAAACCAAAGATTCTCTTGGGAGGATGAATTTGGACAAACAAATTATAACAGTCAGTCATGGTCAGTCTTGACCTTTGTCGTAAGATTTTCAATCTTCCATCTCCAGGTAAATAGAACATCGGGACGTGGATTAGTATAGTCCTCAATAGACGTTAACCTTGGCCTCAGGCTGTTGTGCTTGCCGCCGCTATGTCTACCGGAGCCATGGCCACCCTTCATGTCGAATTTATTCGTTATGCTGCCGAAGACTGCACCGAAGAACTTGGACCTGTCACCGTGACGGAAGGATATTGCGTCGCTCTAGAGAACTTTCCTGTTCTTAGTGTCGAGCCCTCTCTTGTCACTGGAGCTTGTGAAGATGCTTCGCAATCCCCTGTTCTTAGCATCTACGGCAACAGCGACTGCGCGACTGGTCTCATTACCACAGTTGATGTTGGGTCCGTGGCACAGTGCTCAGCCTTGAATGCCACTGCTGAGAGTTTGTCTCTTGCATGTGCTTAGGCTTGGGAGTTTCCCTCATCCGGACTCAGTGGACTATACCGCAGATGTCCTGGTAAAAGGGTGGAATGAATTTGTATGAAGGGTACATTACATGCCGATGTTTTTGGCGGAGAAGCTTTCTCAGCAGTTAAGAGCATTGAGTGGCTGTCGAGTGAAGGGAGTATTCGATTCTCTTCGAGATGAAAGTTCATTTGAATTGAAAATTAGTGATCAGTATATCGTGGTTCTGTACAGAGTGTGTGGAAGTCTGTCGATGGCGACTGGATGTAGGCATAATGAGCTCTTCTCATAAAATAAAACCCAGTTCGCCTTACTCTATGAGCTTAACGATTACTTTAACCTGGCCCATGGAATCAAGAAATATGAATCTTGCATCAAATGAATCAGAAATTCAGCAGTACTTAGATAGAGCGTTTGTGAATGAACACTGTATCAGGACGAAATTGTTCTCTAGACCCCTTTTTAGCTGAACGGTCAAGTTGACAAACTATATATACACGAAGATTCAAATGTTAACAATCAGAAATTAAGTCAATGAGCTGCATTCGAAAAGAAGGGTTCCCAAGTCCACCTAGGCCGTCTCTTGGGCATTTGCAATATGTTCTGCAGTACCCTCCGCCGTAAAATCGTGAGATACGGACCGTTTCTCTGGGATAAAATGGCCCTCCCCAGAAGCCGACTCCGGGAAGACAAACTTGGAGCTCTTCCATGGCTTGACCTTCATGACATACATGGTATCAATCTCCTCCAGGGTGCGGCCCCGTCCTTCCAGAACCGCAAAGTATACCAGACCAGCGGCGAGGAATAGACAGCCTGCAAAAACGTACCCCAATCTGAAATCAATAGCGCTCGTAATGAACGGGGTAAAGAACGCCAACAGGAAGTTCCAGAGCCAGTTGGAAGCTGTCGCCAGGGACATCGCGCGGGCTCGAAATTCCGAGGGATAAAGCTCCGCAATGATTGTCCAGACCATTGGACCCCATGTTGAAGCAAATCCTTCGCGAGTCACATACTCCGTTAGTATTGAATGATATGAGGATGGGTGTTGAAAGTGGGCCTTTGTTCTCGAATAACTTACCGAGGATGAAAAGACAGGCGAAAACCACCATCACGACGCCGGGAGTCTTGGTACTGGACGGATCCTGTCGGTCGAGGAGGAAGTGACCGACGGAGGCGAAGACCATGAAGCACACAAACATCCATAAGGCTCCGGCGATGAGGGAGCGACGGCGGCCATAGTTTTCAATCAGGTAGAGGCCGAGGAATGTGGTGCCAAAGTTAACTCCGCCCAGAATCATTTGCGTGACGTAGCTATTTTGAATCCCGGCGCCTTGGAAGATGGTAGTGCCGTAGTAGAAGAAGTAGTTTGCCCCGGTGAGCTGCTGTAGAGCTTGAAGCGCAACACCCACGGCAACACGATATTTCATGCGTGGAGCACGAAACAGTTGGCCCCAGGTGACTTTGCCTCGTTCGACCTCCAACTGGTACTTCTCCTTGATTTCATCGAACTCGATCTTGAGTGCGCGGTGGTTTTTAGGAATACCATACATCTTGGAGAGGGTAGACACGGCTCTATCCACCTTGCCATGGCGATAGTCAAATCGCGGGCTTTCTGGGAAGAACGCTATACCGGCGCCCAGTATGATCGCCCAGAGGTATGTAATTCCCATGGGGATACGCCACGAACTGGTATCGTCCCGACTCTCGGTGCCGAAATTTATGCAGTTGGCAACAAAGATACCCAGGGTGATGAACAATTGGTAGGTACTAGCCATTTGTCAGCTCTATCAATACCTACATCCGAAAAAAAAAAAAAAAGCCCAAGTTAAACAAGAATGTACCTAACCAAAGAACCTCGAATGTGTCTGGGCCCGGACTCTGCTTGGTACATGGGGACTAGAAGAGATAGGGCTCCGACTCCCAGACCAGCAACCCAGCGTCCCATCGCGATCTGGTACCATTTGCCGGTTGGAGAGGAAATTTGGACGGTAATTCCGACACAGAGCATGGTGCACCAGGCACTGATGGACCATTTTCGACCGATCCAATCTGCAATGGGAGCAGCAACCAGTGCCCCAATCAAGGTGCCGATTGATAACTGTCATATTGTTAAGGGTATGAACATTAAGCTTGGTAATCGGAAACTTACCAACCCGACAATCAACCCGGATCGTACGTTGGAAAAGTGATAGGCCCCGTCAGAGCCCAATTCGCCATAGCGACGAAGGAAATCCTCCATCTCTAGAAATCCCGAGATTTGACCAGTGTCATACCCGAAGCAAAACCCACCCATGGAAACGAATATCCCCATGACAAAGGAGCGCCATGTGAGAAGGGGAATGGGAGTGTCTACATCATCCTGTCCTCCATCTGTACTACCATTCTGATCCTGAAAATATTTGTCCGCGTTGGGACGGGGTGGTCGTATGTTGAGAAGTGGCATATCTGCGAACTGGCATCGGTTGCCCTGTGTCTCATGAGAGCTATAGACCAGACAATGAGACTATGCGTGACGAGGAGCGAACCGAGCCGAGATCCCTTTTAATACACCCGCCCGCCACACAGTTAATGCACGAGTCAATGACGCGGGGGAATCAAGTTTGGTTGTGTAAATCGGGATTAAGTGCCGAGTGGAGGTGATATGCGTTGGTCGCCACCTATGGAGATCAAATCCTCAAGTCCCCAGACTATCCCCAGCTTTTAGTTCCATGGCCGAGTATGTCAGGTGGCGGACTTGTAATGAGTTCTAAGTTGGTCCTGAGTTCGTTTCACGTCATCCCGCTTGATCCGTGGAGGAACGGACGAACCATAGTGCTTGGAAGGCGGGGTTGAGTATTTCGAGGGAGCAAAACCTGTGGCATAGAGCAGGAAAACTTACTTGAAAAGGCAATTGCTGCGTAATAACTAACTGAAGTGATTTCATGATGAAAGGGGCGCCTTATGTGTAAGAGAGTTAGGGCACCCAAAGATGGGCGGAATGTGGCGCTGGACGCTGTACAATATCTCGGATGATCCTCGCGCTCATGCACCGAAGACGGTCCACACTATTTTTCCGGTTCAATCCTATCGTGTCAATTCCAGAGGTCAGTAAATAGCGCAAAGTTTGTTATGGAATTCAGTGTAACGTCGCTCCCACGACAGACGGATATCCAGTGTCTTCTTTTCGCGCAAAGATTAGTATGATAGCTCTCAAGGCTGGATCGTTACACCTTGGCATGACTAGATATATATTAAACATTTAGCCATCAAGGTAAAAAGAAACGTGACAATTTGTCCTACCCATAGATCGACTGGATTGGTGCCTATCTATACATAGTGTGGGTGGAACGGAGGTAAAAAGCTCAATTACTAGCAATTTGCCAAATAAGAATGATGGATTCTTAACTGGAAGGAGCCATGTCGCGGAATTTGTCCTCGAAGAGAACTTAACATCTCTTAATTTGTTTGATCCCTGATAAAATCTTCCGAGGAACCACAGTGAACTCGAACATACGAGAACTTTGAGACGCGGACTCTACATACGCAACAAATGGGTCGGCGACGTATTTTCATGAGATGCCGATTCCAGTACAGGCGCCCGCAGAGTCCACAAGGCATCTGTTTATGGAGTACGTATGACCGCTGTGATGGATTAGACTAGTTCTGCTGCTTGGGATAGGCTGCTATCAGAGTAGCGTATCTGGCGCCGGCTATTGGCTCTCACCATGCATTTCGGTGCAGGTTTTTCCAAACAAAAAACACAGAAATTACCCAAAATAAGAAGAAATAGAACGTCCCAGCTTGAAGGTACATAGGCCATATATAACTCTTTGGCTATAAGAGGCATAGAACCCCCACGGGATTAGCGTTTCCTAACAACCTCCCTTTCAATGGTTTCTTCAACAACTTGTGTAGGACTCTTCCCATCAAATACTCTCCTAATCCACTCCATTACCACCTGCCCCGACCAAGGTATAGCCCATCTTAGTGGACCAAGCCACCATGCTGTCGGGGCGACCAACAGAGAGGCCCCGCTTGCAGTCTGCATTGCCATTAGTGTGGCACCTAGGCTAGGGCTCATATTCAAGCGTTGCCCGTGGAGCGCATCAACAAGCGACAAAAGCGCTAGGAAGAAAGCGGCATCCATATCAGGCGGGAAATCCGTGGTAAGTGTTCCTTTTGCAGGATCATTCCGGGTTTTTGGATGTCCCCAAATAAGTAGAGTTGTATCTGAGTTGCGACCACTGGGCTGTTGCCTTTCGTATACCCGGCCTTGTGCAGTGGACCAGAAGGGATGGTCTGGTGATACTCTAGATATGATGTTAGTTCTCCCGGGACAACTCAAGGGTCTGAGGCATCTAGGAGAGGAATAAACTGACGGCCAGAAGGTGTGCGGTGTGTAAGGAGGAATTACAGTGACACCATTAGCAGTACGGCTGGGGAGCGGTGGCGAAAGCCCAGGTCGAGGCGGTTTCTGAGGGTAGGCGCGGGTAGTTGTGTGAATAGTGTCAATTACATCGTAAGTGGTGGTCGTGCCAATAGCGCCAGATTCCACTATGAAGGATTCGGCTTGATGGAAATGGATATGAAGTGGAGGTGTCTACTCAGTATGTCAGTCTCGGTTCATAAAACATACATATCGGCCCGTTTCGATCTTCGTGTCCCGCGTATTGTACCCCAACGACAAGTAGGGTTAAGGAAGTGCTGGCTTTACCTGTGGATGAGCCTTCCCGAGCTTTGTCGCGTCGTGCCCACCGACATAGGTCGCGCGCATTAACACCGTGGCGTCTAGCCCTGGTGGTACCTGCAACAACTCTATGATAAAGGAGCCATCGAAAAGCTTGTGCGGGCCGCCGAGTGGTGCTGGCAGACGCAGTTCTTTACGGCTAGGTAACGATTGCGCCATGCTTTTACCCTGGAGAAGTTGATACAACCATGATTTTGCGTCTCGTCTTTCTGGCGTCGGGTCGCTACTCCAAATATATAAGAAAAGAACGCACTTGGTCTTTAGGCATATGGACCAAAGTCGCTAGCGGTTTCAAACCGCACGATGGGCTAATTAAGTTACCCTGTACTTGAGGTCGATTGGATCCAACATGAGCTCGAGGCTGAGCTAAAATCTGATTGCTGACAGGCGGATGATTCATCCGGACACTCTCGCAATGCAGCTGGGAACCCTATCAAACTATGTTTATGGTGGCTTACACTACCATTGCTGTCGCCCACAGCACATACCTACTTAAAGCCTCTTCATGCGGTTGAAGATACTATATTGTTTCTCATACCATTTTTATGGTAGAGCATGTCTTCAGAGAACGGCTTATACCGGACAGTCTTAATTTCTGTTGTGCTTATACGCCATATATGTACTAATCGTCGTTGCCCGATTGAGAGGACCGCAACATGTACCTATATATTGTTTGATAATATTATCCGGTATTACGAGAATCAAAACCAAAGGGATATACTCAAGGGGAGCATATCGCATCGTGCATAAAACTCCGGCACTTTCCTGTGTATTAGTCTTTTAGTTTGGTGGATGTTTTCCTGATCATTTAGCATTAATAACTTGTGTGATCAAAATCACATATGGGAGAGTCCTAACGATGTAATGAAGAGAGTGGAGAGTGTAAAGGGGATTTTCAGCACGTCTTGTCGTCCGATATGTCACAGTATATAGGACCTTACAGCTCCTCACTGGTTTTAAATAACTACTCCTTCTCTTATCTTATTCCTCGGAAGCAGGTAAAGCATTGATGAGACTATAACGAATCTTGAAGCCGAGGGCTATGAATGTGATATCGTTCCTGTTAAACTGAGACAATATGGGTGATGTAATTGTTGACCATCCCATCGATACCTTTGGAGTTTCAGCTACCCTGCTGGGACTGCCCACAGGTTACAGTGTGTCATATTGTGCCTTCTCCCACTTCATTGGATCCGGGTAAAATTAAAACGGTGCCTTGAAGGTCGGATCTTGTCTAGCAATTCAATTTTTGGGAACGACAAACTCCGTGGATCCTTTTGAAGCCATCGGATAAACATACAATGTGCTGTCCTAAGTCTATGGGGTATATCATCTCACCCCTATCTTCGATGTTCGAAAACAGGCAGATGCGCCAAGTCAGGCTGGGGCCGAGAACTCCTGCATATCTCGAGTTCGTCTCAAGTCTGCTTCGGAAGCTCATGGTGAAAGCCGAAACACACTTTTATTTCGCATCCCATTCCAAATTGAGCTCTCTTTCTTGGGGATTCTATGGAAAGAAAGAGATTTATGGTAAGACATGCCCATTCACTGCATGGTCTTGTAACCTAAGCCGGTTTTCCAACCTTGATTAGGTATAACATCGATTCCCAGATCTAGATCCTATTTCAAATCTCGAAATTTCGATGTTGGCAGGATTGATCCCATAGAAGCCGGTTAGGGGAGTCAGGCCTAAAGATCTCAGAACATCTGAGGGATCTCATCTTGTTGTAAACGGACTATCAGGCTCAGACAATGTTCTCTGACGATTTCTGTACTATTGGAAAAGATATCAAGAGATGCGAACCACGGATCTCTAACAAAGCCACAATACTTTACATTGTTGGCGCACTAACGAACGGATGAATTTTAATCTCGACTGAGTCTCTAGTTTAGCTTTCTCTCCAGGTTCAGTAAAGGGTATCGGGTTGAAGTTAAGCATTCATGGACCACCGCGTCGCACCAGTGCATCGTAGCGTTAAGCCGAGATTCGGTACTGATGACTCGGCATTCAGACTGAGCTCGGCCCGTTGGAGACTCAATTCTATATACTTAAATTTAAGATACGTCAATCTAGAGTCGGAAATGAGGTTGATACTACCGACCAGGCGGTCCCATGTGAATTTACTCTTGCCCTATGCCCGAATCCTGCTGGAGTAAAGCCCTGAAGCACTGTCGTTGCCGTTGCTATAGCGCTCGGCCTCGGCTACCAGGACCTTACACTGTGTGAAACATGCTATAATACCGAAATTTTTCGCTCGTCTTTAGGAATGGGATCATGTAATGCTCTCTCTATATAAATGATATAGTCTCTCCCCATTGTTATGTTTCTTCCTCCCAAGCAGTCACTTCAGGATTCCTTCATCTAAACCACCCCTGGTTCTCTTTGTCATTCATTCTTTGTCATTCATTATACAAACTTCAGAGCTGTGCTCCGTTTAGTGATTTAAATACTTATATCAAGATGAAGGCTATCGTGGTTCTCTTTCTGGCTGCCGGCGTGCTGGGCGCGCCAACCCACACCTTTCAGGAGCGGGATTTCGACTTGTCGTCCCTGGCTTCTCCCTCTGCCGCATTGGGGGGATCTCCATCTTCTGTTGCATCCTGGCCCAGCGCCACTGGTCTCAGTGCACCTGATAGCTTGGAATCATCTGCCCCGATCTCCTCACCCGAAGGCGCTCTCCGCAATCTCGCCAGTGCTTTTGCCAAAGGTAGGCTACCCGACTACTACACACGTCACAAGTCTTCAGCTAATCATTTTGCCTAGGATCTATGAATGCAAATGATGTCAAGGACAACACTGGCTGCAAGGAGTACACCTTTATCTTTGCTCGTGGTACAACTGAATTTGGTAACATGGGAGCAGTTGTCGGACCCCCAGTGGCTTCTAAGCTTAGTGATTTAACTGGCGGAAAAGTTGCTGTCCAGGGAGTCGACTATCCTGCTTCAATTGAGGTACAGTCTTCTTTTGCTTCTTCCCTTTTCCCCCCCCCCTCTCTATTCTGTTCAAGACTGCTCTGTAAACCAGAATATTTGCTAATTGCAATACTAGGGTAATATTGCAATGGGCGCTGCTGGTGGTCCTGACATGGTGTCCCTCGTTGAGAAGGCTATTAGCCAGTGCCCAGACACCAAGATACTTCTTGGTGGATACTCTCAGGGTGCAATGGTTGTTCACAATGCAGCTTCCAAGCTTCCCGCTGGTAAGGTCGTTGGGGCAGTCACTTTTGGTGATCCATTCAAGATCCAGGACCCACCCAATGTCGGAAAATTCAAGACATGGTGCGCCATGGGTGACCCGGTTTGCTTGAACGGTTTCAATGTCATGGCCCATCTGAGCTATGGTGGCGATGCCGCCGAGGCTGCTCAGTTTTTACTCGGCTCTGCCGGTGCTGCTGGTGCTGCTGGTGCGGCTTGAGTTTTGGTAGAACGTACCTTAGAGGGACGGATTTGTGGTTGAGGTTCTTCTATCATGTTGTGTGTGGAGATGTTGAGTTAACTTCCAAGTATGGGACTGGACTTGGATGCAGTTCTATATCAGGAGTAGTGAATATTATAAGTTGAATACGGAGTACTGGTGTATGCATCATCTTAAGTAGACAACAAAACCTTGCTAATTCACTCTTAGTAGTGGATTGAAGAGAGGAAACCACCTTAGAATACATAAGTTGAACCCCATTCCATGCCCTGAAATAGACTAGGATAACCCTATAAACTACTGGAATTCACTATAATATATAAAATTATATTAGCTAGCTCTTTACTTCATGTGCCAGTAATTAGGATAATTATTGAATAGTTCACCCTGGAGGTTATACCAGTGCTTACTCAAGGCTAAGTGAATGAATGTATTAGTGATAAGCTAGATGAGGGTAAAGTTAATCACGCGATGAACATAGTTAGCGCCAGGACTGCCTATTTAGGAAAATATCATCACATGCCTAATCTGGTAAGAATGAAGTGAATAGCAGTACTTATACCATATTTTATATATATACGAGGATAGGGCTTGTCAATAATATAGTTAACGCCTAAAATCGCAATTCGCACATTCGATTTAATATCGGAACAATCCAGACCTGGTAGAAAGCTTTTTGGCTCTTCAGCACTCATGTCGAAGAATTCCAATAAGCAGAAGCCTCAAGGGGGCTCGGCCCCGAAGCAAACCCCTGCCAATGGTTCTGATCCTCAACTTCGCCAGCAGATCCGTTCGGAGATCCGCCAGTTATATAAAGCAAACAAAACAGTTAACCAAAAAGCAGTTAGGGAAAAGTATATAGCATAGAATCCCGGGATAGCTTCCAAGTACATCAAGAAAATTGTTTACGAGTAAGGCTTGGAACCCTCTTGGAGTAACCACCACTAATCTGTATTAGGTGTTCTAAACATCTGGCAAGGGAGGAGGTGCCGCAATCCCCAAAGGCTAACCATGCTCGCAAAGAGCCTACAAAGAGGAGCCCTGTGAAGATTTGCCAGCAAGATTCCAACCCTAAATCTGTCTCCCAGCCGCGTATGGAGGACAGGTCAGTGGTTGTATTTCGTGCTAATCCTAATAGATCAAAAGCACACCAGGAGCCCCCTACTTTACTCGACTCGACGTTAGAAACTGACTCTGAACTATCATCAGAAGATAGATCTACTGATTTGGTTTCCCTTAATTCATCTAGTGACAGTACTGAACAAAACCATGCTAAGGGATTGGATAATGCTATCTTGCAAGGCATGTTGCCCACTTAGATCTTTATGGCATTTAATTTTTAACAAGAAGCATAGATTTCCAAAAACATCTTAACAGAGCTGAATTTGAGAAATATTCCCGCTCAACAGAAGATGCAATACACCCAATACCGTCTTTGGAGGACCAAGTGCAGTTTTTGAATGACAGTAATAAGGATGATCAGACTAGCAACTCGCCACTTTAACCTACTAATCTTGAGCATTCAGTCCTGGTTTCGCCTGCTCTTGGGGATGCCGGATATAATATGCCCTCCCAGTCAGCCCTTCTTGGTCAGCTCAGCTCTCAGCAGGTGAAAAAAATGCCGGACAGAAGAGTCTTGCTTAATACTAATATCCCATTCTCTGCCTTCATTTGCGGGCTTCAAGGAAGTGGGAAATCGCATACCATATCGTGTATTATTAGTAGGCAATCAACGAGATATTTCTCTGGGGTCGGAAACTAATGAGGCTTATAAGAAAATTGTTCCATGGTATTCCCTGCATTGGGCAATATAAAGAAATCCGTGTCCACCTTGGTTTTGAATTTCAATGAATATAGCTCTAATGTAAGCTCCTAGCCTAGTGAAGCAGCATTTCTTGCATCAGTAATGCCTGAATATGCCTCACTGCAACAGCCAGTTCCTCTACGCGTCCTTGTTTCGCCGACTAATTTACACAACCTCAAGAGAATGTACTCGAAGATTCCTAATATAGAGATTCGCCCGTTTAAACTGCAACCCCGCCATCTTAACATTAGCATGATGCTTTCGCTAATGTCCATCTCGCAAAATAGCTCTATGCCACTTTACATGGCCCAAGTGACCAAGATTTTACGAGAGATGGCCATAGAAAGCAATAGTTATTTTAACTATCCTGATTTCCGGACGCGGCTGAGTGCTCTACGGCTGGATCAAGCACAAACTCCCTTCCTGTACCAACGGTTGGACTTGTTAGACTCCTATCTTGATCTTACACAGCCGATGACTGGTGATTATTTTGTTGACGGGGGAGTCACCATCTTAGACTTGTCTTGTCCATTTGTTGACTCGAGTACGGCCTGTACTTTGTTCCGCATTGCTATGGACCTTTTTCTTTACGCTTATCCGTCCAGGGCCAAGATGATCGTAGCGGATGAAGCGCACAAGGTAAATGTGCATTAGCTAGCTATATATTAGTATTATCGCTTACTTGTTTCTTGTGCAGTACATGACAGACACACCCGCAGCAAGAGAACTTACAGACACTTTCCTCAATATTATCCGCCAGCAGCGTCATCTTGGAGTTAGAACACTCATATCTACCCAGGAACCAACTATTTTCCCTCGCCTGCTTGATCTTTGCTCTATTACCATTATCCACCGATTTACGAGCCCGGAGTGGTACAAAGCAATAAGAAACCACGTCCCAATCGAGAACAAAGAAGGCGGCAGTAACAAGGAAAAAATCTTGGATGGGTTATATGATATTGCTAGTCTTTAAACAGGCGAGGCGCTTGTGTTTGCACCATCTGCACTTTTGCTGGATGAGAACGACGCGGTACTGGACACAAAATATCGTACCTTCAAGATGCGTATTCGAAAGCGCGTTACCTAGGATGGTGGACGGACTATTACCTGTCTATCCTGACCTTTTACTACTAGATGCGTTCTCATGCGGAACTAGTATTTATCCACATATTTTGGAGTTTTTTTGAGGTTATCTTTTCTTAATTGCTATGGTTGATGATCAGGTACATTACCTGACTAAAGATGAAAATCCCTACAGATAGAGATAGACAGTTATTATTTGAATCTTTAACTCCTCTATGTCGATTTTATCTGTAATATTGTATATTCCGACACCTCACTTTTCATGCAGCACACGTATCAGCCATATACTATTTGCCTAACGAATGTCTGAAGCAGTTAAGGGTCGCAAGGTTGTTCCAACTATAATCATATCTAGAGGTCATCACTCCCAAATTTAACCTAATGTTCGCCGGCGTGATGTACAACCACCCGGATAAATGGACGTCTCCATGCCTAATAAAGGGGTTTGTCTTACCAGTAATGTTGAAGTATGAATAGACTAAAATATCTCCCAAGTCTCTTTTAATATTTAGACCGCGCCATTCCAGAGAATTAAAAGCTTTTCGAGCAGCAACAACAGCAATATCAACATCCTCGGGGCCAGCGGAGGCGACCTCTGCAATTGTGGATTCGTCGTAGGGGTTTACCGTTGCCAGGGTTTTGCCGGCTACAGCAGGGACAAATTCATTGTTAATGAAGAGACCTGCCATATAATTAACTTCATTTACAATGCCAAAGATACCGCGAAATAGCCTTACCCGTGGGTTGGGCATAGCTTACACCATTCGGGGCTGTCAACTGAATTGATAGAACCATGTTGAGCAAGTGGAAGATATGGAGCGCGTTTCGCTGTTCCTCGTTGGAGCATCCATCCTTCGTCTTATTTATGGAAACCTTGGAATGCAGCCTGTGTCATTGCTGACTCTACTCTAAAAGGGAATTATTCTTGGGGATATGTAATACTGAACTAATAGCAAGGCCGTATCTACGTACATGTATCTATGTACCTACCTAGGTAGTACCTCTATGTGTCTACCTACCTAGGTACCTTATTGGTCTTGAGATCCTATTGGGAGGCTCGTCTGATAATTCCACCGACATACCTATAGGCCAGGAAGCCCGGGGATCTTGGGATTCCTCCCACCACGACGCCCATTTTATTTATAGTCTTAATTCAATACAAAACTTCTTTTGGGATAAAATAATCAGGACCTGCATTGTATACGGTAAAGGGATAAGATTCCTACAACATGGGAACCACGAGAAAGTTCTCTTGGGGAAAAAGCCCACCTTGTCAGATAAGGAACAAAGCAGCTACCAGCTTTCACTGTGAGAATACATATCAAACATCAAAGCTACCAGTCAACCGAATATCGCGGCTGGAACTTCCGACATAGACCTTAAAGGTACCCCTGGATACAATCCAACTCTGCTGGCCGACATCCCAGTAGCTAATATCTCGACGCGTCAGGTCAAATGCAACCACCCCGCTCTCTCCCGGCGCAAGATCTATTTTCTGAAAACCTCGCAGCTGCTTAGGAGGGGTCACTGGAGCCGAGTTTGGAAGCCCGATGTAAAGTTGGGAAACTTCAGCGCCAGAGACACGTCCAGTATTCTGGATGGAGGCGCTTATGGTTCCGATAATGTCGAACAGATCTGAAGCGCCACCCACTACAACTTTGCCAGTAGTTGGACCACATTTAACATCAATTCTCACCTGCAAAATGGAGTAATTGAATGTGGTATATGCTGAAGAATTCTAATGTTAGCTGGCTCTTCTTTGTTTGCCGACTGGCGGCTTCGAAAGACATACACAATCCAAACCCAAACTCATATCTCGGGGTAATATTGTGATAGTCAAAACGGCGATAGTCAATGAATAACCCTTCCGCGAAGTCATCAATCGCTCCAGAAAGCCAGGTAAGCCCATAGTCATCTTCCGACTTAGCGATGGTATATGGAAGCTTGCCGCTTGGAGAGCTGTCGCCGAACAGTACCTCTGCCAGCGCATTTCCACTTTCCTGCCCAGGGAGACCAGCCCACACCACTGCGACAACGTTTGGTTCCGCTAATATAGTCTCCAAGATGATCGGTCCGACACTATGGATGACGACAATGGTATTGGTGTTGGCCCGAGCAACGGCCTGGACAAGCGCATTGCCGTCATGCCAGGGGTCGAGGTTATTGCGATCTCCCACATTCCCTTCCACAGTCAGATAGCTATAATACAGCAGTTAGCATTCAGGGAGTCTATCCTGCGAGGCTAACATATTACCCTTCTCCCGAGTCTGCTGTGATAAACACAATCGCGGTCTGGGCACTGCTGGCTGCTTCCGCCCCAGAAGAAGCATCATCTGTGATACTGGTCACCATTTTTGTTTCGCTATTCGATAGTCTTGCTTGAATGGCATCTAGAGGTGCGACCAAATACTGCATTTCTTAGCGGGTGCCCCAATAAGTATGAAACCATGCTTACCGGATACTCAGCAGTCCCGCTGCCCCATCCTTGAGCAAGCGTTCCGATGTTACAACCTCGGTCAAAACAAGCATTTGGTCCATTCGGGTTCACAATCGAATCCGAGCCTATGATAGCCAGACTCCCAGGATTCCTCAGAGGCAAAGTGTTGTTCACATTTTTCAGGAGCACCACGGAATCTCTAGCGATGGTTTTGGCAAGATGCCCATGGTCGCCTGTCACATTGACCGAAGCAGCAGCATCATTCCACGAGCTGAAGGCTACAGAGGGATAGTATTGATCTTGTCCTACCAGGTACCAAGAAGCAAGAATGCGGGTGACCATATCATCCAAACGCTCCTGGGAAACCAACCCATTGTGAACTGCGGCTGCTAGGTTCTCTCCCCAGTAAATGCTGCCGGGAGTATTGCTAAAGTCACTGCCGGGCATAGCCATGTCCAATCCCGAATTCGCACTTTCCACGGTGCTGTGTTGCGCGACCCAATCACTCATCACATATCCTCGGAATCCCAACTGCGTTTTAAGTAGGTTATTCAGGATTTCCCCATTCTCACAGGCCCAAGTCCCATTGATTTTATTGTATGAGCACATAAAAGAGGCCGCATTTGCTTTCACTGCATCATAAAACGGCCAAAGATATAGTTCATGCATAGTACGATCATCCACGTTCGAACTTATAGTTTCTCTGTTATGTTCTTGCTCGTTGAGGATAAAGTGCTGCAGCGGAGTCAGATATGGGAAAGGTCTTTTTGTTCCTTAAACATACCTTCGCACATGCTTGAACTCCAGAACTTTGCATTCCCAAGATCGTCTCTGCCATTGCGATGCCACTAAGGTACGGATCCGATGAGAAGCCCTCCCAGTTTCGCCCGCCGGTAGGAATCTTTCCCAGAGGACCAGCAACAGGGCCGAGCTGGACGTGCACACCAAGCGCTTTTGCCTCCTCACCCGTCGCAGCTCCGCGGGCCCGGATAAGATCGCGATCCCATGTAGCTCCTGCATTTATTCCTGCTGGGAAAACGGTCACGGGATTGGTGAATCGAAGGCTCAACGGGCCGTCCTGGAGGCAGAGTGAAGGGTACGGAATGGAATTTGGAGCATAAGTATTGCCCACACATGGTCCTCCCTCCCATTTTACACCGGTTACAATGCCAACTTTCTCCTCTATGGTGAGAATTTTCAGATCGGCGTTGGCCTTTTGATACGCATCGTCCCATGGAGACGGGGCTTGGGTGAGCGTAGCCCCTACCGCCGTGGTGGCAGCAATAACAAAGGTAATTGAGTATCGCATTTTATAGATATGCTGTGTGTTCAAACCATTGTCATTCCGGAGGGCCGATCTTGTGGACTTTACATTGCATGTCCTATACTCACGCGGAGCAGGTGCCCCTCAGGCCCAAACAGAAGGAGTTGCGGCAGGTGCGAAGACACCATCGGCTCTTATTTGTAGCTATACGGTTACGTCAATGAAGGCTTGGGAGATATCTGATCCTCGTGGGTCTGTCACATTAGTTGGCTGCCTTCAACAGGGCTGGGGTAAAGAGATCAATCAAATCTGAAAGGGCCTATATAACTCTTCAAATGTCGCTACGTTAACATGACACTTTTAAGAGACTTATATTTGACTATCTGTCTCTGAATCTCGATTGCAGGTATTTGCAACATGAATTTCATAATCGTTAAAATCACTACATACAATCTCTACGTAGGTAGGTGCCTTCCTACTTTCCCTGGTTCAAAATCTCTTCTATCAGCCTCGCATTTTGTAACAAAATTTCATCTTTCAATCGTCGTCCGACCAGCTGGAGATGGCACGGCATTCCCTCAATCTCTTTGGGTTTATCTAGATAGTATAGCGTCAGTTAAATTTAGATGCTAGGTTCACCGAATAAGAATACATACATTCCGGTTTATAAACTACGTCACGCACAAATTCTGCATCGGCTGCCTCCTCTGCGCGCCCAAATGGAATTACACATGCTGGGTACTGGAAAATGGTCAGCAAGAGCTCGTCACAATATCAGCCAAGGGACATACATCAACCAGATTCCAAACGACTGTGTACGGGGAACCGCCGTAGCTATCATGCAGCGGGGCGCAGCTTTGGTACGCAGGAGCCAGAATGACATCAAGTCCCTTAGAGACGCAGGCTTGACGCATCTTCGCGCAAACGTGGAATTTTGACATGTTCAAGTCGTAGAGTTGGCGTAGTGTCGGTTCCGGACCCGGGTGTTCGGTGTCATAAATTATGCTCAGGGATGGTATAAACGGCTCTCCTCCATCAGTCACATTGCGCAATGCTATATTGTCGGGGTCCATATTGAAGAACTGGTGTGCTAGCTTGTATACATCCGCCAATGATGGAATATCATCAGTAGACAAGTTGACGACATGGTGTCCGGATACCGCGAGTTTTTGAGCGGCGTTGCGTATCGTCCGGAGCATGCAAGGATGTAAAGGAAATGCGGTGTCCTCTGGTAAGATACCAATCGTAAGTTGAGGTTTTGCTGGCGGTGGCTCGATATACGGAAAGCCCAAAGAATTTTCATCCAAATTCTCGGGCTTTGATGAGACCACCGTGCGGAAGAAGAGGTCAGCGTCTCGTGTAGAAACGCAAAGTGGCCCTGAGCATGGTATAAGACCCCCAGCTGTAACTCGCCCCGGGGGGGTTTGGCCTGCAAACGGCAGTCGGCCAACTGAAGGCTTGAAGCCCACAGTTCCGCAACAGAACGAAGGAATTCGAATTGAGCCCGCGACATCGGTGCCAACACCCATGATAGATCCACGCATAGCCAGAAGGGCGCCCTCCCCTCCACAGCTCCCACCGGGGGTAAGTAAACGGCTATAGGGGTTGCGAGTTCGACCAAACACATTATTCTGGGAATCGCACGTCATCATCGTCTGTGGTAGATTGGTCTTGACGTAAATAACAGCGCCAGCAGCGAGTAAAATCTCCACCATGGGCGAGTTAAAGGTAAGCGCGGGTCTGTCAAGAAATGAGATATAGCCCAGTGTTGTCTGGACGCCTTTGACGCTGTATGAATCTTTCAGACTGATGGGGAGACCATGTAAGGGGCCAACAGGCTTCCCTGTTTCCGCGAATTGCCTGTCCAATTCCTGCGCTCTGGAGATAGCTTGGTCGAAGAATATCTCAGTTAGGCAAGAAGTGAGTTGCTGGGCGATGGCAGCACGCTTGCAAAAGGCTGTGGCTACTTCAACAGCACTGACCTGACCGGTAGTCAGTTGCTCAAGCAGGTTTGTTGCGTCATGGCTTTCCGTTAGAAGGATTTCGCGCTGCGTAAGCATACCTGTTTGGCGGGGAATGTCGAGGATATTATCCAGAGAAGCTACCTTCTTCAGTAGCTCTAGCGATACCCGCCATTCGGATGGAATCTTGCCCTCTAGATCCTCCTGCTTACGTTGAGCTTTTAGTTGCCAGTCGATAGTCATGATGGAAGATTGTCGAAAAGTATGATAGCGGACACTGACAGAAGGTGCAGAGGTGGTCTTACCTATCGGTGCTACTTATACTCAAGGGTCGGGAAATATGTATGTATATATGCAACATTGCTGTCGGTATTTTCTCGCGATTGCCTTCTGTACATAACCCGACGGTGGGCTCTGACTCCCTGTGATAACATCATCATCATCATCATCGTCATCATCATTCCAAGAGAAACGTCTCCTCCTTGTAACACCGTGCCTCTATCTCTCTACCTCCGAACACTGTTCCGTTGGCCGGATGCGGGGAAATCCGACAGAAGATTACCTTGCCGTAGAAGTGCCACCAATGATTGCAGCAAACTGCGGAGTGGGAACAATTACAGTATATGCAGCCCTTCGGTGGCCGAAGACTGCTCAACGTTCAACCAGTCAGTGCAGCTGGCAAGATCAAGATGACCGAATGCTTAAAACCCATGATTAAGCAAAATGAGGTGGACCATCTTTAAGGAGATAACTATAACTGAAATATCTCATCTTCTTAGCTTTAGACGTACAGCAGCAAAATGATCCATCATTCTTGACGTCTCGCAAGGGTTTCCTAAAATGGCCCTAACTAATATGTGCAAGGTTTTAGGGCTATTGCCACATCGCCTATTCATATTTCCAAATACACATTCGCAGAATCGGGATCCTCTTGAGGGTATATACATCTCTCTAAAGCAATGTCAAGTTCATCAACCTTCATTAACTAGTCGTTTAAAGCAAAGGCAGAGATACTGTATTCACATAATCAATATTCTTCTCGTCACACTCGACGCGTTCACGACATGTGCCAAACACGCGATCCCACAGTCGGGTCTGCTTGCCATAGTTCCCACTCTTCTTCCATCCGAATCGATGGTGCAGATCGTGGTCTTCAATGATCAGTTCTGCCTTACATAGTCGCAAGAACCAACTCAGCGTGTTTGGTGGGATGGCAGCCATGCGCAATCCGCTGTGGCCTGCGAGTTCGGCGAATACCACGTACTGGTGACAAATCCACCACTCGTAAAAGCCCATGGGCATTCCCATTAGCTTCATCGTAAAGTATGTCATGAGTGGGATGCCGGCAATATCGAAGATCTCTTGTTCGAAATCCGCGTACAGGGTCAAGAGAGGATTGGGATGCTTGGTAAGGTGGTGCGTACGATGGTACTTCCAGAGGCCATTGATCTCATGCATCAATCGGTGGTACCAGTAATACCAAAAGTCCAAAATGATCCCGTACAGTCCCATCTCAAGGGGGAGCCAGTACCAATTCGTAGCGGAAGGAGGCTGGCTCACACGATAGCTGAGAAACACAGTGAAGACAGGACGGAAAGTTGAAGTCGAGATGAGCGAGCTAGCCACCTTCCGAACTCCAGCATCGGGCACACCGTCACGTTCGTGCACGTCGCCATCCAGAAACCCTACCTGGTGTCCGATGCGGCGCAGAGCGTGCATTTCATGGATAGCGATGAACTTGAATGCAAAACTATAGAAAACCAAGGCGCCAAGCACTGGAAAGTTCCGACCCGTGTAGGAGAAATAGAGCTGGTGGATGGCGAGTGGGATGAACGAATGGATCAACACCCATCGATGCTGATGCCACTCCGGCAAGTAGGGCACCTTATCCGTCTTGGGGTGGACAGGGACCTCTTTGTCAAGAACAACAGGGTGGATACGAAGAATCTCGAAAAGCCAGTGAAAAAAGGTCCACTCTCTACGGTCCATCTTCCGCCAGGTGGACTTCATCGAGTCCTTCTCGTTGCGTGGGATATTCATCATGGGCAATAATATTCACAGGAGTGATGTGATGATCATAGCCCCCAGGTTTGACTCTTCATGCTATGCTGGGACGTGATGTCTGGGTCTTTACAGGACTTTTATACCCCATCCCACCAGTAGTGTCTTAAGGCCCCAGTCGGCTAAAACTCTACGCATGTGAGAGGGTTAGTCGTTTCTCGCGTCTTCAAATTATACATAGTGGGTGCCACTAAACCCGCGTGAGTCTTGCAGATCTTCCAAAGGGTGATGAGAACGAGGCTAGTCAGTGGATTCCCAATTTCCCAACGCACCTGAATTCAACCCAGCCTGGCAAAGGCCAGTCAGTCACTCACGATCTTTGTGCCTCGGAGGTCGCCAGAATGAGTTTTTGTTTGCTGCACTTTGTCGCGATTATCTGATCGAGGCATGTATTCATTATTGCAGCCTAAATTAGTTGATCATGGGGTGGCTGGCCTTTCCCCCGATGCTCCAGAAATGTCCGAGTTATTCCTCATTCCCTCTTGCTGTAACGCTCGTGAGAGTGCACTGGATTCGGATACAACACTCATGGAGACTTCTTTTGCCACGAGGCATTCAACTTGATCCCTGTGTAGACAGGCCTGGAGTTGGTCCAACGCAAGGAGCGCGCCTCGCTGAGAGAGACCTGGTAACTGAAACGGATCGAAGCTTTTACGCCCAATTTTTTCCCGCATAATTCAGTATGGCCTGATATGACATGTTTCAATAATCATCGATGTTGTCTAGATAGAAGAATCGATAATTTCTGCCTGGAATGAACCTTTCTGAAAAATTGCCCAACTAGTGCCGATCCAACCGTCAGGGGAGAGAGAGGGTTAGGCGCACGAGGAAATCGTCGAAAGCCGCGTCCTGTCCTTGATTTCCCATTCTATCTTACGAAGACAAGTATTTCCATTCGAGACTAACAAGGAGGGTCTTTGGGAAGTAGACATTGTACCAGTACCGGCCAGTTATTATCTCTTGTGTCTGTCATAGAGATTAAGCGTCTATCCCTATCCGTCATGCTTCTCTCGTTCTTGAACCGTTTGTTTCCATATTTTCCCTTCCAATTTGATCTCGATCGAAAAGAACCGGTCTTTCCGCAAGAGGTGAAATTCTAGTATCTTGTTCTCCTTGAAATCCTGTTATCATACTACCTACCCTGCAGCCATGTGCATTGAGCCACTTTGAGATCGAGAGACAGCCTACAACAACACCGACCTACCGAGGGTACGGATTATTCAATATTCAGGGAATTTTCGAGGTAATTTAGATGCCTAGAGCTACCTGATCCCAGCTGCCACTTAGAGCCTGGCAACCAGCCAGGGATCACATAGCGAGATACCCATCCTTTGACCCCAATGAGACTGATATCTAGCTCTTTGATTAGTGACATAACCAAGGTCAATGGGCTATTTCAGAAGGGCATAAGGTATAGTTTTCATACGCTGTCTTTTATCAATGTCGACGTCACTTCTCAGTATAATCGAATACTCAGAGTCAATAATGATCTACAGGTGTCGACCTTGTGCTATCGTCCCAGCCCTCAACATGAAGGAACATCTGCACTATCTTTGAGCAAGAGTATCGTGTTTCCCATGCTCCTGTCAAGACTTTCCGAACGGCCGTGAGCTAGCATAGCTGTAGAAACTCTTCATGCCATGCCATACCTTGACGATGCTGTGATTTCATCTGGCGTGCCTGTTGGGACAAGCACTTCCACAGCGCAAGAAATCGCTTTGGCAGTGACATTTCACATGTTTCTAGTACCCTCGGATAGATTCCGTATACGTCAACTACATTCATAGATGACTCTACTTGGTCCTTCGCAATGTTTGCCGCTTTAAGACTAGTTGCATTCTCAACAAAATGGCATATTTTTCTCAAAACATCCGACTTCCTTGTGAATTTGGTTGGGCCCGGTCTGGCCCTCAAAAGGTGAAATTCTCTATGATTATGATCGCCGCAAGAACATACTTGCTTGTTGCCAGGATTATCAAGGTTAGAATCAAACGCGTTCTCTTCAGTGCTATGATAACTATACCAACTTGATACTCCCTATGTCTATTATCTCTTAGTGGTCCGTCATCACTATGCCGGCTCTGCGGCATCTAACACGCATCCAAACTCGACTTGACCATGAAATCAATCCCCAGGAATCATTCATGAATTTCCTATGTTGAGTTGGGATGACTCAATCGGATCCTCCCTTCCGTCTGTCCAGCTCCCACAGTGAAGACAACGGAGTGCCTAAAAGTCAGGTTAATACTAGACCAAAATGCAGGAGGAGAGGCAGCGAACGTTACCTGTTCACTAATGAATTGCCTGCAGTATCTGCACCGCACAGTCGGTTTGATGATCTTGTTATGGGAGACATACATATACATCTGTGCGACCGCATATAAGGTCAAGCTGATACCGCAAAAATTAAGGACATTTTCCAGAAACAGGCTAGTTTTTGGTCTTGTTAGGACAACTCCTAGTGATCCCTCGTCCAGGTTCGGAGTCAAGTGAAGCGGGACAAAAAATAAAAAAAAAAAAAAAGGAAGGGAAAAAACATACCCATATGCCAAAACTAAGGCTCCATCGTCGCGCGCTTGTTGGAGCGTGTTGTATCCCTTGCCCTCTACAAACCTCGGCCCCTGAGAAAGAACCGCGAATTTCTGGTCCATGTTGCGATTCAAAAAGGGCAGCAGCGAAACAATGGGCAGGATCATATCAGATACAAAGGATTTCACGACCGTCGTGAACGCATTAGCGATTCTGATGTTCAATATGTCTTGGTTAGTGGGCCGAGAAGTCGCTTTCAATCTCTTTTCAAGGGGTGCAAGAATGGGATCTCTACATCAAACCCAAGGCGACTTCCAGGACATTGTCTCGAGCGGCGAAATTAATGAAGCCATCCCACGCGTGTTGGACCTGATCTTTGGCATCCTGGCTAATCCGGTAGAGAATAGAATCACTCGACTCGTCCAGACGCGGCATTTTCATGCTCTCTTCTATCGCCACGTACTCTGTAGGGCTCGCGTATTTAGGGGAAGAAGAGACTCTAGAGGGGCACTGAAGGTTTTTAAACAGAAGCAACGCCTTCGGAGAGTGTTATCTTGACTCCACTGGCGCCATGGCACTGTTACTCTGCCGTGTCTCTGATTTGATCGCAGTTCGTGATCGACGCGTTTAGTTGCTCGACGGAATACGAGGGGCGTATCATTTGATCTATGACCACATAATGCAGGATATCGCTAATTTAAAACTGGGGGAGTCAGTATGAATTATTTAGCACGTTATTAGGCATTTGCTAAACTATGAGGGGATAAAAGTGTTGTGGCTGTGTAGTGAAAGAGTGATATCCATATATCTTGTCCTGTCCGGGATATGACAAGATATATACATATCCGACATACTCTTGAACAGGGACGAAACACGGAGCTTTCCTCGAGCATCAGGCAAACTAGCTACTTTGTGAACAATGAACAATATTCTCAGAATCATATGTTAACCTCTCGCGATAGTGCTTTCTTCTACATTCATCCCTTCCATTGTTATCACCCACCCGTGTTGATGCTCCGCCTTTACTGTGAACGAAATGCGTTCCTGCGGAAGAAGCGTCACATAGTTATCTGACCAAAACACAGGGACCAGCTCCTCTAGAGTAGCAGCATCGAGTAATGCAAGTCGCAGGAAGAAAGCAGGTGTCGTTGATCGATTTTCTAGAACCACATGGATGGGCATCGCCGAACTATTCTGATCCGAGCTCAGCGCCGTTGCGTGAACCGTAGCTGTCTCCAGGCTGGCCAGGGCTGTGAAATCAGCATAAGAAGAAACTGGAGTCGAATACCACGTTGACCTGTCCCAATCAAGCACATCGGCGCGCGATGATATCCAGTACACGTTTCGACTGAGGCTCTCTCCAGCTTCATTCTCCAAGACCAGCCGGAGGAAGGCGATGGTGTCCAGGTTTCCAATCTCAGGAACATCTAGCACAGCCTTTGATGCTGTCGGGATCGTTTCGGCAAGGGTCTCGCGACGCAGTAACGTTGTTCCATTCACGCCCACAAGATCAAGTAATACTCGACGCGAGCCGCTGGAGTGTAAGGAGTGGTTGATCAGATACACAGTCTGAGAACCATAGTCCAACAGAACGTGCTCCTCTCGCGTGCTGGCCTTGACGCCGAAATACGCCCCCGCAGGCCGCAGATAGTAATCGAATAACTGCCAGTGCAGACTCGGCCACGCGGTGTTCAACATCCAATAGACAACACCGGTTGCAGGACGGGAAGCGTTCTGACGCGCCGCAAAGGCTTCGAATTCTGCACGGGTTGCTTCGTAGTCCATAACCTGGGCTTTACGTACATACTCCTTCAAGCTCTTCGGGCGGCCGTACCGGGCCACCAAGGCGCGGTTATAAATCCTCCGGTCTTGGAAGACAGTTCCCGCGGGGGATAGATGATACTGTGCTGAGGCTTCACTTGCCCATAAATCCTCCAAATCAGAGGGGGAAAGGAATTTACGTAGACTGCCGAGCTCGGGAGTTCCCACTCCAGCGCCTTGTTCGGACCCGAATCCAAAAGCTGCACCGAGCTTGTTGCCGTACCAGTAGTTCGGTGGAACCCAATCGTACGGACCATCCATCTTCATCCCAGACGGCCCAAGTTGTTCTGGGTGGCCACGTTTACTGGCGGCCGCGATCACCGGGTTGGGCCAGTCCATGTGGTGCAGGGCCGACAGGTACTGGTCGGTGGCGCGGTTATTGGGCCAGTAATCCGACCCGACAAGAAAGGCCAGGAGCGACGGGTGTGCCTGCATCATCTCAGCTTCGTGCAGCATTGAATCATAGGCTTCCGGGTAGTCCTCGTCGTGCCATTTCTCTCCATCGGCGTCGTCGTCGTACTGAATGGGTTAGGCTGACGGTGAAAACAGCGCGACTGGAGAGTGAATGGCTCACCTCCCATCCCTCCCACTTATCGCAACACTCCCATCCAGCCATGACCATTAAGCCCATGCGGTCTGCCAAGTCATAGAGCTCAGGATGCTCCTGTTTACCTTCGAGTCGGATGGTATTTAACCCAAGATCAAGGACATACTGGAACATAGCCTGAAGACGCTGGAGATCAAATCGAAGGAAAATATCAGGTGCATACCCTGCTCCTCGGACGCGAAATGGGTGTCCGTTAACGGTGAATAGGGTGTCATTGTATGAATTCAGAGCGGATATCACTCTACGGATACCAAAATGCGTTGCCGGTGCAATATCGGACAATGTTCCTGAAGGAAGAGACACGTTGAGGTTGACTTGATACAGTGATTGTGAACCCCATTCAGCAGGCCACCAGATTTCGGGATTTGACACACTCGTATTCAGAGAGACGGTTACATTCATGTTTCCGGAGAGATGAACTTTCTGGAAAAGATTGAGGACAAACGACCCATCTGGTGGAAGGATTGTGCCTTGAACAATGGCATCAACAGGAGCGTTTTCGTGGTTGGCGATAGTGGTTCTTACGGTAATGGCGACAATAGAAGATTGGGACTCGCTGGTAAAGTTCGTGATAATTCGAGGAGAAGACAACGTTACAGGGCCAGTAAGCTTTAGGTCGACGTTTCGCCAGACACCAGTGCCATTATCTGGCGGGCGCGGATTCCAATCTCCAAATCCCACGGCAAGATCACGAAGATAGTTGGTTGGATAGGCCTGGATTAAGAGGGCATTCGAGTTGACCTGCAAACGAGGCGTCAGATCGTACATCTTACCACCATAAGATCCTCTCTGGGCCATTGCTGAACAGATCCGACCCCCATTTAGGAAAATATCGGCTTTTGAGCTAATACCATGGACCATAAGGAACAAATGTTGACCTGGCGCTAGTAAAGGGACAGAAAACTCTTCCCGATACAGCCAGGGAACTTGGAAATCCGATTGATTCACAGTCGAAAGATTATCGGAATAGAATAGGTTGGTTTCATTATAGACATTGTTAGCAACTAGGCCAGCTAGAATCGTAGCCCGAGACCTAACACGATGCCAGGAAGAGACATCAGCGCCCGGGAGAGACCAATTCGTGAGATTGGGTTCGTTGATAGACTGTGTAGATTGGAGATGCCATCCAGGAATAACGCCTCTATCCCCAGGGCCCTGGAGGCTGAAGCTGATAGCACAGGGAAGAAGCAGCAGCAAAGTTGGGAAAGTCATTGTGGGTAAATTTCTGACGAGAAGAAAAAGAGGAGGAGGATACATTAGATGAGGTAAAGAGATCACATATAGACTCTGCTTCGGCTAATATAAGAAGCTCATATGTCACCAAGATCTGCGAACCTATGATAATTGCATCTGAGGTAGATCCCCGTAGGTTCGTCTCTGTCGATTGTTAACATACAGGCCCACGGAGGCTCTCGTCATTATTATGATTCCATCGGAAGATCTTACAAGTCTTTGCTGACCGGTCTTCGAACCGTAGAGTGTAAGATATTTCTCAGGTGGGGAGACTTGCAAGGTTGCTATGATGGGAGAAAGGATGATAAGTCTGCCACCGTCGGAAATCGAGAGATGACCCTCACAATCACGGTCTTTTCAATGTGACAGAAGAGTCTATTTGGTAGGAGACCAAAGAGGAGGAAGTGAAACAAGATACACAGTTGCCCTAGTCTGTGGGGGTTCATGCAAGGCTACTCTGCTTTATTTTAGAAAGGAGCATCCGGTCTGGAGTTAAACCGGTTAACCCGTTAGCTTTTGTTAAAGTTCTGTGCCCGAAGCCAGTGGTCCTAGGATGTTATATCGTTGCTCACGCCTATCCATATTGTTGAAGCTACTCGGAGGGTCCTTTCGGCCCTTGTTTCGGCCCATGCCCGCAGGAATGATGGACATCTCTTATTCGCTTATGGGTCGCTTCTCTGGGGAGGAAGCTCAAGGCGAATCTTGGGTTGTCTTTCACGGCAGCTTCGGACAAGGTCGATTAACAGACTTGATATTGATCCCCACAGAATTCCGAGAGAGAGATGGACTTTGGCTGTAAAGGGAGGTGCTTTCCAAGGGCGAGGTAATGGGATTGAACACTGCTGAGCGGATCTTCACTGCTTACTTTGTCTACCCATATTTAAAGCTTCTCACTTGTGGAAGTAATTCCAGAGTTTCCACCATACTCTGCCGAAGTATACTGACCAAGCACGTTGACATCAGCAATCTACAGATAATCGACCACAGGAATACAGCACAGCACGTGGAAAGGCAAATAAATGCTAAAATAATATCAAGAGATTCATTGTTCCAAACCCTGACGTGGTATTTCCTCAGGTCGCGCGTGTGGTTCATAGTCAAGGGGCTGTACTGGAATGTGTCATTCGTTACCAGATGCGGAGCTACAGAGAAGTTGTCTAGGAACTATCTACGCTCAGTCGCTTATTCGACATGTTGTCATATCTGTTAGGAGAGCAATAGCCTTATTTGGAATTGGCATTGTCCTTGAAGCCAAAAAAAAAATCAATTCAATTGATAGGCTGGTCATTGCAAAGCAATCATGTGGAACAGTTTCCAGGGCACAACAACATTCCCATTACCGGAATGTCAGTCTGACGTCGATACGGAATGATAATAATCAATTCACTTGTCCCTGGTTAATCTTTCCCCTCACATGAGACTCTCTCTCTCTCTGCCTCTGAGTTTCATGCAGTGTTGTTCACAATGCGAAAATCATGGCATCTGCTGCTTCTCTTGCTAGCAGGCGTTCGGGCAGTGGAGATGCAGATAGATAATACCGGTACTCCTCTTGACCCTGAATAATTTCAATTGGTATTGACAATGCATAGATTCGGTGAAGAAAGCATGTAAAGCGGTCGCGAAAAACATGCTAACCCACTACACGGGCATGAACCCGGGCGATGTTCCAGGTAACCTCCCGGATCCTTACTACTGGTGGGAAGCTGGAGCAATGTTTGGCGCTTTAATCGATTACTGGTACTATACGGGCGACGATACGTGGAACAATATCACGATGCAGGGCCTGCTGTGGCAGGCTGGGGACTCGGGAACATTCATGCCTTCGAACCAGACACGGACGGAAGGGAACGACGACCAGGGATTCTGGGCCTTTGCTGCCATGTCAGCTGCGGAACGAGGCTTTCCGAATCCCCCCGATGACCATCCAGGATGGTTAGCAATGGCGCAGGCGGTGTTTAATACGCAGGCCCGCCGATGGGATACCTCGACCTGTGGCGGGGGGTTGAGATGGCAGATTTTCACTTGGAACAATGGGTACACATACAAAAATACAATATCCAATGGGTGTTTCTTCAATCTTGCGGCTCGACTGGCTAAATATACTGGAAACCAGACATACGCAGATTGGGCGACAAAAGTATGGGACTGGACACGGGATGTTGGGTTCCTGACAGATGATTACATGTTCTATGATGGAGCAGATGACGTCTCGAATTGCACCCATTTTGACAAGATCCAGTGGACATATAATCCCGGTGTATATCTTCTGGGAGCGGCAAGCATGTATAACTTTGTAAGTTCTCGTACTCTGCCGGTGTGATGTGAGCTTCGAAGATGTTGACATTGAAAGACCAACGGGGATCCTATGTGGAAGGAACGAACAGAGCAGATTATCAACTCGACAAGCATCTTTTTTGTCAACAACCCAAAAGATGTCCTACAGGAGCGAGCCTGTGAGCCTGTGAACACCTGCGAGGTCGACCAGCGTTCCTTCAAGGGCTACCTAGCACGGTGGATGGCCGCTTCCACCCAGATGGCTCCGTTCACGTACGACACTGTTATACCTAGACTACGAGCATCAGCTACTGCAGCCGCTAAGACATGTACAGGGGGGGCGGATCAGGCGGCTTGCGGGCTCAAATGGACTGCAGAGAAGTGGGATGGCGAGCAGGATGTCGGGATACAAATGGCTGCCCTGGAGGTAATGCAGTCGACACTCGTCACTAAAACAGACCCTCCCCTATCACAGAATCACGGAGGAACCAGTAAGGGCAATCCAGGGGGGGGAGCAGGCACTCCCCCGCCTGTCGCGCCGGATATAATTACGAGAAAAATCACAACTGCGGATAGAGCAGGGGCTGGCATTGTAACGCTGCTGGTGGTGATGATTTTGGCGGGGACGTTGGGCTGGTTGATTTGGGAGCCACGCACATGAATCCCTACTATCTATAACTAATTCTGCTTTCTTCTTCATAAGCTGTAATATATTTCTGTATTCAATGTATTCTTCTTCCAATTGGACATTTGGGGGTGTCTATGGCCAGGGTCAAGAGGGGAAAGAGGGGAAGTCTCGGATGAATTTGCCCACTGACTTACTTATATTCAGGAGATGCGTAGACTTGGATACAGATGGCTCCTATTTCTTGCATGGGCACTCAGTTGAATATATACCTTTCCGCCTATCTTCGCAAAACCATGGATGGCATTCCTACGCATTGCAAGGCAGGCGTGGTGGAGAATCCCGGACCGGACTTTACAGTCAAGGTTGAATCAGTCCCAGTCCCTCAGCCAGGTGAGTTATGAATATGCTCTGTTTAAGACACCTAGACTAAGGCGCTAGGTCCCAATGATATCCTTGTTCGCCTAAATGTCACTGGCCTCTGTCAATCGGATGTGCACTACATGCTCGGTGACATAGGGCTAAGCATGTCAAAGTTCGGCGTTCGTTCCCCAGGACATGAAGGTGCAGGTATTGTTGTAAAAGTGGGAGCAAACGTCACCAACTTCAAGGTAGGTGACCGTGCTGGCATTAAGCCCATGATGGACACTTGTAATTCCTGCAGCCTATGTTGGGATGACAAGGAGACTTATTGTCGGAAGGCCATCTATACCGGGATGATGGTTCCAGGTAAGCTTTTCTAGAGAGAAGAGGATAAAGAGAGAGAAAGATATGAATGCTTCAATTGGCTAAAGCAACTAGGAACCTACCAACAATATCTTGTTTCGCCAGCCCGATATGCCAGCCCAATCCCAGATGGAATTCCCGATGAGATTGCTGCACCTATCATGTGTAGTGCATCTACTATTTACCGTTCTATCCAGGAATCTCGGTTGGAACCCGGTGACTGGGCTGTTTTCCCCGGGGGTGGAGGTGGTGTTGGCATCCAAGGGGTCCAGCTTGCACACGCTATGGGCATGAGACCTGTCGTCGTGGACACTGGGGATGAAAAACGCTCCCTAGCCTTACAAATGGGAGCAGAAGCGTTTGTAGACTTCAAGGAAGTTTCCGACCCTGCTGAGGCTGTGATGCAGATCACGGATGGTGTGGGAGCGCACGGAGTGTTTGTTACTGCGCAGGCGGCGTACCCTACAGCTGTAGCGTACCTTGGAAAAAGAATCGGCGGCACAATCATGTGTATTGGCCTAGCAGCGACGGGTTCAATAAAGCTTGAGCTCGACCCAAATCTCTGTATTAAGCAAAATATCAGAGTCCAGGGGACCATGGTGGGAAGCCGACGCGATACAGCTGTGGCATTTGATTTCGCGCAGAGAGGCAAGCTCAGACAAATTTGTGAAGTGTATCCCATTGATAGGCTACCTGAAGCAGTAGAAAAACTGCGTAAGGGGCAGGTTGCTGGTCGAATTGTTATAGATTTCAACCAGTAGATACTGAATGAAGGTGACAAGTGTTGTTTGACATCTAGTTCTATACGAGGGAAATCTTCGCCCATTTCAACTGGGCTTTCTGGTGGAGATGCAAGTTGCTATGTCACTATATTTATGCGGGAGTTTGAATGAAGGATTCTCAAAGTCCTAGTTAAGCCTTTTACTACTGTTCGAGTTGGTTTATCATCATCCGAACATTTTCCCACGGAGTAAACCAGGATATACAGCATGGCAGCTCGCTTTTGGTTCCCGGATTTTGTTCCCCCTCCTGATTCAGGCAGAGAGAACGGACTAGGAAAGGGCAGATGTGGTAGTAACTATACGTTGATAACCAGCACAACAAGTTTTATTACCATAAACCATATTAGAAGTTGGGACAAACAAAAGCAAGAAGATCTATGTCCTTGTGTGAGAGCCCTGCTCGTCTTTACATGACTGAGCAAACCATACAAGAAGCATCGCACCCTCAATAGCCAACGGCTGCTCCCAGAACGAGGGCGACCGTACTTCCTTTATTGCTAATCTATAGCAATTCCTTAGTAATTGGGTTGTCGTCTTTCGACCGTCTTTTTCCATCCGTAGGGCAATCGCCATTGCCATGTACACATGATATCGCGCAATGGATGGCGGATATAGTGGCTCATGCCCACCAACATACTCCCACTGATTATAAATGATGTCTAGAAAGCCGAAAAGTTTGTCTCGCTCAACAGGATATCCAGATCCGCCCGTTTTCGCGAAGAACCTATCTAATAGCATCTCGGCCTCAAACCTAGTCGGTGGAGATAGAACTTCAAACTCAGGGTCCGTGGCCGGCCCCGTCATGGTCATTCCGAGTTCTGGGTCAGTGAGACCAGGTAACGAGATGTTTTGCGAGGCTGGCACCCAATCAAGACTCAATGATGAGACTGAGGAACTGCGCGACCGAAAAGTTTCCGGCACACTTGGTGGGGAAAGATATGGGATAAACTCGTGATTTGGTGACGAGCAAACAGTGGTTGGCGGCGATATACCAGCTCCTGCACTTCGGGGCCTTAGCCCACTATCAAAACTATTCGGTGCTATACTGGGCGGTGTTGCCATAATTGGATGAAGTAATGCTGAGGGTGAAAGCGACGTTGGTGAGGATTCAGCATAATCAACCACCTGAATGCGAGGAATCCCTATCGGCGATAAGCCGGTATCCGATGCAAATTGGCCAGATGTCTCGTCTGTCGGGAAACTCGGGTCAGGAGATCCAAAATCCGTGATCAATCGAAGATCTGGTGTCCACAGTCCCGGTGAAGATACCGCTGCCCATTGCTTCTGAGTTTGAGTGTTAGGCAACCCGGCGGTCATATTGGCTATTTGGGCCTCCAGCTGGCGGACACGCTGCTGCAGAGCTTGGGTGTCGTTTTTCTGGACTCGCACGCAATTCATACGGAAGCGTCGACACGTCGCACACGGTGTCTCTCCATCGCAACGAATTTTTCTTCGTCTACACCTTTCGCAGGCATTTGTTACCGGCTTTCCGCGGATTGCTGGCGAGGAGCCTCGCGGGGTTTCGTCCGCAATACGCGGCCGCTGGCTATTAACTTGGTCAAGCCCCGCAGACGCCTGAGACACATCCATGACGAAAGCACGAGGAATTCCTTTTCATGGCTCGTGGAAAGACGACACATCTACTCCCCGAGTTGATCCGAGGGAGCGAGGTAGGCTGATATGAACGGTATCGAAAGATGATCCCATGAGCTCACGATCCTGAGTGGTAGCAAGAGAAAGTCCAGGAGACACAAAGAAGGGATGAAAACCCAATACGCGTCAAACAGACCATATTCAAGTCTTACCTGGCAAAGAGAAGCCTCGATTCTTGGTTGGGTGTCCGTACGGAGTAGTCAAATAATAAATCCCTTGTGTGAAAGGCAAGGCCCCGCAATGCACGACTGCACTGCCACTGCCAACCTCATCCCGTCACATCAACCTTTCTTTTGACTTTTGTGCGTTCCGTTTAAGGGCTGGATGCCAGCGTATTTAATTGAAGACAGTCGATTAATTTGGGGGGTCAAAAGGGATCATGTTGAATAAACCCGCCAGCTACTTGACGGAGTTGACACGAATCCATCTCAATTCCGGTGCTTGCCAAATTAGATAAGCTTAAAACCTCGCGGGCATGAAAGGTGGGACAGTTTAAAGGTTCTCGATCGTCTTCAATAATATCTCTTCCTCATGTTTCTTGTTCGTCGTATCTCACTTCAGGTGAGGAAATACTTTAGGATGTTCAATCATCAATGTTGGGCAGTGTTGCCGTTTAAGGCCAATATAGGGCATAGGGTATAGGGCTAGGCCCGATCATCGACGCTTATATCCAAAAATTTCTAAACCATGTCAGTATTCAGACCTGTGATTGCATTAATCAGCTCATTGTCACTTAGTTATGAATTGCTCTGCCTGATAACCGCCCGGTTTGCTTTGATATGAAACAACCTAGGCGCTTACGACGTTGTTAAGTTATGTATTGGCTCTAGGAGTATCTGACAGGATTGGGTCATCCGGAGTACTGTAGTACAGTATGCTTTGAAAGGGCACCTATGTGCAGTCGAGGCCACCTATATTCAAATGAGGATAGTAATGCAAGACTCGACCAAAGGGTTCAAATGCAAATATGCATTTTGCTAAAGGTATATTCGAGGCATTTTTGGTTATATTTGGTGATAGTATCACCGAATATGGAATCCTTGCGCAACTTCGCGTGTACTGTACATTCTAGGCCAAATACTGGTTTTTGCCCAAATAAATACACCTATTAAGCCCAATTCCAAGTGCAAAGATAATGGCAGTGCTTTTGAACAGCGAATAAATCGCTAGTAAACCATAAGGTTGAGCCGGATGCTGACTGCAGAATCATCCAACCCCTCAGCTGTCTCGCTCGGCCCCAACTGACAATTGAACAATTGAACAATAAAAAGGAGTTGAAGAGTTCATCACCAAGGTGCGTCCTTTCCATCGTATTTATTTGGCCCTGATTTATTCTCCCATCCAGGGACGTGGATGTTTCGGAATCGCCCATTGAACTCCGAATCGGCTTCTCTCAGCATCCTAACCACTTCCTTCGCACCAGTTTCTACAGGAAGATCTGCTTGCGAACCTCCCATTTCGGTTTTCAACCACTGATTCAATCAGTATCATGCTTGGGGGGATACTGGATTCGAGGAGAACTTACTCCAGGGCTGATGACGAAGAAGGTGAATCCCTCATCCTCGTAGCAATTTGCATACTGTGCCGTGAGCATGTTCATGCCGGTCTTGGAAATGTTGTATGCGTATACTGGCTTGCCTTTGAACTCTTTGGCCATCGTAATTGAACCCATGGTGCTTGAGCTGCCATTGATTGATTAGTCGTAGTATATCCGAGGAATACTGCGTGCATTCTTACATGTTAGCAACAATTTTGCGTGTTCCCTGGCGAAGGAGTGGCATAAATGCCCCAGTCACCAGGTGAGTCAAGGTGACATTTGTATGGAAAGTCTCCGTGAGACCTTCCCTGGTTTATATGAGTATCTGAATTTGAGTCCACAAAGGCAGGAAGAATATACATATTTTCGATGGGACCCTGTGTACTGGGCATAATACCCGCATTGTTGACCAAGACATCTAGACCCTGGCCGTTGAGCTGGCCCTCCACAAACTTGACCGCGGCTTGGAGGCTCTCTGGAGTATTTGCATCCATCTGGACGGGTACCACCCTACCAAATGTTGATTCAGCCAGCTTCACCAACCCAGGGGAGTCGGCCTGGCGGGTGGTGGCGAAGACGATGCTCACCTCGGTCTCGGGCAGGGCGGCCAGCTGAGTGACCGCGGCCAACCCAATACCGCGGGAGGCGCCAGTGACGAGATAGGATGACATTTCACCAGATTTGGTTATATTCTCTCTGGATAGCTGGCCAAACTACTCAGAATCATGGTGTTAAGCCATTCATATAGTGGAGTTTGCAGAGCCGGATGGCGTCAATACCATGTGGGTAAGAACGGAGATAGGGCGTCGCATTTGTCAGCAGTCCCATATGCCTAACTAACTAACTAAATGAATGACTCGGGTTATCAGTAAGCCAAAGAAAGGGACGATGAGATGTAAAAGGGAAATCAGGATATTGGCTATTTCTGGAGGTTGCGGCTCGCCAGGTCGCCAGGTCGCCAGGTGGCTACCAAATTTAACTAGTTGGGACCAGTAATAACCAAATTTCATTACTATATATAACAATACTAGTAGTAAGTTAGTAATATATTCTATAAAGCTGCAGGATTCAAAATCACCTATCTAGTAGTACTAGTCATGACTAGTCAGGACTAATTTAAGTAGTAAAATACTACCTGGCAAGACAAGATTTAGTATAGTATACTTTTTATGGTATAATATAGTATATTATTTCTAGTTAAGACTAATTAAGACTAGTACTTACTTAAGTAAAATATATATCTAGATTAGATTATTATAATTATTTTTAAAAAAGAACTAATCTTATTAATAATTACTAGATATTACTAGTAATAACTAGAGGGGACTATTAACACCACACCCTGTATCAATCTAACCACACCCCTTCCCGATCATACCACACCCCCTAACCTAATAATGCCATACCTATTCATTACATGATTTTTTTTCTTGCTATATATAGTTTAGTATTAGAATAATTTTATAAGATATTACTATTATTATATATATTATAATATTAATAACTATACTAAATATATATAGACCACGCAGACTACTAAAATACTGCCTAATCTTATTAGATATGAGAGCTCAGATAATAGCAAGGATGCTAGTAAGATCAGGCCTTAGCTACTTCCTCTACTAACTAACTAGACCTTCCTATCCTGACCAGTAATTATAGAGTTTCTTAATTTATTTATTATATAGTAAGAATATATCTTGACTACTAAGTAATTAAAATAATATAAAATTAATAGGAAGAAGGAGATATACTTAATCTATTTATATTATAGCTATAAAGGGGAATACTAGACTTAAATTAATAAAAAAAAGTACTTTTAAAAAAAAAAGACTTAACTTATAAAATACTTATATAAAGTATATTTAAAGCTTAAATTTAATAATAAAATATAATATTTTAAAATTAAAAATATTTTATATAATTATAATTCTACTCCCTATTTAATATATATAAAGCTTTACTATTATAAAATAATAAAGAAAAAAGCTAATATTAAGTCTTATCTTAATATTAGCTTATTAATAAGTAAAATCCTTTCTATACTATATAAGGATAATCCTAATTATATTATAAAAGATTATAATATTTATAATTAGAAGTAAAAGTTATAAGATAAGTTTTTTAATAGTAAAATCTTTATCTAAGTACTTTTTTCTATTATTCTAGAAATTAGTAACTAGATAGTAATATATAAAATAAATAAATTAAATATTATAATAATAGTATTCTATATTTATAAGACTTTTCTATAATTCCTATAATATTATTTAATAATTTTATTTATAAATTATATATATTATATAAATTAATATAAGATATTATTATTAGATATTATTAGATTAATTATCTATAATAAGACTTTTTATACTAGATTTAGATTTATCTCTAATAAAAAATAAAAGAATTATAAATATCTTTTAAATTATTTATCTAAAGTTCTTTAATAGGTAGATATTACCTCTCCTATAATTATTATTACTAATAAGAAAGATATCTTAATAAATATAATCTATAAGATTTTTCTATTTATATATAACTTAATCTATATATAGTATATTTATTAAAATATTCTTATAGAGGTATAATCTATTCTTACTAGCTAAATTATATAGAAAATCTATAGTAATAATATAATAGAGATAAGAAAGAATAATAAGGAATATAAAGATTATATTAACTAGTAGTAGAAAATCTTCTAGATATTATTTAATATAATTATATATATAAAAACTAAGGAGAAAAGAGACTTAATAATTAATAATTTTAAAATTATATATAGTAGTAAAATCTAGTAAGAATTTATAGAATATATTACTAATAAATAATTAAATTGTCATGGCGTAGCTGTGTACCTATCTGGTTAGATTCTACCCTAACTGTCTGCCTCTACTCCTATATTTAAGCCATATTACCCCTGATCCTGTTATAGCTCTTTAAGCTATATCCTTGTCCTAACCTAATCCCTACCTATTATACCTATATATAGATAGCCTGAATATATACTCTACTATTAGCTATACTTACTACCTGCCTACTTCCTATAATATTATATAGCTTAAATTCTAGGTATAACTATTATTAGTATATTAAAATAATCTAAACTACCCTTAATTATAAACTTAATTAAGGAGTTTATAAGTTATATTATTAATAATCTTACTATTTAGATTATTTACCTTAAATCTTATAATAAATATATTAATTCCCTAAAAAAGGAGATTTATACCCTTTAAAACTAAATTAATAAAGCTAGCCTAGAGCTAGCTAAGAAGGAGAGAGTAATACTATACTAGAAGGAAGAACTAGAAATAATCTAATAAAAATTAATTAAATCTAAATATATATTTATTATATTATAAATTATTATTATTTCTATTATATTTATTCCTATTATTACTCTTACCCCTATTAAATATACTCCCCTTGCTAAAGTTATAATAACTAATATAATAAGAGTATCTATATTTATTTTTACTAGTCCTTTTTCTAGTATCTATCTTAGTAAGAAACTCTCTAATTTATAAGAATTTAATAGTACTTATTTTAATCTCTACTATTTTATATAATAAATCTATAGTAAAATAAATATTAACTTAGACTATTTTTTAATTACTAAAGCCTAACTAATCTATATAATAGGATATCTAATTAGAAAGGCTTATAAATTAATCTTATTTAAAATAAGACTTAATATTCTCTAGTTTCTAGACTATCTTAACTTACTTAATTATCTAGAAATAATATTTAAAAATCTTAATTAAATTTAAAATACTTAAAATTACCTTTATAATTAGAAATAAAGAAACTTAGACTTTAATACTTATTTTATAAAATTTTATTATCTTACTTTAGAAAAAAAAATACTTAATAACTCTTTAATACTTCTCTTAATTTAAAATATTTTAATCAAACTCTAAAATATATTACTTTATAATCCTATCTTATTTTAAGACTTCTAAGAATATATTAACTATCTCTAGTTACTAGAAAATTACTACTATTAATACTAGTTATAAGTATTCTATTCTTGCCTAATATCTAGTTCCTATTACTCTAGTCTAGTAGTACTAAGGAATCTCCCTAGTTCTATCCTACCTAGTTACTTAGTCATACCCCCCATGCCTAGAAAAGATTTAGATATTATAGATCTATCTTATACCTACTATATATTATACTCTCCTAGGAGAGAATAATATAAGTATAAGAAATATTTCTATTATAAAGATAGAGTATATTATATAAAGAATTACCCCTTACTTAATTAATATCTTATATAAATCTAAGAATAGATAAATATATTAATATATTATACTAGCTTAATTCTTATTATAGTATTACCTACTTCTTATACTATAGCTTAGAATAACTACCTTACTACTCTAGAGAAACTTAACTAACTATACTCCCTTAATATCCTGCCTAACTTAGAAAATAGAGTCTACCTAGCTATAGTTACTATCTAGTACTAGAATATATATAAAAACTCTTATTACTAGATATATTACTCTACCTATTCTATATTATTATTAAATTAATTAATTTCTCTAATCTCTATTATATACGTACTAATCTAATAGTATAGTAAGTATAATTATATTAAGAAAATCTAAAAATACTAACTTATATTATAATTAATTCTAGAGTTAAAGAAGTTAGCTTTATAAATTACTAATAAGTAAAAATATATAAATTAAAGATTATTTTATTCTTTTATTTAATATTTTTATTTAACTTTTATAATAAAAAAGTAGAAGAAAGTATAATAACTTATTATATAGAGACTAACTTATTATTAAATAATTATTATAATTAGAAATCTATTTTCTATATTACTTATTTCTTCTATTACTTAATTATTCTAGGACTAGCCTAGCTTATTATATATAATCTAAAGATATATTTCTTTAATTAAATAATTATATTTAATAGCTAATACTATTATAAATACTATAATATATCTCTTAAGTTTATAAGAGTAAGGGCCCTAATAGATATCTTCTAAAAGGATTAATTTAAGTAACTAAATTAATAAAAAAAATTACTAGAATTAAAACTTTTTATACTTATAGAAATATATTAAATATCTTTAAGAGTACTAGCTATATATACCTACTATCTAGTATAAAAATTATATTAAATCTTATTAAATAAAGTTAATAAAAAACTAAAATATAAAGATACTAGTCCTAAATTACTATTTATACTTTTCCTAGAATTATAAGATTTCTAAGATATATTTAATCTTTAAGAAATAAAGAAGCTATTACTATACTAATTATATAATTATAATATTAAGATTTAAGAAAAAAAATAACCCTTATTTAATAAATTATACTTAATATTATAAGTATAATTAATTATTTTAAAGAAATAGTTAAAAAAGAACCTAAAAAAAGATTTTATATATTCTAGTTTATTTTTAGTTATCTCTCTTATCTTATTTATTAATAAACCTGGAAGTAGCCTCTACCTATATATAGATTACTAAGGATTAAATATTATATTAATTAAGGATTATTACTTATTATTCCTAATTAAAAAAATCTTAAATAATCTATAGGAAATATAATACTTTTTTAAGATTAATCTAGTAACTACCTTTAATAATATCTATATTAAGAAGAGGTTAGAGTATCTAACTACTTTTTAAACTTATTTTAAACTATATAAGTCCTTAATTATATTATTTAGTCTAACTAGTATTCTAGCTATTTTCTAATATTTTATAAATAATATTTTATAATAATATATAAATATATTTTATAATATATTTTTAAATAATATTCTAATTTATAGCTATATAAGAAAAAAATATATTAAATACTTAAAGTAAATATTATAAATCTTAAGAAATAATAACTTATATATAAAAATATTTAAGTATAAATTCTACTAGCTAGAAATTAAGTTTCTAGATATTATTATTAAAAGAGAAGATACTTATATAAATTTTAAGAAAATTAAGATTATAGTAGATTAGAAATTACTTAAAATAATTACTAATATTAAGAATTTTATAAAATTTACTAGATTTTATTAATATTTTATTAAAAGATTTTTATAGATTCTTATACCTATTATTATCTTAAAGAAAAAAGAAATCTTATTTTTATAAATTTTAATTTACTAGACTACTTTTAAAATATTAAAAGTAAAATTTATTAAGAAACTAATATTAAGATTCTTTAATTAAGATTAACTAGTTATTTTAAAAATTAATATCTTAGATTTTATATTTACTAGAGTATTATTATAATATAATAATAATAAAATTTTATACCTAGTAAGATTTTATTTAAAGAAAATAATTTTAACTAAGTATAATTATAAGATATATAATAAGGAATTACTAGTAATTATTTATTATTTAGAAAAATAGATTCTAGAACTAGAAAAATACTAGTATTTAATTAAGATTATAACTAATTATAGAAATCTAGAATATTTTATAATAATTAAAATACTAAATTAATAATAAGTCTAATAATTTAAATTTCTATCTTACTTTAATTTTATAATTAATTATTACTTAGGCAAGTATAGAATAAAATTAGATAATTTAATTAGAAGGTTATAAGATTTCTTTAAGAAAGGAAATAAATACTTACTATACTAGAATTAAATAATATTAAAAAAAGAAAATTTAGCAAGCTTCCTGCCTAAATACTTAGAGAAATTATAGAGCTAGTAAATACTATAATTAATCTAGTTCTAAGCTATTACTAGAAGGAAGTTAGTATACTTCTAGCTACCTAAATCTAAAGAAGAAAAGACTATCTAGCTTCTTAAATAGCTGAGAGAGTACCTAAATAGGGGTTATAAATAAGATCTAGCCCTTAATAATATTCTAGAAAGTCTAAAAAAAAGCTATAATTACTATTTATTAATTATATTATTTAAGTATATTTATTATTCTAGATTCTTATTTTATTATAATTAATTATATATCCCTAATATAAAAGAATTAAAAATAGAACTAATATATAAATATTATAAGAATATAATTATTAATTATTAAGATAAATTAAAAATTTATAAATTATTATTATAATTATATTACTAGTCTAGAATATTATAGTTTATAAAATAATAGATTTATAATTACTATATTTATAAATAATTTATATCTTATTAAAATAAATATTAAGAAGTACTTTATTCCTTATTTATATTTAAAAATTTTTAAAGAAATATATTTATTAATTTTATTATATATTTATTTTAAAGTTTAGGCTTTAATACTATTATAGTAGTAATTAATTAATTAATAAAGTTTTAATACTATATTTTCTATAATAATACTTATAATATTAAGAGAACTACCTATTTATTTTAAGATTATATTTAGAAATTTTATAAATTTCTTAAGTCTATTATATTTAATTAAGGATTCTAGTTTATATTAATATTCTAGATATATTTAAATTATATCTTAAAGATAAGATTACTCTTATTTATTACTTATTATTTTAAGACTAATAAGTAAATTAAATATATAAATATTATTTTAGAATAATATTTATAAATTTATATTAATTATTTATAAAATAATTAAACTAAATAGTTACTTATAATAGAATTTACTATTAATAATACTAATTTTAAGATTATTAAATACTCCTTATTCTTTACTTTATATAATTTTAACCTCTATATAAGATTTAAACTTATTCTACCTAATTATTACTTATAAACTTATAATACTTACTAATTTACTCTAATTATAAAGTAGATATAGGAATATTACTATATTACTATAATTATTACTTAAACCTACTATAAATACTATATTAACTAGAAATATTACTTTATTAGATATTATATTAAGAACTAATTAATTTAATTAAATACTAAAAATATTATAATCCTATATCTTTAAAAGAAATTAAACTAGAAAAATCTAGATTTTTTCTTTATTAAGAGGATTATTAGCCCTTATACTTATAAACTAGACCTACTTAAGAATATAAAAATATATCTAGTATTTTATATTAAATTATTATACCTAATTATTAAAGATTTATTATCTAGATAAGAAGAAATTAAACCTCTATATATTAAAATTAATAGTATTAAGAAATAAGAGGTTAAGGAAGTAATTAACTCTTATTAGGATTATTATAATTAAGGTAGCTACTTATATTTAAAATATATTATTAAGTAAGTTAAATACCCTATTATTACTAAAGTTCTTACTAGCTACCTGGAGAATATTACTAAATATATTACTACTTATTATTACTACTACCCTAGAAAGCCTGGACTCTAGAAATACTTTGCTAGAGTTTAGCCTAAGAGAGGGGATACTATTATAGTATAGTTATATACTTATCTAATTAGATTTTGCCCTAATTATCTACCTTTACTCCTATATTTAAGCTATATTACCCCTAATCCTGTTATAGCTCTTTAAGCTATATCCTTATCCTGACCTAATCCCTACCTATTATACCTATACGCAGATAGCCTGAATATACACCCTGCTGTTAGCTATACCTACTACCTGCCTGCTCCCCATGACATAAATAATAAAACTTAATATTACTTCTTATTTTATTATCTTATAGATTATATATATCTTATATAGATAATAACTTCTTATAATAAGTTAGATTATTAAATACTTAAGTAAGAGCTTTAAATCTTTATAAATAATTTTTTAGAAATATAGTAATTCTTTAAATATATTATAGTAAGATAATATATTAAAATATAATAAATTTATAATAATAATAAAGTAAAATACTTACTATAATTTATAAAAAATCTCTTATTCTAAATTATATTAAATTAGATCTTTTTATTTATACTTAATTATATTATAAAGATTAAAAAATATTTTTTAAGATTTAATAAAATTTTATATAATTTAGATTATAATAAAAATATAAAAAAAATAATAAAAATCTTTTATATCTATATTATTAAAAAATATATTAATTATAATAAGTTTTTATAAATTTATTATTTTTATTAATATTAATAATTTTATATAAATATTAATTTATTATCTTTTATTAATTTATAGCTATTAATTCTTAATCTTATAATTTATAGGACTTATAGCTATTTAAAAGGCTTAATAAATATCCTAATAGTAAGCTAGCTAGTAAGCTAGGGTAATATAAATAGATTTACCTAAAGAGAGCTATCTTATTATAAATATATCCTGGTACAGGAGAATTTAATACCTTGTAGAGAATATAGAAGAGGTAGAGGAGATAGAGAAGATAGAGAAAGTAAGAGAGATTATTAACTTATAAAAAATAGAATAATTAGTATTCTTCTTCTTAATTAGGGTGATAATATTTAATAGACTTATAGCTAGTAATCTTGCAGGCTACTAATCTAGTAACTAATCTAGCAACCAAGCTAGCAACCTTGCAGGTCACTAATCTAGCAACCAAGCTAGTAACCTTACAGGCCACTAATCTAGCAACCAAGCCAGTAACCTTGCAGCGCGGAAGACGTGGTAGAAGATATGGAAAATAGGGAGGTAACTAGGGGCATAAAGAACATGCTACTGCATGGAAATAAATTCTAAATACTAGTTTCTAATTAGCTAATAATTTATATAATTAGAATTACTTAAATAATATATATTTTATTACTTTTATAGGTACTTATTTTAATAAATTTAAATATAAATATCTAACTCTATATATAATATTTTTATTATATAATAAATAAGTATAGCATTATTAGGTTAGGGGGTATAGCATGATCAGGAAGGGGTGTGGTTGGATTAATACAGGGTGTGGCATTAACAGTCCCCTAACTAGATATATATTCTACTATAATATACCATGAAAAGTATATTATACTAAATCTTGTCTTGCCAGGTAGTATTTTACTACTTAAATTAGTCCTGACCAGTTATAACTAATACTACTAGATAAGTAATTTTAAATCCTGCAACTTTATAGAATATATTACTAACTTACCACTAGTATTGTCATGTATAGTAATAGAATTTGGTCATTACCAGTCCTACCTGGTCCCAACTAGTCAAATTTGGTAGCCACCTGGCGACCTGGCGACCTGGCGAGCTGTACATTCCTATTTCCGCTAGCTCAACTAAACCCACTGGTGGATGAAAACTGACGATACAGTAGTTGGATCGATGATCACAGATGGATGAAAAGGAGAGAGAGGAAAAGGAATGAAGTAGGCAACATGATAGGGTTATTCTCCTTTCTAATCCGGCTACCAGGTACTCCAACTGACAGTACTAATTATAACCTTTCTTCGGACAACTAGGATGGGTGATGGTGTAAAGAACAGGATATCTTGGGAATGTTAAAGGCGCGAAAGATATACTTGTTTGGATTTATCAAGGCAGAAGATAGGTATCAGTCATATTTAATCATCTGGGGCTCAGCTCCGGGCAAACTATACTGCGCCTGCTCTGTTGAAGACGCCTTCTTTTCCCTGTAGGTCTGAATGACGATCACAGTGGTCCATAGGGTCAATGCAACCGAACATCCAATCATCGCCCACATACCACGCGTGAACCTAGGTGCTAAGTCGGCCGAATAGAAGATGATACTCCACCAGGCATTGATAGCGTTGTTGCCCATGTTCATACTAGCAATTACTACCGAACGCTGTCGCGCATCCTGTGAGCGCATCGCATCATTGCACCACGCGAAAAACGTCGCCTGGCATGCATACACTGCGCCTGCCCAGTAGTAGGCACCAAATACTGTCGGAGTTGAATCAAATCGAGTCAATATCAAGACAGATGTTGCAATACCCGTGACTCCGATGAAATAGCCGACCAGGTATCTTTTCCCATTAAATATGTCGGTTATGGTTGCCCAGAATAACGTGGATATAATCCCGACTGCAGGAACACCAGTTGGATAATCGTTTAGCTGCGAAACGGAGTACTTGATTGTCGGATGGGCCTTCATATAGAGGGCCAGCAGTGAGTTCGATGAGAAGGATTCAGTCTCGCCAGCAATTACCCAAAGGATAACAAACGCCCACCAATACCACGTCGTGAATAGCTGCTTTAAGAATGCCTTATTAATGGGGGCATGCTCAGCATTGGCTATTGGAAGTCGTGTGACGGCAAGAGTCTTTTCGGAAGGACTAAGATAAGGTGCTCTAGTTGTTGTAGGCGTATCCGGAAAAAGTAACAACCCATATAGTGCGATGGGGACAGTTATCAGCCCGTCGATCTGACACGTTAGAAGACGTCTTCAAGATCGGAATTGAGCGGCATGTTCTCGCGGGATGTACGCCATGACAGGCACGGATAAGCTTGATGTACTTACAATAAACAGCCATCTCCAACCCGAGAGGCCATGCGTACCATTCAGCGAGGCATGAATACCAGTTTGGATGAATCCGCCAAACATCGTCCCGGCGAGTCCGGAGGCAGTAAAAACTCCACTCCGTTTACCTAACTCGCGTTCCGTATACCAAGAACCAAGGATATAATGGGTCCCTGCAAAGGTACTGGCCTCAGCCAGACCCAGGAAGAAGCGAATCACCATAATGCCTTGCGGGTTATGGACAGCAGCAGTGAGCATCGTCAGACCCCCCCAGAGTAGAATCATCGAGGGGAAGAAGATGCGAGGGCGGAAGTGTGTCAAAGCCAGATTCGAGGGGAGCTGGCCTAGAATATAACCGACAGTGAATATGGTGTTGATGATATTAAACTGGTTGCCTTCAAAGCCCAACTCCTCCCTCATGCCCGAGACATATGCATTGGTGAGGTTGGAACGGTCGAGATAGTTGAAGAAGTAGGCGATGCAGCAGAAGGTTAGGATGAAAAAGTCAATTTTGGCAACCAGTTTGGTCTCTGCATCCCAATACCACCACATATTCTGCATGCAGCTATGGAACTTGACTTGTGTACGAATTTTGTGGTCGAATATTGAATCTGGATAGGAGGGCGATTTGCACTCATGGGCCTCACCGACAACCCATTGTGATAAGCGTGGGTCAATCCATGCCTAACTCATAACTATAACGCTGAGGATGAAGCACTAAGATTGATGCAGCAGTGATCACAGCGATACCCAGATAGATTCCCGTCGTACAAAAAAGTTGCACCCGAGGATAAAATCTGGATTGTTGATTGGGCATCAGTTGCTGCCTGAGGCATTAAGCGATTATCATGTGATGGGCTTGGCATTTAGAAAGGAAGCTATCCCCAAAGTGGGAGATAGCGTATTAATAAGCAAGGCGGTCAACCTATGGAGTAGATACAGCTCATGCAGAGGGTTCAAGAATACACACTTCAACCTCTATGCAATCAATTACCATGTTTGTTCTACCAATTGAGCTACCTCTAGGGATTATCTGATATCCAATAATTAAGACTCTCAAATTCGCTCAAAGCACGTGAAAATATCCAAAAAGACCTAAATATCCTAACAATCGTTGAAATCCTACTGATTATGGAAACCCTGCTTACCCCTGAGATCCTACCTAAATCAATCATTGAAATACTAAGCGCAATACCTCCAATCGATGAGAATTATGATTAATATGATAATTATGATACCTTGCGCCTTACCTCCCAAGAGGATTGGACAATATGACAATCAATATTCGAAGGGCGAGCGAGAGATGGCGGGATATGGGAAATTATCAAAGGAAGCGAGCAACGACTTCAACGGCCTATCTTTCCTACTCCAGATGGTTTAGCTACTCCTCCAGCAAACAGCACTGGGAGTTCTACTACTGACTCTGTGGGAGCAAGGGATTTCCTGTTAGAAGCGATGCTATACAAGATAAAAATCCACACATACAACTGCCAGCGCCTTGAAATCAGAAGACTGAAAGAATGGGTCCAACTTACGGTATCCCCCAGGGTTTATTACTTTTGCTGCAATCCGACAGAGACTTTAGGGGAGTGGTATACCAACTTGAAGGAGCATATGGCAATCGATGAACGAAGGATTCGGAATACGGCACAATCGGGTGGAAAGCAAGCAAGAAAGCAACGGTGACAGCATCTACAACCGAAGCAGGGTTGTTAGCACTGCCATACGCGGTTAAGGAAGGGATATTTACCAAACACCTGCTCAGCGAGTTCCAGGTGGAGTTGGATAACGAAACGATTGAAATCCGGTGCGATAACCAACAAACTATATGGCTGGTCAATGAAGAGATAAGTCTTATATCATAAATTAATAAGCGACGTGGCCAACTCCCTATATTTAAGCCCTGGGGTTAAGATCGGACAAGAATATAGACTTTAACCTCTATATAATTAATTATTATATTCTAGTTAATTGAGCCCCTAGGGATTATCTAATATCCAACATGACATCACGCCCAAGCTCCCTAGTACTCCGTATTGAACCACTTATATCGCTTGTCCCCTCCCCCATGCATGATGATCCGCATGAGGCATTTCCTTGAGGCTTTTATACCTATGAGGGATGAGAGCGGAAGACGGACCGTCGCCTGATGCTAACCCTTTTTAATCCGAGGTGATCAACCCCTTGTATTTCAACTTCTTCTCTCCTCCCGATCAGGCTTCACGAGTTACGCTTTCCTTAACCTCTATCCAGGATACTATGCGGTTCTCTATCCGCTTCCAAACTGATGTTGGAACCATTGGAACATTTGGTTCTGATCTTCTCGCGGCTTCCCCACGAGCGACAGACGTACTCACCGTTCGACTCTCGCACCCAAACAAGGGATGAGTACCTTCAAGCTACCGTTTATGGTTCCTTTCACCCGGACCTTTAGGGGAAAAGGTGAGGATAAGGGGACGAACGGAAAGGAATATGGACACTCTGAACCTACTCAGCTAAGCTTCTTCTCTTCGCACCTCGATTCTTGCCTACATGCCTCGAGTCTCGAATCCTTAGAAGCAATATACGAGCCGATTCGTACTCTTCTTGACCATGGGAGACACAATGAACTGTGGTGGCTGGACATTACTGCTCCATCGGAAGAAGATATCGAGATTCTTTCTCGGAGATTTAGTCTACACCCTCTGACAACAGAGGATATTAAAACCGGCGAAACTCGGGAGAAGATAGAATTATTCGGGCCATATTATTTTTTGTCCCTGCGGCCGCCTAGCCCTGTTGATACAAATGAAGGGGTCCGTACCTCTCCCCTCAACGTCTATGCTGTCGTCTTCCGGGATGGTGTTCTGAGCTTCTCGTGGTCGAGTAACCCACACGCGGCGCATGTCCGTAGCCGTATGAAGGAGCATCAGAGTCACTTCCCCCTGACTAGTGACTGGATATGCTATGCGCTTATGTATGTACATCTGCCTCTTACCTGGCGATACCTTTTTTTTTTTTTGACTCGTTCTAGTGACGACATTGTCGATGGATTTGGTCCATTTATTACCTCTATAGACGGTGGCGTGGAGATGATAGAGGATAGTATCTCCATAACTCGACCGGACGATATTGGATTGGCATTGCAGCGAATTTACCAGTGGAGGAAAGAGGTTATGCATGTCCGACATCTTCTTAACGACAAGACCGATGTCATTCGCTGCTTCGCTCGCCACTGCGATGCCCCTGGTGCCTCGTCGTCGCAAATGAGTCTCTATCTCAGTGATATCCAGGACCATGTTTTGACCATGATGGGCAAACTGGATGCATCTGAACAGATGCTTTCCCGCAGTCAGTCGAAGTTTCTCAGCCAACTCTCATTTGACTCATCTCGGATGAGAAATCAGATCATGCTTACGCTCAGCCGGCTCACTCTTGTCCCGTGTATCGTCGTTCCTCTCCAGTTTATCACTGGTTTGTTTGGCATGAATACCCACGTACCTGGACAGGGCGCTGATGGGCTGGCCTGGTGGTTCTCTATATTAGGAGTAGTCCTGACGCTTGTCGTGTTGTTTTACAATATTGCAAAGAGACTTGGGGTAATCTAGATGGGAAGTATAGAGTCTGCGCGGATTTACTCTCTGAATGATGTTATAAGGGGCTAGATACTACAATATAAGACCTTTAAATTATGACGTGATGAGAAAGCCATACTTGTTCACTCCGTGGAAGATGATATAGTTGCTATCTAGGGCTAAACGTTTTCGCCATGACTGATCTACTGGGGTCTTCAGTGCTAAACCGATGTAACGAGACAATTTCACATTATGGCCGTGGATGTTGATACCATCGACAGGGAGGAGGTCTCTAGGTACCAGGTGAAGGATGTCTCCAACACGGACATCAACCTCTGCGGAGCTCGTTTCCTGAAGATCTCAGTCAGAATTGAATGCCTACTTATCGAAACTTCAACTGTGATTTGAGGAGACTTGTGCTGGCACGAAGCACGCTTGTCGTCTTTCGACCATGCCATATTGCCGTTTCGAGCCATGTTAATCTCTCACATGGATACGACGAAGGACCGGTGTCAGGTAAATGCTTCGTCCTCATTTGGAGCGATCACTGCACAGCCTCCTTGTCGATCTGGAAAGCGAGAAGGATAGCGGCCGACGAGCCGTCTGCGGAAAGACCAGATGGCATTGGCCAGTCAGGAGGAGATCCCAGAGGCAAGCACGGCGCCATGTCCGTACATGCATGGTTTTGTGGGCTATGCAATGGAATTTGAAAATATAGCAGTGGCCTCGCTGTCCGTCCTTTTTTTAAGAACGAACGAACCTCTCGCGGGGGCTGCGGCCGTTACTGATACTACAGTAAGAAACTTACTTGGAACTTCCCATCTTCCCTCCAATTCTCATGTATGCATCTAATATATAAAACAGAAATCAGTGCGCCAATATCTTTCTGTGCACGTCTTCCTTACTATAGTCAAGTATAAGCCGCCTCACAAAACTCTGTCAAAATATGTGTGACTTCAGCTGATGGATTTTCTAGAAAATAGTATACGTACAGGTTGATCGATATACAAGACTAGTTGGTTTGACTATTAGGTACTCTGTATATGTATATGCCCAGATTCCTGACAAGAAACTCTAGTAAATACCTAGTCTCAGCCTTGTTGTTCACCCTCAGATGCAGTCACCATACCATACCCAAAGGCAAGACTCCCCGGACTATTCAAATTGTTACCGTAGTGAAACTAGCTCCAGCTAAGCAGAGTACCGGGATCTATTATCATGTTTGCAAGCCCTTCGTCTCCAAATTAGCGGCTCCTCCACCGCACTAAACAGTAGGTCTCTCGGGTCGGGAAGGTCCATGCTATCGCTGGGCAGACGGTTAATTCACTACGTACATATGTACTAGAGTAGCTGGATAGAATCTGAATCGCAACGCGATAGAGAACAGCCGTGTTTCTTTTTTCCACCCCGCAGTCCGCATCGTCATCACACTACTGTAGCCTGATACTTACCCGCGCCTAGAAAAAGCAGTAAACGTACAGCAACATGGCAGACCGCAAGTATATTCCCATTCCTAGAGCATGTCCGTCCATACTAATATACGGCGAAGTCACCGGCCTCATCACCGCCGACCCTGGACTCCCCCGGTCCAACCCGACCCCATCCTACTGGCAACATGTCCCGCACCCATTAGCAAGCACTCAATCGGCATCGCTACCCAATCACACGGATTACGCGGTGATAGGGTCTGGAATAACAGGTCTCTCGGTGGCACTGACCCTTCTTGAGTCCGACCTGTCTGCAACCGTGACCGTTCTCGAGGCCCGCACGCTTTGCTCCGGCGCCACCGGTCGTAACGGTGGCCAACTCGCCGCCAATGCGGGAGAGGAGTACTTGCATTTGGCGCGGGTCCATGGAGCGGAGAGAGCAGGGCAAATCGTCAGGTTCACTTTGCGGAATCTTGAGCGGATGCGAGACCTCGTGAATAAATATGCACCAGACGCAAGTGAGCTACAGGATGTCCAGAAACTGCGGGTCTTTCAAACGCCAGATACCTTCGCCGACTTTGAAGAAAGCATTGCAGCGCTGGAACGTGATCACCCATCGCTCGAGGGATTATACACGATCATCAGTACTGAGCAGTTAAAGGTACGAATAATACGTTTTCACCAGAACTGCGGCACCTGTTCTAATATTGTTCGATACAGGAAGAGTATAAAATGGACGGCGCAGGGGGCGCGCTCCTCCGCGCGGGCACAGTCTGGCCCTATCGCCTCATCACACAGACCTTCGCCAGCCTGCTCGAGAAGTACCCCTCGAGACTGAGCATTGAAACAAACACGCCGGTGACCGGTGTTGATGTCGACTCCAGCTCAGGATACACCGTCCAAACATCCCGAGGATCACTTCGCGCTGGGAAAATCGCCTACTGCACAAACGGCTATACCGGCCATCTCCTTCCTCGTCTCCGTGGACCCATATTCCCCTTCAAGGGAACCATGACCGTGCAGGACCCCGGCCCTAACACACGGAACTGCGGAAAGGAGATCTCCTGGGGCTTTCACTACCCTGCAGTTTACGATGAAACGTCCAACATTTACTCGGGAGGACTGTACTACCTCCTACAAAGTGCACGAACAGGCTACTTCTATTTCGGCGGGGAGCACACGAAAATCGAGAACGGCCTATCATCAGACGATACCGAAGTTGACGAGGGTTCTATCGCCCAGCTGCGGGAGAAACTTGCACGGTTTCTGGGGGAAGACAGAAGCCGCGAGCCATGGGCGGTGGTCAGCGCATGGAGTGGTGTCATGGGGTTTTCCGCAGATGGCTTACCGGTTGTAGGGCGTCTGCCAGCATCAGTAACCGAGCGGGAAGGAGAAGGGGAGTACATCGCAGCCGCGTTTAACGGGTACGGGATGCCAAATTGTTTGTTGTGTGGGGAGACGTTGGCCAGGTTCATGATGGGCAAGAATGAAGTAGTGCAACTACCCGAGGCCTATGGGATTAATGAGGACCGATTGAAGAATCTTTTGACTGTGGAGAATTCGGTTGGCTATTTCACTGTCAATTCTTCTACCAACTAAAGTAGTGTAGTTCATAAACAAATCGGGTATCTTGACTACGGGCAGATAGGGCTTCTTACCACAACTTCCTATAATCCACTTAATAGTGTCCCACTGATCATAATGTTCTTGGGAGAATTAGAGTGCTTCCTGCTTCGCTATGGTCCGGACCATAAGATGAATATTAATTAATTAGACGAGAAGTATTATCCATATATATAAATAGTAGCTCACCATGAAATAATAAAGAACCAAAGTAGCACTATGCATATAGTAGAGAAGTATTTCAAAACATCTAAGGAGGTTTACCAGGCTAATATATCAATGGAAAAGTAAGGTAAAAAGGATTTGTAGCTATTAATAGATGAGTAGGTTATCTGGAAGGTGAGGAAATCCCTTGATTTACATCCTAAACAGGGTGGAAAAGAGGTTATGTGTGAGGTTCTGTATGGTAGAATCACCAACTTCATAATTCATTGATTGGAAACATCCATGCACTGAAAGATAGAGGGAGAGAGATAATTAGGTGCCACATGAGCTACAGGTATTAAATCTGGCTTGCACAGTAAAACATATCAAGACCCGAGGTTGGGATATTTCCCAGCCGCTTTCAAGCATATGCCCCTGGGACCATATCACAATTCATCTGTGAGTCGGTCCTCAAGTTTGGGATACTCTTGCCACAAAATCCATTACACTAGGATGTGACCCTCCAAGGTTAGGCTTCCACGTCTGGGACTGTAATGTGGGAGATTTGGCCGCAATTGGCTGGTTGATATCATCCGCTCGGCCTGAGGAGTAGATCTGAAGAGCCAACTCCTGTCGTGAGAGGCTAACTTTCATTTTTTTGCTCTGTCCTGTACTAGTGACGGCCAATAGCTCACCATGGTGTGGGTATGCCACCTCCCAAGACACCTTGCTCGCAGTTTCCTGGTGACTGTTCAAGATGTCTTGACCAATTTGCGGGCTTTGTAATGCGATAGCAGAAGTGATATCCAGCATGATAAAATGTGTGATCACCGCCGCGACCTCATCTTGCAAGCCAATTCGGGTGGGGGGCTGAACATCTGGGTTTTGCGGCAGATTGATGGAAATGTCATAATGGGTGCCAAATGGAGGTACGGCAGGATTCGTCCGCACTCGAACCTTGAAGAAACTTTGAGGAGTTACCAAATTTCCAGAAAACGTAGATTCAAACGGTGTTAAAAAGACTCTGACCAGAGCTTCCACCGTGGGGACAGACTTGTTTGGCTGTAATGTGCCGATTGACGCGAAAGGGGTCGCGTGAAATTCACACTTGAGTCCTGCAGAGTTTAGAACCCCATGGATATCTTTCATGAAAGATTCCAGCCAGCGGACGTGAGAGTCATGTTGGAGATATGCTATGATTGGTCGGAGGATGTGGTATTCGGGGGCTGGTCGACGGTTTTTCGAGATTGGAGGTGGCGGTTGGGTTCTCCTTCGATGATTCTGGCGATGGGAATATGAAAGGAGAATACGAATAGAGTGTGCAAGGACATCCGCAAGGACGTCATGCTCGCTAGAGTCAGACGCGTCCTCATTTGAGGTCATGTCTTCACCATCCACCAAATCCAACAGTATCTCCTGCTCCTCAGATACGGGAAGCTGTACCAGATTCTGACGCGTCGTGACACCTTGACTCCCTAGTATCCTAGCCTCTCGAACCAGTTCATGGAAGAGCTCCTCCTCAAATAGTGTGTCACGGGCTTGTAAAATCCGTCGTTCGATCGATTCCGCCTGTTTTGTCGGTCGGTAGGCTTTAGAACATCCAGTTACGCGACCGCGACTCTTGACCCTTACTCGGACCGCTTGAGCCTTTTGAGGCATTAGCCCTTTATCCAATACCAAGTTTCCATCGTCTGTCCTTCGTAGCGCTGCGAGGCCTCGATCGCGGAAAATCGGCGTAGCTGGATGAAGGTCAGGTCCAATCTGCACCTCATAAATTACAAAGCGGTCGCTCACCTTCTAAAAACCCGTATTGCACTCCAAGGGCTTGTCCCTCTCGTGGTAGTCGACAAACCTTCCAGCCCTTCTCCTTCACCGCTAAAACCCCATTCCAATATCTTGTCTCTGCCTGGACCTCGGTTTCCAGTCTGGCAGCACATTTGAGGAGTTTGTTGGCAGCGGCGTCAAAGTTCTGTAGCCTCCATCCTCGCGATACCGACTTGACATCCGTAATCAAAGCTTCCGGTCTGGGCGGGGGGTTCACAAGTTCGGAGTTGAGAGTACCAAGGGGCGCGGCCGACTTCAGGAAGGCAGACATGGACGTTTCAGCCTGGCGGGGAGTATATTTGGAAAGCAACAGGGAGACAAAATCTAGAGCAAATAACGCTTCCATATGAGCCTGACTACATCCAAATCATGAGCACCACACCGCAATGCAATGGATTTTGCGACGCTTACAGGGCGAATTGGGTGATCTCTGCCCGACGCTTATACAATTGATCCCTCCGCTCAGAGGTGTCTACCTCTGCGGCGGCATTTTCGCTGTCACGATCTCCCGCCCACGGGTCCTTGTCTTCATCTTCCTCAATCTGAGCCCTTAAACTAGCCTCGCTGACGTCGCGGAACGAACCCCATTGGGCGTTGATCTGGGCGATTTCACGCGGTAAAGAGTCCGGGCGATCGTGTTTTTCGATAACAGGGCGCAAAGGAAGGCTAAAGGGGTCGGGCATGATGGTAGTTAGGAAGCCACTCTACAGGGGGGAGTAGCAGACATGAAGGAAGCAACAACAATCACCTCCAAGAGCTCCGGGGATTGGGTCATATTGCACGTGACCAAGCCGGCGCCCCAAGGGAAGTAGAGGGGAGCGACAGTTATTGACCATTAAACCTACAGATGATATGCATGCAACAGAAGATAAAAGAGTTATAATATCCGGTATATAACATTAATTACATTTTCAACATCAAATAGCGTATGGGTTGGTTGCCCTCAAAACAAGGAGAGCCACCAGGATATAGATCGAAATAGATTAAGGAGGCATAACTAGGTGCCACTACGGAGTAATCAGCATATAACACCGCCACCAACGGTTCAGAATCCTGTTTTTGGGCTCCCAAGGAAGCTGTACAGATTAGTAGTTCATCTATATCACACCATTCATGCAGGATATATCTGGGAAGATGCAAGCAAGTGTATCAGAAGCCAGTCAGCCAATCATGCTGTCACATGTGCCGAAGAACCCTACCCTAGATCCCTAATACGGACTCCGACCGAGGACGAACTTGCACGTGACTTGCCCCGCGCTAGACCCGGATAGGAAATACAGTGGTGCCATTTGGTGACATCAGCAGATCAACCACAAGAAAACCTGGTGATGCCAACAGAATTCCTTCAATCTTACTGGTATTTATATATATAAGGTATATCATATATATCAAGAAGAGTCTGAATAAGAACAGAACATGGGGCAATTATATACATATATATCTATATGATATAATATATATATATATATGCATGTACCCGACTATTGCAGTGTCCCCTGTACTCTTTTATCTTCCCCCCTCACCCATGGTAACAAGAACAGAAAGCTGAGTCTGTGACGTACATTCTGCCCGCACCCGCTTTTTCTCACCGAAACCTTTCACCCCACCGCGCACAAGCTATCTTCATGATTTCATCTCCTCTTTCACCCTTCCTGTCTCTCTTATTTTAACCTCTGTAGTACCCCAGGTCGTTGTGCCAAGCTCATTCGATTGGGCTGTCTGTTTTCGTCCTGGAGACCTGTTTACCGATTCCGTCACCGTCGTGATGGCTACATCAACCCAAGCGTCCACGGAGCCTGTCAAGCGACGCCGAATTGGTGTCTTGACCTCCGGAGGAGATGCCCCTGGAATGAATGGCGCTGTTCGAGCGGTGGTTCGCATGGCTCTCCACTCTGATTGCGAAGCTTTCGCCATCTACGAGGGGTATGAAGGTTTGGTCAATGGGGGGGATATGATCCGACAATTGCACTGGGAGGATGTCCGTGGATGGCTTTCTCGCGGTGGTACCTTGATTGGATCCGCTCGCTGCATGACTTTCCGGGAGAGATCCGGGCGTCTTCGTGCGGCTAAGAACATGGTACTCCGTGGGATTGATGCACTGGTTGTCTGCGGTGGTGATGGTAGCTTGACTGGTGCTGATATCTTCCGCTCCGAATGGCCTGGCCTGCTGGAAGAATTGGTTAAGACCGCGGAATTGACCGAGGAGCAGATCGAACCCTACAAAGTATTGAACATTGTCGGATTGGTTGGATCGATTGATAACGACATGTCTGGCACAGACGCTACAATTGGTTGCTATTCGTCCCTTACGCGCATTTGTGATGCGGTTGACGACGTCTTTGATACTGCGTTTTCCCACCAGAGAGGTTTCGTTATCGAGGTCATGGGACGACACTGTGGTTGGCTGGCCTTGATGGCTGCTATCAGCACTGGTGCGGATTGGCTGTTCATTCCCGAAATGCCACCTCGGGACGGTTGGGAGGATGACATGTGCTCAATCATTACAAAGGTACGATGGAATTCGCTAAAAGTCTCAAATTAACCGCTCATTGGCTCACCGTCCTGAATTATAGAACCGCCACGAACGAGGCAAACGCAGAACGATCGTTATCGTCGCAGAGGGGGCACAGGATAGGGAACTCAACAAGATCTCAAGTTCCAAGGTCAAGGATATTCTCACTCAACGCCTGGGTCTGGATACCCGTGTTACTGTATTGGGGCACACGCAGAGAGGAGGCCCCGCATGCGCCTACGATCGGTGGTTGTCGACTTTGCAGGGTGTAGAGGCCGTGCGGGCTGTGTTGGACATGAAGCCAGATTCCCCTTCTCCAGTCATCACAATTCGTGAGAACAAGATTATGCGCACTCCGCTAATGGAGGCTGTGAAAGCTACGCAAGCGGTCACTAAGCATATCCAAAACAAGGACTTCGCCACTGCGATGACCTTGCGCGATTCCGAATTCAAAGAATATCATTACGCCTATCTTAATACTGCTACACCTGTCCACCCAAAATTGGTTCTTCCGGCAGAAAAGGTATGACCGCTCTGATTCTCTGGGACTCAAAAATTAGCGTGTATACTTACAATGTTTCCAGCGAATGCGAATTGCAATTGTCCACGTCGGTGCGCCCGCTGGTGGCATGAACCAGGCTACACGCGCCGCTGTGGCATACTGCTTAACGCGCGGACATACCCCACTGGCCATCCATAATGGATTCCCTGGCCTTATTCGACACCACGCTGATGAACCCCTTGGGTCAGTGCGAGAGGTTCGATGGATCGAGACAGACGCGTGGGTGAACGAAGGTGGTTCCGACATCGGCACCAACCGAGGCCTGCCCTCAGAAGATATCGAGAAGACTGCCAAGTGTTTCGAAAAGCACCAGTTTGACGCCTTGTTCGTCGTTGGTGGATTTGAGGCATTTACAGCTGTGAGCCAGCTCCGTCAAGCTCGGGACAAATATGATGCATTTAAGATTCCGATGACTGTATTGCCCGCCACGATTTCAAACAACGTCCCAGGAACTGAGTACTCTCTTGGCAGCGATACCTGCCTCAACGCACTTATTGAGTTCTGTGACTGCATTCGCCAATCCGCATCCTCCTCCCGCCGTCGTGTGTTCGTTATCGAGACACAGGGTGGCAAGTCTGGCTACATTGCAACCACAGCTGGCCTCGCAGTGGGAGCTGTCGCAGTATACATACCCGAAGAAGGAATTGATATTAAGATGCTGGCCCGCGACATCGACTTTCTGCGAGAAAACTTTGCTCGCGACAAAGGCGCCAACCGTGCTGGAAAGATTATTATGCGGAACGAGACTGCCTCCAGTACATACACCACCCAGGTCATCGCAGATATGATTAAGGAGGAAGCCAAGGGTCGCTTTGAGTCCCGCGCGGCTGTTCCGGGCCATTTCCAGCAGGGAGGCAAGCCATCGCCCATGGACCGCATTCGTGCTCTGCGGATGGCGATTAAATGTTTGATGCACATGGAAAGCTACGCCGGCAGATCCAAGGATGAGATCGCGCAGGATGAAATGTCCGCCTCGGTGATCGGAATCAAGGGCTCCCATGTCCTGTTCTCGGCCATGGGGGGTGAATCCGGCCTAGAGGCCAACGAGACGGACTGGGCTCGACGTCGTCCGAAGACCGAGTTTTGGCTTCAGCTCCAGGACACAGTAGACATACTCTCTGGCCGCTCGAGTGCAAAGGCCACGTGGACCTGTTATGATGATGTTTGAGGTAGCGATGAAATGAAGGGATTGCTTGCTTGCCCTATATTCCCGCGAGATTAATTCGAAATAAATACATCCCCATCTCCGAAGCCTTACCCTACTACCACTGTACTTCTTCTCCGAGTAGCTAAGTCGGCCTGGAAGGAATACTTCACAGTATATATCATGGAACGAGAGAGACCCTCGATGCACCTGTCTTTAACATACAGAGAGCAGACTCAGTTAGATGTTTGGCATTAGAAATATATCTGACACATGTAAAACTCCAACGCTAAACCATACCAACACCATCATTCCTGGAATTATTCCCGAGGTATCCAAGATATAAGTCCACTAACCAAAAGAAGACAACAAATCTACAAGAGCTCCTTCTCGAAGCTCTCCAATTCATCCAACAGCTGCACTGTTTCAGCAGGGCTTGCAATCCAAGCCGTCGTCGATGCGAGTCGAGCCTATAATTTGTTAATTTCAACGGGGATGTAGATAAAAAAAAACACACACACACAGAAATCAATTTTCACCGACATAACATGACGGACGCACCTTGAAATCGTTGGCTCCAGCAGATAAGAACTGATCGCCAACGTGGAGAGTTCTTGCTCGCTTGATTCCACCAAAATATTGCTGACAAGCGCGCACACCCCAAGATTTATCACCAATATCGACGAAGACGTCGTTTCCGCCTGCAAGGGAAAACCCAAACCATTAGCATACAAGATCTAAGGAGGTGCAAAAAAAAAAAAAGAAAAGAAAAGAAAAGAAAGCTACACGCAGTGGTAGGGAGATCGCATACCGTTAAAAGCACAGAACGGGAGCCGGGACCCAACCGCTGATCGTTCCACTGTGTTTTGGACTACGAGAACCGTTTCCTCTAATTGCTCACGGTGAAGCTGTCCCCTGCTCTGTGGGTAAACGCCCACAGCGCGATCCTTTCGCAGAACCGAAACAGGGAGATTAAGGTTCGCCGCACAAGCACGCAACGAGGACTCAGCAATATCTAGTAATTGGGTGATATCATCGTCATGCCAGGCGGCCATCTCAGGGAGCATCCACTCGGAGCGCGGGACGTAAGTTAGTTTGGATTCCGAGGACGAATCAAAGCGGAAGAGAAAGTTGCTCTCGCCGCCCATGACGACGAGTCCTGCGCGCTGGGTATCCGTGAGATCTGGCGAGTTGTGCATTGTGTCGAGCAATCCCTTCAGACGCTCATAGTACTTGGCTGCCTCGGTGTAGCCTGCCGCAGTGACAATCCCGATCTTGCGGTCTTGAGAGAGCAGACGCATAATCCGGGCGATGACGGGATTGTCATCTGTCAGACAAGCGCCATCGTCATAGAGAGTGACATCTCCATCGAAGGTGACAAGGTCGATCCCCTGGGTGCGGGTGAGGCCGAGAAGTTGAGCCGAGTTGAGAATTAGGCGGATGTCGTTGAATGAGGGAGCTACGAAACGGCGGCGACTGATGAAGCGTTGTTTATCCTGGTAGTTGAAGGCATCTTCGAGGTAGAGAGGCGTGAAGAAGGTGCCTACGGTGGGTACGAGTAGCTTTAATTTAGATTTGCCCGGGGTGTTTCTTTCCTCATGGGCGACTGTACTTTGGTATTAGTTTTTTTTTTTTTTTTTTTTTTTTTTTGATTTCTGGATTGATGCATTGTTGAAGAAAACGTACTATGGTCATTCAGAAGACCCTCCACATCTCGGAGAATTTCTGCATACCGTTGATGGGTGTCCAGAGCGACTGCAGCAAGCTTCTCACTGTGCTCCTGATAAACTGCGGTAGGCTGGGAGTGTAAGACGAATGGTACGGCCAGCAGGCCCTAATAATACACATCAGAGTCAGGATACTTAGGTACCGTGCAACAGGAGTTACCAACTTTGATCCATTCAATCTACAGCAGTTAGCAAATAAATTTCTGTCAACCATGGTGGGATCCTCACCAATTGGTCTCGACGATGAGACTGGAGATGCCAATTTAGTTAATACTATCAATAGGCCCGGCGATCAGAAGCATACCTTGAGAGCATCTGAGAAGATATCAGGTTAGTTTCCATTGCAACATGACGCTGGGCCAAAACTTACATTCAACACGGTACCGGGTAGTCATGATGAGCAGGCGACGAGCAGGATAGAGTGAGGACTGACTCAGTGGAGGGAGCTCTTGAGATGCGTTGAACAGGGAGGGATAGGGGTCCTGATAGAAGCAGACGAGGGGGAAGATCCCCACTCGAACGAGACGGTGAAGAGAGGCCGAATGTGACACCTGAAAGAATCAATCCACTGTAAGGTTATGCATCGAGTGACCTGTTGCTCGGTCTGGATGAGTCCCACAGAGCTTTATGCAAGGATTTACCTAATTTTCCAGTAGTAATCACGATGTTCTGTGTCCAGCTTCTTGGATTTCCTGTTGTCGTGAGTGGTTGGTGCCTGTGAGCCTGGGGCCGCAGGGAGGGGGTGGCATTACCAGATTAGGACTAGTGTCATCCTTTATCATCTGACCAGGTCCGTGCTGAGTAGCGCTAGCCAGACTAGGAATAGCCGGGATCAACCGGTGAACAACATATTGGTAGCCTAAATGATCTGGCATCCGCATATTTCTGCCAGGTTATTAGTTAGTAGGCAACGCAATCTAAAACCTCCATGTCATTTCCTTCAACCAACAATGAAGATGAAGAGTCCAGAATGATCCTTTTACGGCATCATTCCCTCGCCCGTTATCTCCGGTCTATATCCCAACGGCCCCCACTTGAGGTCTCCAAGTTCGTCGAGGGTGACGACCTCCATGTCATGGATATGATATGCTACTGGTCGGACAAGACTGCCTACAAAGATGCCATGCTCCATCTAAACCGGACAGCATATTGGGGCGCAGCTCAGACCGGGTTCCGGACGCAACATAAGACTCATTCGCGCGGTAGAGCATGGAGACAACACAGCCCCCCGCGGGTATTTCGGTGGATCTCGACCAGCGTTTACTTGGATGCAATATGGTGCACATCCGCTCGGGCCAGTTTTGACGAGACCCGAGTCTGAATATTCATGGTAGCGTACTCTATGTTGTCATATTATCGGCAGGGTCCAGCTGGGATTTTGACCCAATGGATGACCGTCTTGAAAATTAGTATAAGAGTAACCTGGTAGGCTGAAAATTTTAATTGATCAACACACACTGCGAAACATGATTCAACGACTCCAACCCTTTTTCCCCCCCCTTTATTTCCGTAGGCAGTGCTATTCTGTTATCTGCCTTAGCTGTTAAGCAGTGACTCACGTATGACTCAGGCAGCAACCGTAACCCCTACTAGTGGGAGAACTACGAAGATGAAGACGGCTTTGAACCTCGGATTGTTCGAGAATTTCCCAGAAACGGGATAGAACGAGCCATTAGCATGGCCATTCGGGGACTCATCCAAGCTTTGCGGGGCGCACAGTGCGCGAATTGCTTAGCTTGTTGTCACCAGTAACTTGAAGCCCTGATATAGGGTTTCCAATTATTGCGCAGCGTCAGTACGCAAGAGAACAGCAGTATAAAACATGTCATGGAAGCCTTGTTGATTTGGGTTTCAAAACCAGGAACAACCAAGCCAAAGCAAATCGAACAGTCTCGAAGCGAATTTTATAAATATATATATCCACGGGGGAGGGAAAAAAAAAAAGGGAAAGAGAAAAGGAAAATAAGCATAGCCCTAATAATGGCTTCTTCAAACTCTGCACATTCTTGTCCCCTGTCCTTCGTCGATTCAGATACCCTTTCTACTGCATCAACATCTGTCCCCCCTCAACCAGGCAAAGCCGGCTTCGCTCCAGAGAATACGCTCAGACGTGGTCTGCAAGTTCCCTCCCGATCCGATTTGATTACCTCCGGCTTCGTATATCCCGATATTCTCGCCAACTACAATGTCTCCAAGGATCTCTGGCAACAGTTCGCAAGTGACATCACCGAGGAGGCAAGACTGTCCAATCGTCAATGGACCACCGCCGTAGGGAGAGGGCTGGGAGTGCTCGCCGTGGGCGGCCTAATGGTAGGCGTGCTAGGTGCAGTGCCAGCGATCTGGGTGGCACGACGAACGCGCCGAAACCGCGAGGAACAGAACATGATTATGGCGGCGAACAAGGGCGAGGATCAAGAGTCTCGGCTCTCGCGCAAAATCGACGCATGGAATGCCTCGTATTTCAAGCCGCGGGGTGTTTTGATTAGGGTTGATCTACCGTGGGAGGAACTGGAGGATATGGAGTTCATGGATATTAGCACGAGTCGGGACTTCCATCGAGCTCTCAGCGCAAACCCGAATACGCTGAAACATGAGTGGAAGATGAAGGACGACCAGACTGCGAGGGAAACAGCATCGCGAAGGGCCCGGATCGTTGTGATCCCGTTGGCTAGCAGACCAAATGGTAACAGGAGCGTCGGGTAAACAAAAGTATACAAAAGCCAGGAATGGGGAAGACAAGGCCCAAAAACATTTAGCTTTCTTTCTTTTTTCTTCTGGTATTATTTCAAGCTACAGGTTTAATGAATAATCATGATAAATTCTTTCGTATCAGCGTTCTTTATTATCGGTTGAGCAACAAACAACAATACTGTATCAGGACGAAATGGTTGTCCAGGCACCTTTTTAGCTGAACAGTAAAGTTGACATTATCAAAAATCAGAAGACCGCCCTCAGACCTTCAGTTTCCTAGAGCAATGCGCCGTTTTGACGAAACGTCCTACACTCGTTCTACTTGACTCTCCCCGGGAATGCCCTCCTTCATACTTTCCGTCTTGGTCCAGTTGGCCAGGTCGCGTTGAGCCGCGTCCTGCTGTCCGTACAATCCAATTTTATACCAAGGCAGTTGGAAGAGATCATCCATGCTTTCCAAACTCCGGCCCGCGGTCTCAGGGACACTAACGAGGACCCATAACCCTCCTAGAATGGTGACCACGAAGAAGAGCCAGAACGTCCCCTTGGGTGTGATCCCACCCTCGGGACTAGGCAGCAACATATTGGGAACGGCACGCGAATTGCCGTATTGATTGGCAAAATGCAACGTCATGGCAGTTGAAGTCGCTAGTGCTCGAATGCGGAGGGGGAATAGTTCCGCAGTGAGGAGGTATTGCATGGAGTTCCAACCCAGCGCCCATCCGGCTCCGGAGATGTAAATCATGGCAATAGCACCTCGACTGGCGCCCTTCTTGGAGTCTGGAAGGGCAAACCCGTCAACTGTGCCAAGCTCTGGGATGTCCGTCAGATAGGCAGCCACATAAAGCATGGAGATAGCTTGCAGCGTGATTCCCAACAGAAGAGCCCGTTTCCGCCCAAGGACATCCACCAAGAAAAGGGCACAGATCACAGCTGAAGCCAGCTTGACGAGGCCAAAGATAGCTGTCACGAGCAAGGACTCCTGTGACCCACTAATTCCCATCAAGGTGAATAGGTTGGGGGCGTATAGCGTGATGGACCCAGCGCCGGACCATTGCGAGAGGATCTGAACCATGAGAGCAAGATACAATCGGTACAGATTGCTGGGAATCAACACTGCCTCCTTGAGCACTCCTGACCAGCCAAGCCCAAGCGTAGCCTCCATTTCTGCCTCATGGGAGGCCCGAATGGAGGTGATCTCCTGCACAACGTATTCATGGTCTGGGGGGAGGTTTCGAATTCGCGCCAAATTCTGCAAGGCCTGGGGGAAGTTGTTCCGCTTGATGAGGTACCGGGGAGACTCGTATTGGATAAAGGAAAGTACAAAGACAAGACCCGCAAATATAACATGCAGACTCGTTGGCACTTCCTAGACGCATATCAGCTGTGGTTTCCGGGCTTGATGCGGCTCCGTTGTTTCCACCTACCCAGCGTTTCTGGGTGTTGTCCCCCATGTTTACCTCGCAGCCGTAGTTGGCAAAGTAAGCGAGCACTATTCCCAGGTAGACGAATCCGGTGAAGACACACGTACAGAGACCACGGATGGAGGCTGGTGCCTATGGCGGAGAGATGCATTAGCACTATTGATACTAACTTGCAGGAAGGAAAGGCAAGCCGACAATTTCCGCGAGATAGACAGGCCCAACAACAACTGTCTGGCCGACTCCCAGTCCAGCAATAAATCTTCCAGCATATACAGCGCCCAGACTGCCGTTTGATCCCATAAAAACCGCGATACCGAGAATCCACAGCACGCAAAGCTCACGGGTGGCCCAAAGACGTCCGACTCGGTCACAGACAAGGAAAGCACTTCAACCGGTTAGCATTCGCGGATCTTCCGTCCACAGCGAACCTACAAGAGAGCTCCCCCGATAGAGCCAAGCTGCACCATAGCAGAAACATTGCCTTTAATATTCGCCTGTTCGACAGTGCTGTAGGAGTCGAAGTGGATTGACCTTTGGAAGTCCTTCGAGTCAAAGGCACCCGATATCAAACCCTCATCTACACCACGGGCCGCACCCATGAGGCCGAAGGAGACCACGGCGAACCATAATTTCCAGTTAAAAATCTCCTTGGGATCATTTCCACGATTAAGCCGAAACACATTCAAGGGTTGCTTTGGACCACCGGCCATGTTGTCATGAGTCGCCCGACTACTGACTGACCTCTGAGTGCGAAACGAGTGAGTGTGTGCAAAGGAAGGGTAAACAGTTCTGCCAGGGACGGATCACAATTTTGACCAGAAGCGACAATCGCAGCGTATATCTGATGTAACTTCCGGCGAACCTCCTCGAACACAGTTACAGAGTTTGTGAGCCAACTTTGCGACCGAGAAAATTCTATATATACCCTGCTGGATCCCTCACAAAGCGTGAGACAAACGTGAAAAGAAAGCCCTAAAGGACCCATTCTCAGCAAGGTAACATGATCTGTGAAACAGACTCTGCATCAAGGGACCCCTCACGACCACGTCCGTCGTCCTGCCCCATCGGTGCATCCTATGCTTCGGAGCCTATCTGGTGACTCCGGAAAGTTTCCCCGCGCCTGATTAGTCGTTGTGGACAATCAGAGAAAACGGCGATTGGCTTTAAAACAGACTACTTGGGGGGGGAGGCTGAAGAAGACTGTCGATCAACGCGGGGGAATCCGCAAGATGTCCGAGTCCTTCGTAAGCAGGCTTTCCACGGTGACTTGGGAGAGAGTCCGCATTGCTTCCGGACAGTGGAGCATTATGATATGCACGCCGACATACTACATACACTGGACGAACATTGGTAACGCAATGGTGATGGTGGTACGACGTTTACTCGTTAGGCCTATCAAGGGGTGCAGTGTTCCAAGTGCTAGACTGAGAGCGAGTCAACACTTACGAAACCCAATATATAGAGTATATCTCTTTTGTGAAATAAGCTTAAAAGTAAGCAATGATCCTGGAGAGGATTAAAAAAGGCCGAAAGAGGAGAAGCTGACGAGAAGAAGAGGAAAGAAGGTATGCATGGTTCCTGGATTTGCTAATGAAAGCGAGAGAGAGGTCTCGTGATGGAAACAAGGATTTTCAGGGAGAAGAAGAAGACGAAGAAGACGAAGAAGAAGAAGAAGAAGAAGAAGAAGAAGAAGAAGAAGAAGAAGAAGAAGACGGCTATCACATTATAAAAGAAGATACCCCGGTCTTGGGCATCATAAATCATCCATTTGGAACCAGGTTTACAAGCACCGGCTTCCATATATACATGAAGCTGTTCTCACCATCAAGGCGAGAAATGTAGGAAACACACATACACATAATACAGCTCTGTTCCGCTATCTAAGGTCGCCATTTGAACGCCGGATTGCGCCAGTCGAGATCTTGGATTTGTTTCTGGGACATTCCCGACAATGCCTGATCGATGTCGGTTTTGTCGGAAGAGTCCAGGTATGTAGGTATAACTGCAGCAGCTTCCTAAATTACCACGGTAAGCCAAGTATAGAAACACAGAACAACCGTCAGAATTTTCAAGTTATAAACCTGTTAAATCCCGCAGCTTTTAATAGTCCGGACTCTTCAGCACGTTAGGGACGCAAGACCTCGGAATAACGGATAGGATCACGTGAGCTATATCCGAACACCCGGCGGTTGTGGTGACGCGAATCATTCCCCGGCACATAACGACCGCGTTTTCAAATTGAAAGATAATTGGGCTAAAGGGGAGACACACCTGGAAAAAATCCGGCCCTCTAATTCCGCTACATCCTGGCAATCATGGCCGATGTCACTCCTTCAGCACAGACGGCTGGGTGGCGAATATCAAAGGCCTGCCAGGAATGCAGGAAGAGGAAGATCAGATGCAATGGCGACAACCCTTGCAAGACTTGCCAGTTACGCAATACGCTGTGTGTTTATCGCGAGGTGATTCGCCAGCGAAGAAAGAAGCATCAGGACCAGCCTGGCTCTGAAGAATTGGTGCCTCCGAATGGGTCCTCTCGGCCCGAGTATGGTGCACGGCAGGAGTCGCCCAGCTCGCTGCAACAGCAGCAACCATCGCACGGCCGAGAGCCGCCGTTGAGTATCAACAATAGTGTCTCGGCCACGCATGTGACCTCATCGTCAAGCAAGGTGCGACTGTACTACGGTTCAACCTCGCATTTCGCCCTGATGCATGAAATTTATAGAGATCTGACCTCCACACCGTCAGCCCACCCTACTGAGAGCCCGCAGGGGCGTGTAGAGGAGGCTGGAGCGGGCCTGGATATGTTTCATTTTCGCCGTATTTTCTTCGGGGTCTCTGCGGATCCAAACGATTCTACCCGGGGATCTCATATGTCGGACTCCCAGATCATGTTTCTACCCTATGAACTGGCCAATAACTTCCTCCAGAGGTTTTTGTGTACAATCTATTTTCTGGTGCCGTTCTGGTCGACTGAAACATTCCAGCAACGTCTCGAGCAGTTCTACAGTCCAAAGTCTACGAATCGTACAGACAAATGGTCCAATTGTATCCTCTTGATGGCGTTGGCGATCGGTGCTCTGGGGACGGAACATGATTCCTGGGCGGATATCCTCTACGAACGGGTCAGGGCCGCTTGCGATTCTACCTTTGAGGACACCGTGAATCTCCAGACGATCCAGCTTTCCATGATCATGATAAGTGCTGCTTAGTTGATCTATTGAGCTAATTGGTTCTGACGCAATCGCTAGCACGCCCATTTTCAGAATGAGCATGGGAGGCCGAACTCGTCGTTTCTCCACTTGGGGACGGCGGCCCGAAAGGCCATCTCCGCCGGCTTGCATAAGGAATCCCCCCATGAGAGTAGCGAAACATCAGACGATGCCTACGAAAGACGAGTGACATTTTGGTTCCTTTACTTTTACGAAAAGTATGTCGGCCTTCTTTCGGCGTCTTCTTTTCTTTTGTTTTCTTTTCCTTTTTGCTTGACGAAGCTGACTGCGGCCACAGCTGGATTTGTTTCCATCTTGGACGTCCAAGTTCACTATCGCGACGGGATGTTGGAATTGCACCGCCGCAAGAGCCGTTTATCCTTGCTCTGATTCATCTTTGCAAATCTATTTCTAGGTCCGCCGATGAGCTCTACGGCCAGCACCACGATTCATTGCTCGCGATGTGGCGGATTGCCAAGTCAATCTGGGATGACCTTCGTTGCTTCGACTCCAAGATGCAGACCGCGTTAGGATTCGGGTTGGACAAAAGTGCTCAACCGGGAAGCATTGGGGTAAGACAGACAATGCTAATAACGCGTAAGTTGGTTGCTCGCGGGTCGTTGAAGTATCGCTGACCTTCCAGTGTATTACCACACTATTCTTTTAACGTTTCGCCCTTTCTTGATCTTCCGCGGTCGATGGAACCATGATATCCGGGTGTCGTCACAGGCCACTTTGAAAAATGGAACGAAGCGGGAAATCCCTTTATGGCTGAATGAGGCCTGTGGTTACGCACTAAGTGCTGCCTGTAGGACCATTCACTTTCTGGGCGAATGTTTTGTGGTCAACGAGCTTGCCAAGGTCGATATTTCGGCATCCATACCTGGTATCTTCACTATATGCTAACGAACATATAGGAACTCCGCTACCATGCCTATTTTCTGTCCAGTTCATGCTTTGCGGTTATTTTCGATCTCCTCCATGGCCAGAACCTTGCTCCTACACATCTCCCATGGATCCATGCAGCCGTCCAAGCCCTTTCGTGCATGCGAGAAAGAGAAGCCCTTGAAAGCTCCATGATTGCCATACAGACCGTGCTTAGGAAAATAGACCCATCCTACGAATGGATCCCGCCCTCTAAAAAAGAGGTCCAGACCTACGGTGTCGACAAGTCCCAGCCGATGGGATTATATGCGAATGACATAGCTTCGTCACGAAGCGGAGAGTTTGTTGAAACTACTGCAAATGGGCAGCCGTATCCTGGGCCTTATCCAATGTATGATTTCCAAGGCAACTCCCTACAACAAGGCATGCATACGCTCTCCGCCAGCGGAAGTGTACACAGTGGCGACGACCTTCTGGATTTCACGCAGTCAGACATGGGATGGAACTTTGATTTCTCCACGATGGATTTGGAGTCGTTCTTCTCGCTCACCCCCACCCTTGACACGCCTCTGTCTTGATTCACTCACGGCGATTCTTGTTGCCGACGACTTGAGTCTAGAATTGATAGGTGCGCGCCAGCTGCATTTACCCGCGAGAAAGTTGTGCCCCCCACAGACTTTAAATTGTCTTCACTAGAAGCGAGCCAATCGTGGTGTCAAGCATTTGGTGGCAACCTAGCACACTAGTGCCTGAGGCAATCGGGTTCGACAATTATAGCGGCTGTCTCTACACCGGTAGATCTTGGATATTAAGCCACAAAAGGCTATATATTCTGGATGGAAGACTGTATACCGCGATCCTACGTCGGTAGGTGCTTTTTTGATATGCTTGGATGTTGATGCTTCATAACCCATATCATATCATGCACTTGGCAGCAGGTATTTACGGGTTTGGGGGTGGTCTTGGGGAGACCTCGCTTGTGTTTCCATTCCTCATATGTAGGGATTCTGTGGATGTGTTTGAGCTCCGCCGAGGTGCGAAAGTTGTCTGTCTCTTCCTAGAGAAGGGATTCCAGCTGTCTATGGATGCCTGATCCCTGAGGCAAACGGCCAAAAGCAGCAGGAGCCGGAGACAGTTCCCGGGCCAATCAGAGTCTGGTTATGTAATCCACTCCACCACAGCGAGTCAAGAAGGTTGCATCGCGGCGGATCATCAGATCATCTATTGGGAACGATGGGAACGAATTTATTGGAACTGCCCTGACCAGGTAGGAAAAGTTTTCACATCCACCATATGGAGATCTATATTCGGGATGGCCCCTCCGCTATCAGGCGGATGACATGGTCCCTGTCGGTCCACCTAACCCTGTTGTACGTCGTCTCCAAATTCTTTCCTGTTATGTAGGAATCACTGCGAGGATATCCCTCTCCCGATTAAAAGCGTTTGGACGATGGCTTTTCGCTTCCAGGAGGCCGTAGGGAGCAGCGGGGGACAAGCGGCCGGTCCCGGGAAATGGCTGGCAAACCGTTCATCCAGACCCATAGATAGTCGGCTTATCCCTGGGTCGTGTAGTTGCAGAGCCCTGCATCTGCCCCGTTATCCGCGAGCTTAAAGTGTACTACTGGACGGCCTAGACCCAGTCGTAGAGGTAGATAGATGATCGGACTACTCTCGACCACAACCTTTTCTTCCGTCCGAACCATGGATCTCAACCCTCCTGTAGGCCAATGCATCTTGATTTTCCCACGTCCTTGGAAAATATTTAGCCTCCTCTCTCTCTCTCTCTCTCTCTCTGGCTCCTGGGTATTTCGCTCTCTCGTGGCCCTGGATCGTGGACGAGGATTGTAGTGTTCTCCGTGACATGCACTAGCACAGCAATCATGGTCCTGTTGGATTCAACAGCGTCCCGTGCTCCCCATTCGGAGCGTTCGGGGGAACGAATGGCACCGGAGCTGGCAAGGTATGTTCTCAGCCCGCAACTCCTGTATGCAGGTCTCCTTGCTGAGGGGCTGTTTGCCCTATTGTACTAGGATATATAAGTTTCGTGCCCTAGACAGCGATAGTGGCCGACGAAATCCCGATCAACAGCAGAGCTCGACTAGCCCGGCTGCAGACCCTGTCTTAGCAGCCCTGGCCCAGCTAGGGCTATATCGATTGGGTTGTAGTCAGGCCTTTGTTACGATCCTCGAGGACAATGAACCATATGTGATTGCGGAGGCCACCACCACGAATTCGGCGACAAGGAGTACCGCAGAAGAACCTAGTCTCGTAGGTGTTGAATCGCTTGGCCCTGACGAGTCTGAGAAAGGACTGGAAGACACAAAGGATACCTCTCGTGTGATCCGGGATATAAGCGTGACGGAGGAGAGCGTGAAAAGCCATCCTCTGATTCTTCGACGGCCTCGTGCTCGATTGTATGCGGAGGTCCCGCTGCGTGGCTCCACGGGGGAGATGATCGGGTCATACGGTGTTCTGGATGATGCTCCTCGCCTTTCTTGGGGACCCAGAGAGTTGGACGATCTTCGCGACGTTGCCGGGCTCGTTGTAGCACATCTAGAAAATGTCTGGGCCGTGGAGTACCACCGTCACTCTCAACGCCAGCTCGATGCGCTCGTCACGTTTGTCGGGGGGCAGTCTGATTTCCAAGAGACTGAGCGAAAGCCTCGCAAGAAGAGCAGTGGCGCAAGCAACAGCATGTCTTCTCGCCCCTCGGACGTTCCCAGTATTGAACATCTTCCGGTGTCAAGCATCGCTCCCGGTGAAATTCTTCCTATACGAACCAAACCGCACCACCCAGAAACCACAGCCAACTCCTTGAACGAACATCAACTACAACTTTCGCCGCGAGAAAAGCACCAGCAACATGTAAGGAGGTGCTCCGAGGAGACAAATAATATCGTTCTCGTGACCGAGACGGGTTCTCCACGTCGGACATCCTGGATTTTCTCTCGGGCCAGCACACTACTTCAGGAATACATGGATATTGACGGTGTTATGTTTTTTGATGCCGCTCGAAATAACTCTAGAAGGTAAGTCACTGTTTTTCTACTTCCCAGATCCATAAGAATACCTTTTTTTTTTTTAACCTGGAAACAAAGCTCTTCCAATGCCAGCGCCAGCGACTGGGACATAAATTCTCATGATGCCGATTCCGGTATCTCACATCGCTCGTTCAGCCAGTCTTCTCATGGACACTGGTCCGACAAGCTATGCGAGCCGTTGGGGGTAGCTGTCTCTGAGAAATCCTCCCTAAATGGCCCCGGCCATTCCCGCAGCGCATTGACTGAAGGATTACTTCATGACATGTTCAATATATTTCCCCACGGCGAAGTCTTTCATTCGATTCAATCAGCCAAAGAAGGTCATCCCCTTCACCAATCAGTAGCTCACCGTTTATCGCACTGCTATCCTGATGCAACATCGATCGTATTTCTGCCCCTCTGGAGCTGGGATAAGTCCAGATGGCTAGCTGCAGCCGTTGTCTGGACATGCGAGGAACAATGGGCATTTGGAGCCGAGGATCTCTACTATCTCAGAGCCTTTGGGGATTCCATCGTCTCCGCGTTCTCCCAACTGGATCGCAGCGCGACCGAGAAGTCCAAGTCAGACCTCCTTGCATCTGTCAGCCATGAGCTGCGGTCTCCGCTCCATGGAATGCTGGCCAGTTCCGAGCTGTTGCAAACTACGGCATTGGAACCAGCCCAAAAGGATATGGTGACGATGGTCGAGACTTGCGGTCTCACTTTACTCGACACGATGAACCATCTGTAGGTTTTTTTTCACTATTGTTCTGGGTGAATCTAATGTGGCTAACACAGCAAAAAACAAAAAGGCTGGACTTCGCGAAAATCAACAATCTGACCCGGGTCCATAAAAAGGGCGGCAGCCATGAAGCGGACATGGAGGATTTGACCTCCGAGTTCGATCTGGATACCTTGGTGGAAGATGTGACTGATTCCTTGTACGCTGGTCACCGGTCGCTCGTCAACGCCTCGAAAATGGCCGGTCGCTATCTTCCTGTTGGAACTGGAGTGGGCCATAGAGGCGGGGGAGGGACTGAGCCCGAGGAGCCAAAGAACATGGGGGATTTATCCGTTATCGTCCGCATCGAGGAGCGGGAGTCATGGAGGATTCAATCCATCTCTGGGGCATGGGGACGGATCATCATGAATCTACTGGGGAATGCGTTTAAATTCACGCGTTCGGGGTTCATCGAGATCTCGTTGGCCCAAAAGGAAGAGAGACACAACGGCTTCAAGTCAGTGTTCGCGCACCTGACAATAACCGACACTGGGTGTGGCATCTCGCGCGACTTCCTAGACAACAAGCTCTTTACTCCATTTTCGCAGGAGGATATCTTAACGGAAGGCGTGGGCTTGGGCCTCAGCATTGTCCAACAACTAGTGGCCTACGTGGATGGTCACGTCGACCTCAAGAGCGAAGTCGGTGTAGGCACCCAAGTGGATGTGTATATTCCGGTTGGGTTTGCCGAACCAGAACCACGTCACCCGAGGTTTTTCGATGCAATGAATCGACCCGGTTGCAGGATCATGAAAAGAGTCTGCTTGGTAGGATTGACGCCGTATGCAGATCTGAGGGAAGCACCGCGTGGGTTGCTGAGCACAGACGCGAAACGCAAGCTCTCTATCCGAGGCGCCATCAGCAACATTCTCCTCAGTCAACCGGGATGGATGCTGTCGTTCGCTGACTCGCTCAACAAGGCATCTGGCGACATCGTCGTGCTAGAAGAGTCCACCTTGAAGAAGATTGCGGAGAAAGGGCCCATCAAGACTGGATTCCGATCCGTTATTGTCCTGGGGGAGCATGGTGTTTCCATTCCGGGGGACTTTACTATTGAAGGCGCAGATGTGATCTATATCCCGCAACCGTACGGGTTTCCCTGATCCATTGGACCCCCCCAACGAATCTATGCTAACCGACGATTACAGACTTGGGCCCCGGAAAGTTATCCAGGCCTTGCAACGTTTCACAGAATCCCAACAACCACATTGCAGCTCGGGTGAGGAAAGCCCTATCTTCGGCCCGATGCCCGGATTTCCGATGCGAGGACGATCACTTTCCGAGGCCTTTGCGATGGCCAAAGGATCAGAATCCCCACCAGTGGTCCGGGAAAATGTGTCCGAGTTTTCCCCTCCGTTGCCACAAGGCTCTGCACAAAGAGATATTCATGTTTTGATTGTGGATGATAACGATATTAACCTGAAGGTATGCCCAACTCTACCGCCAGTCCATCCTCCGACACATCACATGCTAACCTGGCAGATATTGGCTACCTTCATGCGTAAGATCGGATGCAGTTACGAAACCGCGTCTAACGGACTTGTAGCCCTCGAAAAATACCGGAACAGCTTTCGAAAATTCGACTATGTCCTGATGGGTATGTTCCCTTCCCCTCCCCCCGGTCATCTTTTCGGCTTTAACTCACGTCACACAGACATATCCATGCCAATCATGGACGGGATCGTTGCCTCCAGCAGGATCCGAGAGTATGAAGAGGAAAAGTCGCTCCCACGATCGGCCATTATGGCTGTTACGGGCGTGGCCTCCAGTGAAATGCAACAGCAGGCCTTTGCAGCTGGGATAGATGATTACCTGGTGAAACCACTTTCACTTCACGACCTGAAACGAATTATGAACATACCATGAAAGATGTACGGAGTACTTGAGAATTAATCATGAATGAATCTGATATACGTAGAACTCTTTCTAGATACCCCATAACTAGACGGTGGTGCTTACTTGCCGAAGCTTTCCCCTATCTCACGGATTTAACTAGCGTCCGCAAGATCGAGACTAAAAAGAAAAAAACAAACATTAACACCCCTGAACTTGTAAGCGGGTTTGATCTTGGTTTTTTTTCCTGAATTTGGTGCTGGATTGGGATAAACCAGTCACACAGACCACGTCTTCGTAATCGTGGAAACCCACCCCAGACAGATTTGGATTTGTAAGTGCGCATGGTAGTTTTTAATTTCCTTCGCATGTAACTGGTTTCATTGGCTGTCAATTGCCTTGATCTCCGTTCTAGATTGGCGGAAATCCGGCTGTAGGGCAATACGGATGTACGGATTTACGGGTATACAGACTCTGCGCTGGCGTCAGATTGGTAGAAATATAAGAAATATTGCACGGTGCATTCCAGCAGGGACGAACGATGGTAATAAGAGTGTGAGTTAAGAGCTGCGTATCCAATCATCGCGGGAGTACGTGAGGTTGCTAAACAGACGTGGTTAGAGTGAGTATAGAGGTCAATGCTGAAGCTTACACGGTCAATTTCAGTTATACTAACTGCAAACAGTCAAAATCCACGCCCAATACCTAGAGCGATGGACACTCCTTCGTCGGGAACTATCGATATAGAGCTTGGAGACTCATCAACCTCCAAGCGATTAACGCTCACCTTCCGCGATGTCAGTGTACATGTGACGGCTCCCGATGCGGCCTTGGGAGATACATTGTTGTCGGTGGCCGACCCGCGGCAACTATTGGGCTTCCTGAAGAAGGGTTCTCGACCAAAGAGAGTATGGAGCTGTTTGCGATAATTGAAATCGGGTTGTAGCTGACAGATTCAATAGACAATTCTGAACCGAGTAACAGGCCAAGTGAGACCGGGGGAGATGGTACTTACTATCATTGTCTAATTAGCTACATTGGAACACCTCTTGGCTGACAAGTTATAGCTCCTTGTTCTTGGTAGACCTGGATCCGGCTGTACTTCCTTCCTCCGGGTGCTGTCTAACGACCGAGAAGCATTCGATGAGGTTGAAGGCGAGACGCGCTACGGACATATGGATCACAAGGAAGCGAAGAAGTATCGACAACAGATCATGTTCAACACTGAAGATGATATACATTTTCCTACCTTGACGGTCAATCGCACGATGAAGTTTGCCCTGCGCAACAAAGTGCCCAGGGAAAGAGAAGAGGGTGTTGGAAAAGAGGACTTTGTACAGGAACGGAAGGACGGTATTCTGGATTCCCTGGGAATTCATCATACTAAGAAGACGTTGGTGGGTAACGAGTTTGTCCGTGGAGTTTCGGGCGGAGAGAGAAAGCGTGTCTCTCTAGCGGAGGTCATGGCGGGCCATGTAAGTTAACAAGGCTTTCCAATTCGGCCATCGACCGTACTGATACAGGGTGACAGAGTCCCGTTCAATTCTGGGATAACCCAACACGCGGCCTTGATTCCAAATCAGCTGTCGAGTTTGCTCGAATGATTCGCCGTGAAGCTGATGAGAACAATAAAACGATGGTGGCCACTATGTACCAGGCAGGAAATGGAATCTTCGACGAGTTCGACAAGGTCTTGGTTCTTGCTGACGGATTGGTGACCTATTGTGGCCCACGAGGCGAGGCGCGACGTTATTTCGAGGACCTGGGTTTTGTATGCCCTAAGGGAGCCAATATTGCAGATTTCCTCACATCTGTCACAGTACTGACTGAACGTATCGTCGCTCCGGGAATGGAGGGAAAGGTCCCAAATACCCCTCAAGAATTCGAATCGCGCTACCGCGAGAGCTCCATTTATGCTGAGATGCTAGTCTCTATTGTGGCCCCGGAAAAGCTGGTCGGCGAAGAAGAGAACCTGGCCATGGCTGTAGCCCGCGAAAGGAAGAAGAGGCATATTCCCCGCCCTCAGAGTGTGTACACGACTGGACTGTGGGATCAGATTATGGCTTGTACAGTTAGGTACGTCAGCGTAAGATTAATATCAGTCATGAGAAACTAACAGTGAATCGGTAGACAATTCCAGATCATGGCTGGCGACAAAATGTCTCTTGGAATCAAGATGTGTTCTTCAATCATCCAAGCCCTGGTTTGCGGAAGTCTGTTCTATAACCTGAAGCAAGACAGTTCCTCCATCTTCCTCCGACCTGGCGCGCTCTTCTTTCCAGTTCTTTACTACCTTCTTGAGTCGATGTCCGAAACAACCGGGTCATTCATGGGGCGTCCGATTCTTTCTCGTCAGAAGCGCTTTGGATTCTATCGGCCCACGGCGTTTTGTATAGCGAATGCCATCACTGATATCCCAATCACAATTGTCCAGGTCTCATGCTTTTCGCTCATTCTGTACTTCATGACCGCTTTGCAAATGAATGCTGCCAGATTTTTCACATTCTGGATTATCATCATCGTGAACACGCTTTGCTTCATGCAAATGTTCCGAGCTGTCGGAGCTTTGTGCCAGAAGTTTGGAAATGCATCTAAAGTGACCGGCTTACTGTCCACCATTTTCTTCGTGTATGGAGGCTACCTGATCCCCTTCGAGAAGATGCATCCATGGTTCCGCTGGATTTTTTATCTTAACCCCGCCGCGTATGCTTTCGAAGCTGTCATGGCAAACGAATTTACAGGCCTCCAGCTGCAGTGTGTGGAACCCGACTATATTCCTTACGGACCAAGCTATGCTAGTTCCGTTTCTGCGTATCGTGGCTGTGCAGTGCCGGGAAGCAACGACGATGGCATGATATCCGGAGCAGCTTACATTCGTGACCAATATGATTACTCCCGCGGCCATATCTGGCGCAGCTTTGGTGTTATTGTTGGAATGTGGGCGTTCTTCATTTTCCTCACGGCTGTCGGGTTTGAACATCGTAATAGCCAGTCCGGCTCATCGGTACTTCTCTACAAGCGAGGCAGCAAGAAGCAGACTGTCGACGAAGAGAAAAACCAGGCTGTTGCTTCCAGTGAGAACGGCCACACTTTGGGTGAGTCAGGGAAGCAGTCTACCTTCACTTGGAATCATCTGGACTACTTCGTCCCATTTCACGGCGAGCGGAAGCAATTGCTCAACCAAGTTTTTGGATACGTGAAGCCTGGAAACTTGGTCGCTCTTATGGGTTGCTCTGGCGCTGGAAAGACAACGTATGCCCCCTGTTCTAACAAGAATGATCCATATGCTGACATCCAACAGGCTCTTGGACGTCTTAGCTCAACGCAAGGATAGCGGTGAAGTTATCGGATCAATCTTGATCGATGGTCGACCGCAAGACGCCAGCTTCCAGAGATTGACTGGATATTGCGAGCAGATGGATGTCCACGAGGGCACGGCCACTGTTAGAGAGGCGCTTATCTTTTCCGCGTTCCTCCGCCAACCAGAGAGTGTTCCCGAAGAAGAAAAGTTGGCCTACGTTGACCAAATTATTGACCTTCTCGAACTCCGCGATATCCGCGATGCTCTTATTGGAGGTGAGTCTGATAAGAAGATTGTTACCCTGCTTGGTCTCTAATAATGTCTGCAGTCTCTGGAGCTGGTCTTAGCATTGAACAACGGAAGCGAGTAACATTAGGAGTTGAGCTTGTGGCTAAGCCAACGTTACTATTCTTGGACGAACCAACTTCGGGTCTTGACGGGCAGTCCGCCTACAATATAATTCGTTTCCTAAGGAAGCTGGTGGACAACGGCCAAGCTGTTTTAGTATGTATTTCGTCTCTTTATTTGATGGCATCTGCTAACTAGGTCAGTGTACCATTCACCAACCTTCTGCTGTTTTGTTCGATGCGTTTGACTCCTTGCTCCTGCTTGCCAGGGGTGGAAAAATGGCCTATTTCGGAGAGAGTGAGTAAAATCCCATACCATAGATGCGAGGGCGATTCTAACAACCTACAGCCGGTAAGGACTCGGAGAACGTTCTCGGCTATTTCGCACAGAACGGTGCTCCGTGCCCACCAGAAACCAACCCGGCGGAACACATTGTTGAAGTAATCCAAGGCAGCGCAGATCAGAAGACTGACTGGGTGGACGTTTGGAACAAGTCCGAGCAGCGTGAACGCGTCGTCGCGGAGTTAGAGGAACTGAACCGTATCAACCAGGCAAACGCAGGGGAGAAAGAAGACCAGTCGAGCTTTGCGACTTCCCGCTGGTACCAGTTCCGGATAGTCTTACAGCGCATCATGATTCAATTGTGGCGTGAACCCGTACGTTTTCCTATCTCAAGGGAGAGACAGTGGCATACTAATCTGGACAGGATTACATGTGGAACAAAATCATTTTGCACATCTTCGCCGCTCTTTTCAGTGGTTTCACGTTCTGGAAAATGGGTGACGGCACATTTGACCTGCAGCTGCGACTGTTTGCAATCTGTAAGGATTTCCATATCCGTTCTTTTCTAGTGGAGTCCTAACTGGGATAGTCAACTTCATCTTCGTGGCACCGGGGTGTATCAACCAGATGCAGCCATTTTTCCTGCATAACCGTGACATATTTGAGACCAGAGAGAAGAAGGTGCGTGTGCTTCGAACAAATCCAAGATCGGATCTAACAAGACGCAGTCCAAAACATATCACTGGCTGGCTTTTATTGCTGCTCAGGCGGTATCTGAAATTCCCTACCTTATTATTTGTGCCACGCTTTATTTTGCCTGTTGGTACTTTGTGGCTGGTTTCCCTGTGGATGCGAGTGTATCCGGGCATGTGTACCTGCAGATGATTTGTACGTGGCGCAGCCCAGATGCCCGATTTGAAAACTAATCTTGAGTAGTTTATGAATTTTTGTACACATCTCTCGGTCAAGCTATCGCCGCGTATGCACCAAATGAGTACTTTGCCGCCATCACGAACCCGATTGTGATTGGTGCAGGTATGATCACTTTCTGCGGTGTGGTGGTCCCCTATGGGAACATGCAGCCTTTCTGGCGGTACTGGATGTACTACCTTGATCCCTTCAACTACCTGGTCGGAGGCCTCTTGACCGAAGTGCTTTGGGACGTGGAGGTCAAGTGTTCACCCTCTGAATATGTCCAATTCAGCGCCCCTGCGGGACAAACCTGTGGCGAATACATGGCCGACTTCCTCGCTCAACACTCGGGTTACCTACTGGATGCAAATGCCACCACCACCTGCTCCTTCTGCCAGTTCTCCAAGGGAGCAGACTATGCGAAAACGTTTAATCTCCAGGAGAAGTATTATGGTTGGAGAGATGTGAGTAATGCCTGAATTGTTTTTGTTTCTTCGGCCTTGAATCGGTGCTAACATTATATAGACCGGACTTACGGCGCTCTTTTGCATTTCGTCGTATGCAGCAGTGTTTGTGATGATGAAGCTGAGGAGTAAGAAGACCAAGGAGGCTCGCTCGGAGTAAGGCAGTTGTTGAAGACCGTCGGTCAACGCGTCGGATACAGCCCTGGGAGGTATTGGGCACTTAATATTGGCCATTTGCCAGCTGTCCGTTTCGACTTTTGAATTTCATGGTGTTTATAAGATTGTTTTTGCGAATATACTGTATATAGAATAGAAACCGACACGATGTCGAGATAGAATAGAATAATAGAGGGGGAGGTGGACTGAAAAAGCGTCGAATGGGACTAACCCCAAGTAGGAAATCCACTGTATTATGTAAGAAACCAACAAATCCCAGCGATTTTCCCCCTAAAGCGAACGAACGCAACACAACAACACGATTTCTATAGGCAAAGAGTGAAGTCGCGTCCATCGCCCTAGATCCCCCCTTTCTCGATCATGGCTCCTATTACTTCCAAGCCGTATGATCTCTCCGGTCGCACCCCTATTTATCGTCTCAGCAAGAATCCGACGCCGCGACAGCAATCACCACCACCGCCCGTCAACAAAGCTGCTGCTCCTCCCACGCAGCAACACTACCAATCGCCCTACCAGTCTCCCTACCAGTCTCCCTATCCTTCATGCCAATCAGCCCCAGAGGATGGCAAGCAGGCCGCATCCACACAGCCTCCTGCGCAGAATGCTGACCCGGAAGCGAAAGGCTCGCCGTTAACCAAGCGTCGCGGGAGAAAGCTGCAAGAGAATGAAGTCCTGATTCTCGTCAACTATTGCTTGGAGTTTCAAAGCATATGGGCCTCTGATCGATCCCGGTTCTGGCATTCCGTCGCTACGAACCTGAAGCGACAGATTAAACGGAATTTCTCGTGGCAATCCTGCCGACAGATTGTGGATGAGCTGGTGTCGGAGCGACGCGACCGTCTCCGTAATGTCGCAGCTGGAACATCCAGAGAGCAGGTTGTGACTGAGCTTCTTGTCGCAACGGATAAATGGATTGCGTTTAACGACACGGTACAAGGTAGACCTAGTATTTTAACGCCAACCGCCCAAACCCCCAAGCGCCCTGGATCAGTCGACGCCGGCCCTGCAACCGACCCTACCGCGAAACGTCCAAAACAGCAAGGCCGAACGACACCTGCTATCCTCATGCCAGCCCCGCCCGCAGCATCCATAATGGCACCGCCAATCCCCCCTAGTCCCATGATGCCGGCGGTAGATTATCAGAACCTGAAAGTGGATCTCCAAAGTATGAGGATGGATCTGCAAATTTTGCGACGCGAGATGCTGGACCTGAGGCAAGATATGAACGCCAAGCTGGGATCGGTGCTGCAGGCTCTCCACGAGGCCAAGCAACTTAACACCGATTCCCAAAAGTAATGATATCCCCGGAATGGTTCGCGCTGATCGACCCATACCGTTTGAAACTGGCGGCCTCCCGCGGCTTGGATCGGTCGCTCCAGGCCAGGATCTGTAAATGACACCCAGCAGTGAGCAGGCATCCCTGCAGGGCCACCCCCCTCCCTCCTTTCTGATCACGGAGTAGGATCCTCCTATGCTCCCCCCCCCCCCCCCCCCCCTGTGGTAGCCTTGAAAGCGTGGGGGGTGGAGATAGCACTTCCCAGGATGCCCGACGACGCAGCGGTCAACTTCTTAGGCGACCTAGGTCGGGACAATGCCATACCGGATGCCGACAAGGTTTATAGAGAATCCACTTATAATAGACTAGCTCTATATCGGATGATGTGCGAGAGTCGCGTGCAGCGACTCGAGGATGGTACCACCTCTGTGCTCATTTCCTTTGCCGAATCTTCTTTCCTTCATTCAACCCAACGTCTTCCAATATCTCGGTTCTCTGCATCCTTCTCACGCCGTTCAGTTTGTCACCGTTCGAGAGGACCCGGCAGCTCATGATCTGGAAACTCGGAAGTACTTGTGTCCCCGAACAAACCCCCTGTATTGAATACTGCCTAGTTACAGTTTCCCCGATATTCTACCGAGAAACATGTTCATACAGCGAATGAAAGAACCCGTTTGATTTGACTTGTATAACTCTTCTTGTGCTCGAAGTATGCCGTAGCCAGGGTGTTTGGTGCGCCAATGGGTTCCAGCCAGATTAATGCTCACTTAGAAGACACCCACTAGACAACCACCATACCCAATTGGAGCGGGGATAAGCGTTTCCAAATTTATGCAGGTCATTCTGCTATAATCCTAGGCTCTAGCACCGTCTTGGTGGCTTCTCAGGGCTTCGGCAGCAGGTTATTTGACAGAGTTCTCGCCAAGTGGTTTATATTGACCAAGCCATCAATTCCTGAATAACCTCAAAACCCGCTCTGCCTGTCGCAACCATCCTTTATCCCCACGTGTTTGGGTGTCTGGTCCACAGAGACTCCGAAGTTAGTGGAGGCGATCGTCCGCTTAATCTATTAGATTTCCAGGACTCCGTAGTTTGGCATTGTCTGAAGAATCGTCGGCGGAACTGCTTCGTTTCGGCCACCTCGCTGCGAGACGAGATCACATTCCAGGGCAATCCCTTCAGGTGCTTCCTGCCACATAAATTGTGAACATCGCCGTCCCTCCCCCGCTGCTTCGAATCGCCAAGGACTTTTTCACCATGCGCTTTCCGCTCGCGGCGGCTACCCTCCCCCTGGCTGCTCAAGCCATCAACATTATATCCAGCAACGATGACGGCTGGGCTGAAATCAACATTCGCTCGCTATACGGCGCGCTGACCGCTGTGGGATATTCGGTAGTGGTCTCCGCACCGGCAGAGAACGAAAGTGGCACCGGTATGGAGCAGCCTACACCGACGTGGAGTTCTTCATGCCACTAATAGTTAAACTACCAGGCTCTTTGGATATTGCTCCGAGCGATCGCACTGAACCTTGTGAATTCAACAGCTGTCCTGCGGATAGTGGAGCATACGGCAACAACGCCACGGATCCACATCTCAATTGGGTCAACTCTTACCCTGTGACTTCTATCAAACACGGAATTGAAGTGGTCGCACCGCAGTTTTTCGGTGGTAACCCAGACCTAGCCGTCTCCGGGCCCAACGTCGGTAACAACTTGGGGCTCGCGGTTTTGTTGTCGGGCACCGTTGGCGCCGCCAACTACGCTGCGGGGACCGCAGGCATTCCCGCAATTGCATTCTCTGGCGACACTGGATCCCAGACCGCATGGAACGCGACTCTTCCCGTCTACAGTGCAATCTACGCGCAACTGGCGACTAAAGTGACGGAGCGCATCGTGGCTGCTGGAGCACCGTACCTACCCGATGGCGTATGGCTGAACGTGAACTTTCCAGCTGTGAGCGACTCTAGCTGCGCGAGCGTTGGTGACTTCGCATTCGTTCTGTCCCGGATCTACACGGCCGTGCCTCTTCTCACATCGGACGATGTGGAAACATGTGGTAGCAAACGTCTGCCTACGGAGACAACCGTGGTCGATACGGACGGGTGTTATGTCAGTATCTCGGTGGGCGACTCAAACAAGCTAGATGCCAATGCAACTCTGCAGGGGGATGTTTTGGAGAAATTAGGCGATTTCTTGACTTGTCTGCCGTAGTTCAGGAGCTACGGAACTAGTCGGTTTTGTGCAGTAGCTGCTAGTCGCATAGTGATATAGTCTAAGTGTCTTTGGCGGATCAACTCCGCATGGGTCCAATATATCAATTCGCCGTTGATTCTTCTCGAATCCAGCACGTTTGCAACCCAGTGGCTTGACACTGAATCGTAATTCTTCACTCCGCGTGAAGGAATTTTGGAGTCGAGACGGGCCCGACATAGCTCCACCACGGGAAGATATTGATCCTCATGGGGGAACATGGTGAAGAGTTGAAGATATAAATTTTGCACGGTTTTCCGGCTCTTGTGATGATATTCCTTCTCACAAAGTATCACAACCACCGAAGAATTCAAAATGCCTTCCCGAACCATGCTGCTGGCTTCTCTCGTGGCAAGCACTCTGTCGCTTGCACAGGGCATGATCATTCCCCGCGCAGTCATTGACCATGACAAAGTCGTCGGGTTCGCTGAGACCGTCCCTGACGACACCATCGGCGAGATGTATCTTGCCTACAAGCCATACCTTTACGTGGTTAACGGCTGCGTTCCATACCCTGGTGTCGACGCCGAAGGAAACACTAGGTATGACCCCCCCCCCCCTTTTTTTTTTTTTTCCCTATGTGATATATGCCATCCATATGGAAAATCAACCACAGAAGAAAAGCAAAGAAGCCCTAACAATCACATTAGTGGCGGTCTCGCCCCCACTGGTTCCCCCAGTGGTGGCTGCTCCTCCAGCACCGGCCAGGTCTACGCCCGTGCCAACATGACTGCTGGAACCAGCGGCACCGAGAAAGCCATCATGTACGCCTGGTACGCCCCCAAGGACGAGCCCTCCGATGGGCTCGGCCACCGTCACGAGTGGGAGGGCGTGATTGTTTGGCTCAACGACGCATCCTCGACGGATGCCTCGAACGTCGTGGCCGTGTGCCCTTCGGCCCATGGCGCCTGGGACTGCTCTACGGACTCGTACACGCTGAGTGGCACACACCCGCTCATCAAATACTACAGTATCTGGCCCATCGACCATCACTGTGGGTTGACGGATACCGTTGGGGGCATGCAGCCGCTGATTGCGTGGGAGAGTTTGACTGATGCGGCCCAGACGGCGCTGCAGAACACTGACTTCGGCAAGGCAAATGTGCCGTTCAAGGATGGGAACTTTGTATCGAACTTGGATAAGGCTACCTATTAGATAGACACGTTGTCGGGCCTAGGTCACGACTACTTGGGGAAGCGGGGAGGAGGCAGGTATTGAGGCTTCCTCTAGGGATCATGGATGGATGGATGAATTTTACGTTTCAGGATATGAAGTATGAACTCTATATATAATGGAACCCATTGATGTATTTTCATTTGTCATGGAATGACCAAATCTTTGTGTCCAGAGGATCCTGAAGATAATTGTCTATGCGGAGATACATTGGGAGTAAAATTCATTCCACTCGTGGCACACGGCGCCTTCAACGCAGGTCGTGGATCCCGTGTACATACGGCCACCGCATTGGTAGTAGAGCGCCACGGCTGTGCCGCTGGATGCAGCGGAAGACGGCGTGCTGGTAGCCTTGGTTTTGGTCACCATAGTAGTGCGTGTGGCGGAAGGAGCGAAAGGCAGAGAGGATGCGATGCCAATAGGAGCGGTCAAGGTGGAGGGGGCAGAGGGAGAGGAACGAGATTCCGAGACAGAAGAAGTTGCAGGCGACTTCGCAGCAGATGACATAGATGAGATATCATCAGAGGTTGTAGACGAGGTAGCAGCAGAAGTAGCGCTTGCGGTAGTGGTAGTGGTGGCTGCGCTGCCAGAGCCTGTCACGGCCGTGCCAGTGGAAGTGATAGCAGAAGTAGCCTGGGAGATTGACGTAGCACCACTGTACATCGTAGGACCTGGAACCGTATAAGAGCTGATGCTCGAGTAGATGTTGACCAGAATGCCAGCCTCTTCCGGGGTGTACAGTGCTGTTCCCAACACACCAGTAGGCTGGTCGCTACCAGAACCAGTCACCTGAAGGTTAAAGCACTGGGGATAGTTCTGGGCACCGTCCTCCGACCCAGCGCTGTGGAGGGCAATGATCTCATGGCGCAGGACATAGTTTCCCGGTGCGATGGATTCGGGAATCTTGACCATCCAGCTGTTGTTGTTCGCAATGAGCTGGTCATCGCCCCAGGTGCCGGGAACGGCAGAGTCACTCACAAGACCAACCCCGTCGATCTTGAAGAATTTCAGACTGGTCTTATCAACACTCTCGCAGGACCCATCACAGCTAGCGAGGTAGTCAATCACCGGGCCATGATGGCTCTCCGGCCAGTCAGTCCACTGGAGGTTGATGCTGTCGCCAGCTGCCACCACCACATGAGCCTCGGCATTGGTGGCGTTGAGATGGCAGATAATATCAGACGAATTATACTGATCCGGAGAAATGAAGCCATTGGCAGTGTTTGGTGTTTGCCATGCAGCGACCTTGGGAGGATCCGACATGTAAGGATCGGTGTTGATATCCCAACCCGCGTAGTAGACACCGTTCACGACGATATTGGTGACATGGCCATGAGCGGCGACTTGGGTGGCAGCCACCAAGAGCGTAGCCCAAACCGGATAGTTGAAAGGCATTTTGAATGATAGAAGTGAATGGTTTCAAAGAATGGATGTCGCGAACCGGCGCAATGAAGAGAGTAGAAAGAATGAAAGGAAACCGCCAATCAATGGGGCAATGAATGATAAAGACGGAAGAAATGCTTGAGTGAAGGAAACTGATGCTGGAATCGAGGGCATACTGGACGCTTTTAAGTCTACATTTTTCAATCCTTCGACCTTCATCTTACCGTGCTGAATGTATCCCAAACCGCCGTTCGATAGCTCTCCCCACTTGGGCTTTTGAGTTCAAACCCCCAGCGCTAAGCATTGTCCAAGCGTCATTGCGATTCGGTCCGCATGAACATTTGAGCTTCCGGGTATAATATGAATAACGCAGAAGCCGCGTGTTGCAGGGGCTATTCGTGTTCCAGCTTGCAGCGAACCCTTAATGGGCCGTTTAGGATAGAAGGATACAGCGGCTTGTCTACCAATAATAGCCGGCGCTACGTGTTGCAAGTATGCCCCGGTTTCAAGTCTGTAACAATAGTGCATTAACAGTGCATGCATCTCTGATTCTTGAATACTGCATTATGCTTAAGCTTGATAGCCTGGGTTCTGTCAGTTTTCATACTCTTCATTCTTCGGTGACAGCAAATTACTAAAAATGGTAACTATATATAGGACTCCAATGGATTCACCTTACAGTTGCTCAGCATTAAAGTGCATGCTTATGATATTGAATGGATCACTTAGCTTTCCGGGATTTAGGAGAGTGTGAACTAAACTCATCTTCCAGAGTGGCAGCTGCACTCGAGCTTTATATCGCCACGCCTGATTCTATCCAGTTGGCTCCTTGGACTGAATGGATAAAATAAAACACGCTCCCTCTCAACACAGACATGCATGACGTGTTCATTCATTACCTGGGTCTAAGCTCTATACGTGTGTCATGCGGCAGATATGAAACATTGGTTTATATCTATTTGAGAGACTGCAGAACCTAGGTAGTAGTACCCACTGCCAACGTAGTTCAATTTTCATTGACGTTAAATACAATCGAAGCCACGAGGTGCTTCTCATGTTGAAGAACCTTGATCATAACGACAGATACATAGCAACTCCTCCCGGGTTATTGCATCACCTCCAACGACGTTATTCAGCATCATGCATTTGACCTGGGTTTCTTTTTGGAATTTGGTCGTAAGCTGAAATATACCAATAAGAGGTATCGCTACACTCCTAGAGATTGCGTGCAAAGTTTCCTGCTCCACATACTGGGAAAGCCCAATACGCATCTTAGTCTCTCCCCTGATAGTGGCTAGGTAGGCTTGGAGACACCCGTTGACATCTCGAGCCCAGTCTATCGGTTTACAAAACGGACCTTCAATCCCCGTGAAGGATGAGTAGTGGTTTTCAGGGGTAGGCTCTGGCAGGGGGGCCCCCTGTATGGCTCGAAAAAGAAAGGTTCGGGTTGGGCCTGATCATTATTTTCCAGATCCATTGAGATAATCTTGACAGAAGAGGGAGGTGGGTTTCCCTGCTGTACGCATACTTCAATTCTGCCCATTGCGTTTATGCGGTCTTGAAGGAGATCCATCGTAGGAGGCTAGCGGAAGGGAGATACGAAGTGCTTCTTGGAGTAATAATGGGTGGGCAATATTACAGTCTTAATATATATTATGGCATGATAGCTACTATATTAATGCAACTATTAGCAGGCATTCAAACAGGTATTGAGGTAGGTATTGAAGCAGAAGATATATAACAGTATAGTAGAATACCACTAGGATCCGCTTCAACAGCCTAGTCAGATGAATTCTACTCTTCTACTCCGTACTATTCGTAAGTCTCCAGAATTTACCAGCAGAAACCGTCTGATATCGCTTTTTTGCAGACCAAACTCAACAGCCAACAGGATCCCTGACATGAGTCCCGTGGAGGGTTATTGATATTGCGTGGTCAATTTCAGCTCTTGCGACCTCCGTCATGTCTCTAGCATTCAGACACATCAAGTAACTAGTTCCCTTTTCTCCATCCAGAACTACGCTTAACAAATAGCCGGCATCTTCGGACTCATCCGTGCCATCAGACACAAAGATAGCCTCGCCAGGTGTATGGGGCTTCGGCTCCTTCCCCCAATATGTGATCTCATTTGTCTCCAGGTCGATTTTTCCAAGTCCATCCACGAATGACGAGTATCCCCGGTCGACGATCCCATACGTATATCGCTGCTTCTTCGTCCCATAATGTGGGTTTAGCGTAGGGAGCTCTCCTGCTCCCTTGACGGCCTTGATGATCTCCGCAGAGCGAATCTTTCCCTTGGGAATTCTCCCCTTCATAGGCACTCCCGCGAGCTTATAGCGAACGAACGTTGGGCTGGCCGATTCATGTGGTGGTCGCCCTGATCCAGTGGAGAGGACATTCTCATAGTATAAGTTTCGCATCAGCCGGTCGTCGGGATACTGGATAATGTCACAAAGGATATCAACCGTTCCCTTCTCGCTCTTTGCCTCCTGGAACGCGTTCACCGTGTGGAAACTAAAAAACGCTGGACTTTGGAATGTTACGACCTGCCCCCGTCCTCCTTTCCGGTCCACCACGTACCACTTGGTCTGAGCGTGTGGGTTGAACTTCAAAGCATCGATAATATTTCTCCCCCACAGCACAGACGCCCCATGCCCCGTGAAATACAATGGCCAGACGCAAAGGATAATGAAGTCTTCCGTGAGGAAGAAAGAGTGAATATAGGCGGCTTTGACCCCTGGACCGCGTATGGTCGCAATTATTTCGGTCTTCCCTGTATCTGCAGAGGTCTTGAAAATCCGATAGGCCCCCCCACTGAGCCCGAAATTCAAGTTATAGTTGTACAGATCTCCGGTTACCTGGTCATATCTCGCGTGCGCACAGGAAAGCGGCCCCTGTTCCGAAATTAGTTACTGCATTCGTTCCACGTTGCCAGAATGGTGTAAACAAGCCTTCAGATCAGGGTGGAGGGAAGCCTGGCTTGTGACCCCTACTGGCTCCAGCGTGTTTATATCCGAATACTGAATCTGGTTCGCATCCGTCAGGTTTGTCAATGTGCCTTTTGGCATCCCCGGCATATTTGGTCTGACAGTGACCGCCACGTTTGCCATTCCCGGAATGCGACTGTCAGGCCTGCTCGGTTGGAAAACCGATTTGACTTTCTCAAAAAACGACACGCAAGGATCCCTCTTTTGCCCGAAGGTAATGATACCGTCGAGGTGACCGGTCTTGCGCGCTCGCTCGATCAGGTCATCCACCTGGCTTCTAGACGTGTAGTAGACGCGACAACTGCCAGAGCCATCTGGAACAATCTGAAATCTATGTAGCTGAGAGAATCCGTCAAACCAGTGACTTCGAGCGTATTCCCCCTTCTCTGAGTCGACCTTGTAGGACCCTGGACCTGTTCGATACAGTGTCCCAGCTAGTTGTGGCGGGAAGGTACCGACGACCTTGAGTTCGATCGGGGTAGGAGATGTGAAGGAAGCATCAAACTAAACGGGGCTTAGTCCTGACTAGAGTCCTAGAAGCTGATATGGTACGAAAGGGTGCCTACAGCTGCATCGTTCGGCCAGTCTTTGTATGACGTTTTCGCTTGGTTCTCCTCAGTCGCAGGCATGCCGAAAGTACTAATTCAGCGGCAAATTGATGTCAAACGATTATATGAACATGGCTTTTCAGACATGAATCACCCTTAAAGCGATTGATTTCGGGATGTTCTGGAAGCTTTTTATACCTAATAAACCTTGTAACAGCTTCGCTAAAGGCTACCAACCTAGGTATTCTTTGGCTTCGTATTCAACTGGAGGCATCCACTGGGGTTCGTTTTAGGGTTAGGTGTAACCTATAAACAAATAAAAATACTTTTTACACTTTTTTGTATATTTTCCACAGCTTTGTAATACCGCTGCGTATTCGATTCGGAAAAGTTTTAAAATCTCAAAATATCAGTGTAATTTATATTACCCTAATCGGTCAGCTAGATAGATCCTGGTAACTACCCAAGTAAGTACGGAGTATACCGACAGGCCTGAACAATATTGAATCAAGTCATAAATACTAATATTCTTCTAATTCTAGAGTTTATTCTTCTAAATAATAAATAATTACATTACTGTTAACTATGGAGTGGAATCCAGCCAGGAGTCATCCAGTAGCTCCTTTGCTGCCTTTTCAATGACGAGGTTTGGAAGGCCATATCGATGCCGCTATCACTGATATTCAAGGACTGGCAGACAAAAGTTTTGAATACTGTTCAATAGTGCACCCCGAGACAACCACAAGGCGGTGCTCTTTTTCTCCTGTATTTGCCGGCCCAGCCCTTACCGTTACCAGGGGTGTAGCCCTAAGTCCGCGTGTGAGACTGTACGTTCTATATTCTCAATAGTATGGGAAGTAAAGTTAGCAACTGCGGCGAGGACGCATCTAGCTCCTCACTACGTAAGATCGGCAGGCATGTTGATGCCTTTGACTTACAAAACTTGATTTATGCCCATCATATTGGAACTGAAAATTGAGGAGCTACAGTCTCATTTCTTACTCAATAAGCCCTGGGATCATAGGCGGTCCGGACAGGAGTTGCCGTTTATATTATATAGATTTAAATCATTTGGCACAAACTAGATCTGTCTTTCCCTACTTTTAGTCGAGATGCTGCCCTTTTTTCCAAAGACTTCCCCTCTTCTCAAGGCATGTTGTATTCCCGTCGGCTTTAGGGTCTACTTAGGGAAGTGGAGCAGAAACAATTCGCTTCGGGGGCAAGCTCCGCTCGATTTGTAAGAAAGAGGTTATGTGGACCCTTATAATGACGTTCATTTACTATCGGAATCGTCTCCTGCAGGCTTATCACATATCCTTGCCTCCTGGCACGAATATTGAGTAGCACGGTTATTATGAACCCGGTAGATTAGAATTAATTAGTTTTCGAATAGGACCCGGCCACGGCACTGGACACAGGGAGTCCCGCTGCGCTTATAATGCTGATCTCGCACCGTTTTGAGGATTCTCTGCTTTACTATGTATACAACGGCCGTGCAATATAGGGCTGTGGCACTGGGTTGCAACCAGATTGGCCAACGTAGTTTAATGATCCAGATGAATCTGTCTGCTTATTCAAAAGCCCCACGGCCTTTGTCATTCACACTCTTAGTTCAGCCCCTATAACTAATTCAATGTAACAGTCCGATTGTACGGAGTAAGCCCTAGCGGTCCTACCCTCATGAAACAGCCATGAATGGTAACCGAGGCTAAGGAAGTTTGCGCGACTAGACTGAATATATTGGTTTAATCTCCAGGTCTAGACATAGTTGTTGCATGACATGCATTAATGTTGGCGGAATGAAGGGAAGGAAACAAGTCACAAATCCAGCGCAATTGGAAGAGCGGAAATGTCCTCTTCACCCCATGATTCTGTAAGCAGTTTTAAAACAACTGTCCTGCATTTTGTCCCAGCTGAAGTGGCCCTGCACTAGATTCATATCAAGTCTAGAGCGGACCTGTGGATCATCCCGCCAGGGTCGCGATTAGTTCTGATGCTTGATGATGCTCGATTAGTGCGCTCAGCTGAATATTTGAAATGCGGACTATGTAGTCTAGCAGATCTGGTCTGGAGGAAGATTCTTCATACTCGGGATATTGTCAGGGTTTGGTCTAGTCTGCCTAATGAAGCCAATCCAATGCACGCAATAAGCCCTGAGGAAACCCACATGCCACGACCCTTCCGATTCATTAACTAGTACCAGTATGATAGAATTGTACCCCTGACACTACGGCTGAACGGATATGAGTTAATATGAATTACCCTCGAAGAGTTCCAGTCAGGTAGCAATGTCTATACGCTAGCGGTCGGTCAATTATTGCCATACCTGATAGAGTACGCTAATTTTCTCTTCGAAGCTGTCCCCTGGTGCCAGCCCTCGGATACTAGCTACGACCTCAAGACTGCCTAAACGGGAAAATGGTTCTCTGGACGTGACCTAATGCTGCCCATGATCGGTACGAGGCCTCACGGTGACCTCCTGAAGTCATTTCCACCCTTTTATCTTCATACAAGTTCGATAAAGCTTGGATGACCACCAAAGCTTAGTGCTTATTCTATCAATGATGTACGGAGATTGAGCGAAGTTGATGAATCCATATAGTCTGTAGGTAATCTAAAATATAAATATAGAGTATATTCACGCCGTGCTATACTTGAGTTCTCCAAAAAAGAACAGAAGACTTTCATCACTCTTTTCTTCTTGCTTCTTCAAGACCAGGCTTGTCACAATGGCCAGACTTGGTTGGTTCTTGACACTCAGTCTCTCATTTTCGACCTTTTCTACAGCGTTCCCAGCTGGCACTCATTTTGAGGTTTCAAAAAACTTCAGTACTTTCAACGTTGAACAATGGGTTCCATCCCTGGACTACACTCCCCACAGAGGGTAAGCAAACTCTCTCCCTGCGCTGCTAACAAATGGGCAACGCAAGGTTTGGTTAACGCAATATGTATAGAGGTATTCCTTTCCCACTTCAAAATGCAAGCGCTCGACCGTGGGCTCAGCTTGCCCAAGCTCCTCGTGTCAAGAATATTACAAGCTACAGCTATAAAAGAGACAGTTGTGGCGGGCCAATTCCTGACAGTCCGAGCAAGTTCTGGTATGAGACGATTAGCCATAATGGACAGTCATCTTTCTTGGACTCGACATATAAGGATACCTATAGCGTTTTCCGTAATGTAGTAACCGACTTTGGGGCGGACAACACCGGTGCTACTGATGCTTCCGCAGCCATTCAGAAGGCTATCAATGGTATGTCCTCTACCTTGCGCGCATAGTGGAGGGATGGCTAACACTGCAGCAGCGGGTGCTTCTAATGGCCCAGACCGCACAAGCAACTCCATGGGCACTACAGGTCAACCTGCTCTCGTATACCTGCCCGCGGGTACATATCTGCTAGAGAGTAGCTTGCAGCTCTTTGTCGGTACGGTCATTGTTGGTGATGCCCTGAATCCTCCTACCCTCAAGGCTAGCTCGAGCTTCAGCACCAATCATATAATATTCGGCAAGGATCCGAATCAGGGTGGTACCGTGAACTTTTACATCGGGTTCAAGAATGTGATTATCGATTCTACGAGCATTCCTGCATCGACTTCCGTTGCGCTGCTTGACTGGACAGTTTCGCAAGCTACGCAGCTGACGAATGTTGTCTTTAACATGCCTGATAATTCAAACCATGTTGGTGTGACCAGCCAGTATGATTCGAACAGCAATATTATTCTTGTAAGCTTGCGAGACCACTGTTCGCTAATGGGGGCTTTTTACTGATGAATGCCAGAATGACCTCACCTTCTATGGTGGTTCCATTGGTCTGGAGCTAAGCGGGCAGCAGTGGATCCTGAAAGGTATCAAGATCAACGGCGCGAACGTCGGCATCAAGGCTGGCGGGTTCCAGCTCGTTTGCCTAGACTGCAACTTCCAGAACGGCGCGACAGGCATTGACGCCAGTGGGATTTCTGGATCCCTGACGGTGATTGACTCCAGTGGCAGCGCCTTGGGGAACATGATTATCTCCTCCAATGCGGGTGGGAGTGCACAAAATTCAATCATCCTGGATAACGTACAATGCACCAACAGCGGCAGCACTGTTTCGCTCAATGGTAATGCGGTTCTCACAGGCTCTGTCACAAACACCTGGGTGCATGGAAACATGGTCAGTCGCAATCTACCTTCCCGTGTGTCTTATAGATGCCATTACTCACGTTGTACTAGTATTCGGGCGGAAGTACCTCCCCTATTAACGAACAGGGTCTCGGGGTTACCACTGCTCGTACAGATGCCTTGCTCGGTTCCGATTCTAAGTACTTTACTATGGCCCCGCCAACTTACAGCCAATATTCATCCGGCCAATTTATCAACATCAAGAGCGTGAGCGGCTATCCTGTCATGGGAGACGGGGCTACGGATGACACAACGAATATCAATGCGATTCTCTCTCAGTATGCCGGTTGCAAGATCGTCTACTTCCCCGCTGGAACGTATATTGTAACAGGGACTATATTCGTGCCTGCTGGATCTATTATAGTCGGAGATGCATATGCTTCAGCTATTAGTGCAACTGGCTCAAACTTCTGGAATCCTAATGCCCCGACCAGTATGGTCAAAGTTGGCAATCCCGGCGACGTAGGAGTGGCCCAGTTCACAGACATGCTGTTCACAGTAGCAGATGTCCTGCAGGGTTGCAAAATGGTAAGAAATGACTAAACCTTCCCCTTATATTCACAGCTAAAAAAAACCCCCCTACGCCCTAGGTCGAGGTAAACATCGCTGGTTCATCTCCCGGAGACGTTGGCTTCTGGAACACGCATTTCCGTATTGGCGGTGCGGTAGGGTCTAAAGTACAGACCAACTGCTATGGCACCGCAGATGAATGTAAAGCTGCCTGGGGAGTCCTTCATCTCACCAACACATCGTCCGCCTACATCGAAAACATGTGGGGTTGGACTGCGGACCACAATCTAGACGGAGCCAGTCAGACTACAACTATCGCGACTGGCCGTGGTCTCCTGGTGGAAGCAACCAAAGGGACTTGGTTGGTGGGAACCGCTATGGAACACCACACACTTTATCAGTATAACTTCGAGTACGCAGAAAACGTTTTTTCTGCCTTCCAACAGAGTGAAACCCCTTACTGGCAGGGCTGGGGAAGTCCCGAACTTGCTCCCACGCCATGGTCCGACAACCTGATTGCTAGCGACCCCAGCTTCAGCAATTGCGACGCCAGTGATGCCGGATGCCGGATGGCTTTCTTTGAGCGGATCCGCGGTTCCTCCAACCTGTTCCTTTATGGCGGGTGTGTTTGGGCCTTCTTCAACCACGGCGGTAGCTGTAACGGGGACTGCCAGGCCAACGCCATCCGAATCCTCTCATCGTCCGGCTCGATCTATCTCTACGGCACGAACGTCAAATCTATCAGTAACATTGTGCTCGAAAATACCGTGGCCGCGGCCACAGAAAGTGTCAACTCCGGAGGCTGGGGTGGAGTTGTCGCTGCCTATCTGCACAATACAGCTTCTAGTAGTTCCACGGGGAGTGGCAGTAGCAGCGGTGATGGAAACAGTGCCGTGGTCACAGGCAATGGACTGAACTGGTATAGTTCATCACTCACCGATGGCGCACCCGCTTATGAAGATCCCGAGTATTATTATTGCTTCGGCGGCCCTGCCGCTAACTTCCCACCGCTGGCGAACTGGATGGGATTCACCGCTATGTTTGACCTCAACCAGGAGACCTCAATGGCACAGGTTGAGTCCGGCCCCATTCAAGGAGACATATGGAACGCCATCGTGGAGGTGTCTGCTGCGGCTAAGGTGGATGCCCGGTTGGTCCTAGCTGTGGTTATGCAAGAGGTACGTGGGTGTAATTGCCGTCTTTCCTCTCAGCAGATAAACTAACTTCGCACCTCAGTCGAGCGGCAACGTATACGTTGGTTGCACCAACAACGGGGTTCAAAACTGCGGTCTCATGCAGGCTTACATTGGCTCTGTCTCGTTTGATGCCAACGACCCACAAGGCAGTATCACCCAGATGATTATCGACGGCACACAGGGCACCTCTCAAGGCGGCGGTCTGGTCCAATGGTTCAACTACGATAATGTTGGCGCTGATACGGCTGGGAACCCGTATAATGTGCTCCGTGGGTACAACTCGGGCAGCATCAACTTGAATGATTTGGATGATCCTCAGGATGCGACTGGTTCGTATGTGAGCGACATTGCAAATCGGTTGCAGGTAAGTCAACATGGATTCTGATGGTCAACTGGGGACTTTGCTAACCGTTCAAGGGATGGAATGGCAATGACGGCCATGGTTATAGAGCTGCTTGTGGGTGGTCCTCGTAGGACTATCAGAGCATGGATCAAGTATGAGAAACGGAGAAGAACCGTTCTATTTACTAGAGATTATTTTAATACTTGCACAATATAATAAAGGTAAGGGTGCTCATGGGGTGTTAATGCCCAATTTACATATCTTTACACCTTTTCCTTAGTTAGATAGTTGCATCTCATACAGAGAAATGTAGACGAAAATCGTTATATGTGAAAGAAACCATATCTGCTCATAAGATTAAACGCTCCTGGCAACGAAAGAGACACCGGGATAACTCCACTTAAACCTGATGCAATTGTATCTCATTACAATAGTGATATTGAAGAGACTTGCGCCGGTGGAACTTCTCCTCGAGCAAACAGTCCAGCACTTTTGTATAGTCCGCATTATACGTATCATGGCTCATGGCCCAGACAACTACACCTCCAAAGCCCAAGTCCCTCGCAGACTCCAGCTTTTTCTCCAGCGTTTCTCGGTCTTCATAGGCGATCCACTGGTGCTTATTCTGGGAAATACGGACGCCGGCGTCCGCATCTAAAACGCTATATTGAAGCGCTCTCGACCCCCAGTCATGTCTGTGGTACAGTCGGCCATGCGCTCGCTCGTGAAAGGCAGGGTCCATCAAATCCTGCACCTCCGAGTTCATTAGCATCCCCTGCTTCAAGCTGCTAAACCCTGGCGTTGCGCCGGAGAGAGCTGGGCAGCCAACATGAGTGCATTCCCGGTCCGCTGGGACCAAGGAGGCGCTGTACAACGCAATGCCAAAGTTTACATTGTCTGGCATAACATGATTCCTCCACAGGAGATCCATTGCCTCTTCCACCTGGGTCATATTCACGACCGGCCCGAGTGACTGGCCCTGCCACGTATCCCCCATCTGCAGTTGCGAATGTAAGTCCAGCGGCATTAGGTTGAAATAGTCGACGTATCTAGGCAGCCTTCGTAGGTTGTAATGATGCAAATTTGGCAGCGAAACAGGGAGTGTCATGCTCAATCCGTAGCGGCCACCGGTGAGTAACAACGCCGAACGGATGTTCTGCATTAATTTTGGTAGGTTCTCGTAGTCATCGGAGAACCCATCCGGGTGCTCCCAGTTGATGTCTACTCCATCTATGTCGTAGGTGGATATGAACGACGTGAGAGATCGGAGAAAGACAGTCTGATGCGCGTCTGAGCGGGCGAGTCGGGAAAATACAGAGGCATCGGGCTTGCTCCAGTCGTGTGGCGCCAGCCCACTGACAGTCACGAAGACTCTTAGATCAGGATCGTACTTCTTCCGCTGGGTGAATCTCTGGATTGCATTGGCGTGTGCAGCCGGGATTGGAACCACCTCGAAAGTAGTAGGGTCAATAGTGATGAAGGCCAGGTTCACGTGTGCGTATGTCGCGGATGGTAGCTCAAAGGCCGCCATTCTATTACAAGGCCTGTCTGCACTCCATAGCTCATAATAGCCAACGAAGCGTCTGAGATGGGAGGTTTTGCTCCGCGGCCTCGCGCGTGTACGGCAGTCAATGCAAGTATCCGCGCCGCAGTATTCAGGTCCTACTCCGCAAATCCCGGAATGGGAACAGCAGCCGCTTTGGCATGGATGCCGATCATCGCATGGGATTCCCCAGGGCTCTTGGATCACCTTGCTTTCATGGTGATCGGGATGGGAAAAGAGGGTTATGCCGGCCAGGGCAAGGATGCACCCTAGAAAGATGCATTTTTCGAATGTCCCCATGGCTGTCGCAAGCTAGAGAAAGAAAAGAACAAGACTGCGGACATTGAGCCGCGCCTGCTTTTACAGATTTGGACCCTGGGACGAAGCGGACTCTCATTTCGCTGTCTAATTTGCCCGTCGAATGTTGAATTGTCCATTGATTTATTTGATCCACTATGTTGGCGCGCCAAGGAGGCCGTCGGTCAATAGTAGATTTTAAGCCCAGGTTGTCTCACAGTTATTTCCGGTGTAAAATTGAAGATTTTATGGTTTTGTGGCCCATTTATTCTCTACTTGGTCCCAGGTCTTTCCTGACTCGATCTCCCACGTTAAAGATCCCGGTGACTGGCCTTCATCATGGGCATCCCTAGCGAGAGACTTGATTATACGATCAGAGCGATCCTGCCGAGGGTACGTGCGATTATCTACATCGCTCTCTCGATTGTTCTATCCATCAAGCTTATTCGACACATTCTACCGGACCCGCCTTATGAGTGGCGTCCTGAACCGAGCCCGCTCTGCGCAACGGAGCTTTACACAGTTCGAAACGGAGATACTTGCAATAGCATCTCCGTGATGCATAAGATCCCCTCCCACGGCCTCTGGGAAGGAAACAAGAACACCATCCCATGGTGCAATGTTATCCAGCCGGGGATGGTCTTGTGCCTTCCGCCCTCTTGCGATGTAGTTCATCAGCTGCAGCCAGGGGATACCTGTGAAAGCATTGAAATAGACCATGCGGATGTATTAAACGGCGCCACCTTTCTAAGCCTGAATCCATGGCTCCAGAATTACCAGGACTGTGAGAAACTCCATTTGAACCCAGAACTTGCTGGCACAGTATACTGTTTAGGTATCCAGGGAGGGTATTTTGGGAGTCCGCAGAATGCCTGGAATCCTGTATCACTGAAAAATATGAAAACCGGCGAGAGGGGAAGATAGTCAGACTATCTCGAAGTCTTTTTTCCCACTTGACGGGTTGGTTTATGCCAGAGAATGCATAATCCAAGGGTAAAAACCTTGCGATACCACCGCACAATGCTGCGGCTTAGAAAGCCAGTGCTGTTTAATACAACATATTGCTAGAGTCATTTCGCAGAAAACTTATTGAGCCGAGGATGTAAAGGACTTTAGTATTCTATCATAGAATCCTAGTTTGCCCGGGTCAATGTACACCTTCATTGCATACGGCAAATCCCTGCATGTCAGGGTTGAGAAGAACTTCAGATCGTTTTCCATCTTTCTTCAGCTTTTTCTCCCATTGCTGGACACAGCTGGCATAGTGGGCTCTCTCCTCGAGGCAACGCTTTCGGTCTGGATCCTTGTGTTGCCCATGCTTTAAAAAAGTCGGTTGCTGTTGCGAACGGTCCGCCTAACTTTGGAAGCGGCCCAATGTTAAAAGGAACTATCAGCCCGGCGAGTAATAGAACCGATTTTTGGCATTCTCACTGAAGCGGTTTCCACCTTTAGAATGGGTGAGTATGCATCGAGGAGATTGCTGAACACGCATACCTGAATCCTTGCAACTTCCGTGAAGAAGGTCTCCCTTCTCTCGAATTTTACGACTTGACAGATCAACAAAACCCGAATTTTGTATATGTTTATTAATGAGTATCTGTCATGCAAATCATTCTTTGAAAGGCAATATGCAGTCCACGATAATAGTTGTCCAGCAGTATACGCATCTCATTTCACTCAACTCACCTAAACACATGCTATAATCACCAATTATCACATCCCACGTCGACGCAATCAGCCCAGGTCAAGTTACCGTCAACTCACTTCGATTTGTCTATCCTCCTTGAGATCATGTTTCCTGACTTCCAAGCTGTGAGACCTGCCGTATCCCTGCGCTCTTGGCCGACCTGTTTCCAGACTTCTCATATGCCAGGATCAGGCTTCACTTCGTATTTCGATGGTCATCTGCATTTGAACTGCCAATCGATTCCACGGGGCTGAGACATTGCCGGCCATGGTTCAAGAGTACCATATATAAAAGCTGCTTCCATTTCTTGGTTGGAGAACTTGAAGCATACTTGAACCTGTCCCTATAGTTTGATATACGACTAAATTAAACCATGCATTTCCCCAAATCACTCGCCGTGGTTCTTATCCAGCTCACTCTGGGATGTAGGTTATATCGTGTCGTAAACATATCCTACCACGCTAACTGTATTCTCACGATAGCCGTGTCTCCTGCAGCAGCAACAGGTTGCGGTGAGTACGATGCTTGCATTGGCACTGAATACTGTGCAACCAAGACATTCACCACGCCCGTCTCCACGATTATCACTACCTGCCTACCTACGGCGACTTGCCTAGGGGTTTATGGTAAGTAGAAGTGATTCCCGAGCCTCTCCCAGACTATAAACAGGCCTAACTTGGCTTTTAGAGGGCTGTAGTTTTGGGGGCGGGATGACGTGCTGCTCGGGATACTGCGCAGCTACCAGGTGTCGCAGCACGGATACAGACTGGCCAAACTGTTCGGAGGATATGGGCGCTTGTATTGCAGATGAAAACTGCTGCTACGGGAACCAATGTGTGGATGGGCTCTGCATTCGACCTCCATATTCGTCCACGCAGACTATGACTACGTCTTCGCCGACATCTGTTTGTTATTCTGATACCTAACAATATTATAACCTATCTACCGTCATTCACTCCTTTCACCTATTCAGCCGAGGCAGGACCAGTTGACAGACGCTGAATTCCACAATAGGAAGGTACTGGTTTCTCCGCCCGAATAGGAAAGAGCGATCTGGGCGGCGTGTATTATTAGTCAGCAGGCTCTTGGCACCTTCCCGCTTCGGGCGGAATTGGGCATTTCCTTTCCGCTACTTCACATGATTGGCTTCCGCTTCCGGGCCCTAATCTGAACAAGAGCCAAATGTTTTCGGTAATTAGGTAACATCAAGAGACAAAAAGTCTTGGGTCACACAGAGAGATGCCCAGAATGACAGTTTTTCAGCTTAAATCCGGGGGAGCGGATGATTTTACTGCACTTGGTTCTACGACGAGCTTTAGTTCTGTTAGTCGGTAGTATTCATATACGTATTGACTATTACCGTTTGCAACTTGATCTCTTTTTGGCTTGGATGAGCTCTGTGGACATCCGAACAGACCTGGGATCTCCGCAAGTTTTGAAGCTGTGAGTCATGAGTCCAAGTGCTCATCCAAGCCTTGACGCCGTCCCACGACAGGATGCGTCTCCTGAAGTGCAACATCATTACAAGCAGGGAGATGAAGAAACCAATTATGACAAGAAGCCTGTTTATCAGGATGCCTTTGGAGACGAACAGTATGCGGAGATCAGGTACAAGGTGTTGAGCTGGTGGTATGTATTCTCAGACTAATTGAGCTATCATTCGATCGCTAATGTGTCTGCCTCTCTCTATGTGTATAGGCAAGCTGGGTTCCGTAAGTGATTGGTATTTGTCTTGTATTGACTATGGCTCAAGTTTATTTTCCAGTCATGGTCGCGGAAACCGTCTCGATTGGTATTCTTTCATTGCCCGCCGTGGTGGCTTCATTAGGTCTCGTGCCGTATGTCCCTCATGAACTATTCTATACGCCTTCAAACTAACCCTGTAGTGCTATTATCCTCCTTCTTGGCCTAGGTGTCATTTCTACCTATACAGGCTATACTATTGGCCAGTTCAGATGGGCGTACCCCCACGTCCAGAGCATGGCTGATGCTGGTGAGGTATTGCTGGGGAAATTTGGTCGTGAGCTCTTCGGCATGGGCCAATGGCTCCTGATTGTATTCGTCATGGCGAGTCATCTGTTAACCTTCACTGTTGCGATGAATTCCATCACGGATCACGGCACATGCTCGATTGTCTTTGGCGTCGTCGGGCTAGCTATCTCGTACATCCTATGCCTGCCGCGGACCGCCGCGAAAGTCTCCTACCTCTCCATTGGATGTGAGTTTCCTTCTTGAACCTTTCATATACCGCATAGCTAATATCTCCAACAGCATTTCTTAGTGTGTTCTCAGCCGTCATGATCGTGGTTGTCGCTGTGGGCGTTGAGCGCCCCTGGAAAGGAGGCATCAATGCTGTGGCTGACACTAACCTATACCATGCCTTTTTGGCCGTCTGCAACATCGTCTTTTCATTCTGTAAGTCAGAATCCTTTCATAAAAGACTATCCTGCTAATGTTTCTCAGCCGGACACGTTGCCTTCTTTAGTTTTATTGCCGAATTGAAAGATCCCAGAGAGTACCCCAAGTCTCTCTTCCTTCTCCAAGGCACCGACACATGCTTGTATATTGTCAGTTCGGTTGTAATTTACTACTACGCGGGGCCTGGCGTAACATCGCCTGCGTTGGGTTCTGCTAGCCCTCTGATTGGCAAAATTGCATATGGGATCGCCCTTCCAACAGTGAGTACTCACCCATCCAACTTGATAAAGAACACCCATCTCACTCCTTAGATCATCATCGGCGGCGTTGTCAACGGCCACGTGGCCTGCAAGTACGTCTACGTCCGCATCTTCCGTAATAGCGATCGTATGCACAAGAAAGATTTCATTGCCGTCGGATCTTGGGTTCTCATCGGCTTCATAACCTGGGTAGTGGCGTGGATTATCGCATCCGCTATTCCAGTCTTCAACAATCTTTTGGGTCTTATTGTATGTGTCATGCTTGTTCTCCGGGTTCAAGGGGCTCACTAACAGACTGCTCCAGGCCTCTCTGTTTGCCAGTTGGTTTACCTGTACGCTATGCCTCCTCCTTTCTCTTCCGGGGAATGTACTGCTGACTCTTTCCAGATGGATTCAGCGGCATTTTCTGGCTCTACCTAAACTGGGATCGACTGTTCTCGACGCCAACCAAGATATTCCTCACTATTGTCAATTTTGCGATGATTGGCATTGCAGCTTGCATTGTAAGATTTCCCCTATGCCTCAATTTACCTACCGACCTGACCATTCGTAGTGCGGCCTAGGTTTGTACGTCTCTGGCAAGGCTTTACATGACAGCCCAAGCGGTTCGAGTTTTTCTTGTGCAAACAATGCATAAAGCGTTGTAAATAGATTTGACGTGATTATTTGGAGGATAGGTATAACATTTTGTACTTTATATATTCGTGTTTCTTGGCATGGGCTGCTTTCGGGCAAGGGATAAGGAATCAACAAGATATTCTAGGTTCCGCTCGCGTGATACTAAATTTATAGCCACCGATCCAATCTGATTATACCTCCAGAGTTAATTGCATCTTTGACCAGCAGCCTCCATTTACATAGAATCCTACCTTTGCAGGAAGCTATGTCAGCCTCACTGATACACCTTTGTAAAGAATTCACATACACCTACTCCATGATGAAGACAGGTAGATAGTATTATTTGCGGTTAAATTTATATAATTGTAATTCAATTCTTTTACTTTAACTGTCCCACGATATATATCTATCCATTGATCAATCCAATGCGGGGAATTGGATAGCATTAAAATTATTTTATGGCAAATTAGGGCACAGAAAATGTGAGCATGCTTCGCGCTAGTTACGCGGTCAGCAATTCATTTTACTCAAAACTTACTACCCAAGTGCCTATTTCATTCTATCTTATTCAATATCCAGAATGAAAGCACGTATGCCCTATGATGATGCTGCATGGGAAAGGAAAAAAGCACCGATATTTATGAGGCCTGGCCGGATCACCTGCTTGATGACAACAACATCTATAATGAAATTGGAATGTTTCTTGCCAAACACTATACGCATCTTAATCACAAGGATTTCACTCCCGTTCAAGATTGGCGGTTTCAATTTTAGCCTCGGGATGACATTTACCAATAACAGCGGCGCTGTCATCCGCCTCCCAATCCCTGGTGCCATCATGTTTCCCGAAGAAAAAGTCCGGAACGAGGTCTCAACCCTGCGATTCATCCGGGAGAGTGATACATCGGCCTCTGTCCTATTCCATGGACGAAATCGTGCAACTGGGGACGCTACCCCGAGCGAAACTACGACTCCAGACCTTGCTCAAGGCGATGGATGACTCGCTGCGAAGAGGCCGCAATCCGGACGGGTCGGCTGCTGGAGAATCAGCGGATTTCTGGCCGCCTGCGAGACAGTTGGGAGAGCGGAGACTTTTGGATCATGTACGCTGCGCGGAATAATTTCGCCTTCGACGCGAGATACCGGCAGAAGAGTGACGAACGGGTTTTTCGGGCCGGCTAAGCTGTCTTGACCCCGACGATATCTGGAAGGAGAGACTGGATCTCTTGGAACTCTACTTTGCTTCTCGAACATTCACTGTTTTGTCCGAAAATCCGCTTTATGTGCGGTTCAATTACCATTGCGAGGCCAATCAAGATACCATTAAACGTCTTTTAAGATTATTGTTCCGCACTACGAAATCAAGATAGGAACAAATCCGCGAAGGCGGAAAACTTCCCGACTCGGCTTGCATGCCAAGACGTGGGGGTATGCGCTCATGTCTTGGCGTTGTCTTGGCGTGGATGGGAATTTCTCTCGCTCGGAGTGGAACATCCCGACGTGAGATTTTCCTGCTGATGGAGAGGTACGGGGGTATTGGCTCGCATGAAAAAATAATTCAAAACTCCTACCTAGTGTATATAGAATAAAATATTGAAATAAAAAAGGCTGCTCAGGATTCTAGACGGTCATCATGAATCAACTGGACGTCATATCGCTCATCACCACGCCACACATGGCCAGGCTGGTTACACGAGGCTACTGCGCTTCGAAGGTCCCGGATCATTGATAACGGACCGCTGGCCACAACCCGTGTTGGGCCGCTTACCGTGCGAGAAACAAACTCCGTCACCTGCGTCGCCAGGTCAGGATGTCTTGTGTGGCCGCTAGCCAGGGATGCAGACGATGAGAGTTCGTGAATAGCGAACGTCTCTGCTTTCATCTCGGAAGGCGATGAAGAGAGCGATGAGGGCCGCTCCCCTGCCACCGGGGCTTCTTTGGACTCCTCCAGTCGCGCAGGTTCCTGACTGATTGGCACGGCAGAGGTATCAACTTCTCCATCGCCACGGGTAACGAAGATGCGAATTCGGAAATTGGACACTTCGGCTGCCGCTTTCCGTAAGGGTTGCAGTTCGCACTCGATCCATTCCATGTCGGCTTTTCGGCGAATCGCCCAGATGAGTTCGACGATACCGCGGCGTGGCTGGTGCTGGGCGATGAGGGCCAGAAGCACCGGGAGCACGAAAGTCACCCCAGTGCCGCCTGCTACGCAAAGGACATTTATATCGTCTTCCAGATAGAAGTCTTCCCCTAGGATAGACAGCCCGTAGGGACCGGACAGAACAACGGACGTGCTTGCGTTCTCCTTTTGCTGTGCGATAGCCGCCAACCCCTTCGTCAGCCCCTTTCTGCTGCGGATGATATATGTGTGGTCTTGAGTCTTGGGATTCTGTCCAGGGACATTGCATGGCGTCATGGGGTGGCTTTGCCAGATGCTGAGCTCCGGGAAGCATAGGAAATAGTGTTGGCCGATCTGCCACTCGTCATGGTTATGGTCAAAGTCTAGACGAATCACGTCTCCGTCGTGGGTGCGCGGAAAGAATGCCATGCGCGCTCTGGGGATATGCAGACCAAAGGCAGAGGTAGTGTGCGGAGTATTCCGGTGGTGGAGTACTAGGGTCCGCGCAAGGCGAACTCCTCGATCGAAGAACCACACGGTAAGCGACGCAATCATCCAGCATGATAGCTGTGACCAGTGCCCCCAGCAAGCGCCGATATACAGCATGGCAACGACGTAGTGTGCCTTGCGGAAGAACTCATATCCAGTCAGCCGGATCCCCCATTGGGTACTGAAGGCGACGAGGAACGACAGGAAGATCATGGCCACAACCCCCCAGATAATATAAACCTGCGCGATGAATGCGTCCCATACGGTCGGCTGGGGCTGGTAGAGCCGGGCTTCCACGATGGTCCAACCGAGGGTATGGAGAGCGGACTGGATGAAAATAAGGTAGCCCAGCCAACGATGCAAGAACATAAAATGGTGGTATGGAATGCCAGTGACAAGAGAGAGCAGGGATTCACGGCTCGAGAGGAGCACAGACAAGGGAGTGAGGGCAAATGCGAACACGCCAATGCGATCAGACCAAGGTCCCAGCCCAGTCCGTGTATTATAGAGGCCGGGGGTATTTTTCACTGGAGTGACCCACGTCTTGTATACAATACCGGCAAAGGTGAAGATGGTCAGATATCCCGTCAGGATAACAAGAACCAAAATCTGTAGCCGGGTGGTGTGCCCAAACAGGCCGGTGAAGCTCTCCGGTAGCAGATACCGGCGGCCCAATGCCTTGGCCGAGGTTCCCAGGCGGTAGAATGCATTTTGGCGGGGCCGTGAGCCTTCCAGGAGCTGTTCCTTGGAAGAAGTAGTCACTCGTGTCAAAGGGAAAAGATGTCGGCCTAGCACCCACAGGAAAAGGATTCCCAAGATGACCGCCCATAGGATGAAGCTATAGAGCATACCAACATCGTGTGCGTCGTAGACCGCATCGAGGTACTCGCAGGACCCCGCATCATTCAGACATGGGACCTGCCGGGGGCTATACCCCCAGTGATACTCCAGCGCAGAGTCCTCGGAGAAATCCTGAATATGACGGGGGGGCAGCATAATGATCGCAGGTTCATGGCGAAGCAGGAATTCTTAGCGCGAGTGCCGTGGAAAGACTGGTGAACACTTCGGTAGCTCCTGAGGAACGTGGAGAGTGAAGTTATATAGGTTATATAGCTGGCTGTTTACTATATGAGTATGTACATACGTCAATGGCCAACAGCGCGGGAATGTTTCAAATCTGCTCCCTGGTGGATGTCTGAGCACATTAGGGCTGTGGAAGAACTGGCGATTGGCCGGGAATAACCTGCCAAGAGAGAAAATAATGTGCTCAAATCTGCTTTCAGGCCCACTGATTACCCCTATTTTGAACATCCTGTTTGATATTAATTTTGTAAGGTATCGCGCTCATTTATAGGAGTCAGTTTCCTCTCGGAGGGTTGTTTCTCGATTTGCTACTCCGAGAATGACAGCCATGAGTAATATGACCATGACCAGCACCACATCCGCTGCTTCCGCGACGAGCACCTCCAGCTCACACGATATGTCCAGCATGTCCATGGGGGGGAGCTCTAATTCCTCGTCATGCTCGGTGGACGTACGTATAACCGTCCACTTCTAGTAATAGTTATACGCCATGATTTGACTAAACCGTCGCAGATGCTCTGGAACTGGAACGTGATAGACACTTGTAACTCACCCCGGTAGCTCTTTCATCGGTAAAACTGTTATTAATTTATCCATGAATTAGGTTTCCTTTCCTCTTCATGGCACGTCACAACCCAGGGCATGTTCGCTGTCTCGTGCATCGGAGCAGCTCTCCTAGGCGTATCACTGGAATTCCTCCGTCGGGTCAGTAAAGACTATGAGGAGAGCATCATACGCCAGTTCCAACGATATGCTGCTGCCCAAATGGACAGCGAGATCTCTCCATTCGTGTGCGGTGCACCTCCCACATACATCACTTATCGAGCGAGCCCACTGCAGCAAATCATTCGCGCCGTGCTGCATCTTGCGCAGTTTGCCGTTGCGTACATCACCATGCTTATTGCGATGTATTACAATGGGTATATGATTATTTCAATCTTCCTCGGCGCATTTCTGGGGAAATTCCTCTTTGACTGGGGGCAGTATCGCATTGTTCTTGGGCAGACACCGGGGCCGGCTGGGTCGAATATGGTAGTCGAGGAGGAGGCCACCAAATGCTGTGGTTGAAAGCTGCACCTGGTAAAATTAAATGTTGTAAATAAGTCCAGCATTATCCAATGTACATACATGCATAATAGACTACTGTGCTGGTGGTGAAACCATGTATTGCCAAAGTCCAAGGTAAAGCCGTGGATGTCAATGACTACGTTTGACTCGGTGAGATTTATCAACTTCCTCTGTATCGCAGGGAGCGGAAGATATACGGTATACCAGGGGCCACGCATTCACAATCAGCATGTTCGGCGGCCAGTGCAGCCCAAAAACCATTCCATCACACGCAAATGCCCTGTATTCATATGCAACTACCTGGGATAACGAGTACATATGCCTCCCGAATATCTGTAAGCGCTCGATTTGAGTGGCTTCCTCCTGCTTCCTTCATTTCAGGGCAAAACATTCAAAAAGCAAACCGATACACAAGAGAAGGAAGCAAAGAGGCTCGGGAGGTGCGAATGGATAGTTATTTCTTTTTCTTGTCTGCAGCGGAAATGTCGATGAAAACATGTCCCAGTGGGCCAGCCGCTGGGCTCCACCCACTGCATTCGATCTTGTAATCTTTATTACCGTCTACAACCTCGAAGGTATTCGCGGAGCTTGAGGATCGATTGTCCCAGTACAGCTCGCATATCTTGGAGTCGCCGTCGAACAGGTCCATCCATCCCTCACTTCCTCTTCTTCCACGGGCGCAAACCTCGCCGATGCCGTTGGCTGGGATGACAAGCTTGTCGACCTCGTTTTCGGTCATGGACTTGGCCTGGTCGTCGGGATTATGAAATTTGCCCCTAATGAAGGTAATCAGTACGGCCATGGCATATTCCTGCCAACTAGCGGGGTTGGCGAAACAGACAGGTCAATCAAAGAGTCCTTGACATTAATGCTGCCAGATTCAAGGCGGTCTCGGATATGAATCGAGACCCACTGAGATGGTTCCATCTTGCAAAGACTAAGTATTGGAGATTGAAGGGAGAGACAATTGAAGCAGTAGTCGTGAGGGAATGGGCCCATCAACACCAGGGAAATCAATCGGCTTATAAGCTTCTTCAAGCGGGTTCCGTGCTTATGCGGGGTAATGCCAATGAGGGTAGAGCCCTCACTTAGTGATGTCATGATTGGTATAACTAAAAGGAAAGAAGTCGCGTTCAAACACTCTTTTCAGCCATTAAGAGAATGTGGTGAGGTCATTGAGCATACGGGCACTTAGGGTTCCGGGATGTCTATAGGTTGGAGATCTTTGGATATCCAGAAAACAACCATGGGCCGTAACTCAGCTGATTGCGGGGAATGCTCCCCGTGGGCATTCTTTGTTGCAGAATACTCCGTATGCAATATAGAGTGGGAATCGAGTAGTCCTTTGCCAATTTAAAGCACACGCGGGTTTGAAAGGCAGGCGAAACCCTGGTCGAGAAGAGTGACCCGCAGAGAACCTAACTGAATGAATAGAGAGGTACTTCCAAGGTTGGTATGTCAATCATAAATCATATTATTATTATCTGCAAAGCTCGACGTACTGGGAGGGTATGTTGAATGTCGAACAGAGACAGTGTGCGTGGATCAAATAGCACAAGATGGAGCGTCTATCAAAAGCTATCAGTGGTCATTCTCTATCAATAATCAACAATTCTTCCACATGTATATCTGCATTGTCTCTGAAGGTTAATCAGTTTGGCTAACGCACAGGTAATAATGGGTAATATCTGATGTCAATTTTACCGTTCAGCGAAAAAGGTCATTTTATCCTGATACAGTATTATTGCTTGGTGCTCAACATCTGATAATCATGGTGTGATCTATGTTGCGGGTGACAGATTTGCATTCCTAACGTCTCTGTTTCCCAGCAGCTAGAAACAGACGCTTAGGATGGCATAAATAACGCCAGCTGAATTGATTTGCTTCGAAGAGATCCGCCTACGATGGTATGTCTCTAGATGCTAAGAATATCCCTAATTTCTCAAGAGAAACGAAGAAAGACAAGAGGTTGAATGCAGATAAGAAATTTAGGATTGGTTTTGTGTTATTAGAAGTAACTAGATCGTATTCATGTATCGTAAAAAGCTCTGCGTGCCATAATGGAATTAAATCGTCCGGATGTTAGCCCACTTCAATCAACTTTACACCTGAATCTCCTTGGGAGCTTCCGCCTGCATGGTATGGAGCACAGTTCCCGTATCTCGCTTGATCAGACTGCGCTTTACGGGGTTGAGAGCTGCAAAGACTTCCTCAAGTTCCTCCAGCGTGCGGGCCTTGGTCTCGGGGAAGTAGAACCACATGATGACAATCTCGACAAGATCCCAGAACACAAAAACCAGGTAGAAGTAGTATTGGATATTCTCGAAGGCTGGACCAGAGCTGTACTGGATTATGACGCTGCTGATAGACGACGCCAGGTTTCCAACGGCAGTACCTTTGGCGCGTGTTGTAGTTGTAAGTGTCTCTGCGATGTACATCGACTGCAGTGGTGTCCAGCCAAAGGAGAAGACAATGCCAAATAGATAGATGAAGGCAATGGTAGTGTTAGCGGCAGCAGAATTGGAAGGATCCTCGGTAGCCATTTTGGAGGTTCCGGTAATGATAGCGAACGCGATCGAGCAGAAAAGTAGAGACCAAATGAGCAGAGGACGGCGGCCGATTGTGTCAGTCATTCTGGCACCACAGATGGCCCCAACAAACGACAAAGGCGAATAGATACCGTTGAGCAGAAGCTTCGTGTTCTCCGAGGTAATTCCTGCGTTTTCCAGCATCACCGGAAGGTAATAGCTAGTGACGCTATTTCCGGACAACTGCCCAAAACAAGCCATTCCAATAGCGCAGATGAGACGACGACGTGCAGAGTGTCCAGTATATAGTTCACGGTAGTCCCACCAAGCCTTATCGGATGCGTCGGTTGCAATACTACGTGCCATTTCCTTCAGCTGTAGAACAACAATGGGATGGCTCGCGTCTCCCTCTCCGTGGTATCGCGCAAGAACAGCAGCGGCTTCATCGGCCCTGTCCTGAGCCATGAGCCATCGAGGAGACTCGGGAATAAACCAGATACCAAAAGCGACGAAGACGGAGGAGATTAGCTGACACCAGATGGGAATGCGGAATGAGTCCGAATTCTCCAGTTTGGCACATCCGTACACAACCCAAGCGGCAACGATGGAGCCGATGTACCTAATCACGTCAGATATGAAGAACACACACTATATGAGGCACTGACCATGTGCAGTTATACAATCCCGTGAGCGTTCCTCTCCATGCAGGGTGTGCCATTTCACTGACATAGCACGGAGCACTGACGCAACAGAAGCTGACCCCAAAGCCCAAGATGAATCGTCCTGCGAGGAACATGCCTTTGTCAACCGATGGGCTCTGGATACAGGTACCTATGATAATAATTACGGCGCCAGTAAACATGCCGATACGACGACCGAAGGCGTCATTTACCGGTCCAGTCAGGAAAACAGCAGGGATCGAGCCAATGTTGTACATGGCGAAGACAAGACCAGTGCTTGATCCAGCAGATTGCCTGGCTGTGCGTTAGCCAAACTGATTAACCTTCAGAGACAATGCGGATATACATGTGGAAGAATTGTTGATATGAGGACATGGCATTCAGCCCACCCATGAGCGAACCATCGTAACCATTCAGACAACCACACAAATAGGCGATGGCAAGACATCCATAAAGGCGGATCATTGACCAAGTGAAAGGGTTGCATTTTGCATTGAGGGCATCATGAGCGACTCTGATCTCAGAGTCATTCTCCACAGATTCATGCTGCTCAGTAGCAGCTTTCATTGCCATTTGGGACGGTTTTCTCATGAAGACCTGTAATGTGCGTTCAACCCTGATGGATCTTCTCCTTCTCCGGAGGTACACCTACGCCCACTACTTATATTTCCTGTTCATCATGTCAGGGAAGCAAAAGCTACAAAGCAACGGCGGAAAGAGAAAGCCCATCGGGTAATTCAAGAAAGGGAAAGGATTCTCCCCTGGCAGTTGTCTAGCCGAGACCAGGCAATTTCCCCACGGGGGATGCGATTCTACACTGGATTACGCTGTCGGGGATGTCGGAACCGATCAGGTTCAAATACAACCATGCCACTTGAATGTACCCCGCTTTGAATTCGCCAGTGCTGGGACTGCTACTGCGAGGGATGCTCTCTCCACGAGCACTGCGGCTGTGTGGTGGAGTCCATTCGAGACCCTAGACCCGACCTGCTTCACACAAAGACCAGCGATAATTCCATTCGACCCAGTTCCCAGTGCTGAGGACTGCAATGGCTCTCGACGGCGCATACGACAGCCGGAAGCGCAAGAGAACCTCACATGCAGTAAATATCCCCCCGAAAGTAGTGTCCTTGTGGTAATCGACCGTGCGTGTCGCGCTGACTCTGTTGAACAGTGTGACTCTTGTCGCCATCGCAAAGTTCGGTCAGTTCAGGAGTCATTTCGGGCTATTGACCTATCGTTGTTATATATCGCTAACACAGCTAATTTCCCACCAGATGTGATGGTCGCCAACCGTGTACAACCTGTTCGTCCACTGGCGAGGAATGCGCATACGGCGCCGAGGCCATTCCGTGAGTTCCCCTGCGGTAAGAGAGGAATGATATACATAGTTGGTTACTGATTTTTACCAGAAAGAGCAAATCTGATTTGATTCTGGACGTCGCCTTACGTTCCGAAAACATACTCCATGAAATGTCTGCGAAGTTGGTGAGCGCCTGCAGCCAATCCTGAACCCCCTTCCCCCAGCTGAACCATCATGTATGGAAATAGCAGACTCTCTTGGGAGCCGGCAGCCCCGTAGACCCCCGAGTAGCGTTGTCTCCGCTGGAATTCGTCTCTCCGACTACGATTGAATCAACCCATCGACCGGGGAGCCCGCCGGATCAAATATCCAACGCGATTCTGTCCCAGTTCCACTCCTCCACTACCGAGTCCATCCTCGCGTGGCCGCACTTCAAGGATTACCATGCCTTGCGTCAGAACTATCGTGGGTCTGTTTTTCATCTAGAGAGTCTGCGGCCGCCGTTCAAGTATCGTGCGTCGAGCGTGCTGCCATATGTGAGCAAATCAGAAGTCGACTCTATTCTGCGGAGCTTTGAACGTAATGTCAATTTCTGGTATCCAACATTATCGCGGGATGTCAGCACAGAAGTAGAGGTGCAAGTTTTATCGAATAATCTAGACGACGGGATCAGCTCATGCGTTTCCTTGCTGGTAATGGCGCTTGGGTGCGCCAGTGAACTGATCCAATCCGTCGCTACGGACTCTCCTGAGAACCCAGCGGAGCTGGAACAGCGCCATCGATGGCAGCTAATGGGTAGATTGCACTTTGATCTCGCCTTTAAGAAGGTTCATTTGGCGCAAGCAGAATGCACCACGGAGGCAGTGCAGTGTCTCTTCTTCACAGCGTAAGTCAACCAACCCTTCGGATGCACGTATAAGATCTAACGGACAAGTGTGTTCTTCGCTTTCCTCCAGCGCCCCATACAGGCTTGGTCCTTTATTAGTGCTGCCGCCATAAAGTGCCGACTGCTGCTCTCTTATACTGCCTCTGAATCAGCCCCAGAACAGCTAGAATGTCTTCGACGTATCTTCTGGTCCTGTTATATCCTTGAAAGGTGACCCCCCCCCCCCCCCCCAACTTTCTTCGGCACCCTTTCCTCTTATTTACCTAAGTTTATCTGTCCATGTTTATCTAGAATGACAGCTAATGGAGCCCAGTGATTACCTTGCGGAACTCTCTGCTCTACCCCAAACTGGTATTGCTGGTATCGAATCTTCGATCCCCCTACCTGGGGAATACCACACTCATACCTCTGCAATAGAGGAAGAACAGTCTTCATTATATTTCTTGGCCTGCATCTCCATGCGTCGCCTGCTAAACCGAGTTCACGACCTGCTTTACGCTCGAAATGGCGGCGTCGGTTCTGACATCCACCAGTTCCCTACGGTTGTAGCAGAATTAGACCACCAGCTCGAAAGATGGAAGGACCTGCTTCCTCCCCCATTTCAATTCGCATTGAGTCGCGAACCTGCGCCGTCTCCAGAGGGAGGTTTCCTACGCCAGCGATACTTGGCCTGCAAAAGTGTCATCTACCGGCCGTACTTGACATGGGCTCTATCGTCGACGACCACCAACGCGGAACCAGTAACGCCAATGGTTTATGAAGGGTGTAAGACGTGCATGGAGGCGTGCTGTCTGCATGCACAGAACCTGCAAAGTTTTCCCCAGACGGTCATGGTAGATACGTGGATTTGTTCACTGTCGTAAGTTCTAGATTACTCTTGTCTTAGTTAAGGGCTGATGCTGATGTTTGCATAGAATGGCTTCCGTGATGCTCATAGCCTTAGCGACCTCGCGAGAAAGTGCATTGCGAAGGTGTCTCCTGCCAGATGCTGTAGATATCGGACCGAATCTAAGCAAGAACTTGACGCGGTGGATGCAGATTCCAGGGCAGGGAGTATCGCCCAGTGTGCTGCAGAGCGTCAGACTCATTGACGATGCCAGTGTATCTCTTCGAGCGATGTTGGATAGGTGGCTTGCCATACCATCAGACCTCGTATACTAATGAAACTAAGTTAATTAAAAAGGCGTCCCTCATTAATTCCGAGGACTGTTTCTCCGATGGCCACGTAAATGATCTTCCTCTACGTCACCCGCAGGCGGGGTAATAGTTGATACTTTTAAGACGCATTCGTGTACTATGAAATAAACAGTACCAACTACAACCCTCTAGTCAACATCGCATCGGTCAGAAGAACGATTACCCTATCATACCATGGCAAAATATGAACCATATCCGCGCCCGGACTTTGAGCGCAAATGCAACTGGTCCTCTCTTAATGGGCTGTGGGACTTTATATTCGACGACGCTAGCTGCGGGCTGCTCGAAAAATGGCACGAAGCTGGGCTCCCGATGCAGGCAGGCAACCATAGCAAGAGGGAGATAAAAGTCCCTTATGCATTCCAGACCCCAGCGTCGGGGATCAATTTGCAGGAAGCCCACGAAGTGATCTGGTATGAACGTGTGATTGACGATATCCGCTCAGATGAGGAGCGGGCGAAAGGGTACAATCTGCTGCTTCGTTTCGGAGCCGTCGACTTTGAATCTACGATCTGGTTAGATGGTCGTCTCGTTGAGACTCATGTCGGAGGCCAAGTTGGTTTCGACGTCGATGTTTCTTCTGCCTTCAATGAACTGGGGAAGAAGAGTGCTCGTTTGACTTTACGTGTCCGAGATTCGCCAACAGACCTCACGCAGCCGCGTGGAAAGCAGTACTGGGGTCCGATTCCTGAGAGCATATTCTATACGCCCACCAGTGGAATCTGGCAGTCTGTTTGGTTAGAGAGTGTTCCGATGATGCGCGTTGGCTACAGCGATCACGGCACTGTTGTTCGCGCCGTTGACGATGTCAAAGGAAAGGCTCAAGTTCAGGTTGTTGTAGTCGGGCGGCCTACCCAAGCCAAATGTCACGTTGAAGTCCAGACAAAACTGGGGAGACATTTTCTCCAACCCGTATCGGGAGACATCTTGCCGGGCAAGGACATGATAGAATTTGAACTAGACATGCGGCTGGGCAAGGCAGATATGGAGGATGGAGACAGGCCCTTTGCTGATGTTGAAGGTGCATGGAATAATTCGATTGGTCTGTGGGCCCCCGAGCATCCGATTCTTTACGATCTTATTATCCGTGTCTTCGACTACCAGCAGGATGTGGTAGATGAGGTTCATACGACGACGGGCGTGCGCAGTCTTTCATGGGAAACCGGGGACGGCACATTCCGAATCAACAGCAAGCCGTACTTCCAGGCTTTAGTACTGGATCAAGGCTACTGGCCGGATACGGGCATGACTCCTCCTTCTCAGGAGGCATTGAGAGCGGATATAGAGATGTCAAAGAGAATGGGATTCAATGGGTGTCGCAAGCACCAAAAGGTGGAAGATCCTGTCTTCCTGTACTGGGCTAATCGGCTAGGATATCTGGTCTGGGGCGAGATCGGCAATGCCTACGAATTCAAGGACGAATATATAAACAGGTTCGAAAGTGACTGGGTGCAGGTCGTCAAGAGGGATATCAACCACCCGTCTCTTATTACTTGGACGCCGGTTAACGAAAGCTGGGGATATAACTCGCTGAAGGACAACATTGACCAGCGTAATCATATCCGCCGTATATATCTAGTGACCAAGTATGGTTTTATTTTCATACTAAATATCGCGTTGAGGCTAACGGACGCAGGGCAATGGACTATACCCGCCCCATAAACGATAATTGCGGCTGGGAGCATGTCAAAACTGACCTGACCACATACCATGACTACAGCGACTCTGCCCAGCTGGCAGAAGCATGCTCAAGGATGCAAGGTGGAATCCTCGCCAGAAAGAGCCACGGCGACATGTTCGTCAAGCCTTTATATTCCGGCTCAACCGTGTTGGATCCTGGTGCGGCTCATAAATCCGGTGCTCCTGTTATCTGTAGCGAATTCGGTGGCGTCAACATTGCTCCGGCAAAGGACAGTCAAGCGTCCTCGCGAGACTGGGGATACACCACGGCTGCGGATCCCAAGGACTTGTTGGCTCGTCTCGAGAAATTGATCATGGCAGTGGTCAAAGGAGGGCATTCGTGTGGTTTCGTCTATACACAACTGTACCTCACCTTTATTACCCAATCCTATTCGCACACTAACCGAGTATAGGACGGATATCGAGCAAGAAGTCAACGGCCTTTACTCATATGATCGCCGGGAGAAGGTCCCAGCAGAGAAGGTAAAGGCCATTATGGATGCTGCAAAGGATTATTATTATAAGATGGTCCTGCCATTTCACGTAAAGCACTGAGCTGCTTTGATAACTAACTAGAACATCTCCGGCAAATGGACCAAGTCGCATATTTCCCAAGTGATTTCGAGTCTGGAGCGAAGGATTCCTCTACATCGGCGGAAAATAGGGTCAGATGCAGCACAGTCTGCCTCAGAATGTACACCTGATCGGTTCATACTACAAAATTCAACCCTATTTCTTACGGAATCTAAACTTCTCCCCTTGATCTAAGATCTATAGCCCAGGATTCTGAATAGCTCCAAACCGAACCACGGAACAGGAATCCCCCCATATGGTTTTCTCTTGGTCGTAATTACGATCTTGTCGTAGGGATAGCTAATTAATCGAATAGTACCTTACAAAACTCTGTGTTAAGTGTACTTCTCCAGTGTTCGACTCGATTCGTCATTCCTAGTTAGGAATCGTAGAATTCGACCTTCTTCGGGCCCGAATTCCCCGTCCACTGGCTTCAAGACAGACTAGACCTGCAGGCGAGAATCACTGCCCTCCTGTCCAGAGTAGTCTTACCTGCTGTCGTGGCATTCCTTCCTCTAGCAACATCCCGATACCCCCGTAAGACAGAGCTAGCACAGATACATTAGCGGACCATGATTCCACCAATCCCGGGATATTTAAGGCAGAGTACTGACCATGTTAAGCCATTGGAGAGCATAAGAACAGCCGGAATCTTTCATCCAAGACGCTCAAGCCACCACCCATATTCTTTCCCCCCTTAAAGCCTGGTCGAGAAAATAAAAGATGGTGGTAAAACAGACCGTGAATGACTGGGAGAACCCTCGAGTCTTCGAGCGCAACCGCCTCAAGCCCCGCGCTTACTTTCTGCCCGATACTTCGCTTTCACTTAATGGTAACTGGGACTTCAACTACGTATCCTCGCCGCTACTTGCTCCTTCGCCGGTGACCGGTGCTGCCTCCACGGAGGTTGGCTCCAAGGATAGTGCATCGTGGAAGCCCATTGCCGTGCCGGGACATTGGCAGCTCCAAGGATATGGCCATCCACATTATACTAATGTGATCTTTCCCTTCCCTTCCTGTCCTCCCCATGTGCCTAGTGAGAATCCTACCGGCACGTATCGCAAGAGATTCTACGTACCATCGGACTGGGATACATCTTCTCAGCTACGGCTGCGCTTTGACGGGGTAGACAGTGCCTATCATCTCTGGGTAAATGGCGTAGAGGTGGGGTATGCCCAGGGCAGTCGAAATCCGGCAGAGTTTGATATTACAGAGTTAGTGAAAAGAGGCGAAGCCAACGAGGTGTTTGTGCGTGTTTACCAATGGTCGGATGGATCCTATATTGAAGACCAAGATCAGTGGTGGGTTTCTGGTAACTGCATCTACTGGTCATCATCCCATACTCATTAATTAGTATGCTAATGCATATAGGTATCTTCCGCGATGTGACTCTCCTTGCCTTTTCATCCATTGCTCGCATTGAAGACTTCCGCATCAATACAGTGCTTGACAAACAGTATGTCGACGCAGAGCTAAAGGTCTCCCTTGATCTCACAGCTACCGTCTCAAGCACGGTAACTGTGTCCCTCTTCGATCGACACAATGACCAGAAAGTTATTGTATCTAAGACAGGCACCTTCCAAGACAAGCAAGGAAGAGTCGACTTTTCTCTACAAGTCCCCAGCCCTAAAAAGTGGACTGCGGAAACACCCAACCTCTACAACCTCGAGATCTCTCTCACTACCACCGAGGACCCAGCAAAGCGGTTACAAAAGGTCACCCACAGAGTTGGATTCCGACAAGTAGAGATCATCAATGGAAACATCACTGTCAACGGAACCCCGTTGCTTTTCCGCGGTGTCAACCGTCACGACCACCATCCTCTCTTCGGACGGGCCGTCCCCCTACCGTTCCTCCGCCAGGACCTCCTACTTATGAAGCAGCACAATGTCAACGCTCTCCGATGCTGCCATTACCCGTCTCACCCGAAGCTTTTTGAGTTCTGTGACGAGCTCGGGCTCTGGGTCATGGACGAAGCCGATCTCGAATGCCACGGGTTCTACGACGCTGTCGCGCGACCCCTCGATATCCCTGAATCAATGGACTACGAGGAACGCAAGAAGCTCACGTTTGATAAGGCGGCGCAGTTTACGTCCAACAACCCCGAGTGGAAAGGTGCGTATCTCGATCGTGCGATCCAGATGGTGCAGCGGGACAAGAACCATTCGTGCGTGATCATTTGGTCGCTCGGTAACGAGGCGTTTTACGGCCAGAACCATAAGGCAATGTATGATTACATCAAGGGCGAGGACCCGAGCAGACCCGTTCATTACGAGGGCGATGCGCAGGCCCTCTCGGCAGATATGTTCTCGTACATGTATCCGTCCGTAGAGCGGATCGTGCGTCTTGCAAACGAGGAGGGGGATCATTTCAAGAAGCCGATCGTGCTCTGTGAATATGCACATGCGATGGGCAACGCCCCCGGAGCCCTGGAGGAGTACATGGAAGCGTTCCGTGCGCACCGTCGACTCCAGGGCGGTTGGATCTGGGAATGGGCCAACCATGGCCTTTGGGACGAGGAGAAGGGGCATTACGGTTACGGCGGGGATTTCAACGATTTCCCAAATGATGGCAATTTCGTGCTAGATGGGCTATGTTTCAGTGATCATACACCTACCCCAGGATTGGTTGAGTTGCGCAAGGCCTATGCTCCGGTCCATGCTTGGGTGAACGAGGGTGCTATCAACATCGAGAACCGACATGATTTCGTCGGGTTGGAAGATCTGCAGGCAACCTACAAAGTCGAATCCTTGGGTGAAGAGTATGTCAGCCTGGCCTTTCTTCTTCAGACTCGACTGGTGTCTATTGACTAACGCTTAAACAGGTCAACCATCCTCAGTACGGGAACCCTCGAGCTCCCCGAAATCAAAGCCGGACAGACTGGACAGATTGCCCTCCCTGCGAACATACCAGTTTCCAAAACAGGGGAGACATGGCTGACAGTTATATTCAGTATGAAAACGGCCACCTCATTCTGTGACCGCAATTACGAAATCGCTTGGTGCCAGCACCGCCTCGACCAGGCAAGCGCAACAACCCTGACCAACACCACCAGCCCAGCCGCTCCCAAATTCCCCGTAACTCTCAGCTCATCGCAAACCCACCACACTATTTCCGGGCCCGACTTCAGCCTCTCCTTCTCCCGCACGACTGGAGCCCTAACAAGTTGGAAAGCAACAAACAACCAAGACCTCCTCTCCCCAGACGACAAAGGCACATCTCTCTCTCTGGGCTTCTGGCGCCCACCCACGGATAACGATATCCCGTGGGACTTGGGCGAATGGCGCCGATACGGGGTCGATACGCTGGAGTCGCAGCTTCGGCGGATGCAAGTCACGCAGATCGACAGCACGCGTGTCGAAATCGTCACGCAAACGTATATCTCTCCGCCGATTCTGGCGTGGGGGTTCCACGCCACCACCATTTACAAGATCACCGGCGATGGAGCGCTGAGTGTCTCGGCGCACTTGAGACCACAGGGGCCCATGCCGAATGATCTGCCGCGAATGGGATTTGACTTGCGGGTTGCGGATGAACTGGATCACGCGAAATGGTTTGGGCTGGGTCCTGGGGAGTCGTATGCTGATAAGAAGCGCGCGCAGAGACTCGGTGTTTACACTGGCACGACGGCAGAGTTACACACTCCGTACGAGGTTCCTCAGGAAGGTGGGAATCGGATGGAAACGAGATGGTTGAGATTAGGTGGTGGAAGGGGATGGGGTGTGAGGATTGAACGGGAGAGCGTGGAGAGTGATGAGCATGCGACGAAGCTGTTCCAGTGGGCGGTTACTCGGTACAGTGCAGAGGCTGTTGAGAAGACCAAGCATGCGAATGAGCTCGTAGCTGAGAAGATTGTCAAGGTGAGGCTGGATGTGGAGAGTTGTGGTGTGGGAACGGGGGCTTGTGGGCCACGCACTTTGAATAAGTACCGCGTGCCTTGTGAGGAAAGGGAGTTTGCATTTAGACTTGTGCCTTATTATGTCAAGGAGGGCTTTAAATAAGGGTTGTTGGATTCTTCGCTCTGGTTGGGATATCTAGAGGTGGGATATGGGCTAAATTGCCCGTGCATGATATACTTGGATTTCCGTGAAGTTCTTATGGATGTGGACGATATGTGCCGCAGGCTTCAAGTATTATTTCAGAGGATCATATGAATATCATTCACACGATATCTGTTTTGAACCGAGAAATCACTTCCTGGGGCATTCTACGCATCTTCTTCGCGGGGAACAACCGAGAGGGTCGGTACAGAATCGCCACAGGGTAGAGGGAACAGCATATCACGTCGCCACTGGATGAGCTCTCTATTGATTTCCTGCAGTGTATCCTCGCGTTCCTGGGACGTCATTTATCCGGCAATGGCAGATCAGCGAGCGTAGCCTCACTGTCCATCGCATGAGGTCCGGGGTATTTCTCCAAATAGTGAGGGGGCATACAGTATTGAGTGATTCAAGTCTTCCAACGATCTCGAATTCAAATATAGACCCGCGAGAAAGCGAGAGCGTCGGGTAACCCTTGCCGGTGATCAAGGTCTGGCTCATGGTCGAATACAGATTCGGCCTCGCCTGGAGAGAGCCGTTGCGTCCCAGAACTACACCGAATGCTCATCCCTACCGAGAGCTCTACAGAGTACTTCGTGCAGGTCAGAAGGCAGTAACTGGAGCACGCTGATTCCCTTTTCTGCTGACCGGAACATGTTGCTTGACTTTCACACTCTCACCGTGGGAGCCGCAAGAAGATAACCCAAGACCCAGCTCTTAGCCATGGCCGATGATAATCGTCTTTAGCACAGGTATAATTGGTGGAGTACTCTTCTTGTCAGGATCAAGCAGGGCAAAGCATCGCACTCGCTCTCTCATATACCGAGGAATAACTTGGAATATAGAGCTGATCTTGAGGTCTGCCACGGAGGCGACAGACAAATATGCAGCACCAGGCTTCCAATATCCGACTACCTTTCGGACCATAAGGTGGGGTTCAGAAGAAGGCGTCGGCAGCTGAGAATATGTCCAAGTACTATTAGAGCTAGTTGCGTCGGTCTATGTACCCTGGAGTCTAAGGGGGTTGCCATTACTTTTTGTCACCGATTTCCTGCTTCAAGGTATACTCCGCATCCGCTGTCCCGGCTTCCTGGAGTTTTGAAATAGTCACATGAAATCTTCCTTCCGCTTGTTTCCACATGTATCAGAAGACAAGGAATTGGCCTCTTAATATATCAGTTACCTGTTGTTTATCGTGTTTTGTTAGTGGTTTCCGTACTCACCGTCTGCTCGACCTAGTTGTGCGGCCGCAGGCGACATAGATAGATTAGGAAACTTGCATAGAATCGCCTGGGCCCAAGAGATTGCACAAGAATCGTTCGTAAATGCTAGTCAGCCACTTCGAGACTCTACCGCATGAGCTCAATTCTAAAGCGGAATCGAAGGGAGGGGGGTTGGCCCTGATTCGAGCGTCTTCTCCACCGATGTCTCAAGCATCTTAACTCCAGTCTGAAACAGCCCAAAAGCAGTAAGCTTTCCGACTAGTGGTAAATCAAATAAGCTCGTATGGAAGTCTATAGGCATCCGTAGGTGAGCAGAACTGCCGAGTTGTGGTCTGATTATGATCACATATAAAATCTCTCGGGTTACCTCTCTCTCTCCCGCCTCTTCATCCCCCCCCCCCGGCTCCCATCCCAGGATACAGCATCATGGCATTGGATACTACAAAGTTCTATAATGTCATTAATAATGAATTGATATCCACGACTGAGACTCGACAGGGCATCAACCCTGCCAACAGACAACCCAACCCGGCAGTCCCTGTGTCCACAGCAGAGGATCTCGATCGTGCCGTGAACGCTGGCAAAGCTGCCTTCAAGAAGTGGTCTCGCACTACCTTTGATGAGCGTCGCACTGCAATTAAAGCCTTTGCCGATAGTATTGAAGCTAACAAGGATGTCCTGGCCCGGCTGCTGACCCAGGAGCAGGGCAAGCCATTGAGCCAAGCTGCCCAGGAGTTGGGCCTTGCATTGCACTGGTCACGCACCCTGATCACCCTTGAGATCCCAGAGACAGTTCTCGAAAGCACTGAAGAACGTCAGATTATCCACCGGTACACTCCTCTCGGGGTGGTCGGCGCCATCGTGCCATGGAACTACCCCGTTTTTCTGGCTATCGGCAAGATTATTCCTGCTGTTTACACAGGAAACACCGTCATTATTAAACCATCTCCATTCACGCCATACTGCGATCTCAAGCTGGCTGAGCTGGCTATTGGTCATTTCCCTCCGGGCGTCATTCAAGCCCTCAGCGGTGGTGACGACCTGGGCCCGATGATGACAGAGCATCCTGGTATCAATAAGATCAGCTTTACAGGCTCGACGGTGACCGGCCGCAGGGTAATGGCTAGCTGTGCGAAGACCCTAAAGCGCGTCACACTTGAACTCGGTGGCAACGACGCCGCAATTATCTGTGATGATGTCAACATCGACGCGGTCATTCCCAAGGTAGGTACCTCGTAACTAGAAGCGTAACCGAAGCATAGCCATCACTAATCAAAACGGAATAGATTGGAATCCTCTCCTTCCTCTGTTCGAGCCAGATCTGCGTAATGATCAAACGGCTCTACATCCACGAAAGGATTTACGATCAGTTCCGCGAGAAGCTGGTGGAATTTGTCAAGGCCTTCCAGGTCGGTGACGGCACAGACCCCGATGTCTTCATCGGCCCCGTGCAAAACAGCATGCAGTACGAAAAGGCCAAGGACCTTTTCAGCACAATCAAGACAGACGGTCTCACTGCTGCGTTGGGGGGCACCATCACAGAGTCAGAGGGATACTTCATCCACCCCACCATCATCGACAACCCGCCGGAGTCGTCGCGGGTCGTGCAGGAGGAGCCATTTGCGCCCATTCTGCCGATCCTGAAGTGGTCCGACGAGGACGATGTCGTGGCTAGTGCGAACGCCAGCGACAGCGCTCTTGGTGCGTCGGTTTGGGGTTCGGATCTCGTGCGTGCGAGACGCATTGCGGATCAACTCGAGGCTGGCAATGTCTGGGTGAACTCGCATTTCGAGGTCTCGCCAACCGTGCCGTTTGGAGGACACAAGGACTCAGGGATTGGATTTGAATGGGGTGTGCAGGGGTTGACGCAGTACTGTAATTCACAGAGCTTGTGGGTGAATAAGACTCCTTGAAGGATATATATATCCTTATTCAACCTTGAATGAAGCAGATCAGAGGGATTCCAGATCGAGGAGAGATTGAATACTTTTTAAGAGATATTCAAGAAAGCAGAAGAATTCCCATACAGCTAATATGACCCGTTACATATGTACTGAACTCCGAACACATTCGGGAACTTTGCATACGTATGTACAAAGATCAGAGTATCTTAATTTATTCCACCGGCCAGCGAGGCTGGACCTTTTGCAGCAACCCGGCTCTCTCAACCACCTCGCGGCTTCTCTGCTGAGCTTCTCGTACAATCTCCTCCTCGTCCATGGTCAACAGCTTGCCTCCGGCAACCAGCACCTTGCCATCTACGACAACCACGTCCACGTCTCTTCCGGTCGCGGTATAGATCACCGCGCTGACGGGATTAAACCACGGCTGCGAATGAATCCCACGCATATCGATCGCTACAAAGTCGGCTTTCTTGCCAACCTCCAAGCTTCCAATGCGATCGTCGAGCCCGAGCGCCTTGGCCCCGTTGATGGTCGCCATCTCCAATACAGATTCCGCCGGGACCGCGGTTGGATCATAGGAAATGCTCTTGTGAATGATCGCCGCCAGTTTCATTTCCTGGAGCAGGTCGCAGGTGTTGTTGCATGGTGCTCCATCGGTTCCAAGTCCGATATTGACTCCGGCCTCTTGCAAATCGGGGACGCGGCAGATTCCCGACGCCAGTTTTGCATTGGAGGTAGGGCAGTGCGCGACGTGAGTACCGGATCCGGCCAACACGCGGATATCATTGTCGTCAAGGTGGACCATATGCACCAGCACCGTGGACGGCGACAGTAACCCCACGGAATCGCAATATGTCATCGGGGTGTGGCCGACAGAGGCGAAAAAGTCCCGATCCGCCTTGACTTCGGCGCAGTGCATCGTGATTGGAATACCCTTTTCACGGGAGATTCGTGTCATTTCTTGGTACAGTGCATCAGATACTCTAGTATTGTCAGCTTGTTTCCAACAGAACAAGATAAGCTGGGGCCGGGGGGGGGGGGGAGATACCCTCCAGGCGTACGAGCTCCAAACCACACTCGGATTCGATCATTCGCTTTTCCGTTCCACTTATCCCACATCTTCAGGGTTCCAAGTAAGGATGTCTCGCGGTCTTCTACGAGACCGGGATGCATTGCCCAGGCGTCATCTTTGGCATACTTTGCGATATCCATGACAATCTTTCCCAGACACCCACGGATACCACTCTCCTCAACCGCACGACAAAGACCATCAAACCCGTACCGGTCAGCAAACTACTCTAGTCAGCGATCTAAAGACCCGAAACAGAGAAGAAGAAGAAGAAGAAGAAAAGGGAACACACCATACTCTCTAAGAAACAGGTAGTCCCCGTTTTCAGCATTTCGCCAATACTCAACCGCGCACCCGCATACCCATCAGCGGCCGTGAAATTGCCCTGGAGCACCCAGATGCGCTCACAAAGCCACGAAACCAGCTCCAGATCATCGGCTGCACCTCGTAAGAGAGTCTGGGCAGTGTGCATGTGGGTGGAAATCAATCCAGGGATGACAATCCGGCCTGAAAGATCGTACTCCTCATCGTCGGGATATTTCCCTTTCAGCTCGGCTGTTTTGCCAATATCCGCGATGATATCGTCCCGAACACAGATTGCACCGTCATTGATGATGCGACGAGACGGGTCAACGGTGACGATCGTGGCATGTGTATAGAGCATTTTGGCCTTTGTATTGGGTGTTTTTTTTTTTTCTGCTTGGTATGTACTGAGTTCTGGATATATGCGAAAGTGAGAGCTCCGTGCTATGGTGAACTATGTATATTGTATGTGTTGGCGCTGAAGGTCTTCGGCGACCTCCGACCCGATACATATGTATGTTAAGATCAGTATCTTAACTCGGGATGCGCCGCGTCCACTCAATTCGACTGAGGATGCAGCAAAAGCTAGGTAGTCCATAGATCATACACAAATGGCGCTTAATTCAATCATATAGATACATGTAGTTCTATACCCAAATCTATAAGCAACCTCGTAAGTATTCTCCCAGAGCCATAATCGCCATTGCCTGCCCATAGGGCATCGCCGTCAGCGGGATCTGCTTATAAAAGTCTAATGTATCACCCATGGCAGTTCCAAAACTCGTATTTAGCAGCTCGCCTTTCTCATCCACAGCCTTCACGACAGCAGCGATCGCCTTATCCGCAACGGCCTTGTAGTCGGCCCGGATGTACCGCTTGCGAACCGCCTTCAGGATCCCATACGCGAATCCAGCCGTGGCAGAGGACTCGACGTAGGAATCTTCATGGTCGAGCAGGGTCCGCCAGTAACCTGCGTCGGTTTGGAAACGCTGAAGAGCTTCACATTGTGCTTCGAGGGTATCGATGAGATGAATGCGGAGAGGATCCTCGGGCTCGAGATCCAGGAGCTCAATAATCTCGGGAATCGCAATGGTCACCCAGCTGTTTCCTCGAGCCCAGCGCGCGTTTGCAAAATTGTGGCCGCCGTCTTCGAAGGTCCAGCCATGGAACCAGAGTCCCGTCTTGGTGTCGAAGAGGTACTTGATATGCACGAGGAATTGGCGCTTCGCCTCGGCAATGTATGCGGGGCGGTTCAGGAGCTTTCCGATCTTGGCCAGCGGCATCACGGTCATCATGAGCGTGTCGTCCCAGAGCTGCTGGTGGTTCTCTGTGAGGTAAGTGGCGTGTTGCATGCCTCCATAGCGGGTGCGGGGTAAATCATGCATCGCCCATTCGGCCCAGGCGTCGAGCCAGGGGAGATACGTGACGTTGCCGGTTTTCTCGTAGACGTAGGCTAGCGTCAGGAAGACAGCCATGGTGTTGATGTTCTTGGTGGTGCCGCCTTCAGCGAAGCGCGCGGCGAACCAGTCCTCAATGATACCCAGGAGCTTCGCGTCGCCGGTCATCTCGTAGTATTTCCAGATCCCGTAGAGGCCAATTCCGTGGGTCCATTCCCACCCAGCCCATGATTTTGTATCGATAATGCGTCCATCCTGGAGGTGGAGGAGAAACTGGCCGGTGGTGTCTTTGATGTTGACCAGGTTGTTGATGAGGAGGTCAATGGTTTGACGGGCCTGTGGAGGGGGGAGAGAAGCCATAGCGGAACAAGCAAGAAAGAAAGAAAAAACAAAGATGTCTATAGGAGTGGCCTGGTTTTCAGAAAGCAACAGACCGCAGCCAGACCTTAATGAACTGTTTTCTCTTCTGAGGCGGAGATGAAGCCTAAAACATGACCCGCCGCCATACGTGGAAGAACTCGGCACATTTCTCCATTCACGACGGAGACCTTTTCGGGCCATCATTTGCCGAGTTGAAGGCTAACGATGGGCCCAAGGATGCATGGACTCTTGGTGATTGGACGTTCTGCAGTGCCCTGCCACGGAATGCTCGAGTGCTTGTCTATATTCGACCAAGGTCTCGGCGATCTCGGGCCAATATTCCCACTTCTGCCCCCCTCGGGTACAGGTCCGGGGGAGGGAAACATGGGGAAAACTACGGGGGAAAGCTGGGGAAAGGACAGGCAGTTGTTGGCCTTTTGGCTATCGACATGGTTAGAGAGTTGATGTGAATAATGCGCTGCTTGAGGCGGTTGATAAAAGGTTGAACCTCCCCCCGGCTTCGACTCTCTTTCTCTCTCTCCCTGCGGTCCGCTGTGGGACTTTTTCTATATCTTTCCCCTCAATCTCCACTTGAGTCCACGGTAGAGAGGGGTTCTACTGTCGTTCTGTTCTCTTCGCCCCTGTGTTCTACCCTAGCACAATGTCGTCCAACAATAACCCTAACTCCGCCCCCGAGGTGTCCAAGGAGGTCAAGGACTCGGCCCATGTGGAAAGAGTCGTCTCGGAGGCTGAGGGCATGGGCAAGGACGCTGTTGACGTCTCGCGTGTCGACAAGGAAGTCCAGCAATATACCACCCAGGAACAGATCGAGATCGATGAAGCGACTAATAAACGCCTGCGAAGGATGATTGACAAGCGTGTGCTGGTGGTTATGGTCTGCACGTACTTCCTGCAAGCATTAGACAAAGGGACAATGTCATTCTCCTCGATCATGGGTATCAAGGAGTATGCTGGGTTAACCAACGGTCAAAAGGTTAGTTCCAGCACCATCCCTTACATTGGAGACCCTGTCGTGGTTATCATCATGTCTGTCTGACTCGAGCAGTACTCCTGGTTGACTACCTGTATTTACATCGCTGTTCTGGTCGTCGAATACCCGACCAACTGGATCATCCAGCGCGTGCCCATTGCCAAATATCTCGGGATCAATATTTGTCTCTGGGGCTCTACCCTTGCACTTCATGCCGCTTGCCACAACTTCCCCAGCTTGGTCGCGGTGCGCACCTTGCTCGGGATCTTCGAGGCTGTCTGCCAGCCCTCGTTTGTCCTGCTTTCTAGCATATGGTACAAGCGACACGAACAGGCCGAAACCGTGACTTACTGGTACGTTTCATTTTTTTTTTTTTTTTTTTTTTACCCTCAAGTCCTCAAGCCACAGCCCTAATCGTCATCGGCATCGAATAGGTACATGATGAACGGCGCCCAGCAGATCGTCGGCGGTCTTCTCGCCTACTGTTTCAGTCTGATCGGCAACAATCACAGCATCAAGTCCTTCCAGGCCCTCTTCATGACCTACGGCTGTGCCTCGGTGCTCTGGGGCGCGTTCGTGATCTGGTGGATGCCCGATTCCCCGATGCGTGCCAATTGCTTCAGCGAGGAAGACAAGCGCCTCATGGTCGAGCGTGTCCGGTCCAACCAAACCGGTCTGCAGAACCGGCAGTTCCGCTCGTACCAGCTCTGGGAGGCGGCCCGCGATCCACAGGTCTACTGCTACATGGCTATCCAACTCTTCACCACGCTACCCACCAGTGGTCTCGGCGCATTCGCCAACATTATCATCGCGGGCTTCAAATTCTCGGTCCTGCAAACCCAGCTGCTGGCCATGGTTCTGGGCTTCTATATTATCATTGTGCTCCTGACGTCTGCTTTTCTAGTGAGGAAAACCGGCCAGAACCTACTGATCATGCTAGGCTTCATTATTCCGTATGTTTCTTCCATGTTGGGGTTTAACGAAATACTGACGATTTTACAGCTCATACATCGGTACCATCGTTCTTATGACAGTAGAGAACAAGAACATGTCCACCAAAGTCGGTCTCCTGATCAGTTACTACATCACATTGTCCTTCTGGTCCGCGCAGAACCTAGGTCTCTCCATGGTTTCCCGCAACATCGGCGGCGCGACGAAGAAATCCGCCGTGATCGCGGCGACATTCGTCTCCTGGGCTGTTGGTAACGCCATCGGTACGTGATACACCACACGGACAGTTGCCCTTGAGAGTCCAAGCTAATGCAAGTGACTGAGTGAATGATAGGCCCCCAAGTCTTCCTGGACCGCGACGCACCCCGTTACTTCATTGCCTTTGGTGTGCACCTCGGCTGCTACACGTGCATGACCATCGCGGTTATTTTCCTGCGATTCTACCTCGTTCACCAGAACAAGAAGAAGGAGCGGTTACTGCGCGAGGCTGGTCTTGATCCTAATGATCAAAACCTGGCTCATGCGTTCGAGGACCGCACTGACCGGGAGAACCTTTACTTCCGCTATATCTATTAAACCATGCTCATGATAATGATGGGGGATGATTCGAGTACTAACAATGCAATGAAACAGATTCTTTTGAAAGGGATTCCGTAAATGAAAGCAAAAAGGATTCATTCCATATGTAAACCATTTCAACCAAGGCAATCTTTAAACGGCGTAAATTGATGTACTCGGACTGTCCTGTATATATATATATACGGGTGTGGTTAAATCATGCTCTATCAAGCCCATACTCGGCAATCAAAATATCCGCGCACGACGCTCCAGTCACATAAGCTGTCGCCTGAGTATGGTTATTTGTCATAACTGGAACGACGCTCATATCTGCAACACGCAGGTTTTCAACACCACAGACCCGGAACTTGCTGTCAACCGCGGCGTCAGCTTGGCCTGGCTTGCCCATCTTCACTGTACCGGTCATATGCCACGCGGATCCCACCAAATTCTTACAGAACTCGAGAATATCCTCGTCGGATTCCGAAGCGGGGCCGAGAATCATCGACACCGTATCTTTCTTGAATGCTTCGTGATTTGTTACACGCAGTAACTCTCGGGCCGCCTCAATGCACACTCGGCGATCATACGGATGAGCGAGGAAATTGGCGTTAAACAGAAGAGGCTCGTTCGGGTCAGAGGACTGCAGACGCACTTCCCCTTTAGATTGCTGGTTCATCAAAAAAAAAGCGAAACAGACATAGCTGTAGTCCTGCGTTAATTCGGGCACGAGCATGTGGATGGGAAAGTGCGATGCCAGTTCATAATGAGGCACAGTCGGGCGGTTGAGAAACTCCTGCGTCGATGCGGGGAGGGCCTTGAACTCCGCCGACTGTGTAATTCGATCGCTCTTGAACCATCCCATTAGAATCTGACTGGCGTAGCGTGCCCAAGGGCCCGTGCCGTCAATCATCCACTGTTCCATGGCTGCGTCCATGGCCTCCTGCTTGCCGAAGAAGCTGTTGCGGTCGTTTGTTTCGGGATTTCGGAGGAAGCAGAGGGGGACAAATGGGTGGTCGCGCATGCCGTGGCCGATTGCGCGTATGTCCTTGACTACGGGGATATTGAATTTCTCGAGTTGATCTGCTGGTCCGATGCCTGAGTGCATTAGGATCTTAGGCGAGTCCAGTGAACCCGCAGAGATAATGACGTCCTTTGACGCGAGATCTGTAAACGTTTCCAGTTAGTACTATCACAAGCACTTGCGAGTATGTAGGGGGCCATGTAGAACATACACTGCAATCCATTTGATTCCACACCAACCGCTATTTTCCCATCCAGAATCACTCGTTGCACTGGCGATGCAGGAATAATGGTAAGATTCTCGGGTGCATCCCGCAACAGATCAGCGGCAGTCGTTCTAACACCCGAATAGGCTGAATTAATACCCACTGCCATTCCAATCGGGTTGCCCGAGTTGTGGTCCAAGTTCAATGGCAGTCCAGCCTCGTTCAGAGCCTCCAAAACCAAGGGGAGGTCCGGTTCCCATTCTCCCGCATACCCCAGCCGTAGCGCACCATCCTTACCGTGGTCGGATTCCTTAGGATCCGCGAGATGAGCATATCTGGGATCAGGAACACCTCGATGGAAGGTCTCCAGACTCTTAAACCGCTCCTGGATCTTTTCCCACCGAAACGCATCATCTTCAACCAACGCCGCCCATTCGTCATAGTCGTCTTGCGCGCCTACCGTATACACGCCAAAATTAATCGCACTACTCCCTCCGAGCACCTTGCCTCGTGAGAAGTCGATTTCTCGGTCGTTGCAGTGCTCCTGGGGGATAGTCTTGTACCCCCAGTTTGTGTCGCTTTGCCGGAAGCTCATCCATCGTTTTCCGTCCACACGCAAGGCCTTCTCGTCCCTCCGATTACCGGCTTCGAGTAGTAGCACTTGAGGCCGTGCAGCAGATCGTGCAAGTCTCGAAGCTATAGCACAACCCGCGGGACCGCCTACATTCCCGTCAATATGTCTTCCTGCTTAGTAGTGGTGTGGAGGAAGGCCAGGGCACTGACTCCCGACGACTATAAAGTCCCACGAAATAGAGGAACTCATTGCAGAAAAAGGCAGAAAGTAACTCCCAATAGTTACGCGGGGAAGATTGAAAATGAGAAAGGCCGATGAAGTCGAGCGCGTCAGACTGCGTGTCGAAGAAAGGGAGCACCAGGAAATGCACTGCCATTGCGGTGGCCACTTGACATACATATATGTCTTTCAACTCCGGTCGCCTTAGACGTCCCGATTTTCTTTATGCCCTCCGAATCCAGAAAAGCGCATCATTCGAACGCATCTAGATCTGGTACATCCAGCTAGAATATCCAATAACCACTGGGTATATACATTACTGCAGATGCAGCGGTTTAGGCAATGCTGACTGAGCCCGCCCACTGTGTCACGCAACTGGTTGTTTGCAGTAACCACGCCTCTCTGTTGCAGATGCATGTCTGGCCATTTAAAAAACAAGAAATGAAGAGAAAAGAAAGCTCGGGGAAACCAATCTTTCGATTCATGTTGTCATAACTGTATCCAGCTTGGAACCCCGAATTCCGCAACCGGATATGTCAGTAAGAAACCTGATATCTGGTAGTTAATCAGAGTCACGACTAAAATAGAAATGATCTTAGCTATTCGAGATAGAATCTTTTAAGCCAGGCCGCTAGGGCCACCGCTAGCGGATGTCAGATAATCAAATATTAATACGACTTGCCTCCAGGGTTATAACTAATTCAATCCGCTGCTGACAAGTCATCATTCTGTCGCCACTAGTGAAAGAGCGGTTGTTCATCCAAGTCGGAGGTATCTTTCGGGTATCTTTCGGGTCTCTAGCGCTAGGGAATTGGGTGTCTTTCCTGTCGACTAGTCATTCGTTCGCAGCAGAACCAGAGCTTAAATTGAGCTCGACTAGGATGAACGGTTCCAGAGCATTAGTGCTCTTGGAGAAGCTCGATCTTGCCCACTATTTGCCATCCTACCTCTTGAGAGGCGGCTATTCCTCTAACACCGGCCTCTTTGCGACACAAGTATCACACACGATAGGCCACTGCTCTGTCTAACGAGTTTCCATCTGATACCTGGTTGCTGACGTGACATACTCCGTATGTACAGGGAGGGTAGGCGTAAGGATCAGGTTAGTGAAGGATGAAAAAGAGAGCGCATTCAGCGAAGATGGCATTGTAAGTGGATTCAGCTCTTCACTCCTGGTGGAGAGACGAAAGACACCGGTCGCAATTTCTACAGCGAGTCACGGACATCTATCCGCATGTCAGGAGGCCATGAACATGGAGTAGGTATCTTAAGCAAAAGAATATCATCGCGTGGCCTCTAGGAACAATACCCCGCTCCACCAGGCTCTATTCTGTGGCTTAACCAATTGATTGCTTTGCAAACATTTTCTTTCCGCTTCTCGCATATGCCTTCCCAGACAGTCGATTCCGTCACAACGAGGATGACGTACCGCGCGCGTCCATCTTACTCTACACGCGGCACAAAACTCTACAACGGCAATCGGAAGAATGTTGACACGCTCGGGGAGAGGAAATGGAAGAGTTCGTCATCCACATGGCCCGGGCAAGTACTCCGTATCTCGCGGAGGAAATGAAGATCTTATGGCACCGAAGGTCGCGGATCCATCACTCCTTTTTTTCAAGGCCACGAAGAGATGAGAACTATTCCATCACGCAAGGGACACTCCTGAGTTGGTTTTGTCGCATCATACATGGCTAAGGTAGCCGTGAATGGGCATTGGTGGTGTCAAGGTGAAGGAGGTCATCCTAGAGAAATAGTGGTTAGAATAGACTAGTATCCGACGTGAGGCAGTGTACTGTATACCTGGCTAGGTAACTGTTAAAAAAGTCTGGGGAAGCTCCCATCAAGTCGCCTTCCTCGAGTGATCCTCGTAGAATAACTAGTAGGTATAGTCAAATTGCTTATTACCCCATGGGCTTACAGCTCGGCGTGGGTAGAAAAAAACTCCGCGTGGGTAGAACCCCGGAATGGATTAACTCTCGGCGTGGGTAGAGATTCTACCCATGATGAGGTTGGCCCATACTAGCTCTACCCACGATGAGCTATTTATCTAACTATAATAGGGTCTCGCTTAGAATTAGTACTACCACACCAAAATTTACTACTACTACTCCGTACCATTAATATAAAGGCTAATTCTAGCTAAAAAAAAGCCTTTTTCTAGCTAAAAAAAGAATAATAAATAATAGTAGTATTAAAATTACTATTTCTACTAAGTATATGCCTATTACTAGTATATTAGAAGTAGTAAATATTTTATTCGTGTTAGGTGTATACCCTAATGATAAGAGATAAGCTCATCATGGGTAGAGAATTGATTTTCTACCTATGGTGAGGTTAGACCGCGCTAGCTCTACCCATGCCGAGGTCCAGAGTTCATCGTGGGTAGAACTAGCGCCACGCTAGTTCTACCCACGCGGAGTTTTTTTCTACCCACGCCGAGCTGTATCCCCTTACCCCATCTGGACGGAGACCAGACAACCGGATGACTCAGCCGGCGTTGCGGCTCCGGATAATAAAGTTTCCGAATCGCCGTCTGCTTGTCCCGAAATGGAATAGCGTTATTTCCCCAAACTTTAACTTTTTTCCCCGGCTGATTATGTCAGCGTCTAGAGTTGTCGATCCACGAATCAAACCATCGACGTTCCTTTCGTTCATGGAGCGACAGACTCATCTGTCCAACGGCTCAATTTTGCTGGACTTTACCACAGCCTGTCGTCAAATGGTCCGTCCATTCTCTGGCCTTTCAGTATCTTCGTCTTCCCCCCTTCTCCCCTCTCCCTTTATGGGAGGCTAAAGTTCACGGCCTCCCCCTTTCCCCGCCACCTTAAAAAGGGTTCTCTGGCTCTGTGCAGTCTGCTGCCGTTCCGCCGAGTGTTTCGCCACCGCCGTGAACCGTGAGAACCTGGGGACTGAGGTCAGCCTCATAAGAAACGTGGCCGCTCCCAGTATTCTTGCCATCCAGGGGGGGTTTGGTTCAGCAGTCTTGTTCTGGACCGCAGGAAGGAGCAGGCAGGGTACGAGGAGACAAGAAAGCGCGCGTGTTTCTTCACAATCTTTCCTCATCTTCGTCTACCTGTAATCCAGAATACAGTACAGCTCCAGCCTATCCTCCCCGGCTGCAGCGCGTGAACGAACATGGCGTTTCCTCACAACTGCTTCATGATCCTACAAAACACACAATTCCGCCGACTGTTTGTATTTGCGCCTCGAATCCCGTTACCCATACCGACCCGAGCCCTCCACCGGCATGGGTGAGCTCACGCACCCCCCCGATGGACTAATTGGCGGATATCAGGGCAATAGCGTTGCGGTAAAGATTTTAATGGTGGTATTCAGCTCTCTGGCTTTGTACAATGCTGTGGAGCTGGTTATCCTCATCCTTTTCACCTTCAATCGCTATCATGGACTATACTTCTGGACCATGCTATTGTCGTCCGTCCTGGGGGTTATCCCGCACGCGATCGGATACATCATGGAATTCTTCGCCTTGGGCCCCATCTGGCTGGCGGTCTCTATCTCAACCGTGGGGTTCTACTTTATGGTCCCTGGTCAATCCGTCGTCCTCTACTCCCGACTACACTTGGTGGTGCAAAATCGCAAACTCCTCCGCGCTGTGTTATACATCATCATTATCGATACTGTTATCCTCCTCGTGCCTACCACCATCCTTACCTATTCTACCGTCTATATTCGAACCACCACAATTATTATCGGCTACAATGTCATGGAGCGTTTGCAGGTGGTCTGGTTCTGCGCCCAGGAAATCATGATCTCGTCAATCTATATCTGGGAAACAGCTAAGCTTCTGAGGCTCATGCCGGAGAAGGATACGCACCGCACTAGGGTCCTCTACGAACTCCTGACGATCAATATGGTCATCATTATATTGGACGTTGCGCTGCTCGTATTAGAATTTCTCGGCCTCTGGTACCTCCAAACGACATTAAAAGCTCTTGTCTACAGCATTAAACTGAAACTCGAGTGCGCAGTTTTGAGAAAGCTCGTTTCCGTAGTCAACAACCACCCGCGAGATACCAGCTCCTCTGAGCAGGAGCAGTTCCCCAACTTCGTGAATCCTGAACAGATCGTCGGCGATGTGACCCACGCACCTGCCATGACTCGCCAAACTCTAGCCCGATACCCATGGAGCGGCGCACTATCCATGGATAGCCTCACTCTATCGGAACAACGGTCACGTTCCCAAAGCTCAGCTTCCTCCCAACCACCTTGACTTGATTTTCTTTCTATATAGATACACCTTTCAAAACGCAATAGCACCTCGGAGGTGCTAAAACACTTGCCACTTTTGCGCAGACCGGCACACGTGTGTGGTGAGCATGTAACATGCATCCAGAAATGCCTCGCATGGCGAAACATGGGCCGACTCCGCCCCGATGCCACAGCTAGAACAGGATAATAATACGCTCTGCCAGTGTATGCAAGCATTATTCGGATGTCAAAACACCCGATCGACTTGCCCAGCAAGTCTCCCAGCCAAGGACGCAATCGTTCCAAGTCAAACGAAGCGCGCCTACAACATCCCTATTCCCGTGCGAGAGGGTAGGTGATTTGTGACATCTTGAAAATTTAATTTCCCTGATAGTTTTCTACTCATGTTGTATATATATATATATATATTCCTGAAAATACATGTGTGTATGTACATAACTAGATGAGCCAATGACGGGGCTAGTACTCCATATCCTATGCAAGGGGATCGGTTCTATATAATTACTATTAGCGTCGACTCGACGCCAAGGGAGAGATGATAAAAATTGCAAAGCTTTTCTACTCACAGAACACTTCCAGTCAATCTAATAAAGGCATCCAGATCCAGTCACAGCAAGCGACGCCCTCAGCCATGCCGCATAGGCCGCAAAATGCGCAAGTTCTCTAATCCCCACTTTCTCACAGAATTCCAGAAGCGCCTGGTATCGCGCCTCGACGGTCATCCCAGTGACGAAGAGCAGTTTCGCCAAATCAACCGGACATAGACACGGCGGCTGCCGAGCATCCTCGGAAAGAGAGGCGCTTCCCTGCATAAGACATGCACATGCATAGTACACGCAATAGTCTATTCCGAAGCAGTGGCCAAGTTCATGGCTTACGGTGCGGCATATTCTCGCTAGCCAGAGCTTTGACAGAAGTGCTGGAGACGCATTAAGATGCATAGGCGTATCTGTCTCGTGCGAACTCGAGAAAGCAGCAAGCGCCGCTTCAAGCGGGGCGGACTTGTGGTGGTGGTGGTGGTGGTGGTGGTGGTTGGATTCCGAAGAAGAAGAAGAAGAAGAAGAAGACGACGAAAACGAAGACACTTTCCGCCTTTTCCGGGTGCTTCCTGCTTTCGTACAGCTGGCTTCGAGGTATGATTTGCAGTGCGATGCAGGCCAGGCATGCTCTCGCTCGACGGACTGCGCGGCGTCGAGAACGGGGTTATACCGGGCGCTCGAGACGACTGCGACGCGACTCCCACCGTATGCGCGGCCGCATACGAACGTGTCCTCTTCGTCTTCGTAGAGGTCATCGTCAACCATCATGCATAGAGCATACGCGTCACTCGGGAGAATGCTTATTGCGGCATCGAGGAGATCGTCCAGGTTCAGCTGGTAGGGGTACATTTTGTCCGGGCAGGGGCGGGCCACGGATACATACGAATACATTCCCGTTCCGCGTGGAGGCCGATAGAGCGGACTCGTCCCTTGGACTTTGCGTTCTCTGTCCACGGACTGAATTCCCAGTTGGAGGGCTCGAGTCGTTTCACAGGAAGCCCGTGATAAAAGGCCGATAGATAGTCCAGAACATCCTCGGGTTCTGGCGCCGATATGGGAAACTGGGACTGAGATTGACACTGAGACCGAGACGGAGGTGTCTTGGGGTTCACCCATGATTGTACAAGAGTATAGTCTTTATTAGGTGTCTTGGAGGGGGCACCAGGTATACTGTCTTCCTTCTCAGTTGTATGGGGTTACGGTCCTTATCGTCGTGCCATTCCTGGAAACACTGTGGAGGATAGCCGGGATCTAAAGCCAGATCGTCATCTGGAAGGATCAGTGCGGCTGGAAAGTTATTTAGATCGTATCTATACGGTGGTTCTTTGAGTTTCGATGGTGAAATGGGCTTCGTGGCATTGCGGCGTTCTTTTGCTGACGGTTGTTTATATCCAGGTTGGCCCGCATGAGTGGAGGGGATGTAACTGGGAGTTGTGAGCACATCTTTTTTGAGCCTGAGCCATGACCAACTACTCCAGAAAAACAAGATCTTTTCAGGAGAGCCCTTCTATTCGACGAGCTTGCGGCTGATGAGATTTCAATGTTGTTTTTGAAGCTCAACTGTGGAGATGTTGCCATGTAAGCTGCCAGATCACTAAGGCATTAATTAATATTGTCGCCTGCTGAAAAAACGTCCATTTTGAAGTATGAACAAGAAGAGGTCAAAGATTTACAAAAGGATATTCACTAGTAATGTAATTCAATAGATTAAGGCTATCAGGGAGTGTGTATTAACTGTCAACACTGAATCATGCCCATGTCTACTCCATACTCCATACATATATTTTAAATCTTCGCCTATAACAAGCAACACACAGCACAAGTTTAGAACTTCACAAACTACCCCATGAAACCCACTACTGAGAAACTAAGGAGTACTATTCTGCGTATGTCGGAGGAAGGTATCGATAGATAGACCTGACTGGAAGGATGGTTTATGACCAGTCATCTATATTGTTCAAATAGTCTATCGATTCTCGGGGCTTCATCGAGACTATATCTGATACACTTACCTTGCTTTCTTATTCCAAGTCATCAAAAGACCTGAATCACAAACGGCTCCGGAACGGGGTCTGAAAGCGCAAATCTGATACCCTCCACCATCACTTCGTCCCACTTCTTAGAAGCAGACAGCCGATCCCCGTATCGACGGAATCCATGAGGAACGCCTTTGAAGACATTCGTGCGAGTGGGCACTCTATTTTTTTTTCATCAGCATTTTGTCCTCATACCAAGGAAGCAAACTTTACCCAGTTTCACTAAGCAGCTGCGCATAAAACAACGCCCCGTCTCGCAGTGGATCCAACCCGGCAATCCCAAACGTAACCGGAGGCAATCCGCGGACCTGTTCAGCAGTCGCATTTCCCGGGTTTAATCTTAGGTCTCCAGCGAGACTTTTTACGCTCTCAATTCCTAGCAGTCTCATAAACAGCTTCATCCGCTCCAACGGGAGAAAAGGCGCGTTGCAATTCTCCACCCAGCTAGAAACTTGAGGGTCCCGCAACCGCTTGAGCTGCGACTCATAGCAGTCATAATGCACGAGAGGAGGAATCATGAGGACCTGCCCCTTGATCCTGGGCCGAGCCGCCAGCTCCTTGTCTTGTCCCAGATGCTGTGCAAGAGCAGTGGAGGCAGTCAGCCAAGCCCCGGCGGAGATACCACCCATAACGAGATTCGCTCCGTCACCGCCAATTGCTTCAATATGGTCATGGATCCAGTGGAAGGCGTCTTCCACGTCCTCCCACGCTGTTGGGTACTTGTATTCTGGAGTGTGGCGGTAGTTGACGTTCACCACGACAACCGGAAGGCCAGTCTCCGCTAGAGAGACGACGATCCGCGCGCAGCTAGCATCCTCCGATGACAGTGTGCCGAAGAGGAAACCACCGCCATGCAGATGAATGTATACAGGGAGACGCTGTGTTGGGCCTACACCTGCGGGGCGGTAACTGCGTGCTTCGATGGTGAAGCCATCACGAGCCGGGATGCCGAAGTCGCGCAGTGTAACCTTGGGGTGCAGGCCTTGGGGCAGAGCGTTAGCCATTTGATTCCTTCCCTCCAGGGGAAAAAAAAAATTACCCTGCTCGACCATCTCCTGCGCGGCAAAGTCCTCACGGCCCTTGTTCTGTGCATCCTTCAACTGCTCGATCGTAAGATCCTGCGGTAAAGGGGGGAGAGACCGCTCGACAGCGATCCACTCCTCACTAGGACCGGTATATTCAGAAAAGTCCGCCATTCTGAGACTGGATTGCAAAACTAATAGTGAGTGATATCTGTTCCGGCTTGCAATAAGGGTAACCGGCTGTTCGTAGTACGACGCGGCACGTTGTCTATTTAAGATCTGGGACTCTCGGCTTCGGCTTTCCAGGCTCCAAGCATGCAAAAGAAGAACAGTTGTGAACCACTATGCCCCTTTTGGAGGTCATGCATATTATTAAAAGAGGCGGTGGAAGCAGACCGGCTGCGGTGAAAAGGGAGGGGGTGTATGGACATAGATCGGCATATGCATATCATACATATCGTCTAGAGAAGGATACAGAAGAGAGGAATAGCCGAACTACGGGGGAGAGAAAGAGAGACTTACAGTCCCTGTATACTGTATGTATATAGATTCAACCACTACCTCCCGCTAAACCCCGCAATTCTAATAAATCAAAAGAAGCACGAGCCTTTCCCGAGCCCTAAATTTAATCAACAATACCGGGAAAGACGAGCCGAAAATGAGCGCTCGTTATCCGGTCAATCCGCCGACATCACGGAGGCTGGCTGCCTCGGCGATGGTAATATCAAAGTCAAATCTAATACACAGCTTTCCAGTTATTCTCCAGCTCCTTAGAAATGCCCATTTCAGCTTCTTCCCGCAGCCCTGGGCCTTCTGCTGGTCCACCCCATCGCACACTATAAAGTCGTGCGCAATGATGACAAAAATATGCTCATCACAGCCCAAGGCCCACAGCGTCTTAACCGTCTCTTTAGTTAAAGGAATATCATGCCGAAAAGTGGTAGATATCGTCCCAGTGCCAATGACCAGAGTCTCCAGAACAGTAGCTAATATCTTCAGAATCCCCAACTCCACTACGCTACCAAAGAAACCAACAAGTGATAGTGCAAAGTAGTATCCTGCTTCATTCATCACATTAATACATCTATACCTAGGTATTCTTCAGCTATACTCGGGTGCTGGGAGTGGAAGCTGCAAGATCGTGTATAGATATACACTGGAGGCGGTGAGGAACCCAGGCATCCAATTACCGCATTTGTGCCGCCTTCATCGTCGCTCCAACTCCAGGTCGCCATCTTTTTCTTTCTATCTTCCTTCCTTCTCGCTCTCGCTCATTCTTCTTCTTCTTCTTCTTCTTATTCTTATCTTATATATTCAAGTCGGGATTGTTGATGATCCCTTTTCCTGAGCTCCATCGAAAATGTCCTTGATCTAGCTTCGTCCACTCTCTCTACCACCTAACTGTCCATTTCCTTCTCTTTCAACCTTACCTCGCATCTCCACGTCATGGTGTCTCTCTGGCCTTTCAAGGTATGCTGTCGCTCCTTCAGCGCAATAGCCTGCACCGAGACTGATTTTATCTTCCTCGAATATAGGGTGAAGATAACTCCCCCGCGTCTTTTGAGAAAGCGCTCTCAACCATCTCCACCAAAATCACCCAGACCACCTCCCGTCTCGATCTTCACCGCCAGCATGCTCGCCGCTTTAAAGCTCTCTGGACCCTCTACACCACTTTCATTTACCTTCTATATTCGATCATTTTAGCTCTGGTATTAGGATGGCAGAACTGGGGTGTGAAAGAATACGCCGCGATCGCTGGAGGTCCAGTAATGTTAGTCCTCTCTTGCGGAGCCCCGTTGCATCCGCGGCTGACCAACTTAGAATCTACGTCGTTCGTGCCGGTGCAGTCAAATACTACGACTACCGTATTAATAACACCCAACGATACCTAGACCATCTCCAGAAACAGCGAGACGAAACGATCGAGAAGCTCAAAGTCGCTACGAGATACAACTCCACCCAACAGCTACTAGAGAAATACGCCGGAGACTCGCCCAAACAGTCGCGCGCAAAGGGCGGCGACGACAAGCGGAAGCCTGAAGGCAAACGCAAGCCATCTTCCGCCCAGCCTCCAGTCCAACGCACAGGTCTTCCCCCCCCTCCGACCGCGAACATCCGCAGACCTACCCAACAGCCACCTGCGGAAGCGCCCAGCCCGCAGCAACAGCCACCACCCCCCTATCCTCCCCAGCAGCAATTCCCAAATCCTCCTACTCCTCCATTTCCACCTCACGCCGTAGATGAGCCTGGTTTTGCGCCCAACGCCTTCCCCGCCGCTCCTCAGTATATCGAACAGCCCCGATGGTATGACCGTTTCCTTGATGTACTCCTCGGAGAGGACGAAACCCAGCCCAAAAACCGCATCGTGCTGATTTGCACCACGTGTCGGTTGGTGAATGGTCAGGCACCACCTGGAGTGAAGTCATTGGAAGAGTTAGGCCGCTGGCGGTGTGGCAGCTGTGGAGCATGGAACGGTGAAGAAAGCGCGGCCAAGAAAGTGCTTGCGGATATCAAGGGTGAATCTCAGTCCGTAGAGGGAGCGTGGGAGCCTGTCTCGGATGCCGAAGCAGAACACCAGTCTTCTACTGGGGAAGCTACAGATGACGGTGTCATGGTTCCCAGCGAAGACGACCAAGTTGAGTCGCACAGCTCCGGTGCTGAAACCCCAAGCGAGGAGACAGAGGAGGAGCCACAGCCCGAGCCGACGACAAAATCAAAACGCCAGACTCGGGGCCGTGGGGCACGAAAGGGGTGAATCCCATGTCCTTTCCTTTTTATTCCTTACTTTGCCAGATTTCTGTTCCTGGTTCTCCTTGTGTACCCTGTTCTCCTTGTGTATAGTAAAGCCGTAAGGCTATGAAGTGCGCTGTCAGTCTTTTGATTCATGCCTTTTTCTCCTTACCCTAGTACCTGGAGCGGATGTGCGTCAAGTACTTTTCCAATCTATTCTCTTCGAGATTGCGTGTATACCTCCCTACCTTGCTAAACCTATCATCAAACCCCAATCATTTCGCACAGCTTCCTCCTACAACTGAGCTCCGGAGTCATCGCTGTCTACACAAAGTCATAAAAGGAAAAAAGAAAAAAAAGAAAACATAGTTACTTAGCTAAATAACAACAAAACGCTTGCTACACAAAGCAATCAAAAAAAAAAAAAAAAAAAAAAAAAAGAGGAAGAGGAAGAAAAAGAAACGAAAGAAAAGATCAAGCAAATTTAAACCGAACTCACAGCTCTCGCTCTCAAGACTTCCACCGCCGCACTTGCAGCCTGAATCTCTGCCTCCTCACTACTCAAACACCCTTCGACAAAGATATCTGGGAGACCAAGTTGACCCATCTCAACTGTGGCTTGGTACGTTGCCCCGAGGCGTTGGCCTTGGCCTTGGCTATGGACATGGACAGTACCATTGTCGGCACTGCCACCAATCGCGATCTCATCCTGGATCCTCTTCACCACAAACCTAAGATTATCCTTCGCGACCTGCTGCGCCACATTTCTAGGATGAACGACGCTAACGTCCCCCGTAAGGATACGTCTCAGATAAGTGAGTAGTCCAATGCGCTCGAGGAAGTTCTCGCAAACGGCCAAATCCCCCGCGGAATCAACAAACAGCGCACCAAGGACACTCTCGATGATATCCGAGAAGAACTTATCCGGGTTCAGCTGCGAAAGCAGCAGCCAGGGGTATTGATCGCCATGGGCCATGCGGGCAAGAATCTCTGTGCGGAGCAGAGAGTGTCGCGCAACGGCTCTTTCGCGCGCGTTTTTCAAATCCATGCTTCCGTCGCAGCGCAGGAAGTGCCACAGGTGCAACGAGTTTTCTTTCGAGGTGAGGTTGATTTCACCCGTGGTGGAGCATACTGATACGTCGGAGGTTACTTCGGTCCAGGCGTATTCCATGCAGAGGAAGGCGAGGAGGTTTGCGTTTACGACGGCGTGCTTGATGCGGGTCATGTCGCCTTGGGGGATTTCGGTTTTGTGGGCGAGAAGGGTGGAGACGATGGCCATGTCGAGGACGGCGTCGCCGAGGAATTCGAGGCGTTGGTAGGATTGCGTTGAGGATTCGGATTGGCAGGAAGGGTGGGTGAGGGCTTCGACCAGGAGGAGTTTGTTGGTGAAGGTGTAGCCGAGGTTGGCCTCGAGGGTCTTGTGTTGGATGTGGTGGAGGTGAGGTTGAGCCTGCAGTTCAGGGGGAGGGTCCTGGACCACGGGGGTATCTAGTTTGTAGATTTGGACTTCGGGGAGGAATCGACTGATGCAGGCCTGTGCCTTTGCGTGGCCGCCGTCTATGTATGCTGCTCCGATTAGGGCTTCGACGACGTCGGCGAGGACTTTGGTGGACATGGTTCGCGGGGTTGAGGTGCTGCTGAGTTTGTCGGAGATCAGGGGCGCTGACCACTTGCGAGGTGTGAACATCCTACTAATAACGAAGGCGTCAAGGCCGCGGTCGAGTGCAGCTCGTGCCAGACGAGGATTCTGCACGATTCCATCCCGGCCCTCAGATAGGTATCCTTCGTGCCAGTTAGGGTGGTGGTAAAAGAGGGAATATGAAACTGTAAACTTGAGAACCGAGTCCCCAAAGAACTCGTAGCGCTGGTAGTTGGTCGGGGCCTGGCAAGAGGGTGTAGTAATTGCCGTAACAACATGTTGAAAATCGCTAAATCCAATACCTTGTAAAGTCGTTTCACATAATTTGGCTGCAACCAACGCAACCTCCAATCTATCGACAATAACGGAAATAAATCGTCCAAATATAGTCTCCGTAGTGGGCAGCTTGTCAATTGTGCATCGGTCCGCAGAAATAATGCGCTTCTTCGTGGGTGGCTCAGGCACTTTGTCGTCACTAACCTCGGACCGTTTTACGGCTAGGGTTTGCTGCTGCAGAAGGTTTCTTCGCTTTGGGAACGAGTCGCATTCCAGTTCAAGCCCTGAAGAGGAGTTGGCGTCAGATACAATCCAGCTCCTGAATAGTAACAATTCATCGTAACGCGAGCGGTCCCGCACGATTCCCATAAGATCACGGCTTCTCGCGCTGGAGTATACGTCCAGTGCAGCCTCGCACCCGTTATTCCTATCGAGCCAGGTTACCAGCTCAGGCTGGGGCACATCCGGACTGAACAGCGTAATAAAATCCGTCTCAGTACCCAAGCGCTTAGTAGTCGTTGCCTGGAGGTAAAGAGCGGTGATAACCCTCATATTTTCCAAACTCTCTGCGGACATACTGGGAATACGTTCAGGAGTTTCAAACTCCAGCGAAAAGGTTGTCTCACTATCCCAAAAGAGAGTCATCGGCCCTATTAATGGAGGTATAGTAGGGCAAATCAATCTCATATAAGCATTATCTTTGACCCCGTTTTGTCGCACAACAATGCGACTTTGGTGTATATGAGGCGATGACCAAGAATACGCCCAATCCACCCAAGGGTCATATTGTTGTGCAACCTCCACCATCGAGGGAAGATTGCAGAGATCTTTCTGGGTAAATTCTCTGCTCTTCGTTAGTGGCAAAAGGTGATCGTTCACAAGCCCGGATTCGTAAAGAGACTTGTAGGACTGAAAAGCCGCATCTTTCCTTGCAGCGCGCTCGGTCAAAAACCACGTTTTGCCTTCAGTACAGCGAACTGTAGGATGAACGCAGCTCGGTAGCGTTACTTTCCCTTTTAAGAGGCCATTGTCATTGCTCTCAAAAGAAAACTCGGGCCTATTATCTCCATACGGTTGGACAGGAAGGACTGAGCAAAAATGGTAGAGATGTTGCGTAGCGTTATCTGACGTCAAAACAGCTCTATCGCATGGTGTCAATTAAGGCTCAGGGATAGAAAACTTGAACCTCAAGACTTACCCCGTAGACTCGACGAGAAATCTCTCACAGACTTCTTCATCTGTTTCCTCAAGAGCCCATAACTCCTGCAAAATGCGTTGGTCATCTTGGTACGCCTCTACCATGGCCTTCTCTAAATCTTGCCACTTGTGCAGATCGAGAGAATCCTCATCGGTTGAGACTAATATTGCATATGTTGACTGTTGTCGCCGTGCACGCCCTCGTCGCTGAACAAACGACTTCAAGTTTGGCGGCTTGTTATAGCAAACCACCATGCTGCAAGCACTTACGTCGATTCCTTCCTCCAGGACGTCTGTCGCGACGATCAAATTCTTCCGACCACCACGGAAATCATCTAGCGTATCGCGCTGCATTTTCATTGTCAAAAGCTCGCCTAGTGCATCTTTTCGACTGCTGCCACTAGACCAGCCAACGTATCCAGCGGTTCGAAAACGGTCTCTGGTGGACGGGTGAACCGATAGGAGCTGTGCCATGACTCCGACTGTTGCTCTTTGCTGTGCAAAGATCAACCCTGAAAATTCATTTTCGTTGATATTGCTCAGGAACGATATCAAAGCTGCGAACTTGGGGGAAATAGGAAAATCATCTGGATCACTGGAGTGGAGGTCGATGCCGGGAACAGGCAGCTGAGACAGGATCTCTATGAGATACTGTTTCTCCTCGTCATCCCAGTCCATCATCACAGACTTGTCATGAGTCTTGGCTCTGAGTTGCTCAATAGATTCCCAAATAAAATAATCTGCCGCCCACTCACCGAGCTCCTCAAAGATATGACGGGCCCGGTCAGCAAGCCTTTTCAGCTGCTCCCCGCAATAAGTCTTGCCCGTTGAAAGTACTTTCTGGAGCGCCTTTCCATCCACAGAGCTTTCCCGTAGTCGTTTGACATACGGATCCTTTTCAATGTCTAACATTTGCCAAGAACGGATAAGAGCTCGTAATGTTTCGCTCCCATGCACAACGTCCTCCGTCGTGACCGGTGAAAACAATATGCGCTGTAATTCAGGTCTATGGGTATGCTCCAACAGTTCATGACGGTGGACTCGAGGAGTCACGCATTTCGAAGCAAGATTAGACTCGATCGTCCTATTTATCTCTCAGGGGGGGAAAATAAGAATAAGAGAAAAAGACAAAGCAGAAAGATTGGTTGGCATACAGTAACTCGTGGCGACTGGACCGCACGACCGGACTCGCCGTTAATCCCATAATCCGTGGAACCGCATCAGGACCATATTTTGCCATAGCAGGATGATAGAAGTCCCTCATGATCTTATTGGCAGGATGCTTTCGCATACAATGATGGGCTGCAAGCCTTCGTTAAGATAACGCTCCCGTTGAATTAGTAGAGTAAACACATACCTTCATCAAATATAATGAGGCCCAGCTGCGAAACCTTAATGAATCCATGGGTCATGGCATCCGCAAGAACAGCATGCGTTGAGATCACCACCTGAATGTCCTTCAATACAGCATCCCAAACCGGCTGCTCTGTCCACAACTCAACCTTGTCCAGTCCAGTAAGGGTCCGAGATCTTGCGGCTGGGATATGCTTGGAGATGACTTCATGCTGCTGAATACACAGCGCGACGGTTGGCGCCAGAAACCAGATCAGCTGGTTCAGAGAAGAGAGAGGTTATTCCCTGTTTTGCATTTTCTTGGAGTACATAAGTAGAGGGTGCTGCTCACTTGTTTTCCATCAGAATTCTCCAGCTCATGGATGATTCGTAACAAGGCTCTGTGAGTTAAATCGCCAGTTAGAATACCTCTTGCAGTGGATGCAATATGGACCAGAAATGCTAGCAGTGGGAAAGCATACATGTGCGTTTTACCACTCCCTGTATCCATCTAGAGATGTTAAAAACTATCAGAAACTAGACACAATTTGAGAGCAGCCTAGAGTAACATACCGCAACGATGATGTTGCCCTTCAAACTAGCCTCGAACATCTCCCGTTGATAGTTCCGTGGGCGATACGCCGGGACGTCTGTGTCGCCGGTGGGAATAGTGGAGGCCATTCTCTAAGAAAGATTCCAATCCCAGAATGGCGGCAGATTCGAAGGCCGAATGGAGGTTGACTAGCGAAAGACATCAACAGTCAGACGAGCCATTCCAGACATAATAGATTCCCAGTCTTGAGGCAGCCTTGTTGGTTGAAAGGTGGGCTGGATGTGATGTTGAATTGAACTATCCCCAACTAGGAAATAGACTCTATTATATAAAGTTAGTAGCAATCGACAAATCTCGTCGATTTTCTACGTCGAACCACCCACAGAAACACCCGAATTCTTGAATGCAATTAAATTCAACATTCTACCGATTACCTACCCCTAAAGGAATATTATATTTCCAGCAGGTCAGTAGAGGGATGGAAAGTAGAGGGACAAGTAGAAGAGGGGCAGAGCAATCAGTGGTGGGGTAAACAAACAAAAACAGGTCCTCAACCTCCACCACTTCAGACAAGAATCAGCCTGTCTGATCAACGATATCGCCGCAGGAGGGTTCTACTCTGGTGCTTAGTCCTAGAGGTATACAGTTCCATTTTAATCCAAAATCGAGTTATATACGGATGCCCCACGAGTTGCGCATCGACAGAGCTCGCCCCCAAAGAGGGAACATCAACCTATAAAAACGGAGAGAGAGAAAATATAAAAGAAAAAGAAAAGAAAGAGAAAGAGAAAAAGAAAAGGCTCCTTGTGAACATTCCTTGTGATTAGTAGTGACAATGCAACCCACAGATATTAATGATAACCTATGGTACGAGTAGCTTTTGTCCGAGGTGAATCGGAGCCTCACCGTAAATGGCACATCCTGGCCGACCACAAGGACAAATGCAAAACACCACCGCCCCTTCCAAAGGCCAGAATCAAACCCTAGTGACACCACGCCATACACACTGGTAATAAACAGAAACAGGAAAGAGAAAATCGAGTAACGCAAACACGTGCTGGCCAAAATAAAGCGAAAGAGCCGCGGGGGCTCGCGAGTAGGATATAACAAACAAAATCGAAGTATTTCATACACAGTGAAAAAAAAAAAAAATATATCCCGTCAAACTTATGACACTAGAGGCAGCCCATGAGTAGGCTCTGTTTTGGTGTTTGAAGGATCTGCCTGGCCATCGTCATTCCGCCCACGACGAGGCTGGAAGGTGTTCCCCAGGTAGCTCGCCTCTTCATTGGGATGCTTACGCATTCCAAGACCGGCGACGGCTATCCGATTCAATGAGTTCATATCGTCATTGGAGGCAGAGACCTGGCTTTGAGCGGCCTGGGCGTTTGGAGCTCCAGGAGCAGCAGGTCCCCCAACAGCGCCTGCGGCAGACTGGGGCACAGGGATTTCCGCCCGTGGCTGGCTCAGATCAATATTTCCCGGCAGCTCGGGGACCTCACCCTGCGAGTCTAGGAGTCGAGACTGTAGGTTGATAATGTATTCGCGGAGCTGATAGTTCTCGGCCTGTAGGGCTTTGGATTCCTGCGACATCGCGTCGAATTCCTTAACTTGCTCCTCCAGTTTACGGATATAACTCTCTTTGCGCTGACGGAAGGCTCTCTAGATCCAAGTTAGCAGAACCCCGGTATAGGTGTCTTGGGCTGGGGCCCACGTACTTGAGCAGCACGGTTCTGGGCCGCACGCTTGGAGGTGGACAATGGGCGTTTGCCATAGGTTTTCGGAGTATCCTGGCCGGTCGCATCCTGCTGAGTAGGGGTCTGGGGTGGCCCACTCAGCATAGTCGCCCCCGAAATGGCCGGGTCGATATTATTCTGGTCTCGGGGACTTGTAGTGTTCGGTTGCAGGTGGTGTTGCGCAGTCGAGGGCTGTGGACGCCCTTGTTGCGGGAGCGATAAGTGCTGGTGGGCAGCTAGAAGCTGATCGTGAAGTACTGCAGATGATCCAAACATGTTAGCGGCGCGTCAACAAGGCGAGAGGTGCAATGTTTGGAAGCTAGAGGAATGATCAAAGACCCTCTGCTAGGCCGGAAGGTCCGGGTGTACTCCTGGCAGTGCGGTGGCAGCGACGAAAACACGTTGCTTACCTTGATCAGCATGGTCCTATCATCAATGGTTAGCATCAGCTTGATATATCAACAGGCTCAAGTATAACAATGACGCGACCGAGGGAGTTGTTCACGCGCTGCCATTGTGGCGGCGGCGGCGACGCGCGGGTTAGGGAAACTCGCAGCCGGGGAGACGCCAGGCAGGCGAGCTGCGACGGCAATGGCAAGAAGCAGGAGACCCCGGGGCCACATGCGAGATCTAGCGGTTGGGAGAGAGGATTGGGGAGATGAAGGAAGCTCAACAGGCGATCTGATGACAAACCGCAACAAGCATATAGACTTGCTTACCTGAGCAGATGTTTGCATGCTTGGATGCGGCGCTGGAGCTAGTGTAGGCTGCATGGAGAGTATGAAAGGTCAAGAGACGACAAAAGACGCGCCCAACGGGAAACACGATCGAATCAATTCAGAGAATACAGCGGATAGGGTGATTCCCTCGAATCGACTCTATGCACAGTCTCGTGAAGAGAGGGGAAGAGGGTGGGAATAATGGGGGGATGTACGCAGAAGCGCGAGGATGAGGTAAGCAAGACTTGAGTTGGGGAGTTTTGGATGCTGAGTCAGTAATGAACGTCCCAAGATCCCCTTCAAGCTGCTAAAGTGAAAATATATTCGGTAGTCTTATTGGTGATGGTTTAGCTTAAGATCTCGTAAGCAGGAAAGAGGAAAATGGAGGAGGGAAGGAGGAAAAGATGCTTACTTAAAGAATCAGTCAGAAAACGCGAATGTGTGTGACGTGTGGGAACTGAAATCGGAGGGCGGAGGAGCCGGTTGGGGTCGGGTGGCTGGCAGGAATTCGGAGGCCGACTTTTCCACAGGAATGTCACTCTTATTCTTCCTGATTAATTTAGGTGTATTTTTCTTCGTCTCTTCTAGCCACAGCTTAATTCCAGATTAATTCCTCCCTATCCAATTCTGCGACGAGAGCGAGATCTGTTCTGTTCTGTTCTGTTGTGGTCTGCCCAAAGGAGTAATGCTTACTAATCTATGGGAATGCTGACTAATAATAGCATCTCCGGCTAAATAACTAGTCTCAGTGTTCGGACTACGCCGTAGTATAAGAGAATACAAGAGAATAACAATAATAAATAACTTGGTAGGATAATCGATTTTTATTTCTGGTGTTTAAATCCTGCATAATATCCTCGAAGGTGAGTCGGGAATTGTAATTGTCCATCTAAGCATCCTTAGACTTGCTCTACAGAATCGGACTTGGGAAATTCCAGTATGGAACCTTGAGTACTATCCTTGCTCATAATACAGTAAGTCCATAACACGCCAACGCGTTGGATTGACTGATCAACTTACCTAGGTAGTTGGTGCCTACTGGACTAATCTGAGGACTGTTCTAGATCTGATCTTACCCGGGATATCATACGTCGGATAGGTTCATAAATTCCACTAATGCATCTGCATGCCAGTGAATCTACAAGTGTAATCTAATCTAGCCATTCATTAACTTCCTCAGAATAATATATATCCACAATCATGGCTACCACGCCAATTTACGCCAGGGTATATTGCAAGTAAATCGTATCAATCCTATTCATCAAATTAGTTTAAGCAATATCCAACCATCCACATAAAGTTAAAAAAGAGTGTGTTAGGTAGTATGCTTACCACTCTCCCCTCTTAAACCCAATCTTCTCCATTCTTCCCCTCTCCACAAATCCCCGTTTGATATACCACCTCCGCAAGGCATCTCCGCCATCTAACCCCTCAGAACTAACCGCCATAACAGCGAGAATATTCCTCAGCGGGAGTCCCCCTTCACTCTCCCCTTTCTCCCCAGCAAACACTTTCCTCGGCTCCTCATCCGACCCTGTAACTTCATAAGCCCGATGCCTCACTGCCGGAGCAGCCTCCAACACCGCCGCAAGAAGCCTCGATCCCAGGGACCGCGACTGATGGTCCGGGTGCACGAAGAGTGAAAGCTCCACTGTTGCCGCGTACGACAGCATATGGCTGCGAAAGGGCGAGAGATAAGCGTACCCGAGTACAAGGTCGGCGCCGTCCTCGGCGTTTGTGAGTTCCTCGTCAACGGCAACGACATAAGGGAGGCCGCGGGACTTGAGGTCGTCGTATTTGGCTTGGAAGACGGCAGGTGGTGGCGAGGTTTGCGTGAATATGAGGGCTGTGTTGAGGATGTAGTAGGTGCTGATTGCGCGGACTTGGGGAAGGTCTGCTGGGGTTGCGGGGCGGATGATTGCCATTTTGCTTGTGCTTCTTTCTTTCTTTTTTTTCCTCCTCTCTTCCTCTTTGGCTGTTATTGTTGGTGTTGGTTATGTTGGGTGGGTTATCTGGAGTAAGGATTGTTGTAGTAGGTTTCAATTGTCAGAAGAAAAAAATTGGATGTGATCCGTTCATGGTGGGGCGTTCCAGAATTCGTACGGAGTACTTGGACATATATACTTACTCTGTACCTGGGGTAGTAGGCACTAGGTTTAAGAATTGTCCATTTCTTGTGTTCCAGTGTGATGATACTTGGGGGGCTATAGATATCAAGTGTTTATAGGTATCAGGTACTATGAACAACGTAATATCAACCTGCTAAATCCTCGACGGAGCATCCACCAATAATGTTTTCTCGTATTCTAAAACATGCGGATGTTGGACTCCTCCAACGCTTAACTTACTCCAATCCCTCTCAACCCCCTCCTCCACATGCGGAAACGGTCCCATAGGTGTGATCGCCTTGGGGTTGATATCATAATGGCTCTTCGTATACTGTACGCACAAACTGTCAGTACTCGACTCCTCCGTGAAATCTGAAATGGTAAAAAAGCACCTACATTCTCTTTTATATGCTTAAAATCCGTCGTGGCCCGTGCAGCCTCCACGTCCCAATACATCCCCTTCAGCCAATTATTCAGGACCGGGTAATCATGTCTAATTGTCCCCAGATTACACTTGAAATGCTGCACATAGACCGTGTCGAAGCGAATCAAGGTCGCATACACTATAACATCGAGCTCTGTCATCTCTGAACCAAGAATAAATGGGCCGCCGTTTCGGGCGACGATGCGTTCAAGGGCATTCAGTGCACCGAAGACCGGGACGACCTTTTGATCGTAGACCTCCTGGGACGGGGCAAAGCCGGCTTTGTAGACTCCTGTGCAAAGATCCGATTGAATCCATTTACTCAAGGCATCAATCTCAGTTTGGAGGTGTGTTGGGTATAGAGTGATAGATGCTAGTGATTCTGGAAGGAACGAGTTAAACGCCGATGGGAGCCAGCGCAGAAGCTCCAAGCTTTCCTGTTTTAATCAGTATCACGATTCCCCCGTCTAAATCTTAACAAGAGAGAGAGGCGGCGGAAAGAATATTCATACATTACAAACCGCGGTATTCGTTTTCTTATCCCACAGCAACGGCACTGAATACCTCCCCTTATACTCTGGATCCGCCCGAAAATACACCTTATGCATGTAATCCTCTCCAAAGAGCTGGTCAACCGTCGCTCCAGGGTACTCGTCATTAGAACTGGGGAATCGCCAACCCGGCCATCCCTTGGAATCCCCCTTGGGATACGGCATTACAACGCTGATATCGATTATATCGGTAAGCCCCTTCAAATGGCGCACGAAATTGGCTCGGTGGGCGAATGGACAGAAGAGTCCGATGTACAGATGGTACCGGCCTTTTTCGGGGTTGAAGGGGCTACTAGGGGATATGGTACCATGCCAGCCATCGCTTGTGCCGGGTCGATGATGCGAAGAGGGCTGTTGTTCGGATGCCATGTTGATTGTGATATGTGGCGGTGGTGGCGAGAGGAAGATCAATTGGATGTGAATTGGAGAGTATGGAAATTGCGGCAGGGGTGGGTCTTAAATCTAAGTCAGTTCAAATTGCTTTGAAATCAGAACCAGGGAATTGATAATACACTATGGTTTACTTCCGCTGGAGTAGGTAAGTTGGTAGTTGTAAATGAGGTCCGACTACTCCACGCATCTCCTCATGCGGAAAATTAAGCATAGATCATGTAGATACGTAAAGTAGCTTACGTCCCACTTCTCGTCGATGTAAAAGGTTCTATAAACATAAATGTTCTGACACAAACCAGCATGCCTATTACATCAATCATATCTTCTGGTCTAGTCTTGCTCGCCTTCCACACACGAACAACCCGAATATCCTCACTGATCCTTCTTACCATCCACCTTGGCTTGATTCTGAATAAACGAAGATGCCACCTTAGCAGACTCCTTCCAACCCTTCTGTCGCATCCAGAATCGCTCCTCGGGCTCTGTGCCATGTCGAGACCAGTTCCGAGCGTCGTCTTCGAGAGATTTTCGCGTGATGTCGGATACTTCCATGGAGTGATCCTCCATCACAATATCTTCTTCATCGTCGCTAGACCGTACGCCCAAGGTAGACTCAAGGTACTTCTTCCGAACCAGGAAGTTTTCAGTGCGCTCCTTCCGTACGCTGGGAGGCTCAAGCTTGGACATCGTAGTCTGCACAACATATTGCACCATCAGATAGAGGTGTTCGGAGAAGAATATCGTCAACAGCAGAGCCCATCCTTTAATCGCTGAGGGCTCACCACTCGGGCCACCAGTGCCAGTGTTGAACATGTACACGAGCGCAGCACCAGTAATACTACCGACCCATGATAAAAAGCCTAAACTATCCAGCCAAGGTCCAATAGTATCTGCACGCTCAGGCGAGGGTCTCTTGCATTCCATAATGATTTTGAAAAAGTCGGAGCGGAGTTCGATCCAATTGTTAACCAAAAACGACACCGGAACGAGCGGCCAGATGGGGGAGAACAGAGCCAGATATCCAAACTGAATACACATCTCTCGAAGATCCTCGGTGACATCGTAGTCGTCTAGTTCAGCTTCTTTCCGAACGCGTGTAAGAAACTGGACTTCATCTTTCGGGTCATCAAGGGAAGCTGCTGAAGCCTTTCTAGCCTCTCCATCAAGGCCTGAGTCCGTTCTTTCAGTGCGCTTTTTTTGATATTCCTTATATTTGCGTAAAGCCCGCTGCTTCAGCATAGGGACAATAGTCTCCATAGCGAAGTTGACCGCCTGAGCAGTGACTGTAAAATAGATCACTTGTTTTCGCAACCGGGCCGGGTCGATAGCAAATTCGGCACGTGCGGTAGTTGCGTGCTCCTTCGAAACGAATGGTCGGACAGTTAGGTGGAACACGTCAAGATAAGGTACTATCAAGCTAGCGAACGGAATATAGACAAACGCTGTTAGGAAAACTGGGAGGTAAGAAGTAATAAAATTAATTACGAAAATCTTCTGTGTCAAGGCCATGTCGTATGCGGTTTGGGTTTCGTAGTTTTCATAGTCGTTAAGTTTAGTCGCAACGGACACAAGGACCCCGCTCATCGTCGGAATCAGGGCAGTAAGCAGAATCGTTGGAATAAAGACCTAAATAATTAGCCTACCTTAATTCGAGAGAGAGAAAAAATGGAGGGGGGCGTTGCCATCGTAATCTTACCAAGTACCCTTTGAGCGGCCCGTTGTATACCTCCGAAATGAAGATTTCAATCGCAAAGCAAGTAGCGATTATCACACCCAGAGCAACAGCTGAAATGAGCGTAAACGGAACCTGGAGAAGTTGTCGCTGTAATCGTTTCGTCGCTGGGAATACACCTCTGACCTCTCCAGTAATATCATCCACGATTTCCTTGGCCGGTTTGAACTCGCGTCGCTTGTGTCGAACAACTGAGACACCTTTGGTTTGCCATCGGCAACTAAGATCCTCCTCTTCTCTCTTCCAGTATTCAATAAAAATAACGCACCAAAGGCAATTGACGACAGTGTATATAATAGAAAAGGAGCCGAGAATGAGCCAGCAAGAGAAGCCGAACGCCGCAGGAAATATCAGGGATTTGAAGTAGGATTGCAGGAACGCAAAGTAAAAGCCGACCTGTATCTCATCAGCTTTAGAAGCTTCGTGACAGAAATTAGGGTACATACGGTTTCTCCAAACTTATCCCGTATTTGGTCCAAATCGTCATCAGACAAGAAGGTTTTCTTGCTCCATTCCCTCATATACTGATTATTCTTCTGCTCATCGTGGAGAGGGAACATTGCAATCACGTTCTTCCATTGTCCGTGTCCGGGAGTGATACCAGCGCCGCCGTACTCTCGTGGAAGAACCATCAAATGGTGAATTATGCGCAATCGTTCGGACTCCGTCTGTGGCTCAGCGGAAGATTCCTGTTCGGGTTCAGTAGAACGGACGCCGTGCAGCCAGTCGCGAATGCTAATAGCCAACATGAAGTTAGAGAATGAATCGCGCGAAAGGTTTATATGGGGAGAAGCACGTACCGCGACTGGTAGACTGCCCGCTGCAGGCTCTTCTTCCGCGAGGCCCGAACAAAAATCAGGAGCGACGAATCCTCCCCTTGTCTCACCTCCGTCTGCAACCCTACTTCGAATAATTTCTTCAAGAGCAACTGCAGCTCATCTTCTGCCAGAGAAGGTTCTATACTGGTCAAAACCCGCACTATCATACAAAGCAAACTATACTCTTACCGACATCTCCGAAGCTGTACCGAATGACGTAGTCCACATAATAATTATGATTGGACTCAATCTTGGGCGGGGGATGGGAAGACATTTCTATATCAGTATCAAAAATAGCCAAATATCCCCTAGAACCACCGACGATATACGAAAAGGAGAAAAGGGAAGAAAATAAGAAACGGGGCAGAAAAGTGTCGTCACCACATGCAGCAACTTGCCGGCAACGACGTCAACTTGGTTATAAAAGCTCCGGCAGGGTTGAGCCCTGGTTCCGACTTGGCATCACTAGCCACGATCTGTTCTATATTTAACAACATTACTATGCATGTATGGAGTAGGCACGGAGTATATTGGAGCATCAACCTCATAATTATTCTTAATCATATATCCCGGAGAGTACAGAGTAGTTTGATTAGCCAGTATGCACACGCACTGTTCTCTTCTAGATCTGCTTATTTGGGTGTTTCTAACTTATTCTTATTATTATTGGCAATCTCTTCCGCATTCATATAGCCACGCACCTATAAAATTATTCCCACACGACACTCCGTATAACTACCAGTTACCAGCTACTAAGTAGCTCTCAATCTTCTGTCTAAACTCTACCAAGAACCATCCATACTCTTACAAACTCTTGATTCAACAGCTCTCTCTAAGTGCATCTTTCACTTCAGAGTTGCCTCTTTTCTACTTTACCACGCTCGTCAACGCGCTGCTTCTTGTCTTCTACCTTCTTCAAACACCAACACTTACACTTACATACAAAGCCACAGCCTGAATATGGCTCTTCAAGCTTCCATTGCCTCCTCGGCATCATCTCTAGCTGCAACTTGTACTGAAATCATTAATACTGCGCATACGATTGATCTATTCCAAGAGGATGACAATCACCTACAAGACTTACTCAAGGAGACACAGTAACCAGCACTCGCACAATTCACCCGAAATCGACTAATATTAGCAGGATCCTCTCTGCAACGCTGAGCACTATTGCCCTGTTCTGGACCGTGAATCGCTTGGTAGCCATCTCGAATGAACTTTCGGAAATCTTACAGATCCTATCTATCTCCTTTCACCATTGTAACCTCACCTTGAAGCAGATTCAATGGATCTTCAAAGAGGAGAACAGAGACAGCCTCTCAAGCTTTAATCTGTGGCGCAAAAGAATTCGAGTTCATGCCGATATTACAGCACTTGTCCTGGATGCGATTGTTGAGTATGTTGCACAATCGGCTTGTTGTTTCGTATTTTGGTGTCTAATAACTCACTCTAGAGTAGTCCAGATTTTACAGGTGTCAAGGTAACCAATATGCAACAACTCCTTGAGGACATAAAGCAGATTGTGGAAGGTGATGGCAAAACTGTGAGCCCGAGCAACACTCAGGGTCTTGAGATGAAAGACTTCTTTGAGAATGGCCAAATCCTAGTGGATAAGGTTCATCAATATACTACATCCACGCGCAGTGAAGGGGGAACAGTCTCAGATTCCCCGGCGGAGCACGGCCCTTCTGCTCCCGATACTGGCAGAGTCCTGGCTTTCGAGTCGGTTTCTGCGACGTCTGAGAATGACCGCACCCTAAGCGAGAACCACGCTTTCTCAGAGATTAGGGAGCTCATTTACAGCAAAAATTTATCTGCAGCAGAGGAATATTCGAGAACATTTCATACCCGCGTTGCACTCACACTTGAGTCAAGGCGACTGTTGGCAGAATATTACTATCTATTCCTGACTACTTTGGACATCAGAGTTCTTACAATGTTTTATGTAAAAAAAAATACATGGTCACCTACTTACTTACTCATTGATCAAGGCCATAGCGATCAATCATCAAAGGTAAAAAGAGTGAATGAAAAACAAAAACAAACGTGGTCCCAGAGGGGGTCGAACCCTCGACTTTGGCGTTATTAGCACCACACTCTAACCAACTGAGTTATGGGACCCAATTGTTGATGACTGGCGGAGATTATTCTACTTCATTCTCATCGGGTTATTTGGGAGCCCAATGACTAATAAACGCACGTGATCGATAAAATGATCACATGATTTAACCTCTTAAAACTAGGTTTAGGCTATAATACAAAAATATTGTCAAGGCTACATCAACAATTGGGTCCCATAACTCAGTTGGTTAGAGTGTGGTGCTAATAACGCCAAAGTCGAGGGTTCGACCCCCTCTGGGACCACGTTTCTTTTTTTGTTTTTTGCTCTTATTGTCTACTTGTGCGGTCTTCTTCTGCTTTACCCACCCACACTTTGCGGGGAGACAGACATAGTGCGGATCCAGAATTCGTTTGTAGATATCATCAGTTCCTGATCGTGTCTTTGGTTTATCTATTACTTCCTATAAACCCCCAGTGAAGGTATCCACGTCAGTCAACACTTGATCTATACGAAGGTTCTTTCGAAATTCACAAATATACCGACAACGCCGCATTGTCATCAGTCATGCACTGAACATAGCAGTCCAGGCGGAGTACAAATGTCAAGATACAGAACTATATGCTAGCCCGGCGTGGCGCTAGCGTACGTTGGAGCTTCTTTTTCTCTTCAGTTTCCTCAGGCAGCGGAAGAGAACCTTCGTTCTTGAGTTTCTCGAGGTATTCTTTACCGTAGGCATACCCCACCTGGTAAATCTCGTCAAATTTACTGAACTCCAGAGTTCCGTAGCGATCAATTGGTGGGCGAAGGTAAAGACAGCCAGGGGTATTCTTCGCGCGTTCCAGGTTGTCGATTGATGACACGTACGCAAGTCTTGCCTGTATTTCGGAAAGGGTGGGAGGATTCGGGCACGAAGAAAAGGGATTCCAGCGATTGATCACTGCCCAAAATCCAGAAAGAGAGTCACCATAACCCTGTGGGGTATTGTCATCAATCGACCCCACGTCAATTGCAAAGATCACATCCGCACCCAATCCTTTCATATAAGCCACCGTTAGATTGTCAATATAACCTCCATCAAGTAGCATGCTGCCCTCGTCACAAATTGGAGGGATAAGGCCTGCGAGTGACATGGATGCACGCACGTAACGCCAGACGTATCCAGACGAATGGAATTCAGCGCGAGACCGGCTGATATTAGTAGTGTTGCAATAAAATTCGAGCCAGAAATCCTCAATCTGACTATCCCCAAAGGTTTTGAAGATCCCACGATTGAATTCATGGCCAGTTGTGTAAGAAACAGAAGGGTATGTCAAGTCTAAAGCGAATCGCCACATGCTACCCATACGCCCGGCGAACTTCTTCGCACGGCCGTACATGGGCACGACGTCCGCATCTCGAGCATACAGAGCGCCAATGAAAGCACCAATCGAGGTACCACCGATGATGTCGACTGGAATCCCTGCTTCTTCCAAGGCCTTAATTACACCAACGTGAGCAATGCCTCTGGCACCACCGCCACCAAGCACGAGTCCAACTGATCTGCCACAGAGGCGACGCGCCAATCGATGAAAATCGCCCTTGAACGGCGTTTGAGACGAGTAAAGTGGCGTCTGTCGAATTCTGCGCGAGGTGTATTTCTGAATCTCTGCCTGAAGAACCTGAACTCTTTGCTTCAGGACCGTTCCAAATCGCTTGGCTTGAGGATGTGATGGCTCTGCAGTAAGGCGGAAAGCCATCTGGATATGATGATGGCCTCCATTGATCCATACACGGTTCTTCAGCCACCTGCGCGATAGCCCAGGAGGGCAATATCGATCGGCGTGCAAGAGCACCAGCTCCTTTCTCGCTGTAGTTTTCATTCCAAGCAAGAACCTTTCATACTCTCCGATGCTGGACGAGGACTCTGCGAGACCCACAAGAAGAATGCAATCCGCTTGCGTAATGCAGGTTTGGGTCCAGGGAGCGTTTACATTGGTGTCCGCGATATAGAGAACCATTCCGTACTTTTCCTCCAAATCTGCCAGGTACTGAGATAGTTTTAACTTTCCCATCTTGCTAAAAGCGTGTCGCCCTAGATGGTTTAAGATAGCCGCTTGATTTAAGGATGTCACTCCATTAGTCACCCCAATTTGGTGAAGGGCATGCAGCAGGCGATGACCGAATTCAACTACCGGAACCCCAGCGGTCACCGGAAGGATACCAACAGTGCGGAGGTTGAGAGTCGATGTCGCCGTCTTGACAGTTCCAACGTTGCTTTGTTCGATTCCCTGCTCAGATACAGGGTTTTCAACCAGATCTCGCATTCGCTGGGCGATTAGTTTGGAGACTTGAATAGTAATTCCAGTATGCTCTTGAGCGAGACTGTTGAAAAGAGATCGAGGGAACTTGGCCAGCTCCGTGTCTCGAATAGCATGGAGAGTTGCAGGTCGGGTTGACTCAGTCATAACTTCCAACTCACCAACGCTTTCCCCTTGACCGTGTTCGCCAACAACTGTAATTTTGCCTCTAGGACCTTCAAGGACAGACCGCAAACGTCCGTTAAGGACAATATAGATAGCATCACTCTCATCTCCTTGATGATAAATGACCTGGCCGGCGTTCACTTGCACCCATTCCAAGGCGAAATCGATGTGGAGGAGGAGGCGTGGAAGAAGACTTGTCAGTCGCTTTGCCAGAGTTAACAAGGCAATAGGATATCGTTCCGCCAATCTCTCCAAGGACGCTCGCGGAAGAAATCCAACGTACACATCTGTCTTTGCAACAACATCTGTGTATGAACGGTATGAGGCAATTGAGCCTACGTACCCCTGGATTCCACCGGGTTTGATCAAATATAGGGATTTCCGGGATTGTCTCTTGCGTCTAGGGTCGCTTGTGGCCGTCGCAGCAATTGATGAACGCGAGGAGGCCGTCTGGGTCCGCTTGAGAGTCGGGAAAACTTCTTCGTCGGGTTTCAAATAAGTAGACTGGGACGCTCCAACAAGATCCTCGCCTTTTTCACTCACAGGGATTCCCACATCCAGGAAGCCATCAATCACATAATATAGGCCCGGATGACGCTCCCCTTGCTCCACCAACACCGAGCCCTGCGGGAAGTAGACAATCTCGATATCATTCCGAAGCTCCTCTTTCAAGTTGACAATAGGTGATGTACCACCAGCACTAGTAACCGACAGGGACATCATAGACTCCGTTTCACCGTCCACAGACTCGTCATAGGGGTCAATAAATCCGAAGGCGTTGTTAGAGAAAACAGCTTTCTGACGACGAGAGTCATAAGAAACCAACTTCGGGGACGCATCCCCAGAGGCAAGACTACCCTTGCGCAGCGCATCATGAGAGCTCTTACTAAGACCAATTCCTTTCATAATGCATTCTAATACAGATTCGCGGAACAACGCATCCTCATCAACTGATTCTTTTCGCTGGAAAGGAGAGCCTCGTGATGTTGAACTCAAAGGGCGTAAAGGAGACTCCTCCTTCTCAGCCAGAGGGCTATGAAGTTGAGGTGTGGAAGAGAAAAGCTCGTGTCTAGGACCAAATCGAGAGAGTTGGATTGTGGAAAGAAGGTCACCCGGGCTAACTCCAGCAGTGTCACGCTCACCCGGGAAGTATTCTGGGTTTATAAGAGACACAGGACGCTTTGGGGCGGCAATCCTTGCCTGAAGGGCGGCGTCTTTTCTCAGAAAGCTGTTCGACCGACGCCTCCTACCAGCATAAGGGTTATGCAGGGCAATGCCTTTTGTAATTTCTTCGGGGCCCAGACGATTTCGCTCCTTCAAAAACTTGTCCTTGAGCCGATCAAGGGCCGATCCACGCATATCATTCGGTAAATCATGGGTAATAAACTTAGTCATTTGTTTTTCGATGCCCAGAACCTCGTTCGTAAGGCCTAAATAAGAATGCGCCGTTGCAAAAGTAACCCGTTGTAGTCTTGTAAGAATCACCTGGACTATATGCGCAGTCGCCCTAGGATACACCCGTGTGAGGCGACGGAAAGCACTGGCTGGAATAATTGCAATTGTGGTGTCTACCATGGCCCGAGCAACGATGTCTGGGTGGACTGATTTCCGTCCGTTGTTCTGTGACCGCTTGGTGCCGTTAGGCCGAGAGTCTTGACGGTTCGGCGGAGACGCTCTGCTCTCTCCCAAGTGTAAGGGGGGCACCGAGGGCAGAAAATCTCCATTGCCATTAATATGAGAGGCAGTATCAGCACGATCGCTCGGTATCACAGATGGTGACCCATCCGCTGTCCCTCGAGGGCTGCCGGGAAACAAATCAGGCACCCTGGCAGGGCTTGGCTGGATGCTAGATATGCTAGATGAGGAACTCTCTGCTGTTTGTAGTTGGATATCCTCTGTGAATAAGGATAGAATAGAGAATAGTGAGGACATGGATGCACCGTTCTTAACCTCGGTGAGCAGCTGATATCCCTGTTTCCCGTCACCTAGATGATATTCTTCGTCCGACGACTCGCCAAGGTGCTCATCACTAGAGCGTGGTTTCCCATCACGGATAGACTTGACAAAGATTTGAACCAATCCATCTACGACCAAACAGAAGCCTTTCTCTTCTTCCAGGAGAAGTGTCTCGCCCGCGATCAACTTTCTTGTTTGCATCGTACGTGTCAACTCGTGGAATACCGGCCGTTCTAGGTAGCCGAAGACCTTAATAGCACTCAGAAACTCGTCCAGGTAGTTCGCCAGGCCCGGTTTCGAATCGCCTTCCTGTACATCGGGGAAGAGGTCGAGCTGGGGTTCCTTGCGTTGTGGCTCCGGAGGCAGACGGCTGTACATGTTCAGGAACCGGTAACGGATGAACCAACTGATTGTCGAAACAACGGCCAGTACGATCAACAACCTATCAATTCAATCGATTATTCGTCAGTCACTGTTGGGCACCAAGTACGGTAGGAAAACCGGTCGTTATGAGACTGGAGGAACATACAGCGTTGTAAAATTCATGGTGAAGGTCAAGCTCATGGAAAAGAGGGTGAAAAGCCATGTGGGCAGGGTTATAGTGGAAAAGGTGATTATCCAGTATAGAATACTTGGAATGACCTTGAAAACGAGGGTAAATACCCAACCAATCCACCCCACCATGGTTGACGGCGTTGGAGGGGACAACGGTGGGGGGGGAAGACAGGTAGAAAAGCGCAGCAAGTCCGAGAAGCTGGCGGTTATGGCGGGAAGGGAGGTCTCAAGCGAGGATGCGGAGGGAGAGGAGAAGGAGGAGGAAGAGGAGAGAGACACATGAAGAGAATCCAGGTTTGGAGGCGATTCAGACGAAGAAGGAAAGGCCCCGCTGTCGGCCATGGCTATTCCCCAAGGATGAAGCTTGGATGCAGCAGGATGACGCTAAAGTTGGCAGAAAGTCAAGACGCAAGACGCAAGGCAAGACGCACGAGATTTTGAGAGTTAAGACACTGGGCAGACCAACGCCACACAGGCCCCGTTCGTGTAGAACCGCAGCGTCGACAAGACCAGATGGAGTGCAGGAAGTCAGAAACAGCGCAAAAAACCATCACCAAAGCGAACCGCAACAACGTGCACGCATATGTCCCGTTGGCTGGCTGGAGGTCCAGTCCAGGCAGGTCCCTGAGAAAGTGGATTCGAAGGTGAGGGAGGGGAGGGGCCGGGAAGCCACTATTAGATAGGGGGGAGATCAACCGGAAACCAAAGGTTGGCTTGAATCAACAACCTAGTTCGAATGGCTATGTATATAATAATATCGATGAGATGGAGATGGAGATTGGAAGACTTGAGTTTAGATGTTGTTCTTATGTACAGTAGAGTAGGTAAATTGGTTTGAACAAGATGAGATTCTGTTTTAACACCTGATCTCACATGATTTCTGAATTAGCAATGATATACTTGTGTTTCTTTCGGTTTCTTCTTATAGTTTATTCAGTGAAATACTGAGTGATTATAAGTAGATCTGTCTTCTACTATCCTAATAACGTAATTCCTAGGTCATCCAGCCACTACAAGTCATCCAGCCACCCACCAAATTTTCACGCGTTTAATTACACGTTACTATTCAAACCATCACCATGCCACCAAAAGCGCGTCAATTAACTTGAAACTTGGTAGAGCAAGAGAGTAGGATCTAGCTTGCTATCCAAGCCTTTAAAAATGGCAAAATTCCAAGTATTTGTCATGCAGCTATTATTTATAACATGCCTTAATCTACTTTAACTAATCACCTATATAGTCACCAATATTAAGCAGAACTCTATAATTATAATCTCTGGCTATCTAAAATTTAGGAGGATACTCTATTAGAATAGATTATATCTAGAGATAAGTGTGGAGTTACTCCTAGACTAATATATATAGTAGAAATAGCTTATATCTTATTTTAATCAGGTAGTTTGACTACCTAACCACTAATTAGAAAAAACTAGGCAACAAATTTTATTATATGCCATGATTTAATTAAAAGTTGATTTGCAAGAAAATATAATTACTAATAAGCTAAATATAAGGATCTAAAGGTATTAAACTAATAATTTAATTAATTATAAGCTACCTGATTATAATATGGTATTACCAATAAAGATATTTATAATTTTAATGAAACTGGCTTTGTAATGGATCTAATAGTAACTACTAAAGTAGTTGCTAGATCTAGTATGCCTGGAAGACTTTATCTTATCTAACCAGGTAATTAAAAATAGGTTACTACTATTAAATATATTAATATAAGAGGTTAGAGTTTACCTTTATATATTATCTTTAAAGGAAAATACTATATTAAAGGATGGTTTGAAGAAAACCTTTTATTATTAGATTAGAGGATTAAAGTCAGTACTAATAGCTGGACTATAGATAAAATAGGTCTTTAATAGCTTTAAAAAGTCTTTATCCCATCCTTTACAGGCTGTATAGTTAGAAAATATTAATTACTAGTCCTAAATAGCCATGGAAGTTATCTAATACCTGCTTTTAATAAGATATGTAATAATAATAATATCATTACTATCTATATACTACCCCATTCATCCTATCTTTTATAATCATTAGATATTGGTTGCTTTGGATTATTAAAACATGCATATAGGGGCTTGATAGAGGCAAAGACCTGACTAGGATCTAATTATATTAATAAACTAGACTTCCTAAAGGTCTATCTAGAGGCCCACTAGAAGGTCTTTACACCTTAAAACATTCAAAATAGCTTTACTGCAGCTAGAATACTATTATGGGATCCCTACTAGGTCCTTGCTAAATTAAATATCCTATCTATACCTACCCCTCCTGGAAGTTATAGAGAATCTATTAGCTCTTCTATTATTACAACCCCTTATACTATTTACTAGTTACATAAAAAGGCATCTTCTATTAAGAAGACTCTTCAAATTTGATCTGAAAGTCCTTCTTTGCCTTCTAAGATAGTATCTAGAGTAGTATTTAACTAGTTGGTTAAAGGATGTAAAGTTACTATCTATAATATAACTTTAATAGAAGCTGAAATTCGCAAACTCCGGTCAGAAAATATAAAGGAGAAGTAAAAAAGGAGTCGATTTAAATACTAGATAACCCCTAATAAAGGTATTTTAGTACAGGAAGCAAGAGATCTAATTTTATTATAAAATAGGCAAAATAATGGATCTACTAGTAAAAATATTAACCCAGTATTAGTTAGAATACCATCTTTAGAAGGTTCAAAACGCGCTCTACCAACATGCTCTAATTATAATATTCAAGGTCATACTAGAATTAGATGTCCTACATATCTAAATAATTAGAATTAATAGAAATACACGTATTTTGGTAGTTGGGGATAGCTTCAAGTTTTTCAACGATTGGTAGAATTTGGTGGGTGGCTGGATGACTTGTGGTGGCTGGATGACCTAGGAATTACGTTACCGTCTACATTCCGTGCTCCCGTATACATAGGGGTTGAATAGGAACAGTGTACGGAGTACTCCGAGTCCCTCCTCAGAGCGAACCAAAAAGATGGATCCTTCTTCTTTCCTTCCTTCAATTTATCTTGTGATGTGGGAATATTCAGATTAACTAGTGAATATAATTTCACCTACTCTCAACTACCTTACTTGAGTTAGAATCCCCATTGATAAAAGACATCAGCTCTATTTCTGACAGGTCGTCTTTCTGCCACTCCAACTTCTCTCCGCCTGCCACGTTCCATTCATTCACCAGAAGCCATCCATCGCTTCATGATCCTTCTACTTCCTCTCCTACGTCTGCTTCTAGTTCTTGTCGTTTTATCTCGCATTTTTCTTCTTTGTTTTTCTTTAATACATATTGCTGTGGCCTTGGCCCACAGGCCCGCCACAGTCATGTTTCAGGTACGCCTTCATTGCTGCTCTTCCAGCCCCGGATATTTACTTCGTCGGCGAGGTAGCCGCGCCTGGATGCGGGCTTGATGCGTTCCTGAATGCTAACCAGTGCCAATAACTTCTTTGTCTTACAAATAGCGTCTTCGCGAAGCTATCGACTCTCGGATTGCAGAGGAACAAGCCCGACAACGATCTTCTCAAGACTCCCTTGCCCGCTCTAACTCCGCTCGCCGCCCGCCTGGTCGCAACCTGTCCCCGAGCAGGCGAACCACTCGTCCCCGGCGGAATACTGGAACCCCCGTGCGAGGTCCTGACCCGATAGAGTTTGAGCCAGAATTTGCTATTGGAGATGACGACTCATCTAGTAGGTCGGCCACACCGCGACCGGAGACCGCTACGGGCCCCGAGGCGACCGCAGAGGAAAACGCTGGAGAAGGTGGAGGCGCAACGGAGGGCGTGTCAAATGGGAAGGGGAATGCTACAGTTACAGATGCTACTCAGCCCTCTTCAGAGCTCCCCCCTGACGTGAGAGCAAAGCTACGGAGGTTGAGCAAGCTGGAAACTCGTTATCAGGGTATAGTACAGCCTCGTCGTAGTTGTGGGCTAAGGGCGCTAATTTTCTGGTACAATTTAGAGCTCCTCAAAGCATATCGAGTCGCCCATTCCCGCATCCTATCAATCGAACCCTTCGAGGCTTCCTTACGCGAGAACACTCCTTTGACTTCAATCAGCGATCCCAAGGCCTTGACCGAATACCTGAACCAGATTTCACTCAAAGGGGATATGGTGCTGGAAGAGCTGAAGCGTGTAACAACTGACAGAGATGAATACAAGGGGAAATTGGAACGGGCACAAGAGTCCGAGAAAGCTGCGTTAGAGGAATTAAGAACCCTCAAGGAAGCTAGCAAACAAAACGCACGGTCAGAAGGTGGTGAAAATAGCTCATCACCCAAGGAATCACTCAAGGAGGCCAAGCAGGAGAGTGAGGAATTCTTCTCCTTTGACAATGAAATCCCGCGCTTGGAATCAGAATTGAAAGAGAAACAGGAAGAAATTGACAGCCTGAAGACCCAAGCAGAAAACCTAAAGCGGGATTTGTCGGTAGCACGTGAGTCGACTGAAGGCATGGTGCTTAACCTGGAGTCCGCCACTCGAGAGCTCACGGAACTACGCGACTTCAAGGACAGGCAGGAAACGGACATGGAGAAGCTGAAGGCCTTGAAGCAAGGCGAAATCGACGACCTCAAGTCCAAGCTTGAAACATCGGAGAAAGTCATGGCTGACACCAGCACCGAAGTGGACAAGCTCAAGGCTGAGCTGAAGCTGAAAGCAGATGATATCGAGCAGCTTCAGACTCAAACCGCCCAAGCCGGAGATTCTGATCAACAGGCGGAGCTGACTTTGAAACTAGAAGAGGCTAAACAAGAAAAAGAGGCGAACGAAAAGCGTCTTGGAGTGTTACAGGGCTTAGTGGACAACCTTAGAACCCAGCTCAAGGATGCTCAGGAGACAATGTCAAACTTGAAATCGGATGTGGAACAGAAGACGGAAGATTTTGGCAGACTGAAGAATATTATTGATTTCCTTGACGGAAATATGAAGGACAATTTGAAATGGCAGCAAGCTAAGGACAAGGTGACGAGGGGCCAAACGGCCGATTTTGAAGCGCTTCGACAGACCCTAGCTCCCTCTCAAAGTTTGGAGCCCGCAGACGAGACGGCGGAAGCATCTAGCCAGCCTGTTAATCTCCCAAGTAATTCGGGAGGCGGAAAGAAAAAGAAGGGCAAAAAGAAGAAGGGTGGTAAAGGTGGAGAAGAGGCCAGTAACTCAGCAAGTACTACTGACAATAAAACTGCACAACCGCCGTCATCTCCCCCTCAAACTGAGCAAACAAGCACCCCTCTTATTGAACTTGAGAAGAAGATTGAAGAATTGGCGCAGCAACTCAAGGAGAAGGAAGCAGCAATCAACCGGCTTGATTCTAAACTCAAGGGGGAGGAGGAGCTGAAGGAGGAGATCGAGTCCCTTCGTGATGATCTTCTCAACATTGGTCAAGAACATGTCGCAGCAAAGGACAAGATCAAGGAGCTTACCGCTGAAAAGACAGCTTTGGAAGGAACCATTGCCATATTAGAGAAAGAGATTACTGATCTTCGTGAAAATAATGAGTCCAAGAATGCAGACTCTGAAAAAGCTCACAACGATCTCAAGGGCGAGTATGAGGACCTCAAAGTTAAATTCACCTCCCTTGAAACCGAGCTATCTGCCGCGCAGCAGCTGGCAACCACGCGTTTTAAAGATCTGACGGATCTGCGAGAGACGCTCCAAAAGGTACAGCCTGAGCTCAAGAAGCTGCGAGCTGAAAGTGCAGAACTCAAGTCGACTAAAGAGGATCTAACAAGCAAAACTGGCGAGTTGAGGACACTGGAGGGCCGACATGATGATTTGCAGGCGGAGCTTAAGACCTTGAAGACCACTATCTCTGACCGCGAGACCGAAGTCAAGACGCTTAACCAGAAGATTAAGCAAGAAATCGACAGTCGCCTGAAAGCCGAGGAGAACTTGACAATTGCACAATCTGACCTGCGGTACTCCGAGAGCCGGAAACAACAAGCCATAGAGACTAAACAGAAGCTTTTGACCGACCTCTCCAATGTCCAGGATGAGCTGAAGACTGCCCGGGGCCGACTACGGGAGTACGAACAACAGACTACTCAGCTCAACAAGGATCTCGAGGGCTTGCGAGAGGAAATCCAGCTGAAGACAGCTCAACACGCAAGCGCACAAAGCCTGATGAACAGCATGCGCGACCAGGCTGCAGAGTTAGGTATGCAGATGAAGGAGGCCCGAGAACGCTGTGAGAGCTTGGAGGAGGAATTGGCCGATGCCCATCGTCTCCTCAGCGAGCGCACGCGTGAAGGTGAAACCATGCGACGTCTGCTCAACGATATCGAGGGCCGGGCCGAGGCAAAGACCCGCGATTTCAAGGAGAGGATGGAGGCGGCCATCGAAGAGCGAGACCGCGCGGAGGATGAAGCAAGTGCTCAGGGACGACGCCGGTCTCGAGAGTTAGAGGAGCTCAAGGCGAAAATTCGCGAAATCGAAAAGGCTTTGCGGAGCGCGCAGGAGGACAAGGAAGAATTGGAGCATTCGCAAAAGGACTGGAAGCGCAGACGCGATCAACTCGAAGCACAATCAGAAAGTGCCGCACAAGAGCTCAGCGACATACAGCAGGCAATGGCTCGAATGCGCGATGCCCTCGATGAAAGCGAGAAGCAGGTCCGCGATCTGGAGAAAGAAAAGGCTGAGCTGCGTCGTTCAGTGGAGGAAACCAATGCTCGACTTGAGAAGGTGCGCAAGTCCAACAAGATGCTGGACGAGGGCCGGTTTGCCGCCAACCCCCAGTCGTCGCGCTCGTCGATTGACTCTGGTTCTCGGAGAGGAGTAACTCCTCCCATGTCCAAGGACCGCAGCCCATCGATACAGAGAGGTGAAACCCCGACGGGCACCATTGACTACATCTACCTAAAGAATGTGCTCCTCCAGTTCCTAGAACAAAGGGACAAGAATTATCAGAAGCAATTGATCCCTGTCCTGGGGATGCTTCTGCATTTCGACCGGTAAGGATATCTTACACTACTCCTGCCATTGTCTTACACTAACGGTCACAGAACGGATGAGCAAAAGTGGATGGCAGCTATAACCTCTAAATAAGTTCATTCTGTAACGAAGATACCCCCCAACCTGTGCTGTGATACTACATTTAGGGCAGGCTATCCTGGCAATTATTTGGGTACATAATTTTCTTTTCTCCACTTGTTCTATATATCAATACCAGGGCTTTTGTATTATTTTGGATTATCCAATACAGTCCAATTAATGTAGTAACTAATTACCTTGTGACATTGCTAACAATTCTGAGAACCCCTATGTCACTCACAGGGCGTGGTGATAGTGGGGAAGAGGGAGGCAAGATCGATGACACGCGGTACTTCTCTTTCTTTAAAGCTCTCTCCAGTGTCCTCAATCCACTCGTAACTACCAAAATCTCACTCACTTCACTCATCCATCTATTCGTGCATCCATCCATACCCAAGAATACCACCTACTATATCATCATCATGTCCACCGAAGCCACAATCCGACTCGCAACCCCCGAGGGCAAGTGCCCCGCACCCCTCAAAAAATGTACATATTGTGCATACACTGTGCAATCGCTAATTAACTAATAACCAGATGTCCCTCTGATTCTCCAATTCATCCGCGAACTAGCCGACTACGAAAGAGCCCTCCACGAAGTCGAAGCTACCGAAGAATCCCTCCTCGCAACACTCTCCTTCCCCAACGCCCCGCCTAAGCGAGGCTCCGTCTATACCGCGCTAATCACCCCCCCGGCAACAGAGGAAAGCCCCTCCCCGATCCCCGTGGGCATGGCGCTGTTCTTTTACAACTACTCGACCTGGCGCGCGGCTCCGGGGATTTACCTGGAGGACTTGTATGTGCAGCCTTCGGCCAGGGGCAAGGGCTACGGGTTTAAGCTGCTGAAGTATCTTGCGGGCAAGGTGTTGGAGATCCAGGGCAGACGGTTGGAGTGGAGTGTGTTGACGTGGAATGAGCCGAGTATTAAGTTTTATAAGCAAATTGGGGCGAGGCCGATGGAGGAGTGGATGAAGATGATGGTGGAGGGCGAGGCGTTGGGGAGGTTGGCAAAGGAATTGTAATGTAGATACGTATCTTTCTACCTGGTATTAGGTAGTTGTTCTCGTGTTTTTATGGGTGTTATACATAGTGATTGATGTAGAATAATTGGGCAGAGTTGTAGGTGGAAATGAATACATATATATATATCCACTACACAGTAACATGACTTTCAAACAATATCGATCTCAGCACCGTCAAAGCACGGGAATAACTGTACCACGGACGAAACTGTAATTGCCTCGGAAATGCAGAAACTCTCTCTCCTACCTGCGACTCCCAGACGCAGAAACGATTCGACTCGTCATTCCCTAGTGGCCAACCAATCCTGGTACGTGACAGCTGGGTTCTCCTGGTCAAAGCATGCACTGCTGTCAACTCTGTAATTTGTCCTTCCATAAATCTATATCAGACGTTCCAAAAAGAGAAAAAAATTATAAAATAAAAGAAAAAGAAACGTGGTCCCAGAGGGGGTCGAACCCTCGACTTTGGCGTTATTAGCACCACACTCTAACCAACTGAGTTATGGGACCTTGTTGAAGCTTGAACCGCATATTTGACTACATGATCCAGGGCTTGCATCATATGTATTCGAATGCAAGGTTAACTATGGAGTACGTGAGTAGAGTGTTGGACTGGCTGGCTCTTTCTCTCCGATTGCCAGGGGTAGTAAATCAATAGCGACTCGGGAGGAACCATCCTAGACAAACCGAGCCTTCAGCGGTATCCCCGAGATAAAAAGTGTCGGATTTAAATGGGCATTTGTAGGGAGGAAAAGACGACATGTCCAGTGTCGGTCGATGGTCGAAACTCGACAGTCGAGAGAGAATGGATGCCTTGGGGCATCGAGGAAGTGGAGACTTGTCTAGGCAGATTGAGTCCGGACGGTAAGGAAAACATGGTTCGGTGCATCTGCAAATGGTTACCACGAAACAAAACGACTGTCGGATCCATACACGGGGAGAAAGGGGGATTTTCGAAGAACCATGGTGGACGGTAAGAACAAATGCTTCTGTGTTATTGATTCTTGGACTTGATTTAGGAAGGATGAGCGAGACAGGTCAATGCAGAGCCAAGGCGGCGACTGTTGGCAAAATATAACTCCCTTACTTGAGGCACTTAGTGTGGCCAACTTTCAACAATTGGGTCCCATAACTCAGTTGGTTAGAGTGTGGTGCTAATAACGCCAAAGTCGAGGGTTCGACCCCCTCTGGGACCACATCTTTTTGCTATTTTCTGGCCCTGTCTCAATTTTTTTTTTTGTTTTTAGGCGGCAAGAACGTATGTATATATTTAGAGAAGATGTCAATGGTGTTACTTTGTCTTGTATTTCCAGTCTAGTTACTTGGTGCTGGAGGAATTGATGTTGGGTGCCAACTATATTTCCCCCCGCCCACGCACCGTGTAGATGTCACGGCGACCATGTGACATGCAACCACATGCTGAACCACATGCCGAACCACATACCCAGTAACCAAGGGTAATCAAGAGAATGGCAATATTCAAGTTGCCTGTACTGTGCTAGTAACTTGACTAGATAATATAAATAGTAATATAATAACCCCTGAAGTACTAAGAGATAAGTACTTTATTTTATTACTTCTAATACCTTCCTACTACTCTTATATTCTATGTAGCTTTACTTTCTTTACTAATACTACCTATACCTAAGTACCTTGCTAGTAAGATACTTATAATTTAAAGTACTTTCTTAACTAAGTAAAGTAATATAACAAGTATAAAAAAGATTACCTACTCCTCTTCTTAAGAAGTAATAAATCTAAATTTTATAGAATCTATAACTATAGTACTAGAAATTATTATTAAAAAAGATTTAATAATACTAGTAACTCTTTAGTATTAATCTATTAAGTTAATAGAAGATAATAAACTATAGTATATAACTTAATATATAGCGCAAGCTATATAAATAAATAGGGAGAAGATATCTAAACTTAAGTTCTTTAAAATATAAAATTTAAAAAAACTTAATATTTTCTTAAAAAATCTTTAAGACTATTTTAGGTTATAAGGGAAACTTTATAAGAGTAATATAGTTAAGATTTATTATATTATAGATTACTTAAAAAATAATATAAAGTAAGTATAATATTCTAAGTATAGAATAAATTCTAAAAAATTTACTTATATAAAATTTATTAAATTTTTATAAAATTTCCTAAAATTAGAAAGAGATTATAAGTAAATAGTAATTTACTAGCTCTTATATATAAAATAAGAACTATAATAAAATATATAAATCTTAATAACCTAAATAAAGAAGTTTATCTTAATAATTAAAGCTAATCTTAAAGAATTTCTCTACTAGCTAGCTATTTAAATAGCCTAGCCTAAATTATACAAGGAAATCTAGTAGGATATAATAATATTATAAAGTCTAGCTAAAGTTACTAAACTAGAAGTAAGATATAAGAAATTTTAAAAATAAGAGAAGTAGAAAAGGCTAAATAAAATATAACTAAACTAACTCTTAGAATCTTATATATTAAAGAATAATTTAAGGAAGAAAAAGAAAGATAATAATAAAATAATAAATTTCTAACTAAATAAATTCTAGTAAAAAGAATTAAAGAAGAAGTAGTAAAATTACTAAAATTAATAAAAAAAAGGCTAATATTATTAATATAATTAAATTAATTATATTATAAGAAAATACCCCTAGTATAAAAAAAGTATTAAGAAAATAAGAGAATTAGAAAACTAAAATTAATAATAATTAAATATTCTAGAATCCTTAATACTTTAATAGAATAAAAAGATACTAGTAAGATTCTTCTTAACTATTATAGCTATCCTAATAAGTAAGAAATAAGTTATAATAAAAATACTTATAAATACTAGAATAAATAAGAACTTTATTTTTTATTATTTCTTAATTAAAGAAGGAATAAATTTTAATAAAATAAAAATAAAGTAATCTATATATTTTATTAATAGCTTAATAATACTATATTATATAAGATTTTAGGTAAAGAGCTAAATTATAGATAGTTTTAATAAAATTAGAGAATTTAATATAGAATATTATATAATAAATTTAGAAAAAAAAGAATATTAATTAATTTTAAAATATAGTTAATTAAGTCTAGTTAATCTTAATATTTCTTTAATAGTAAATACCTAGTACTATTAAGAAAAAAAATTAAAGATTAAAATTAAATTACTTAAGTAATTTAAGAGTATAATAAGATAAGGACTTATTATACTAGTCTTAAACTAACTATATAATAATAGTAGTATAATAGAGGCTCTCTTTAAATATTATAAAGAATAGAAATTAATATTCTTAAAGAAAGAGATAGAGATACTTCTCTTTAAAAAAGCTAGTTATAATATATTATTAATTATTAATATAATATTATTAATAGGCTGGCTATATAATATATTAAGAATAGAATTAATAATCTTAAGGAAGTATATTAATTAAATATTAAAAAAAAAATAAATCTAGTCTTTAATAAGTATAGCAGGCGCACTAGTACTTTTTATATAAAAGATTAATAAATTATTATAATTCTATATAAATTATAGGGGCCTAAATATAATTATTATTAAGAATTAATATCCCCTCCTATAAATTAATAAACTAATAGACTAATTAATTAGAGCTAAATAATTTATTAAACTAGATTTATAAGATACTTACTACTAGATTTATATTTATTAAGATAATAAGTAAAAGATAATATTTTATATAAGATATAGATACTATAAATATCTAATTATACTTTTTAAATTATATAATATCTTAACTATCTTTTAAATATATATTAATAAAATAATAAAAAGAATTCTAGATAAATTTTATATAATATATTTAGATAATATCCTAATTTATTTATAAATAAAGAAAAAGTATAAATATTATATTAGTAAAGTACTATTATACCTTTAAAAGTATAATCTTTATATAAAACTTTTAAAGTATAGCTTTTATTAAGAAGAAGTATATTTCCTTAACTTTATTATAGGAATTAAAGAGATCTAAATAGATTTTAAGTAAGTATATACTATAAATAACTAGCTAGAATTATACTTATTCTATAATATTTAAGTATTTCTAGGATTTATAGGATATTTTTAAAAATTTATTTACTAATATTTTAAGATTACTACCCTACTAAATAATATATTAAAGAAGATAGTAAAGGAGAGAAAGAGTAACCTCTTTAAGATAATAAAGAATAATTAAAGTACCTTTAAGGTATTAAAGTAGGTATTTTCTAGATTTCTAATACTATAATATTTTAATCTAAAATAAGAGATATTTCTAATAATTAATATATTAGGTTTTATAATTATAGGAATCCTAATATAATATAATAGTATCTAGTCTATAAAGATATAATATACTATTTAATAACTTATAGTCTTTTACTTAAGGAAGTTAATTAAGGTAAAGAAAAGATATAAAACTTATAATTAAGAATTACTAGCTATAATAAAATACTTTAAGATATAATATTATTACTTTAAAAATAACTTATATATAATATATATATAAATAGATTATATAAATCTAAAATATTTTTATATTACTAAGACTTTAAATTAATATTAGGCTAGATAAGTTAAGCTTTTAGTAATATATAATTTCTAGATTAAATATTAGTCTAGTAGCCTTAATCTAGCTAATATATTTTTAAGATAAAAAGATTATAAATCTACCTAATAAAATATAGCTAAAGAACTCTTGCTTATACTTTAGGTAAAGCTAGAAGATTTATAGAATAATTAAGATAAAAGTAAGATAGTAACTCCCTAAGAGATCCTAATTATATAATTAAAAGATCTAGAACTATTAATCTAAAGAATACTAGTATAAAGAATAGCTAGTAATAAGTAAGTCTATAAGATACTATTAATTACTTTATAAGACTTACTTTAGGAGATATAATATAAAGATACCTATATAAATTAAATTTAGAGTAATACTAGTAAAGAATACCTAGTATACTAGAAATATACTTAAATAGTAAGGAAACTACTTAAATAAGAAATAATAAAGTAGCTTAAGAATAATACTAAATAAAGATAAACTTATAAGAATAGATAATATATTAATAATAATAGGCTAGTATAATATAATAAGATTATTTATATTTCTTCTAATTAA